TAGACAATTTAGATTATTAAGCGAGCGTCTTTCCAGCAGGTCACGACAGATCGTCAAGAGTTGAGGTGCTATTAACATGAAACGATTGGCTGGGTGTTTGGCATTTCGGGAAGCACAGATAGAAGCTTGGCCCCGAGCCTCGACCATGATTGGTTTTGAGGGGGGGGGGGTGAAGAGACCATCGCGGTAAAAAAGCGTTTGTGCCAGGCGGGAATCGAACCTAGACAATTTAGATTATTAAGCGAGCGTCTTTCCAGCAGGTCACGACAGATCGTCACGAGTTGAGGTGCTATTAACATGAAACGATTGGCTGGGTGTTCGGCCTTTCGTGAAGCACAGATAGAAGCTTGGCCCCGAGGCTCGACCATGATTGGTTTTGAGGGGGGGGGGGTGAAGAGGCTATCGCGGTAAAAAAGCGTTTGTGCCAGGCGGGAATCGAACCTAGACAATTTAGATTATTAAGCGAGCGTCTTTCCAGCAGGTCACGACAGATCGTCACGAGTTGAGGTGCTGTTAACATGAAATGATTGGCTGGGTGTTCGGCATTTCGTGAAGCACAGATAAAAGCTTGGCTTCGAGGCTCGACCATGATTGGTATTGAGGGGGGGGGGTGAAGAGGTCATCGCAGTAAAAAAGCGTTTGTGCCAGGCGGGAATCGAACCTAGACAATTTAGATTATTAAGCGAGCGTCTTTCCAGCAGGTCACGACAGATCGTCACGAGTTGAGGTGTATTAACATGAAAGGATTGGCTGGGTGTTCGGCATTTCGTGAAGCACAGATAGAAGCTTGGCCCCGAGGCTCGACCATGATTGGTTTTGAGGGGGGGGGGGGTGAAGAGGCCATCGCAATAAAAAAGCGTTTGTGCCAGGCGGGAATCGAACCTAGACAATTTAGATTATTAAGCGAGCGTCTTTCCAGCAGGTCACGACAGATCGTCAAGAGTTGAGGTGCTATTAACATGAAACGATCGGCTGGGTGTTTGGCATTTCGGGAAGCACAGATAGAAGCTTGGCCCCGAGCCTCGACCATGATTTGTTTTGAGGGGGGGGGTGAAGAGGCCATCGCGGTAAAAAAGCGTTTGTGCCAAGCAGGAATCGAACCTAGACAATTTAGATTATTAAGTGAGCGTCTTTCCAGCAGGTCACGACAGATTGTCACGAGTTGAGGTGCTATTAACATGAAACAATTGGCTGGGTGTTCGGCATTTCGTGAAGCACAGATAGAAGCTTGGCCCCGAGGCTCGATCATGATTGGTTTTGAGGGGGGGGGGGGGTGAAGAGGCCATCGCGGTAAAAAAGCGTTTGTGCCAGGCGGGAATCGAACCTAGACAATTTAGATTATTAAGCGAGCGTCTTTCCAGCAGGTCACGACAGATCGTCAAGAGTTGAGGTGCTATTAACATGAAACGATTGGCTGGGTGTTTGGCATTTCGGGAAGCACAGATAGAAGCTTGGCCCCGAGCCTCGACCATGATTGGTTTTGAGGGGGGGGGGGTGAAGAGACCATCGCGGTAAAAAAGCGTTTGTGCCAGGCGGGAATCGAACCTAGACAATTTAGATTATTAAGCGAGCGTCTTTCCAGCAGGTCACGACAGATCGTCACGAGTTGAGGTGCTATTAACATGAAACGATTGGCTGGGTGTTCGGCCTTTCGTGAAGCACAGATAGAAGCTTGGCCCCGAGGCTCGACCATGATTGGTTTTGAGGGGGGGGGGTGAAGAGGCTATCGCGGTAAAAAAGCGTTTGTGCCAGGCGGGAATCGAACCTAGACAATTTAGATTATTAAGCGAGCGTCTTTCCAGCAGGTCACGACAGATCGTCACGAGTTGAGGTGCTGTTAACATGAAATGATTGGCTGGGTGTTCGGCATTTCGTGAAGCACAGATAAAAGCTTGGCTTCGAGGCTCGACCATGATTGGTATTGAGGGGGGGGGTGAAGAGGTCATCGCGGTAAAAAAGCGTTTGTGCCAGGCGGGAATCGAACCTAGACAATTTAGATTATTAAGCGAGCGTCTTTCCAGCAGGTCACGACAGATCGTCACGAGTTGAGGTGTATTAACATGAAACGATTGGCTGGGTGTTCAGCATTTCGTGAAGCACAGATAGAAGCTTGGCCCCGAGGCTCGACCATGATTGGTTTTGAGGGGGGGGGGGGGGTGAAGAGGCCATCGCGGTAAAAAAGCGTTTGTGCCAGGCGGGAATCGAACCTAGACAATTTAGATTATTAAGCGAGCGTCTTTCCAGCAGGTCACGACAGATCGTCAAGAGTTGAGGTGCTATTAACATGAAACGATTGGCTGGGTGTTTGGCATTTTGTGAAGCCCAGATAAAAGCTTGGCCCTGAGGCTCGACCATGATTGGTTTTTAGGGGGGGGGGGGGGTGAAGAGGCCATCGCGGTAAAAAAGCGTTTGTGCCAGGCGGAAATCGAACCTAGACAATCTAGATTATTAAGCGAGCGTCTTTCCAGCAGGTCACGACAGATCGTCGCGAGTTGAGGTGCTATTAACATGAAACGATTGGCTGGGTGTTCGGCATTTCGTGAAGCACAGATAGAAGCTTGGCCCCGAGGCTCGACCATGATTGGTTTTGAGGGGGGGGGGGGGTGAAGAGGCCATCACGGTAAAAAAGCATTTGTGCCAGGCGGGAATCGAACCTAGACAATTTAGATTATTAAGCGAACATCTTTCCAGCAGGCCATGACACATCGTCACGAGTTGAGGTGCTATTAACATGAAACGATTGGCTGGGTGTTCGGCATTTCGTGAAGCCCAGATAAAAGCTTGGCCCCGAGGCTCGACCATGATTGGTTTTGAGGGGGGGGTGAAGAGGCCGTCTCGGTAAAAAAGCGTTTGTGCCAGGCGGGAATCGAAGCTAGATAATTTAGGTTATTAAGCGAGCGTCTCTCCAGCAGGTCACAACAGATCGTCATGAGTTGAGGTGCTATTAACATGAAACGATTGGCTGGGTGTTCGGCATTTCGTGAAGCCCAGATAAAAGCTTGGCCCCGAGGCTCGACCATGATTGGTTTTGAGGGGGGGGGGGGGTGAAGAGGCCATCGCGGTAAAAAAGCGTTTGTGCTAGGCGGGAATCGAACCTAGATAATTTAGGTTATTAAGCGAGCGTCTTTCCAGCAGGTCACGACAGATTGTCACGAGTTGAGGTGCTATTAACACGAAACAATTGGCTGGGTGTTCGGCATTTCGTGAAGCCCAGATAAAAGCTTGGCCCCGAAGCTCGACCATGATTGGTTTTGAGGGGGGGGGTGAAGAGGCCATCGCGGTAAAAAAGCGTTTGTGCCTGGTGGGAATCGAACCTAGACAATTTAGGTTATTAAGCGAGCGTTTTTCCAGCAGGTCACGACAGATCGTCACGAGTTGAGGTGCTATTAACATGAAACGATTGGCTGGGTGTTCGGCATTTCGTGAAGCCCAGATAAAACTTGGCCCCGAGGCTCGACCATGATTGGTTTTGACGAGGGGGGGGGGGGGGGGTGAAGAGGCCATCGCGGTAAAAAAGCGTTTGTGCCAGGCGGGAATCGAACCTAGACAATTTAGATTATTAAGCGAGCGTCTTTCCAGGAGGTCACCACAGATCGTCACGAGTTGAGGTGCTATTGGCATGAAACGATTGGCTGGGTGTTCGGCATTTCGTGAAGCCCAGATAAAAGCTTGGCCCCGAGGCTTGACCATGATTGGTTTTGAGGGGGGGGGGGGGGGTGAAGAGGCCATCGTGGTAAAAAAGTGTTTGTGCCAGGCGGGAATCGAACCTAGACAATTTAGATTATTAAGCGAGCGTCTTTCCAGCAGGTCACGACAGATTGCCGCGAGTTGAGGTGCTATTAACATGAAACGATTGGCTGGGTGTTTGGCATTTCGTGAAGCCCGGATAAAAGCTTGGCCCTGAGGCTCGACTCTGCTCGGTTGACGGGTGGGAGAGGATGGTGCAAGGTGCTCGACGCCGGTTGGTTAACAGGGAGGTCGTGCGGCCAGAGTGGTGGGCGAGGAGGAGGTGGAGAACATGGAAGGCTCTAGAAGATTGCCAGGTTTATTGGCTACATTAACGGTAGTATCGTTTCATTCAAGGAAGAACTATCAAGTGTAAGCATGGTATGCGTTAAACTATCTGATGAAGAGCGCCGTTACTGTAGGCGCCTGGCGTCTGAAAAATCGCCAAATTGTTTGTTATTGTTTGTTATGCGAGAATGTTTCACGTATGCAATACAATTGTCTAGCAATTCGCCATAAATTTCTTTGTATGACCAATGTGACAAGAGCATTGTATGACAAAGAAACGCACCTCAGACCGATGCATTAGCAGTATGACTGCGGCTTTATGCTACCGACGGTGAAAATAGAGCGCTACTTCATCGGGTGCCGTCGCTTTTGTACGGCGCTGGAAAATGGGAATATGCGTTTAATCGCACTGTTTTTTCTAAACTTGTTTCGGTTTCGGGAGGTCTGCCGTTATCTGCCGTCGGGAGGTCTGTCGTTATTTGGTTAAAATACATAATGCGAGAACTCTCATGTGCTGTACACTTTTAGTTCGAAGGCACATAATGGATGCGATAGAATAACGTATCGTGCTTCTCAAATCCTTTATCGTCGGAATGCGCCCCTTCCCACGGAGAACTTACCCGTGGTTTGCTTCGTTATTCTTATTGGTTTGCAGAAACTAACTTTCATCCTCTGCGAAGTTTTTACAGAAACTTACTATTGAGGAATGTAATCACGCATATATGTGTGACTCAGGAACACTAAAATGTTTCCTTTACAAGTGGAAAACACTCATCTAGGGGTTGGAACGATTGAGTGCATTTGCGTGTTCGAGCAACTTTCAAGAGTGGTCTGGCAAGCCCCCTGGTTCCCAAGAACCCCCGGTCTACATTGGTTCTGTAACTCTACCTCAATGGCCGCATGCAGAGCCTTTGGGGCTTACCAAAGACCCCTAGTTCTGTTAGCGAAAGGGATCGTACGAATTCCCGTGTCTGGTCCGATGGCAGTGTCGTCTGAGTGGCCTGCAGGAGGCCAGGGCGTCTTCCGAACCGTCCGGGAGCAAGTCTGAGCTGCAGAGGGAGGCAGAGGGACTGCGCTCTGTTGTGACGCGGCTGGAGCGAGTGGCCAGGGCCCAGGAGCCGGCAGTTCGACCACCGGCCATGTCCGGCAGCGGGGACAACAACGGGCTCGCTCAGGTGACTGGCCTCTCTTTCTTCCAGCTGTGCACCGTTCTGTTCGCTCTACCGGGTGTTTCCACGGATACTTAAAAAATTCCTACGAATAGGGAATTGGATGGTTGAGAAAAACAAAACTCTTTTCGGGAACAATCTGCCAGTCATGGTGGACGTCGCAGGTTTCATAGAACACACTAAATTTGCAAACTAATGTCCTAATATCTGTTGTTTAACTTTTTAATTAGTGAGAATATACATACGCATTAAAATGGCAATTTTGGCTAGTTGGTTCATTATCACATCCAAAGCGCTGAAACTGCACGAGTGCCTTGCTGCACATTGCAGTCACCGCTCATGTACACCGTCCTTTGGTGACATACCGTATTTATTCGAATATAAGGCGGTCACGATTATAAGGCGAGGGGGCAGTTGAAGGACCCAAGAAAAAGAAAAAAAATCTTCTAATTGCTATACTGAGCTTCGAATATAAGGCGGGGTATGACTTTGAGACTACGGATTTGGGAAAAAACCTCGCCTTATATTCAAATAAATACGGTAAGAATTTTGGCTAGGTATCTTAATCGGATATCTGGGGAGCTACACGAGGCATTTGAAATTAAAGGCATAGATTGTATTAGCGACGCATCTGTGTCATTATCTGCAAAAGAGTATGCCTTCTTGCAAAAGGGGCTGCACTGGATGTAGGAGTGACTGTATTTTATCACGAGTATATAAAAGATGGGTGTTAAATAAACATTAGTTGCAAGGTGCCTTGTTTTCGTCCCCTTTCTTATTGTCCTTGTGTAGTTTTTGCACTTTAATTGTGAATATACATATGTTTCCAGATAGAAACTTGCTGAGCGTCATCAAAACTTCTAAATTAGTCAATTTTAGGTTGTCTTAACCCTTTTACTGCCAAAAGTTTTTTGCAAAAATTATGCAAATTTTTAAAATAGTTGTTTGCCTGTATTGTTTAGACACATTCTTTCTAAAGAAGGAACTATGCACAATTTTTACTATTACGTAGACCTTAATTATTAAGTACCATCATTTTTTGTATTTAGGTTTCATGGCTACTTGCAATGCAGTTTTCTATTCTCAAACACAAAAAAGTCCCCATGCTTTTTCAAACATTTTTTTGTCGATATAAGATGCTTATAAATAATTCAACATCCTGTACCCCAACTGTGGCCTGACTTTGACAATTTAAAAGTTGGTCTCCGTATGGTAGATCTCAAAGCGTGGGATCACACAGACCGCCACGTTGTAGTCTTTGCACCCATATCTTGTTTCCTTCCGGATCTTGGTCCCTCCGGCAGATGAGGCCTTGCAGCAGATGACACAGTGCCATGTCGGGAGCTGATTGTTCTCTGTTGGAGGAATGAAGCTTACAAAACTGGCGAGCTGTAAGCCTCGTGGCTTCATTGTCAGACTTTCTTCCAAATTTCTTCCGTTGTCTCTCGTCGTGATTTGCTGCAACCACCTTCTCCATGAGGTCCAGTCGGTAGTCCAGTTGACTCAGTGTGCCTCCTTGTTTCTTGTACAGAACAAAATAGTTGTGGACAAACATGTCAAAAAGGCGCCTAAAGATCTTGTAATAGACCTTCTACCCATCTCTCACGGCCGGGTAGTACGAGAAATTCTGGTCGCTCTTGTCGACACCTCCCACGGTGTTGTTATAGTAGTCGTAAACGACACCAGGCTTCACAATTTTCTCGTTCCGGGCATTGACTCCTTCGACAGCCGTCGCATCCTCAGCTGTGTACAGCAAGGTGACGATGAGCTTTTTGTATCGCCAATGCAGGTCCACACAATTTTCTCGCTGAAATGCCCTGAGTTTCCCTTTTTTTAGTTTGAGGTCTTGTCCTTCCTTATTAAAAGGGGCATGTCCTTCCTTGTTGGCCGAACCGTGCCACAGACATAGGTTTTTTTGCTGCGGGAGTTTTGCTGCGACAGTGACGCTGTAACTCTTTGCACAGAAAAGGTTTCTTCAGGCTCATGACGACCTTCGTGCCCGTGGCACTGTCTGCGTCCAGTGTAACAGTCCCCTCGGCGCTGTACACGACGAGGTTAGAAGTGTACCTGCTCTAAACTCGCAAAGCAGAAAAACTTCACACCAAAGCATGAGCGTTTCAGTGGCAGGTACTGTTTCCAGGATAGCCTTTCTTTGTACAGCATCAAGCTTTCATCCACGGCTACAGTGATCTCAAGAACGTAGAGGTTGAGTAACCGTTCTTTGAGGAGACGCAGCAACGTCCACAGCTTGCAAAGCTTCGGTTGGGGTGCCGTAACTCGTCAATCACGTCCTTGTTGTCAGAAAAAGGAAGAAATTTCATTATACTACTAGTGTGAAATCTGTTCTTTCTTGCGAGTTTACCGAAGATGGGGGGTTTGCAGAATTCTTCCGGTTGACCGATACGTGTCAAGTTCGAGCCCGTCGATAATGCCTCGCAGCAGTATCGATGCAAAGTACACCTTGAGCTCCTCCGCTATCGACAGCTTCCACGCTGCAGTGCGAGAGCCATCGGTTGTTGGATGCTTTGCGATAAACTGTGAGGCATACCTGTTCGTCGTTGTCGGAAGTAACTTTTATGCTCACATGTTCTAGGCTGTAGATTCTCTACTGTTTGCTAGTATGTATATTATGTGAGACTTTGTCTTTCAGGTTGCGCTAGCGCAAGCTGAGAAGTTGAACACATTGGAAAAGCAGGCTCGAGACTTGGAGGAAGCCAACGCCCGTTATGTGAAGGAGATAGAGCGCCTCAACATTGTGAGTGACCCTCATTGTTTTCTTTGCTTTTCTTTGTGCCTGATCTTGTTTTCTTGAACATCTGTTTTTTTACCAATACACATTTATGTGACAATCCTTACCTCGCAGGAAGTTCAACGCCTCACAAAGTCCCCGGTGGTCGAAGCAGCCGCTTGTCTCGCGACGGACGACGCAAAAACATTGGTGTGAGTGACATTCTGCACTTCTCTGTTCTCTGAGACACGATGGTGCTTCGATACTTTGGCTGTAATTGAAGGGGCACTGACAGGTCAAAATTATATTTTTTTTTATTATTGTCCGAAACAATTGAAAATGATGCCTGGACATTACCCTCAAATTTCGAAACTTGGGAACTCGGTATTTGTGAATGAAAAGAAACGATTTCCAGAAGCCGGATTTGAAGTTCCCGCACGACCCGTGCCAGTGCAGTGACGTCAAAGATTGAGTTGTCCTGCAACTCGAGTTTCTCTCGTGCCTCAGTCCCTCCATCCCGACCCGAAGTGTCGTGTTCGCCCACGTCCTGCCATCAACCGCTCTTTTCCGTGCGTGATGCCTATCGATGCGAGCAGACGACGCTTGACTTTTGAGTTCGAAGTTCTTGTAGGGCCCTTTCTGCGATCCTAAATTGTTTGAAATGGTATGGGGTCAAAAAAGAAAGCGCAGTGGACTGTTGTGAGCGACGCAAAGCTTCTAAATTTCATATTCGATTACGTCACAAATAAAAAGATGCGAGGAGGTGAGAAGAGGGAGAGAAAAACATCAAAGATAAAAAGGCGCATGCGCATATGGGGAAATTTTTTCTTTTTTTGCATTGTGGTATTTTTTGTGCCTCTGTGACTACAACTTGCATCGTTTTAGACAACCCCAAAAAATACAACCTTTAGGGTGTCAGTGCCCTTTTAAGGAATTCTAAAACGATACCGCATCGCATTCATTTAGCCGAAGGATAGCGTGGGTTGTTCTAGCTGCGTCCAAATTTACCATCTGCTTTTCTATTGTTATCTCTGGGAGTGCCATGGCATGTACATCTTATTGCACCTAATTTACTGTTTGGTCAAGTTGTCAGATTTGCGTCAAATTTTACTTGTGGATTTTAAGGTGGCGGTAAGCTTAGTTCGTACATCTGGCATTTCTGCTACTGGGTGCGAGTTTCAAACGGCTCGCCCCTGGCGGCTAAGTTTAAAATTAAATTAACAAGAACAACAACGACGCACTTTATTTGTCTGCTTTTGCGATGCAGCGCTCGGCTGGCATTACCGAACGCCACTTTCTGCTGAAGCTTTTATTCAGTCAGACTCGCGTCCATTCTCTGCCCCATGTTTGATCGAGAAAGATGACACAAAGGATCTGACCCAGGGGCCTTGTGTTGGCAAACGAGCTTTGGCAAACGAGCTTTGGCAAACGAGCTGGACAAAGTGCCCTTTTTAATTTGATTTTACCACAATTTGGTGGTGCCATTTGGCCAATGCAGTATCTCTGCTAACCTAGAGTTTCTAACGTGCGTCACGGAGCAGAAATTATGGGCCGGCAGGGGAGGTGCTTAAGCTTGCAATCTCGGAATTTGCGGCGCCAGCTTTCTTTTCGTGTACCGTCGAGCTGCGGTGCTAGGATGCGGTCGGATCACCCCCTTCCAAATTAGCGAAGTGTTGCGTTTCTAATTTGTTGAAAGCTCGTGGCACCGCCCTTCGGCGCTCCACGACAGAAGTCATTGTAGGTTTCTCGCGTGGTTTCCGGGGGCGGCAGGGCCTCTCTCGGAGCAGAAGCACAGCCCCTGGCGTCTGAGGCTACGGCAGCGCTCGAGTCTCAGCTGGCGAAGACGCGGGAGTTCCTCTCGACCAGCCGGGCCCGCTGCGGGGAACTTCAGCTGCAGCTGCGCAAGGCAAGCCTCGTTTTTAACAAGAGGTTGCGGTAAACCGGAAAATAGTACGGAGGTGCATAGAGGCCTACGACGCATTTGCCGTTTCTCAATGCGTGAGGAGGGGTATACATAGGAGCTAAATTTGTAGCTGCACCGGAGTAGAGCTCCTATGCATCTCCAAAACTTCTTTGGAATGGAACCACCTTAAGCTTCTAACGTATTTGTGGTTAATTATCGACCATTTAAAAATACCGTTATACCTCCTTTCTTTGTTTTGAGCGTCGGTGAACTAAGCGTAAAATTGCCGTCCTTTTTTATCGGAATCTTTTATTCATCCCGCTTCCCTCTATAATGACGATGGTCCCGACAGTATTTAAATAGATAAATAGCGTAAGGAAGACCTGTATGTCTACTGTACTGCCCCTACTGAAATGCCCCAGGTGCTGTAAATATCTGAATAAACAAGAAAAAAGGAAGCGAAATTGGAGTGCACTTGTATGTTTGGGTGCAGGCATCTGAACTACCGATATAGTGAGGACACTGACACAGGCGAGTTTTTTTTTTAGAAACTGACTCGACTATTGGTAAGATGTTTCCATGATGCCCGCTTATGCTTCGTACCCACAAAATTGCAATGGGGATTGTCAGTTACAAACGACGAGGGCGACGGTGCAAGTAAAAAGCACCGAGAAAATCTTGCGGCGATTGCGTCCATAAACCAACTCCGTAGGGGTTGACAATTTTGCATTACTCTTATTTTTATCTATGAAAGCAGAAACAATCCCATTACAGTCCCCAGTGGGATAAGAGGGGAGTCTCATCGGGACGCCCGGCCTCCAGCACATGCTGCTTGCCTTCCTTTGTGCTTTGGCTGAGCATGTACTCTTGGAGCTCCTGAGACGCAGGGTGGTTATTGAGGGTGAGAAGCTTGCTGGAAGAATGCCGCCTAGAAGACGAGGCATTGCGTCTTCGTTAATGAATCCCTGGCTTGCCCTGAGCGGAGAATGCACCAAAGCTCAAGCACGCCCCAGTGCGCACGCAGTCGTGAGTCTTGTTGTTGCGTTTGTGAGATGCTGCGAGACGCACTGGCTGCGACGCCGACGCGAGCTATGCGGCGCTGCGTGGATCCGCCGGTGAGGAGGTTTGGGGTGGCCTCGTCTTCTAGGTGGTATTGGCTGGAGGCAACTGGGACTCCTCCCCGCCATTCTCCTCCTATAGAGACATCACCGAGAGTGGTTGGCCGTCTTCTGGGCGTGCGCATCGCCGTTGTGCTAGTTTTACCATAGAAAGTGGGGCGAATCGGAGGACAAGAAGATGAAGTACATGCACGAAGCGCCAACTCTCGACCGACTTATTTAGATCGGTCGAGAGTCGGTGCTTCGTGCGTGCTTCATCTTCATTTATTTCGCCGTTGGCTAGTTCCACTCTTAAGTTTTAGCTCGGCCAACCGTAACCTCCAATGCCGTTATTTTTCCAGAGCACGTATCGCAGCTCCGAGGTACGTCGTAGGTGTCGTTGCTCGACTCTCCCTCCCCCTTGCAGAAGGAGGAGGCCCTGTCGGAAGCCCAGCTGGACGCCCGCATCGCCAGGCGGGAGGCCAAGCGGAGCGAGGAGGGGGAGGCCGCCCTGAAGGGCCGCCTGGGGGAAGCCAGCCAGGAGCTGGAGGTCTTGAGGAAGGCAGAGGGAGACCTGAAGACGAGGGTGGCCCAACTGCAGGCGGCACTCCAGCGAGAGGAGAGGCAGGCGGCCACGGCCAAGCTCGGCTACGAGGTGAGGTGCCCGCGCCACCTACGAGACGAGGCCCTTCCCCCCAAACATGGTCGCTACCGCATATTTGCCACTTGCCAAGCCTCTCGGGGCTCGGCGCGCAACGGACGGTCCCCTCTCGATGTGCCGGCAATCCGACAGATTACAGTGGACTCGCCATAATTCAAACTCGGATATTTCACAATTCCGGTTAACTCAAACGACTTTAAAAAATGTTGGTTGTCCTGCAATGTCTTTAAGGGGGGACACTACCCAGAAAAAACAATTTCTGCAAAAAAAAGTTGATTTTGAAAAATGTCCTATTTACATCCACCAACATCTAGAGAGTATTCCCAGAAAGTTTCATTAGTTTACACTGCATAGTTAATTTTTTATAAATTATTTTCGGTCCACCAATGCTAAAGAGAAGGTAGAGGTTGGAGTACCTTGAACACATTTTTCTCCGTTCCACTTTTTGGCATAAATTTCACTTTAGGAAAACTATCGTTTTGTTAATACGCAACTTGGATTCATTTTTATGAGTTTTTCTGGGGTGAAATTTAAAGGGGAAGATAACTATGAGCTTGTATTTTTTATTTTTGTCATTTTTCATGCTCAAAAACTAAAAATTTGGACAAAGGATGGAAATCTAAAAAACTGTATTGTGTTTATGTGGCTTTTTTGTCATGAAAGATGGTATAACATAGAAATATAGCTCCATAGTTATCTGCTCTGAACTGTCCTAATGCAATGTAACACATGAAAACGACATATTTATAAGTAATTTCAAAACTATAGTTTTCCTACACAGACACGCCCACTTTCGTCTTTGAACGTTTGCAATTTTTTTTGTGCTTCACCCAAGTTAACAAAAATTGGCAGAAATGTTCTTAACATCAACAGAAACAAGCCCTGTAAATGTCATTTAAATCAGGCAAGTGGTTCAAATATTAACTTTTTTGGGTAGTGTCCCCCCTTAATGCATTTATAAGCTGCTTAATTAAAACAGAGTTTTCGCTTAATTCTTACTATTTGTGCATTGCTGTGTCGTGCGTGCTTCATTGAGTGTGCTTCTCACTGAGCACCTGCGAACTGCGGGAAAGCAACACCCGCAGAGCTCGCAGTCTTTGCTGTTCCGAAGCATGCGGGTACTCGGTGAGAAGCACACTTGATGGGACTAACCCACCGCGATTATGCGAGCAGAACTGTCCTGACAATCTGCTTTCATTAGTCTTGCTTGTTTTTTTTTTTAATTTTTCTGGGGGCATTAAATTCCAGATGAAAGAAAGAATATGTGCAGATTGCGAGCAGATTTATAAATTCCCTCAATTAGGATAGCTGGGCATCTCTTTAGGTTTAATTTTATGTCAAATCTGTCATTTACTTGCCACCCCAATGTAGGCATTGGACTTTCTGAGGCCACGGTTCATAGATCTAGTTGTCTTAAAACTAACTGAGCCTAGAAGTGGACAAGGGGAAGGTTGGGAACGACCTTCACGAGTTCAGCTGAGTTTTCGTTTAAGCATGGTACGACGGTAGTAAAAGGCTCGGAGAAACTATTCGACATTCAATTAGAAAACATTTGGCCAAAGCCATTATTTGCTTTAAACTCCGCCAATGTTTTATGTTTGTGCCTGCTTATAAATAGGCCTGTGTAGAGGAAAGTGTAAAAAATCTGCTCGGTATGTGTAGCTATTCCTATCGCAAATCACTACTTTGCCACGCATCATATTTAGATGAATTTCTGATAATTCAAACTTCCAATATTTTAAACTAAAGTCTACGGCTTTCTGGGTTTTGAATTAGAGTCTACTGTAATTTGGGCGTGCAATGGGGCTGTGAGGGGAGGGGGGGGGGGGGGGGGGGGAGCATGCTGTGGCTAACCTCCCCACTTCTTTTTCCCCGTCGGGAACGTAACAGAAGGAGCTGGCCAAGTTGGAGGAGCGAGTTCAGATGCTGAGGGACAATTGCGGCGTAGGTAAACCCTCGGTGCCGCTCTCTCGCACCCCGCTTGGAAGCCTGCAGCCCGCTCCACTCTGTTGCCTCGACGCCCCGTCGACCTCTCCGCACCCCCGGGGTCTCTTCGCGGACGCTTCTTTCTCTTGGGTCTTGCACCGAATGCTCTCGACATCTTCCAACCTCCACTCTCTGTTCCTCGCTACGACCACTCGAGCCCGAGGCGGCGACTTTTTCGGGAATCTACCGGATCCCTTTTTGCCAAGACCGGTGTTTGTGCATTGTACCTTGACTCTTGCTTGCTTCTTCCTTTGCCTCGCCGCGTGGTTGTGGGACTTTTCTTTGGCACTTGCATTCTTTCCTAGTTTTGGCGTTGGAAAATGAAAATGTTGGAGCTGATGACGAACGATTTGCCTTGACCTCGGCAGCTGTTGCAGTTCTTTGAGGTTTAGTCGTCATGTAGTGGAGATGAGGATGTATGTGTGCATGTAGCGAGAGGAGGTTCGAGTATACTTGTTGTCATGCACTCGAGATACTGCTGAAGGTCCCGAAAGAACTGACTTTGAGAGTTCAGATTCAAGCTCCAAAACAAAAGTTAGACAAATTTTATATAAGAGGCGAACCTTTTCTTTTTTTTTAATGAGGGCGGAGTCTTATTGAATTAAAATTGCTGGTTCTGAACAGTCGGATTAACTTATGGCCAGCATTTATTTCAGCCAGGTTCAATGATACAAGGTGATTGTGTGTTTTTTTTGGTTTGATTGACACTGTTAGATTTCTGCACTAGAATGCCTTTTAACTATGGAGTAGAAGATAGACAAGCAGTTAGTAGCATCTAATTATTACCTCGTATATATAAAAAGAAACAAGCCCACAAAACACATTTAGTTAGGATAATTAGTAGAAGGAAAGACATTGATAGGTAATGGTGATTGCAGGCTTTGAAAGAAAAGTAGGATAAGTTAATTTATCACGTGGGATAATTAGTAGAAGGAAAGACATTGGTAGGTAATGGTGATTGCAGGCTTTGAAAGAAAAGTAGGATAAGTTATTTTATCACGTGGGATCAGATGTTTGTGTACATTCATGGCATCTGTCTTCAAACATTGCTCCGCTTACGTTTTGCATTGCTTATGCTTTTTAATCTGTACTTCAAATTTTCTGCTACTATAGAATTACTCCAACAGAAAACTTGACAGTGTTGAACGTAACCTCTCGCAGACTGCCAAGAACCTTGAAGCCAAATGCACCACGACGGCGGACGAATGTCGTGACCTCACCATTAAGTGCAAGGTAACCGGGTCATGCTTTGTTTGGTGTGCACCCAAGAGCTTTCCTAGCCTTTCTATGTACTTTGTTGCTTCCGGTAAATTTTGTGTATTTTAATGACCGTTTTTTGATGGGGGTTTCTCAAGTGGGATGTGCTTGCCTTGACAGTCAAGGCTCTTTCTTGGCATTATTTCTTCGCAACACTACAAAAATGCCATCTCTTCTTTTTCTCATATTTGTCCCCAACCCTTTTTCGTCATAGCTTGTTTGTTTCTTTAGTCTTCTTTTCGTACTTTTTTACTGCATTTTTATGTAATTTTTTGTGTTCAAATTTCTTTTTTATTTTTGAAGAATTATTTTATGTTTTATAATTATTGTTTTTGAAAATGCATTTGATGCTTTTTAAGACATTCTTCTAGAAAATAGTCTATACATTTTTTTAGAGGATTCTGGAAATAGCAGAGAGACAGGTATGCCTGAAAATCCAGCTTGCTCAATTGTAAGCCGATGCAAAATTTTTTAAATAATTATTTTTTAAACAAATTTCTATTCTATCTGTACAAGGTCAGGATGCAGCCCATTTTCAAAGGACCTTACGACGTGTGACCTTACAACATAGACGATCATGGCGCTGAGTTTTGATATAAACATTTTCTCTCCAAATAAAACCTGCAATTTTTGGAGCAGCTGTTTTGCCCGTACGCTAGTAGTTTTTTATATGCTCAATTTACAGCTCGGTATTTTTACTATTGCGGTTTTGGGTAGTATTTTGGAGAAATATTTACACAACGCATTGCGTGTCATAGTGATAGTCCTTTACAGTTTGTACTCGCAAGGTAGTGACTAGAGTTATAAAATGGATAGAACATTTATCATATGGGATGTGGTAAGCTGTTTGTCAAGTTAGTGAGTGGTGAAATGCTGTGAGTGATTTCTGTCCTCATAAGCCCAGGGCATGCAAGTAAAGAAGTAGAGTCTTAACAGGAGTCATAATGGACCTTTTTCCAGTAACAAGCGTTGTCTAGCGGTTTTTCTGAGAACTACAAACTGAGGGCACTTCAAAAAAGACAAACATTCGCTCTCGTCGCTCTAACACCATCTAGCGTTTTTTTTTTTTTAAACTCTAACACCATCTAGCGTTGTTTTTTTTTTGTTTTTTAAATAACAAAGTGAGGGTTATGTGAAGGTTCTCCAAAATAGACAAACAATTGCCCTTCGTATGTCATCTTTTGCTTTCACTTTCATTATCGTGAACTAACTGCCACATCGTTTTTTTTTTCTCGAGCTTTTCACAAGCCACACCCTTGCCAAGAGCTACACTATTTTTATAATTAGTTTATTAACAAGTTTTATTGTCTTTATAATCGTCTTATCTTGATCAAAGCATTTATTTAGTAGTTTTTTCTTATTTTATTAGTATTTTTGTCAACAACTTCCTCGTGGACGTTTTTACACTGCACTTTGAAAGAAAATGAAGTCTCGAGGGTCAAAAGAAAAAAAATGTTTGGAAACAATAACAATAGCTACTGAAAGGTATTTCTAGGGGCTATCACACCCAAAATGTTTCCTTACGCCCCCTTTTCTAGAAAATATAAAGGCTAAGGGCATTATTTATCTATTCTGTTTTATTTATTTATTTATTCTGGCTGAGAAGGTTGCCGCCATCGCTCGTAGATGGTGGTAGCTGTCCGGAGTGTTGCGTTGCCATTTATTTTCTGGCGGACACGATCCTGGGGAAACTAGCCCTTAATAGTTCCGCTGTAATATAAATGATTATGGTTCTCTTTCCCCCGTCAATTTGAGCAACCAACTGCGGGGCTATGAAACGGTATCACTGCATGATATCACCACATATAGCATTCCTCAAAGGCCGTTGAACAAAGAAAGCTATCTTTCCGCTGATGCTTCGCCGTGTCGTTGATGATACTGGACAATATGGACAGAAACAGGTCAGCCGCGCAGCCCCTGCACTCTGCAGAGAAACAAGGTAAACGCTATCACAATACAACTCTAACCACATTGGCTGCTCAGCTGCTACTTGTACCTTGGCCTGGCTGACGTGGCCGTCCTCCGGTAATGGCAGCAGCACACTGGGAGCGAGGGTAGCTGCATGCGGAGAGGACTACTGGAAAAAGATCCATTGGCTGCTGTTAGTAATTTCTATTTGCATCCAATTTAGTTTAAACACTCGCTCAGATGGAAACGGTAGTTGAGCAATCCCTTACGGGCATATGCTCGCTGAAGAATCTATGCACTATGTATACAATATTTTGAAGTGAGCTGTTTCAATATAATCGAAGATTTTACTTTTTCTCTTTCTTGCTCCTCTTACTTTTCCCCGATTCGCTTCAGAAATTTTTAAGCCGAGCTCGACACGAGTAATCGATTCCGAGAAATAAGCTAGGCTTCTCGAACGCGTCTCAATTTTTCTTTCTGTACAACTTTGTGCCAGCCCGCGTATGTTACCAAGTCTAGATTGCGCAACTTTTAACGACGCAACTCGTTCATGCAGCTCGCCCGACTTTACCCAGCAGTTTTTAAGCTCGCCTGGTTTTTTGAGGCAGGGTCTGCGTTTACTGCTAGACGTTTTTGGTTTGAGGCCGAGTGGCTTGTTTTGGGTTCCTCCCTTCCCTTCTGCTTGGTTTGTGCGACCCGAGGTGTTGGAGCTGGAAGCCCAACGGGAGGCCGAGACTCGCACACGGGTGGAGCGGGACTCCCAGGAGCTCGAGGAGGAGCTCAGGAAGGAGAGGGCCAAGACGGACAAGCTCATCAAGGTGAGGCCCCCCCCTTTCGCCCAATTCTTGGGAGCCCAGGCCTGAGCGGCGCACACTACGGCGCTGAGACGGAGCAGCAGCAGACGAGCTGAGTTGCGACTCTCGGTCGAGTTTCGTCATTTTCTTTCCACGGTCGGGGACTCTAGTTGTGCAGTTCCGCGTCGACCTTAGCTTTATTTTTAAATTCTAGAGAAGCCAACAGTGATGCAAATAATTCTGCAACATGCTTCAACGTGTATATGAAGGTATAACGAGTGTTTAAGAACGGTAGAGACAACATGATGGGGAAAACAGCTCAGAAAACGCAGACTACGAAGAAGAACAAACACGACAGGACAATGTTCTTCTTAGTAGTCTGCGTTTTCTGAGTTGTTTTCCTCTTCATGTATAATGTCAACCAACTGGCCCAGTTTACCACCTTATTACAGTAAAGACAATCTGTTACTCAGTGCTCTCTAATCACTACTTAATAATATAATAATTTGTTTTATTTTTATCAACATACATCAGTGGAGGAGACCAAAGGAAAATGGTGTCGATACAGCTTGACAGGTCCTTGGCCCCCTTATTAAAGCAACGGAGCTAATTGGCACAAAAGTCAATAGTACACATGAATAACAATGAAATGATTCAATCATATTATAAGCACTCAGTAAAAACAGAAATAAGCACACCCTTATGGTTTTAAGGAAACATTGCGAAGTTCAGAGAAAGAAATTCCTTCAACATCAATGTTTTTTTTTTTAATCTAGACAATTTAGAAGCATCTGATATCCGTAATTGGTATTTACACACTTTGAAACTTTCCTCTATTCGGCATGTCGAGTGGGGTATGTAGGTATGTGGCATTGTAAAGTTGCCTACTCAGTTAAAAAAACTGAGTTTCTGATTTGTTCAGATTTATAGAAGGAAATAAGCTTATAGTTATATAGTTTCTTTTTATATTGAGCACTTGGAAGCGTTCAAATAGTTGTTCATGATAATAATATGAAACATTTGAAATTATTCTCATAATTTTCTTTTGTAAGAGATATAGTTTTTCTGGGTTTGTAAACGTGGTAGTGCCCCAGACAAGGTGACAATATACTAAGTGAGAATAAAACAGAGTTGTAAATTAATTGCTTGGCACTACTGGTTGGGAGCACGATCTGACGATGATATGTTAATCCTATAACACGTGACAACTTTGAGGTAACATAATGTATATAATTATCCCTTAACATAATTTCCAAAAAGAAAACCCCTGAAGTCTTAAAAGGACTGACATTTTTGATTAGACATGAATTTAACAAAACAATGTCCTCGTTCAATTCCACCTTTTATGCCTTGGTCCAAAAAGTATGGCTTTTGTTTGCTAGCATTAATCTTCAGGCAATTACACTTTGCCCAAGCTTCAAGCTGTGTTAAAAAGAAGTTTGCCCATTCTACGAATCACTTTCGTCTGTACCTGAAAAGAAGACGCTAGTATTGCAGAGAGTAAACTCCTCGTTTACTCTCTGCAATACTAGGCTGTGCTGCTCGTGAATTAAAGTTGCACAGCCAGACACTTCTGCTCCGAGGAAAAGCTGATTCTACACTGTGAATAGACTTTAGCAGCGAGTTTCTTCGGCCTATTTTATATTCTTAGAAATATCATAAGCTTTGCACTTATTTTGGAAAGGGAAAAACAGACTTTCTTCCTTCTGACTAAATGATTGGTTTTATTTGTGTCTATTTTGAACAGGAAAGGTATGAATCTCTCTGGTCCTTACTAATTAATTAATACATTTTCCAAATATCATCTTTCTGAAACTCAAGTTACAAAAGTAAAAATAAATGTTTTTTTTTAATGAATTTTGTTGTTGTTTATTTCTGGCTCTGCAAGAACAGCCACAGCCTTTCGGGCGTCTGCCGAGAAAATGCGAGGAGCAAAATTGCGACGGCAGTTTCTGCAGTAATTGGAAGGCCTCAAGTGGTGGCAGAGTTGCTCGTGACCTTGAGGATGTTCACCCTGTCTTTGTTTTGAGCATCTTTTGTTGTTTGGGGAACATTTTCAGACGCTGCAGTTGATGAAGGACACCTGCGAGGAGTTGGAGAGGCAAGTTGTGGCCTATGAGACCATGTACCAAGAGGCAGAGAAGAAAGTAGCCAACTTCGACGCCGAGCGGTGACTATGTTTTTAAACATGGAGTGGGTTTAAAGGATACCCGATGAAAGTGGTATGGAATGACACGAAAAACCTTCATGAAATGTGCAACATAGATTTCAGAAGACTTTTCGCTGCGAACTTGGTGCACACATCTCTTCATTTTATCGTTATTAAGTATTTGAAATGGCCTCTGCTTGTCCTATCTACTGTAGTTGATGGCAGATCCTTTCTTAAGGCTAGGGAAAACGTTCGAAAGTACTAGAGATATATCACGGGAGTACAACTTGCAGTTTGATTAGTGCTTTGTGTTTCTAAAAGAAACTTGACTGGCAGTTAAATGACGTTAGTATCGTATTTACTCGCATAATGAACGCACTCGCTTGATGAATGCACCCCTTACAACGGCTACCAATATTTGGACTTTTTTTTTTTTTTTTTCCTCGCGTAACGAACGCATTTCCAATTTTCAGCTCCGCGCGTCTTGAATTGCGTCCAACTTAGCTAGCCACCAAGCCCACTGAGCCAATTCTCTTTTGCCGCCAAGTGGCCAGGCCAAGTCAAGCCAAGCGAAGCCACTCTCGTAATGGCTGCAAGTGCGTAGTTGCGGAAGTGATCAAGCGTGAAATTGAGCGGCGCGCACATTTGACACAGCTTGAGTCGAGGAATTGCCCAGCCCCGGACATTCTTCGCCTATCGGATGCGTTGATGTCAACAAACGTGCCGTCATCTGTGGTCCGCTTTCGGACTGCAAAATCGTGAAAGTGGTTAGGCCTAAGAACGGACGGTTGCGTTACTCTCCATGCTGAGTGAGCTTCGTAAGGCGCTTTTCCTATGGCAAAAGGCACGCCGAAAGTGCCCTAAAAAGGTTTGCAACTCATAAAGCATGTTCTTAGAATGGATGCTTGGGCGAGTTGGATATTCATATTGTAGGAGAAGCGCTAAAGTAAACTCACTCACACTCACACCAGAAAAACAGCGCGACGTGAGTGACCATTTTTCTGGTGTGAGTGTGAGTGAGTTTACTTTAGCGCTTCTTCTACAATATGAATTATAAAGCAGGGTTACTGTGGCGCACCCCCGACCAGCCGTAGGTGCGCTTCCATCAGTGAAGATGTGCCACAGTACCTTGCCGTGTCATATTGGCACCTAATATGGCATTTGAACGAAGTGTGTAACCCCCCAAATATCTGTCAATTTTTCGGGAAAAAAAGTGTGTTCATTATGCGAGTAAATACGGTAATGTTAAATCTCATTGAAGGTGTGTTCAGGAGAAATTGTGAGTATGGAATTGTAACGGATAAGAAACAAGAGCAAAAGTGTGAAATACGAGGGGCAGTTCGAAAGTAATACCTCCAGGAGTTTTGCATATATATCTTAATGTGATTATGTTAACACGGATTATTGCTGCACTTTTTAGAAACATTTAGCCGTTTTTCTCCATTAATACCCTCATTGCTCCAAGTCTCCGTTTTAATGCAAAATTGCTTTCTTACTTTTGTTAACTCAGCCGCTGATTTGGGCCCGGTCTTTTGGTTGTGGCCAGCTAGGTAGTTCTCAGTATTTCTTTTACCTATGCAATTGGCCTTTCTAGCTAAATTCACATTTGAGAATTGTCCTATTTATTTATTCTTAAATCGGCTTTAAGTCTGCTATGCTCACGAAAGGGTGGACAAGGGGACAGTTATGTTTCAGTTTTTTTTAGTAATTATTCCCACATCAAAATCTGTTGCTAACTCAGATTTTGTGGCACAGTGTTGTCCGAGCTCCGACAGCCACTCTACGCAACTATGGGAGAAAAGGAGACGCCGAGACACCGAAAGAAAACTTGGAGGACGTTTAAGCTTCGCCTTTAAGAGTGGAACGCGATAGCTAAGCATATAAAGACCCGCCCATTCCCGACCCGTGCAAGTGTCTCTGCTTGACCTAGTCGGTAGCATGTCTGGCTCGTAACCGAAGGGTCGTGGGTTCGAATCGTGCCTAAAATTCTTCAACTTTTTCTTTAAGGCAAATGATTTACTTTATAGAGTGAAACCATTCGAGACAAGCGGCAACCTTTAATTCTTGTTGCATGTCATGTTTCAATCACTTCAATTCCACGCGTGACGTCACGTTTTATGTGAGCGTTGTGGGTTATTTGACATACCCGCGCAAAGTCATGTGGCTGTGACGTCGTGACCCTTTTGACCAATCAGAATTTTTTTGTTGTAACGCCGCCAACGCCGGCTTTTCTGCGACACTAGCTCCTTAAAGCTTTCGCTTTAAGATGGTTTGATAACCTATGTGTCCATTTAGAAGTGAAACACATACCATATTTGCACGAATATAATGCAACCACGAAGATAATGCAAAAGCAAGTTTTGAAGCCCTTAAAAATAAAAATAAATTATTACTATTTTAACGTCAACTTAAAGTTACCGCACTTGAGGGCATAGCAGGAGCGAAAAGGGACAAAAATCGGGAAACTATGGTGTACGATGTGACTGCACTCATCATCTCTGCTCAGCTCCTCCTCATGTTGCGTTTGCAATTTCGAAGATGTGCTTGTCTTAGTTTCTTTTTCTTCGGCATGAGCACCTTGTCCGCAAGCCATTCCTCATGACCCATGTTGCACTGTATCAAGTCGGTAGGTTTATGAAGTGCACGAACCATAAGCACCGACGCACAAATGCCAGTTACAATTGAAAACGAGCGTGTTGGTTAATAGATACAAAACTTGAAAGTATAAAAACAGAGAGGACGAGGACGGGAACAGGACATCTTTCATTTAGCAACAACATAGGTGCCATTCTATGTTGTTGCTAAATGAAAGATGTCCTGTTCCCGTCCTCGTCCTCTCTGTTTTTATACTTTCAAGTTTTGTACAAATGCCAGAACATTGTCGAGCAGAAACTGAAAAGTGTGCAGGCGACACAATGCCACGTGCCCAAAAGTCCAAAACTAAACCTCGGCGTCTTTTGCGTTCCTCATAAATTGGAATTTTTCGTACGACAGTGTGATCAAAAGATGGAAATACAACTGAAAATTTTAAATGTTTTCTCGCTGCCGCCAAGTAAAAAATTTTCATTCCCGTTGCGTAACAGGGTTGACTTTGGAGACTACCATATCTGGTTGAGTTCAGACATACATCATGCATACTCGAATGCCCTTGTGAACTCGCTTTAAAAAGAAACAAAGAAAGTTGCCAAAACTTTGTTACATTCTGAAATTCGAGCAGCCAAAAAGTTCTAACCCGTCAGTTTGAGTTTCTTGTCATTGTGTTTCATGCGTGGCTTTTATTTTTCCGTCGTCTTTAGAGCCGCCCACGAGGACACGGTGGACAAGTTGAATAAGAAGAATGCCCTTTTGAAAGAGTCCCTGATGCTGGAAAAAGCAGCCCGGTGAGTGTTGCCAGACTGAGGTTATTGTCACGGTTGTTCAGTGCTAAAGGCCACATCCCTGCTAAAGAGGTCGTGCAACGATATTGGGTCGGAATGTTCTTTTAAAGGAGCTTACTGGCACTAGTATGACCTATGCATGTTTACGCGTTTCTTTACGTTCCAAAAAGAGTTTTTGTCGCGGTATGTTTTAAGAGATAAAAAATTGTGTTGCACATGAAACATGTGGCGTCTGCGCTCTCGGCACAGCTCTTTGTCGGTTAGTTAAGCAACTGGCTTAAAGGGACACTGACGGGGTATTTATGCTTGCCAAGGTTTTCATTTGTACATGACATACTAGAGCCCAACTACCTAGAACACAATTTGTGGCTTGAAATTAATTTTCTCTCCACCTGAAAACCGCTGATTGAGAACCGGCCGATTTGAGTCGCGCTCACTCTCCTTCGCGGTCACGTGCCGTTCTTTGTGGTTTAGACACCACTAAGTAAAATCAAGGTTGTGGTTCATTGAAGGCACACACTCAATATTAAAAATATAAAAAAAAAAAATCATAATCATTATTTGTGGCTTCTAAAAAACTGCAAACACTATAATTAAAAAAAAAAAAAAAAAAGTTGCACAGAGAATTGGAGGCACTTTGCATTCTCTGCATAATCCTCAACATGGCGTCGTATCGCGGGAGTAGCAGGCTGAACGGCTGAACAAAGCGATGACGGTGGGCGTGGGACCTCTACTTCAGAACTGTTGTTCGCGATACCGGCGAATCTGTCTAGCTTCGAAAGAGAAATTGTTTACTGGTTAAAACAATCAGGATTTGTTCCGTACGACACGCCCGGCCACCAAGCTGATTCGCACGAAGGCGTTGCTGAGTCGTCGCCCCTTCGCCTGGCTGAAGACATCGCTCTTCTTACCAACACGAATTGGTAAAAGCTTGAAAAACGTGCAAACTTCAAGCACAAAGTGCTTGACTTCCACGTTTTTTGTGCAACGTGCGCGTTTTTCGTTTGCTTCGCACGACCCGAAAAAGGAACAAAAGAAAAAAAAAAAATGAAAGACGCTTACAACCTCCTGTAACGTCGAATAGACCTTATTCAGATTCGCGCGCCATCTGTCGGACGTGGCGCCAACCTTCCTTCTGACGCCATCTTTGAGGCGACTGGCAAAGTGCTGTGGCCGTTTGCGGCGCGGGTTAGCGGTTGTACCGCACTGGCCAAATTTCTCATCTACAGCTAAGAGACCGATAACCCGTTGAGGCGCATCTCCATCAAGGCTGTATAAACATAAAGAGCAAGCCAATTTTTTTTTTTTTTTCGGCGCGTGAAAGCGACGCGACCGCACGACTGCTCTGTTTTGCTCTCGTATTCAACGAGAAAATATAACGAAACCGATGTAAAGATTTGAATCCTATTGTTTTCTTTTCAAGTTAAAGGTATTATAGCCGACGTTTGAATAGCCGTAGCGCTTTCCTGCACTATTCATGCTCCTAACAAGAGTCACCCGCCCGTTAGTGTTGTGTGCTTTCACGAGGCTTTTAAACCGCTTTTAATATATGACACTTTCCACAATGGCATGAAGGGCTCATGATATTTGCATGTCACAGCAGCGAATATCTATTATTTCATGTGATCTTTTGGCAGCTCGATGTTGGCTAGCATTGTAGCTTCGCTCGCGTAGAGGAACGGCGAGGTACAGTCATTATCACTCAGATACACTGGTTCGAGATTGTTTTTTCTTTTTCTCGCTCAGGTAAGTCTTTTACATCCGATTGAAAGCTAATGCAAAGTGCAGAAGAGCTTGGCAACGTAAGAACTTCGTTTAACACATGAATGATAAAGACAACGATGCTAAAAAGCAAAGGTGAACGCCCGCTTACTTTACGCTGTATCATTATTATCACGCGACTCTCACATTTCGAGAAAAATTTTAGAGATGTAGACGAAAGCATAGAAGCGGGCTCTACTTGACTGCTAACCTGGACCTGTTGGCGAGTTCAACAGTCGCGCTTGCTCGCTTCCCAACAAATCGGGCCCGCGCTGCGGGAGAAGCTTTTTCATTTGGAGCCAATACTGCAATCAGCCACTTTTATGAGCACTGGTCATATTCTATTGCTAGTAAGCATGAAATTTAACTGTATGTAACCGCGCTACCAGGAGGAGCACATTAAAATGTCGCTGGCATTTATTAATCCACTTTCTGTCAAGGGCCAATGAGTATATATGCGCTAGTACTGAATTTATTTGATAAAATTATTATTATGATTATAAAAGAAAAATGTCCCAACTTTCCGTAAAATCGCTTTTTTTTCATACGTTATATTCCGCATACTTGCATTGCCACGACACGCCGTTCATTTCCTTTTACGCTTTTGTGCCTCGCGTACGCTTTGATGAGCATGCTAGTGTAGATCTTCAGCGTTTTTTTTTGTTTTTTACCTGCGATAAAAATACTACTATTGTAAATTCGTGATGTATCACACGCACTCCTTATAATGACGTTTTGAGCTACCATTCGATGATCTCCCCAAGAAACTAGATAAAACTTGCTGTAATATATTTATTTTAATGTATTTTTTTTTTGTGTGTGTGTGTGGAATCATATCTTCAATATTCCTAAGCTTAAGACAACGGGAACCAAAATTTAGTGTTCAACGCCGCAGTCATAGAATTCTGCAATTCGGGTCAGCACACGCTGGGTCAATGCGCACTGGGTGAAGAACTCCTCGCATTATTTAGACCAGCTGCCGCAAATGCCAAATAAAAACAAACTGTCACACAGTAGCTGACGGCTCTGCTAAATATGTCATAAATCGTCTTTGTGCGAACAGGCGTAATCGGTTAATCAGGCAACTTAACGCACAATCCTAAAACAAGTGCGTGAGTCGGCCTGCTCTGGTGCTGGAATGAAGCTCATTTTTATAAAAAGAGATTCTTAGTGAAACCGCTGAAAACAAACTTGAGCTTAGAATTCGCAAGTTATTCTCGAGCAACTAACACTATCAATATATAAAAAAGAGATAAAAGAAAAACGCAAGAACATGCACGAACGCAACGCGGGAAGAGGGGTTCGTACAGCGGCAGGCGGCGGGGAGGCGAAGCCTCAAAGATGGCACTGTACCTCTGATGGTACCCGTGGCCGCCGAGAGATGGCGCTAATAATGAATAAGGTCTATTAGGGCGCAGCTCTTTTGGGGAGGAGGAGGAAAAGGTATGAAGAGGAGAGTATGCCCTTTCTCCTCATCTGCGCCCTTCCCCCTCCTCTCCTGCTCCCCTCCCAAGTAGCAGGAAATATTCGCTAAATTTCCCTCTAAATTTAGTGGAAACATTCCCCGCTAAATTTAACATTTTGAGTGGGGAATGTTTTTCACTAAATTTAGTGGGAAATTTTTTTTGCTTAATTTAGCGGGGAAATTTTCTTGCTAAATTTAGTGGGGGAAATTTTCCACTAAATTTAGCAAGGAAATTTTTTCGCTAAATTTAGCGGGGAATTTTTCTGGCCAAAGTTAGCGGGGAATTTTTTTCCGCTAAATTTAGCAAGGAAATTTTTCTGCTAAATTTAGTGGGGAAATTTTTCGGCTAAATTTAGTGGGGAAATTTTCCCGCTAAATTTAGCGGGGGAATTTTTTCCGCTAAATTTAGCAGGGAACTTTTTCCGCTGAATTTAGCGGGGAACTTTACCGATAATGCAACGTGCGGGGACGTCACGAGTGAAATCACTTGTGACCCTCGTGACGTCACGTGTAACGTCGTTATGGGAAACATCCCATAATCAGGGGTGGAACGTCTGTGCCATTTGCGCCATTTTGCGCCAGACGCGTTTGTCTGTGCCATCCGGCGCCATGTTGCGGAAACTGCGCCACAGCCAATACCTCGCATCATTATGCACCAAATCGAAAAACGTGCGCCAAAAAAATTTTGTTTTGTCTTGGTTTTGGTTTCTATTGACTCGGTTGGCAACAGGGAGCGCGTTTAGCTTGGTTGGCCTTGCAATCCTTTATTCTCTTTATTCTCCCGGTGTATCCTGAGTCGGAAGCACGCGAAAAAACTCGGGGGTCGGATTTCAAGCACTACACCACCTGTGACTGTATTGTTATTCTTGAACCATGAGCGGTTAAGCAAGTCAGCCGAGGTGAGGTCCACTCTAAAAAATGCCAATCTGTGTGATCTACAAATTCAGCTCAGCAAATGATGAAGCGGAACATCTGTTTAGACCTCAAAATGAAGTCTGCGCTGTGGCATTACGCTATGCAAGCATGACGCTTTGCATTGTGTAATGCCATAGTGCAGACCTCATTTTTAGGTCTAAACGGATGTTCCGCCTCATCATACGCTCAGCTGATTTCGTAGGTCGCAGGGATTGGCTCTTTGAGTGTTTTGCGGGTAAGTAAACGCGCAGGTATCTTTTAGAGTGTCGAGTCATTAAGCGTCAGATTGCTTGAGTCTCTGCGGCCTGGGATCCGGACATCAACCAGTTGAAAACAAATGAGCAAAAGATTCCTTTTTGTACTTCATCGTAAGAAGTTGGAACCGTATTTTCGCAAGATAAATCGTGATTTGATGAAACTGCAAAGTGGTCCGGTCCGAAACCTTGCCGGCCAGCAGCTCTCATGCGAGCGGTAGATCTGCTCGGCGGACTTTAACCTTGCTCCTGCTTATCGCTTCGAATATGATAACTCCGTTAATATAGTCTGCTGCTTCGATATTGACTTGCACAGTGGGATAAACTCAAAATTTGTTGCCCTGTTCCTCCGCGTAACTGCACGTCAGTTGCTTACGCACGCCACGTGGTTTGCACATACCATGTCGAGTTCAGAAACATGGTACTTGCTTTTTGGTTTTCATTAAGGCTCACAAAGTTTCAAGTTTTTGTACCTGTTACACTGTTGTCCCATCTACCTAGGTCCCTAACCACTCTTGCTCATCTGTTCTGCTAAACACAATTGAAATTGCTCCCGTGCGTCTTTAAGGCACAAGCTGAAGTGCAATAAAAACTGATCTGAGCTGCTCCCCACCTGCTCCAAAACAGCTGTTTCAGCTGCTCCCGTGGCTGCTCCCTAGTACATTTCATGAGTTCCACCCCTGCATAATGCAACCTGTGGTTACGCCGACGCTGACGGCGACGTGGTGTGTGAAAAATGTTGGTCCCTCGATTTCCGCTCGATGAAGTCGTAAAAGTGTAACGCCATCGGCAGTCGCGATCCCAACGGTGTCACGGCAGCAGTGGTGCTTGTGGCAGACGCCCATTCCGCTGCGAGTCGCTCTCCAGCTTGACGGTCTACAGAGGTCTTGGCAGTCGGGAGTTGGGATGCCACAACAACTGCTTCTTCTCCCTGAGCTTCTACAGTCAACTGCCAGGATGGCGATGTCCGACAGAGCGTATTTCGTTCTCTCGCAACGCAATAGACCGATCTCCCCAGCTAGTTTAAATATGCTGCCGCAATGCATCGAGGGAACTTTGTCTTTTTGCACGTGCCACTACCTCCTTGGAGCTCTGCACGTGCCAAGCTGCAGCTCTGCCGCCTGCCTCCCGTGAACTAAAGTTATGTCGGCTTCACACATGCGCCGAACGCTCAGCGAGATTGATCTATTTGTTGTCTCTCGGGGACCACTTTGGATGCACGGGCGGGATGGGATGCTGAACGCACCGGTCTGAGACGCGTTGAAGGCACCGTGCTCGCACGTCGCTCCACGTGGATGCGAGTCGATTGTGTGGAGTGGCAACACGCAGGAGGCGCCAGGAGGAGGAGCTGGAGGAGCACCGGGCCGGGGACGGGGAGGCATCGGCGACCCTGGAGTCCCTCCGGCGGGCGCTGTCGGAGCGGGAGGCTCTCCTGGAGCAGATGGGGGCCCAGGTCCTGTCCCTGCGCAGGGAGCTGGGGGACCAGGAGGCCTCGGCCAGGGCATTGCGGCGCAGGGAGGAGGGCCTGCAAGGGGAGAACCTGGCCATCAAGGAGGAGGTTGGCACGCTTCCCCGCCCATTTATCCAGTCGACCCCTCGTTGACCCATAACGACGCTCTTTTTACTCCGATGCCACCCCATTGTGAGCTTAGGGGTGAACGGAATATGGCCTGCCATAGTACAGTCGAAGAATGAAATCGGCGACGCAGTAATATTGCTTTAAAACCTTCTATTTTTTTTTTTGTTTGTAAGTCAACGTGAACGATGCTTTCTTTCCTATGTTATGAATTTTCTCTCTTCGGTAATGGAGTTATTTAATGCTCGTAATTTAACGTCATGTGCAGAATGTATTTTTTGTCAAATCATAGTGTACCTTTAACACTCGCCTTTCATATTGCCCTTTGGGCACTGAAGGACAAACGGAACGAATAAACAAATAGATAAACCGTGCGACAAGGAACCTGAAAATGCTCCTGGGTAAGCCGGCGCATTCTTGGGGGTTCCTCGAGCACCCAAATCTTCTTGAGTACCCCTAGCCACAAGGCTATTGTTTTTTGCGGTTTAGGCACTATTTTAAGAATATATCTGAATCGTGCATCGATGCGGAATCGGCAGCCTCTATAGTATTCACAGTATTGTTAGCAAGGTTCGTAGGTCTCTACGCTGCCTTACAGAAAGCGTGCCTAGGCTTCCTTGGCTGACACACGAGGCAGGTGTGTGTTTCTTGCAAGTAAAGAGAACCTGCGTATAGCTATATTCAGGTTTCTATTTGTAACTTTTGATCGAGTTGAGCTTTTTCGTCTGCATTTTGGGCTGGGCCAGCGCACCGCCTAGCCACGCTCGTGGGTAAATGAGAGTGCCCTAGCATGCAATAAGTACCTTTTCTCTAGCCACCGACGAGCCGAGAATGGCAGGAAGGTGCTTCGGTCGTCCCACTTCCGGCGCAATCTTCCCACCTCACACGCCCGCCGCAGCCAAAGCACGGCCGAACGCGCGGAGGCCGGACGTCCGACCTATTTGGGCGACGCTGCGCATTCATTTATTTAATTCGTTTTGACGACGCCACAGTTCTCGATTGAGAGCAATACGGGAGTGGTGCGTCGATTGGCATGACGTGGACGAAACTCTTGTCCGACGTCGCTTGGTCGGCCTTTGGATGGCCCTTTCCCGGTGCGCAGGCATCGCGGCACATCACGACAATAGCGTCCCTCAAGTCGAGCAACCTGACGCTGAGCCAGGAGCTGGAGGAGTGCCGGGCGAGGCACGCGGACACCCTGGACTACGTCGAGCAGCTCGAGAGCGAACTGGATGGCCAGAAGGTGACGCGTCATCCCGACCGGGCACGGGGAGGGGGGGCACCGAAGTCGCCGCTCCGCATTGCGTCTCCTATTCTATCTAAAAGGCCCATTCATGCGTTGCACTCACTTATGACTAGGGTTTTGTGCTTTCAGTAAATGTCGATAAATACCGATAAATCGCACAGTTATAGATACGCAGTTGTTTTATAACAATAGCCCCGATAATACCCGATTACTTGCTTGGCACCGAAAGTAAATGCCGAAAAAAGCAGATTCCGAAAAGAGTAATACAGTGTAGACCGCATATAACGTATGTCTCGGGAGTCGCGAAAATCCGCACTATAAGCGGTACCGCACTATAACCAAAACATCAATTTTTCAGGCCAAAATACATGCCATGAGACAACTTACCTTTGTAAAAGAATTTATTTTATGTTAGATGAAAAATAAAGCTTAGTTTGAGGAAAGTCTTTATTTCACCAGACTAGTACAGTTCAGTCTCAAGTGTGTCACACATTTTGAAAGAAATGAGCGGCTTTTGCCTGGCGCAGCCTTTTAACGGCGTCGCGGGTTGCGGACGGACGTCGCGAGCGTTCAGGATTGCTAATTCTAATCACTTTTCTCCGGAAATGAAAATGCGTAAAAATTCGCATCCTTCATACGGTACGCGCCAGTAATACCTTGAACTTGATCACACGCAAAATAAGAAATCCGGGCGATGTTCAAGGACACAAATGCTTAGAAATCACCACTGTAGTCGAAGTAAACAAACACGACGGCCCGGGCGTTTCTGCCGTCTTGAGAGCGCCGCCACGACATCGCCGCACAAGTAGGTGGATCTTCCCTTCTAGTACGTGCTGGGTTATCATAGCGACACAAAACGAAAATTCACAGTCAAGGATAGCGCTTTTACGCAGAACGATGAGATGCACGCCGTCTACGACGACGATCACAACCGACGCCATGTTTGCAGAATAGAAGCGATAGAAGCAGCCGGCCCGCGACCGGAGGAGAAGCGTTGTAATAGAGGTTGGGGGGGGGGAAAGGAGAGAGCCAATAGTGTGTACGCACTGGGCGCTTGCATGCAACGCGCGCGAACACTTCTCCTCGACCTGCGATTGGTCTGTCGTTGCGGTTGTTTGTTTCTTTGTTTCCGACGCAGCGGAGGGGAGGGACGCACGCACGTGAACGACTCGTGCGTGCGTCCCTCCGTCGCTATGGCAACTGAAGCCTCTCTCTCCGCTTCTCCCCGCGTTTTCGAGCAACCTCCTTGCCCCGCGAGTGCAGCTTGTGGCTCGCGCTGTCAGCGCCGTTTTCTAGTGTCGCACAGGGAAGCGAGCTCGCTGCTCCGGTCGTCGGCGGGCTGTGCTAAAAACCGCACTATAACCGGTATTTCCCTTCGTGCACCTGCATTTTAAGCAGTATGTAATTACATGGAGTTCTATGGGAGGTGAACCGGTGGTTTAAAAAAACCGCGTTATACCCGGTCCTGCACTACGTATAAGCGGTTACATTGTAAGTGGTCTATACTGTAAACCCCCCAAAAAACATGCCTGACTTTGAGGAAAAATCTATCCCGACAACACGGAATCCTACTTAGGACCGAGTCTTGCGATCTCTTTCGATGAGAGAACACTAAAGGACTTGTATTACGGAGAGTTTCCGACTGCTCAATCGAGGCCTTTGCAATACAAGCTGCGAGGAGCTGACCAAAGCGTCGACCATCTGCAGTTGTGTCCGCCTTTCCGCCTACTTTCCTCCTCGCCGTGTGAAAACGTCGGGCATGCGACGTTTTCTTGTGACCAATCTCCGCGGGAGGTGTCCACCATTAAATTATAATATAATAATTTTTATTTTTGCATCCGTATGGGTTACAGACGCCGGAGCCACGGACAAAAAGTCAACAAATTGCCAATGCTCCCCTCCCCAGGGTTTGAGAGCAACCCTCTTTTTAGTCTAGGCTCTCTGGAAAGTGCGCCCGCATGCTGGCGGCGTCTGTTAAGTGCCGTTCACACTCTTGCGATTGAGTACGACTGAGAGAGACGAGACCGGTTTTTAAGCCTCTTGCGACTTCTTAGGACCATGCTCCGTTGCAGCGCGGAGCTGGTCCTAAGAGATCGCAAGAGGCTTAAAAACCGGTCTCGTCTATCTCAGTCGTACTCGGTTGCAAGAGTGTGAGCGGGCCTTTAGCCGACCCTGGAACTGTATTGCTCTAGAGTGACGGTTTTGCGGTATTTGCGAGATGAAATATGTACGCACTATATGTGAGATCTGATCGTTGCAAGGGTCAGCAACCAGCGGCCCTTGGGCTGCATCCGTCCCGCGAGGCAGTATTTTACGGTCCCCGGCACGTCACTAAAAATGACCCCCCCCACCACACTCCAGGGCAAGTTATATGTAGGGCTCCATGTTTTCGGAGTTTATTTTTCGGGAAATTCGGAGCGTGTTTTTCAGAGTTTATTTTTGAGTGAAAATTCGGTGTTTATCGGAGTTTATTTTTCGTAAATCCCCAATTCTCCGAAATTCGGAGATTAATTTCGCGGTGTTTCCTATTAAAAAATAATAAATAATAACCAGATGCAAACATATGCCAGATAATAAAAAAACGCGCTTGTATCAATTAACATTTCTTCAGTTGAATTTGGCGTTGGTGTCATTGGCAATACTAATTTGTCCCATGACAAAAGTGGCACACAAATGTGGCTTCGATAAACGTCGATACCTTAAAATCAATAAACTGCCGGAGGTAGTCGCAAGGAAGCTCGTAGTCATCCCATCAATCTATCCCGCGGCCGCTCGAGGTGGAGTGGTTAAGGATGTAATAGAAAAGTCTCAACTGCCCCTCTTCCCTATTTTATAGAATCTCTATGGTCCATAGCTTTCACTGTTACCTCCATAAACATACCCTCTCCTTTCTCTAAATCCCATGGCCCAAACTGGAAACCAAAAGAGTGGCTTTTGTTGTGACACGAATGGTACGATGACCTGTTTCCCTGAACTAACCTTGACGAGACAAGCCGTAAGACCCCCTTTTGACAACGGTCCGAGGCTTGAAAGATAATTATGGTGTCATTTTCCCAGGACCATTAATCCTGTGCTGCCCAAATTGCTAAAAACAAAAAACAAACTTTTTTTGTTATTTGGTGGGGGGGGGCATGGGGCTGGCATTGGCACAACAATTCGGAGTTTATCAGATAAATCCGGATTGACAGAAATTTTACCGGCGGGTGTTTTTCAGAGTTTTTCGGATTTATCTGAAGACACGGAGCCTTAGTTATATGTTGTGTTGCGAACTTCGGTATAATCAAACACATTAACTCGTATGAGATCAATATGTTTGCCAGATAGAGTTCGCTCCTCAGGTGCAAGTGGCCTTCTAGACCACGTTTCAGCGAGCTCCCAAAAGGTGAATTTCAAAATGTTCCAACTTCATCACGCAAGCTCCTTTGTTTCAACAAGCTTTAGCCTGCTTTACCTTCACTTAGGCGCAGCTTTAAAGGGGACAGGCGTTTGTGTATTCCCAAATTGACCCCGAAAGCAAGCGCCGGTTCGAGGCTGCCAGAGTTTGATTTTTGTTTGAATATCTTGATGCGCGTGTTGGTGTACTTACGAATAATGAAAACACAGCGAGGACGCAGGCGAGCTGGAGTAAGCTTACCGTTTTGTTAAAACAACTGAGACTGGGTGTGAAAAAACCTTGAAACCACCAAAAGTAGAAGAGACAGGGAAGGGAAAAGAAGTTTTCATAAAAAAGAGAAAAGGATTTTCTTTTTTTTTTTCCTTGTGTTGATTGGTGATGACCTTGATTTTAAAGTGGTTATAAGAGGTTTACCGAATAAACTTTTTAGCTGAGTTCGATATGTCGTCGGACTTCTTTTCCTGTCTCTTCTACTTTTGGTTGTTTCAAGGTTTTTCACACCCAGCCTCAGGTGTTTTAACATTATCGTAAACTTACGAAGAAAACATAAGCAAAATACAAAGAGGGGGCAACGTGCATGTCCGTACACATCTGTCGTCGTCCCCTCTTGGTCTTTTGTTTTCATTTTCTTGGAAATTTACGTAGTCTTCAGCGTGGCCGTTTATTTTGTTTCGTAGAGCTTTGCCGAGACCGAGATGCTGAAGCTGAACCAGACCCTCGCCCAGCAGACGAAGCTGATCGACTTCCTCCAGACCAAGGTGGCCGAGCTGGACAAGAAGAAAAAGGTCGGCTTTGCTTCTGCAGGGCCTACGGCTCGGAAACTTGCGCTTCTAGGCTTCCTGGTGCTTGGTGTTTTTGCCTCTGGACATGATTCGACGTGCACCAGAATTTCCCTCTAGTAGAGAGTGATGTAGCAAAGAGACAGATATGGTGGAAAGCAGTTGAGCTATGCCTGTAATGCTGGGGTAGGCGTTTGAGGTATTGTGACATAGACAAGTGGCAGTCCATCTCGTTAGAGCTTCAACGAGGATTATCTGAAGTGGCCCATGCCGTCTGGGTGCGGAGGATCGTAATGATGGAGGAGGAAAAATGAGAATCGTGCAACGCATTGTAAAGAAACTGACTTTACTATATGGAGGGTGCAATGTAAAAAATTAACTTTAATTTTCCTAGCAGAAAACTATGTCTATTGGTTGCATAAAAGTGTTTTAAAAGATTATTGGGGACATGTGACCAAAGGGCGTAAAAGTGGAGGTGTTGCAGTGTCAATATGATTGTCATACTTGGGAAAAGTACTTTTGAGGTGTAGTAATTTCATTGCAATTACCTAGTTCCAAAAGTAGTTTTTTGCAACTAAAATTACCACTGCTGCGCAAAAATAAGGCAACACTTTCTTGCTTTGGTTTTAAAATCAATGCAGTGCACGAAATAATTAAAATCACTGCCGCACAAGTGTACTGTAATTACCGACGCAAAAAGTAATTACCGTAAAATCCTGAGAGTTGTCCCCCCCCCCCCTCTAAAAAGTAGCCCACCCCTATTGTTGGCTTGATTTGCTATTTTCTTTTAAACACCCAAAGATAGCCCACTATACTTGTGATCGCAGTGTCGGGACCAATGATGACCTCGGCGTGAATGCGTCTAGTTGGCTATGGCAAGATATAAGCGAACATTGCTGATGGATAAGTACAGTCATCTTGGCTTTATTGCCACGCCGTGATAACAAGTTTGCCAGAGACACATGATCTTAAAATAGCGTTTTTAAGACTTTTTTCGATTGCACACCGAAAGTTAGCCCACTCTTTATTTTCATCCCATTTTCTCTCGATTTTAGGTGGGCTATCTCAGGATATTACGGTACTGCATCCCAGTGGGTTCAACTATTTCTGAGTAATTAATTAAAATTACAGCTCTCGCTAAAAGTGATTAAGCTACAGTAAATTAATTACTAGAATTGAAGTACTATACTATGATTACAATATTTATTTAGTTTCTCCTTGAGCCTTTGCGATAGCACATTCTTGTTTAAGTGGCATTATATATAGAGACTGTGGCACCCTTGTTCCTATTAACACCGGTACTCTCCGTAAATGAATGTGGACGCCAAACAATGGGTCAGATTTTTTGTGTTTTTCTTTCTTCGTCGTTTGCATAAAAGTTGTTTGGCGTACGTGCCAATGCCGCCCATTGAGAGCCTTATTCGCGTTGTAAGAATTCTCTTCCCATTGCTGCCGTCTGTCCGGGCAGAAGTTCTTTGGGGGCGGCCGGAGCGGCAAGGAGGGGACGCTGGCCCGCACGGACGCAGAGGGGGCCCTGGAGCGGGAGCGGTCCAAGTGCCGCCGCCTCCAGGACCAGCTGGACAGCGCCAGAGCAGAGGCCATGCTTCTGCGCCAACAGCGTGAGTTCTGCCTGGCTGCGTTGCTCCGGTCTTGAGGAGAAACAACGACATCATTTTCCCAAGCTTTTTAGATATCTTATACAGTCGGGAAACCGGTTATAATGTAGTGGTTGGGATTTTGAAATATGTTTGCTATAGCCGTATTTTGCTATAAGTGGGATTTGCCAAAAAGTCGCGATTCTTTGCATTTATTTTTCGCCATGGACACGCAGCATATAGCATAGGCTTTCGTTATACAGTAATTCCTCGTTATAATGAAATCGCTTTTTACGAATTATCACATTTTTCTAAGTTTGCCGCGGTCCCGATCCCAATGCATGCATTTTGGACCGGATTATTCGAAGTGTATTGACGGCCAGACATGCTTGATGCAAAGAAAGTACAGTACGTAAGCCAGTGCAACCCTTCCAAGATGTGAGCAAAAAGCCATTAGCTGCGAAAGGTATATCGTCGTTCGCCGCTATAAATGCGCGAGGAGCGCAGAGCAAGTGCCTTGCATGCACCCACCTCCTTGGAGCCCCGACGTACCTGCCCCTTGATTCCGACTTGTCAAGTCAAGGGAGCTAAGAAGGCGGGAGATTGCCACTTCGGGAGCTCTTTACGCGCAGAGGAATGTGGCAGCATCACCGTGTTGAGCGACAGTTCCGACACTTCACACAATGCCCGTGGTGCAAGTGGCGGAATCAAGTCGAGGAAGCGCATCCCCTGCCGGCGCCCGCCTCTTTGGAAGCACCGTCCTAAGTGATCTATAAAAAAAAAAAAAAATGACCGCATTTCCACGTGATGAATGATGTTGATTGGGGCAAAGCTCTGGTGGTGCTGATGATACTGATTTCATTGTTCAGAGGTAGTGCTGATGGTGCTGATATTTTTTTTGTTGCTCATAGGTAGTGCTGAGTTTCGGGTTGCGTTTCGACTTCCTTATTACTGCTTTATGGTCGGTGAAATCCAGAGCCAGTGGTTCTTCTAGTGGATCAGTTTGGATCCTCTAGAAGCCGTGGGAATGCACCTCCACCGCTTAAGTAAATGGTCCATGTCAGAAAGAGAATGTGTGGTATCGATCGTGGTTATATACGCAGTTGAGCATGTGACCGCAGCGCGCTCTCGTCTATAAACGTTGAGCCAATGCATGCAAATTTTAACGCGATTATATACGCATTTGACCGCAGCGCCCTCTCCTGTATAGACTTTGAGAGGCTACATGCAACGTTTCATCCATGACGTCCCCAGCTCTTGAGTAACTACCACATCTCAGAGCCCCCTACTCGTCCCGCAGTCGTGGCCGAGTGGGTAAGGCGATGCACTAGAAATCCATTGGGGTCTCCCCGCACAGGTTCGAATCCTGTCGACTTCGCAAACATTTTTTCTTTTTTTAAGAAGACAGATGGGATGGCAATCGATGTGAGCACGGACGCCGGACGGACAAGGCTAGACCCTAAGGAGGTTCGCCCCTAATAAAAAATAAAAACTCCGTCTCACTAAAACCGTTTAGTACAGCCAAAGCTACAGGGGAGAGAGCGTATGAGGGCTACTCTTTTACTCTCTTCTGTAGCTTTGGCTGTACTGTGGTTGACTTGGTCGTCGCGACGCAAGCGACGCACATGTTGCCAGCTTGAGTCGACGCTGCATTTACGGATCACGTGCGTTACGAGGCAGCATCTTTGATATCGTGTTCTGCGTTGTGAAGGCAGCATAGCCAGTCTACTGCGTGCACAGTATAGCAGCGTGCAACCTGCTTCACTGCTGATGGCGCCGCCAAAGCCTGCGCGGAAGTGTTTGACCCTGGAACAGGATGTCAAGCTGATCCGAGAACTGGAGAAAGGCGGTCGACCGAAGAAGTTGGGAATTGCAAAGGAATTCAGCATCCCGGCATCGGCGCTGTCGACGGCTTTTCTTGCGCGGGCGTGCTTGATGAGTCAGTGGATGACACCGAGATCTGCGACACGAGATCGTCAGTGCAACTACCCGAAGACGACTTCGACTCGTTTGCACTTGAGGATGTGGACATCTCGGTTGTCGCTCCCGTCATGGGTGCCGAGATCATGGACCTCATGTGTGGCCAGGACAAAGACGAAGAGCCGTCGGATGAGGAACCCTGAGAGGTACCCACGCGAAACATGCTTTGCCTTCTTCGCAACAAGGTGGAGTGCAACGGCGGCAATGACAGTCTTATGCGGTGCTTGAGGCAGTTGGAAGAGGCTTTTTTAATGCCTGGCAAAAACGCCCGGCAAACTGATCTCCTGTCTTTTTTCATGTCTCTGTAAGCCTGGATAATCAGCAAGGTTTGTTTCATTGAATATATATTTGTAAAAGCCTTCCACACTGTTCTTGTGCACTTTCTAGGTTACTGTTACACTTTTTATGGCTCTCACGTTTTTATAGAATTACCGCTTTTATAGAACCTTGCCGTCCCGTTGACTTCGTTATAGTGAGGGATTACTGTAGGTGCTGCTCTTTTTTTTTTCATATTTTAAGTACAAAGGAGCCACAATAAAACTGTTTCACCTCATTACAATAAAAGTCACGAGTGTGCGTTGTGACACACGTTGTAGATAACATGCCTGAAAGTGCACTTCTTTTTCTGAGCACTTACGTGCTGCGAAAGAGCCTACGTAAAACGAGGAGCCTCGGTTGTGCACGATATGTGCGCACTACCTTAGCACGACTGGACAGCATGTCGTGAATACAGTTCAATATATGCTTTCAACAATCTGCAAAAAAAAAAATAAAAAGTTTGATTGGAGGAAGTTCCAGGCGATAATAGATTAATCGGGAAGCAACTTTGCACAAGTTCTTTCTGCGTGTATGTCTGCCAGGGGCTGTAAGCCCATCTGGCAGTCTAGGCAAGTGTTGGACACGGGCCGATCACTGCAAATCCGTTTTCGTGTATGTTAATTCTTTAGAAAGTTAAACGTGAATCCCCATTCTCAGGCGCGTTTAAAAAATCATATTCTTTGCCCTCTCGGACAAAGCTGTAACCCAACCGAAAAGCGTGTAGAATCTCGAAACCCTGAACACGCTCCAGTGACTCGCTAGCTCTGCAAAGTATATGTTTGAAAAGCACCCAGAATATTAAAAGGGCTGCATCTCCACGTGGTGAATGATGTTGATTGGGGCAAAGCTCTGGTGGTGCTGATGATACTGATTTTATTGTTCAGAGGTAGTGCTGATGGTGCTGATTTTTTTTTTATTGCTCATAGGTAGTGCTGAGTTTCAGGTTGTGTTTCGGGTCCCGATCCCAATGCATGCATTTTGGACCGGATTATTCGAAGTGTATCGACGGCCAGACATGCTTGATGCAAAGGACGATTTACCGAAAGTACAGTATGTAAGCCAGCGCAACCCTTCCAAGATGTGAGCAAAAAGCCATTAGCTGCGAAAGGTATATCGTCGTTCGCCGCTATAAATGCGCGAGGAGCGCAGAGCAAGTGCCTTGCATGCGCCCACCTCCTTGGAGCCCCGACGCACCTGCCCCTTGATTCCGACTTGTCAAGTCAAGGGAGCTAAGAAGGCGGGAGATCGCCACTTCGGGAGCTCTTTGCGCGCAGAGGAATGCGGCAGCATCACCGTGTTGAGTGACAGTTCCGACACTTCACACGGTGCCCGTGGTGCAAGTGGCGGAATCAAGTCGAGGAAGCGCATCCCCTGCCGGCGCACGGCTCTTTGTCCTAAGTGATCTATAAAAAAAAATGACCGCATCTCCACCTGGTGAATGATGTTGATTGGGACAAAGCTCTGGTGGTGCTGATGATACTGATTTCATTGTTCAGAGGTAGTGCTGATGGTGCTGATTTTTTTTTTTTATTGCTCATAGGTAGTGCTGAGTTTCGGGTTGCGTTTTGACTTCAGTATTACTGCTTTATGGGCGGTGAAATGCAGAGCCAGTGGTTCTTCTAGCGGATCAGCTTGGATCCGCTAGAAGCCGTGGGAACGCATCTCCACCGCTTAAGTCAACGTTCCATGTCAGAAAGAGAATGTGTGGTATAGATCGTGGTTATGTGCGCAGTTGATCATTTGACTGCAGCACCCTCTCATCTATAAACGTTGAGCCAATGCATGCAAAGTTTAACGCGACTATATACGCATTTGACCGCAGCGCCCTCTCCTGTATAGACGTTGAGCGGCTACATGCAACGTTGGAGTGTAGCGTAGTGGTTAAGACGTCTGTCTCGTAAGCAAGCGGTCCTGAGTTCGAACCCCCGTACAGACGTATGTTTCTTTCTTAAAGAGTGGGCTGATCCCGGAGGCAGTGCAATCGATGTGAGCGCGGACGCCGGACAGATGGACAAGGCACATTTTAGGGGCGAAGCTCCCTAAGGAGCTTCGCCCCTAAAATCTGCTAGACGCTTGCAAAAGGTACTGCGGGAGTCTCTCGCTGACTCTGTGGGGCATGTGATTGAAGTGCACGCTGTCTTGGCAATGAGCATTTTCGTTCAACAGAGCAAGCCTTTATTGCAGACAAAAGTAGCTTTCGATGTTCGACCGTGCACGGCGTGTTGAAGCTGTCTTTACAGTTTGCGCTTCAATCACTTCAATTGCATCCAACCGTCCAGAAACGCGAGCAGACGACGCATCGCTTCGTCTGTTGCGAGGGCGGCTTTCCCGTAGTTTTTTTAACTTTCGCTGCTTCTCGCTCGGTCAGTGCAAGCGAGAAAGTTAAAAATATTAAGAGAGGTCAATTAATTATATGTAACACTGTTGTGCGGAAAAATTAAGGAATTTCCAAGTTGAAGAAAAAGACAACAGAGGAGAATGTCGCAAAACATTGAGACCTTCTCCTTTGTTGTCTTTGTCTTAGACTTGGAAGTTTCTTCATTTTTCCGTACCATCTGAGGTGTTACATTACAATTAATTATCAAGTCACCTGCCCACTCCCTGTTTTTTCGTTAAGGGGAGGGCACTCCTTTACGAGAGGATTGCTTGCGGAAGCTACGGGGCTGACGTCATGCTCTCTCCTAGTAGTACATTTAACCCCCTTGGGTGCAACAAGCCAGTGCAAGCGGTGCAAAATTCAAAAGGTGGAGGGACTTCTGAATTTGGCGCCGTTTCTGAAAATAACTATTCTGTGGCCACTTGATTTTATCTAATATCTGCCGCCATTTCGGAAAATGAGTGATGCACCCCCGATTACCCCTGGCGCAGTGCATACCAGTTACAAAATCACCGTATGGGAGAATGAAAGGGCGTCGTGAAAGATTGCGTTAAAAAGTACTTCTACTTAACTCTGAAATTATATTATATTTATAGTACTTTACTTTAGGCATTACACCCAGCGTACTTAATACTTTACTTCAAGTGCATCACCTCTGATTTACTTTGTATTTTAGTTAGCATACTTTTTAGATGTGCTTTACCCAACACTGATTAAGACGCACGCCATCCACTCTCTGGGGCGCAGTGTCTACTGCAGCAGCAGCTGGGACGGACGCGCCCCACTCGGCCAAGCTGGTCTCCGTGCCGACGTCGCCCAGGAGCCGGGCGCTGCTCACGGCCCTCACCATGTCACCCAGCACCAACATGGACTCTCGCACAGGTGCGTTCCCTCGCCGACCACAAAGCACGTTGCGGCCCACATGCAGGAGTGTACGGGGCACTCTTTTTATTCGACGGAGGAAATGAGAGTGCGGCCTTGACGCCTAGTCTTGGCATTCTTTCGAACGCGGTCACGTGAGAGGCGACGACTCGGTCGGTTAGGTGCCAGAAAGGTCATGTGAGAACAAAAGCCATAATTTTCTCGTGTTTTGCTTCGTGCTTCCAATGGAAAATTTGGGATCTGCCAAACCAACGAAGGCTATCTGGCACGCCCCAGGCAGAGCCGTATATGGGGAGAGTTTGGTCAGTCTATGATCTCGCCGCTGTAACGCTTTCCTCCCGAGTGAGCCAATCAGCACGCGGCGCAGAGCGAGAGGCATGAGCGCATGCGCGTGAACTCCCGGCTGCTTCCACCTGAGTGGGGAGGGCCGCCATCTTCGATCATTCTCCCTGTGGAATGCGTGGGATCGGCATCTAAATCTCAATTATTGCCTTTTATATTGCTGGCTCTGGCAAGAAAATGACATTCTGTTATTCCTCGGTGGGTTAAAAAGCTAATAAATGAAGATTTTTCGGCGTATGGCCACAAACCTTTATTCAGGCAAAAAAGAAGTCGGCCCGTAGCAGACGACGCGTAGCCTCAGCTGTGCTCTTCTCCGACCAGTCTCCGACAGCGTTGCTAAAAAATGGCGGTCGTCTCCTCTCTGCTCCCTTCTTTCTCTCTCGCTCCTTTGGTGCTCTCCTCCCTTTTATTTTCTTTTCTCCTCTCCGGCGCCTTCGTCGCTACACCCACTGGCCAAACTCTCCCAATATACGGCTCTGGCCCCAGGGAAGGTATGAGGATTCATTTCAGCCACCAGGGATCTTTCGACGTGCGATTGAAATTTCGGTTAGACTACTCTTTCTTCGGAACGAGGCTCCGTCCGATAGCGAGCACCTCGGCCGGGATTCGAACTCACCGACCAAGGATTTGTAGGCTGGCACATTTCCCCGAAGGACGCCGCATTTTAGTATGATTGCTGGCTCTTCTCACCACTGGAAATGACGTGTGTCGACGTCGTCGTTGGTGTCATAGATGGGCGTAGAGCGGCTGTTGTTGGTATTGCCAAATGCTCGAAAAAGCTCTTTCGCCGCCGCGGTGTTTCTAGAACTCGAAGCTGGGTCTGCCGCGTGTGAAGCGTTACCACAAAGCTAGGTCGCAGCCTCAGCACTCGATAGTACACCTTTGTCGGCATTTGACAAGCGCACACTGGCATATGGGTCCCACGTAGCATTCGCTAAATGGACACAATTGTTGACACATTGCGACAGAAAATTTATTGTTCTTAATTAATTCCATAAGAAGTCTCAAAAAGCTTCACTTAGGTGATGCAAGCCATATCCATGCATCCACTAGCACCCAGAAGACTATGTAGGTCATCGTTATTGAACCCCCAGCTGCCCCAAGCGGAAATTGCGCCGAAGCTCCGAGAGAGTATGGAACAAAGTGGCAGACGCCCGCATTTTGGCATTGCCACGTACTAGCGTCGCGCTTGTTGCGAAACGCCGAAAGATGCGCCAACGGCAACGCCGACCGTTCTTGCTGTTGGTCACAGGTAGAACAGAGAGGCGCGCGCTTGTAAGAACGAAGCAGAGGCTACGTCGTCCAGACCCCTCGGTGCACGAATGCAACGCCAATGCCTGACGAGTTTGCTGCGACTTTACTGCAGATTTACGTGGGACTCCTAACTTTTTTTGCCTTTACAGTCTACATAAACTGTAAGAATGTGCTAAGGAAAGAGTTTTTCCTGCGCAAGCGTCGAGTGCAAGATGGTTAGCAAAGGATATGTTCTCCGTTACGGGAAGAGCGTCGTGAAGTACTGTGTCGCCGTTTGGCCGGAACACGCGTCCACGCCGATCGAATGCAAGTCCCAGCCAAGCACTCACGCAGCACCGGCATCAAATACGCGTTCCGCACCGGCTGCCCGTCGGTGACCCCAACAAAACCGTACGTTACGGCCTCGACCCGTTCATGCGGCAATGTGCGACCAGGTTGCGCGGGCCCTGTCCCAAGCGGATCGAAGCAACCCTTGTGCATCCGGTTTTGGCGCGCCTGCACGCTCCACGAGGGTTCTCCGCAGGGGTGCCGTCCGAGGAAGGGGAGCCCGGCGGAGGGGCGCCCAAGGGCCCGCCCCTGCGCATGCAGCACAACATTCCCCACCGCTTCCAAGTGGTCCTGTGCATGCGAGGCACCAAGTGTGCGGCCTGCCTCGATTCCGTGCACTTCGGACGCTACGCTTCGCGCTGCGAAGGTGAGTGGAGCGCTCGCCCACCCGTCGGATAGTGTCGGGCCACTTTCAACGCATATTTTTTTGTTTATTTCTTGTTTTTCATTTTTTTTGTAGAAACCCAAAGCCTTTTAGGGGAGATTTGGCACTGACGTCTGCAATTGCAGTCCAAATGGGAGGTATAGGAAAATTTTGGGGGCTGGTAATAGCGCTTATTACTCCAATAAGCCAATTATTTCCGCTCGACACTCGTGACTGACCTCGAAGCTCTTCACAGTCGCGGTGGACGTTTTTTATGTTCGAACTATTATAGCTCTGTCAGTGTCTCGTCTCTGAAAACCAGTTTATTCAACCTTCTCCTTTTCTTAAGTCGTAAAATATCTCGTTTATGCCTTTCCTACAAAATTTATCATTGTAGTGCTTCATTAAAAAGTAAATTATTCCTCAACCCCTCACACATTTCTGCACGAGTTAATCGTAATTTTAAAGTCGGCTTACCTCATTGTCAAACGACGTCAGCATATGTCGACTCCTTTGTATCAAGAACGTGATCTGATTGGAACTGCCTTCCAGCACCTCTTGTAAAACTACCATCAATTGTGAACTACTTAACTTGACTAACCACCTTTGCTAACATGCCAGACTAATTATTTTCTAACAAAATTGCTTACTTTGTTTCTATTTCTATCGCGTTAATTTCTTCAGCATGAATTTGATACCCCTCCCTTTCTGTAATGCCCTGTGGGCCTCGAGGTCATTGGGGCGAAGCTCTGGTGGCGCTGATGATACTGATTTTGTTTATAGGTAGTGCTACAAAAAGTGAAATTTGGGGGTTTTACGTGCCAAACCAACGGCGGGCATCTGGCACGCCCCAGCGGAGGACTGAGGATTAATTTAGACCACCTGAGGATCTTTTGACGTGCAACTGAAAGCTCGGTTACACGGCGTCTTCTCCGCAATAAGCCTCCGTCAGATTGCGGGCACCTCGGCCGGGATTCGAACCCGCCACATGGGGATCCGTAGGCCGACGCTCTCGCCTCGGAGCCACCGAGGCGGCAGGTAGTGCTGATGGTGCTGATTTCTTTTTTTTTCTTATTGCTCATAAATAGTGCTGAGTTCCGGGTTGCATTTCGACTTCATTATTACTGCTTTATGGTCGGTGAAATGCAGAGCCAATAATTCTTCTAGCGGATCAGCTTGGATCCGCTAGAAGTTGGGGGAACGCATCTCCACCGCTTAAGTCAATGGTCCATGTCAGAAAGAGAATGTGTGGTATGGAACGTGGTTATATACGCATTTGAGCATTTGACCGCATCGCCCTCTCTTCTATAAACGTTGAGCCAATGCATGCAAAGTCTAACGCGATTATAAACGCATTTGTCCGCAGCGCCCTCTCCTGTATAGACGTTGAGCGGCTATATGCAACGTTTCATCTATGACATCCCCAGCTCTTGAGTTACTACCACATCTCGGAGCCCCCTACTCATCCCGCAGTCGTGGCCGAGTGGTTAAGGCGACGGACTTGAAATCCATTGGGGTCTCCCCGCACAGGTTCGAACCCTGTTGACTGCGCAAACATTTTTTCTTTTTTTAAGACAGATGGGATGGCAATCGATGTGAGCACGGACGCCGGACAGACAAGACTAGACCCTAAGGAGCTTCGTCCCTAATAAATGTGGAATATGTTAGAACAATCGGCCACAAAGGACGACGGGGGAAGCATTCACTGGGACCTGGGTCTTGCTCGTAGAATAATTTACCACATTACCACTAAGCACCTATCGGCACCCCCCAAAATAACGCGGAGAAGCGCAAGTCCCGGGGACGAGCAAACGCCCCTGATGGTGCCGGTTCCCCGTGCCGCAGAGTGCCAGGCAGTGTGCCACCCCAAGTGCTCGACGCTGGTGCCCAGCACGTGCGGCGTGCCGGCCGAGTATGTGCGCCAGTTCTCGGACTCTGTGAGCTGCCAGCGGTCGTCGCCGCCGGCTCTGGGCCGCCACGTCCGGTTTGCCCCGGGCCTGTCGGAGGTGACCTTCGACCAGTTGCAGCCCCAGGGATGGGTCAAGCTGCCCAGGTGACCCCCTCCCTCTCGGAGCCACTGCACCGCCCTCCTCTTCCCCGTTACTTCGTGCGGCGTCGCACGTGCCTCTCGGACGTCGGGCCTGCTTCCCCGTGCCTTTTTTCTTGCCACCCCCTCCCGCATGCAATTTCACAGTAACTTGACCCTTTACCGTTCAATTCGTGCAAACACGAGCTGAATTTCTCTGCTGTGAGGTTGAGTGGAAGCCGATGCTTGGCTACCAGACTTTGCTTCTTCGGGGAAGCTAAGCCTTTAAGCGAAACATTGGCTGCCACTCTGATTCTTCTAAGAGGTCTCTTGTTTGTCCTGCCACCTTTCCTTTCATTTCTTTACCCTTTGTTTTTTTGTTTCATAGGGGGAGTTTGGGCCAGCTTAAATTAAAGCCCATAACTTCCCCTGCTTTGTCGTCCTTGTTTTCTTCTTTTTGACACGGGAGAAAACTGGAAGAATTGTTTCTAGAAAAAGTAGACGTTTTCCCTTGCTCATACTTCAATGAAATGCGGGACTTTTTCTGTGCCAACAAAACTAATTTGGGGCATCATCTCGGTTTTTTGTATATTTATGCGTGGCCAAAGAGTCTAGGAATGGTGGCCCATAAGGTCCTATCAAAGTGCATGAACACCCACATGTACTATGTAGAAACCTGCAGAATTGTAACTGGGGTAGAGCTTACAACCGTGCTTCCATTATATGTAATTTGGACTGTAAAGTATAATTTTTGTTTCTTTGAAGACTTACTTATTTGCTCCTTTCTTGTTGTACAGCCCTGGTATGCTTTTTCTCTTGCTTTCTTTTCTTTCTTCATTTCTGCATGTGTCTTCAGTAGAATGCTGCTTGCTACTGATGTGCCCTATCTGTAATGAGACAGCTTATGACTCATGCACTGGTGCCGAAGCGGGACATTGTTTTAAATTCCACGAGTGTTTTCAGCAAACATATTTGGGAAATGGATCTTATATTGTGTGTAACTAAGACAATGTTTAGCAGTACAACTGACATACTAGCTGCTGTTTGATTTACTTTGCAAAAAAAAGGCAAAAGATGGTTTGTCAGCATTGTAAAATTTGCGTTCCTCACTGCGTTACGGGCCGCCTGAATGGCTTATTCCTGCCATTGTCTCCTTTTTTTACCGAGTATGTAGTCTTTCTTGTCAAAACTGGCAAAGAAGAGTGCACTATTTTAAGCAGGAAGTGGCTGTGAAATGTCTACAAAGGAACCAGGTGCATCGCTCGTGCAATGTACATTGCAGTGAAGCCCACTCTTTGAATGTTAATGATTGCATATGAGCTATAAGTGGCCATAGCTAACATTTTATTCTTTTAAAGGCATTGCAACTCTGTGGACTTTTGTTTTCTCTATCTGCCGGGGTACTTTAGTTAATTTCATTCAAGCTGTGCTCGAATGCAAAACCAACGTCCAGACTAGAACTCAAAATGCCAAAGCACTTTTTTCTGTTTATTTAGTAACTACAACAAGCTTGTTATAACTGAGCACAGCAGTGTGACAGTTGGTTATGAATATGCTTTTCAGGTTTACAAAGTGTTCACTTTGTGCAGTTCATAACCCTTCTGATTACCTTTCTTTTTTCTCCCCGCTTTTAATGCGTCCACTGACTTTACGCCATCCATTGACTTCTGCCACTGTCATGCCAAATTGTCTTGTGTCAACCGCATGCCTCACCTCTCTGCAATGCACAGTCTGTGTACATTTTCATTTGGAAATATGACTTTTCTGCTCTCTTCACTGGTTTGTCCTCTTGTGCTGCTTTGAACTCCACAGTGTTTCCACGCTGCTTACTTTTCTTTGTCTAGACCACTGAAATGCTGGGGCCTACATCTTAGGCAGTCGACTCTATTTCGCCAATACTTTCTCTTTGTTTATCTTGAACAGGATTCACTACTTTCATTATACTAGATTCACGACTATTAAGTACTGTATTCAATCTTGTTGGTTAATTCTATTAGATGTATAGCACTTGTCATAACTTGCATTGCTCTTGCTAGAGTGTTATGTTTAATTAAGTGCCTGCTGAAGAAAGGTTTTTTGAGATACAATTTTGAATTTTTAGCTTTAATTCTAAGCAACACGTTTTCTAAACTGCCTGTGCCTCAGTTGGACTGATTTTCTGGGTCTGCTTTTCATGCTGTCCGTGTGTTCTGTCTCTGCCCTCAGACATTTTACCATGCAAGAAATGTTTAGCTGCAGGAATCAACAAGTGCGTCTAAGCCACACTTCATCTTTATGTTACATTGCAACGATTATGTTTTAATTGAGCTGACTTCATTATATATTTGCTGCAAAGACTTTCTTTCCCCTCAGCACTCTCTGAAAAGCAAATAATAATAATGCTAGGGCTCGGTGTCGAGATCTTCCAGGTGTGCCAGGCAGGAATAAGAATAATCCTTTATTTGTTTCGTGCCCCGGAACAACCCGACGGTCACAGTGTAATGGCTCATAAAAAAGTTAAAAATAGAAAACAATACAGGGTCTTAAAATGATATTGGCTCTCAAATTAAAACATTTCTCATATCAGAGACCAAAAACATGTATATCAGATAGTCGTTTGAAGGCAACAAAATTGTAAAATGGATCGACATGAGGCGGGAATTAATTTACACAAAATTGCATTGGAACCAAAGCCTTGCTTGAAAAGACGTAAGCCTCTAACAGCACGGGCATGAAAGTTTAATGGCGACGCAAGGTTGCTATCTACTTGGCCGTGAACCACTTCGTGTAAAAATCAAAGGTCACAAGGTTCTGCGATGAAAGTTCTCTAAGAATGCATTCATAATCATATTTGCATTTTGTATCAAACTATCTATCGTAAAATAGGTGTATGAATTGTTTCTGAACTCTTTTGATCTGTGCGGCGTCGATTGCTGTCAGCGAATTCCACACTGAAATACAAAGCTCAAGTCCAGCTCGTACTAAGGAAAAAGGAACGGAAACGACGAGGAAGCCTGTGCAATTGGTCCTGGCAGCTTTGCAGCACCATGCACTGTGACAGGTTGCTGCACAAAGCTAGAAGAATGCTGGGAGGATTTTGTCGGTACCCTGCAGGGGGGACAGAATTGCGCCGTGACGAAACTGGCGTACCATCCCTAGTTTTTGTACTGTTGCGTCGGTTTTGCCTCGTGGCTCAAATGTGTGGCAGAGAAACTCTCCTCGTAAATGCGTATGCCATTGTGTTACGTTTGTGGCACTAGCAACGTGACCTCCCAAATGGTGGCTCCGGCAGGCTGGCTTCACCAGGTGTGTCGGTGCACCTTGGGCAAACCGATCTTGTGATTATCTCGCGTCTGCATTAATAATTATAAATAATATTTTGCGTATATTTTCTATACAAACGATCGAGCCCGTCGAAGCCTTTAAAAGGATGCTGAAATGAAAATTTAAATATAGCTCTCACGTTCCGAAATGAGTTAAATATGATCAACAAAATCTGATAATGACATCCGGACATCTGTATTTTTTTGTTCCAAACGGGGGGGGGGGGGGGGGACCAATTCCAGCGGGCGCTCAAAAAGCAGCCGGCGGAGAGTGCGATGCATGTTGGGAGATTTGGTGCCTCCTGCACGTTTGTGAGGTCACGTCTCCCTTCACGGGCAAGGGCAGAGGAAGGTGGGCAAGGTTGTGAGCTTCGCCACTCGGTGGCATCAACGTGTTACAACCTGGCTGTTCGAGATGCCTGAGGACTGGTTTGGCAATGCCGGCGGAGGAGTAACTCACCTCTGCTTCAAACTCCCCTCTCCTCGCAGAAATTGAATAGGCACGGGAGAGAAGGGAAATCCGGTTTGGCCTAGTTTGACAGGGAGCGTTCACACGCAGCTTGCCGCCGCACTTCCGCGGAGCAGTGCTGCTTTTAAGGGAAGGGGGACGTAACAGACCAAATACAGTCTGGTAGTCAGTTTATTCATTCTAAATAAAGTTTTGGTATATCTGTGGTGTTGCAAGAACATAGTTGACATTTAGGCAATCAAATAAGTGCTAGAATAGTGCCCCTTTAAAGGGGCACTTAAGTGGATTCCGAGATTATTTTAGTCGTAACTCAATCTACGCTCTCTAAGCATCCTAAAAAAACCAAGATTACAACCAAGGACGGTCAATATCCCTCTTAAAAATCTAGTCAAAGATCATGCCACGCCCTCCTCTCTGCGCCGTGGCGTAGAACGCCAGGGGGCGCCGTCGGACGGAAAGGAAGCAGGGGAGGAAGCACGACAGCCAATCACAATTGACTGCTTCCCGGCGGACTGATTTTTCGAATGTGCACACATTGGAAACATTAGTCCGCCGGGAAGCCGTCACTTGTGACTGGCTGTTGCGCACCGCCCCCGTGCCGCCTTTCCGTCCGACGGCGCTGTCTGGTGTTCTGCGCCACGGCGCAGAAAGGAGGGCGGGGCATGATCTTTGACTAGATTTTTAATAGGGATATTGGCCGCTCTTGATAGTAATCTTGGGTAATTTGGATGCTTAGAGACTGTAGATTGAGTTATGACAATGAACAATCTCAGAATCCACTTAGTGCCCCTTTAAGGCTTATATTTGCGAGTTCGTGAGCGGCCCTGGAATGATCACATGGATCCGACGAAATTGGTATGACCTGTCAGTGACTGTCCAGTGGCATTAGCCAGCCCAGGAATCGTCCAGAGTCCCAGAACTACTCTCTAGTTCCTGTCTCCTTTTCATGGTCAGATTAATAATGAGGGTTCCATATTTTTTTTTTATTTCCATCTCGGGGTCGTGCCCAGTCCATTGGTTCATAATTGTTTCTTCGTGTAATTTGAATGAAGATAGGGGTGTGTGTTCCGTACCTGGAAAATAATCTGGAATTGGCTTCCCAAGTGATGTGTTACTTAAAATCCTCAAGTTTTCTGATAATGTTTGAAAGGGACACTTTGCAAAAATTTGACTTAATGAATGGCTATACATTAATTGTGACGACTTATCTACGTCGTCCTGTCTATTTTCTGTCCCTTGTATGTACGTTTTGATGTTTCTTCTCTACCCCAGTCTCAGGTTAATTCAACATGGTTAATATTCACCAGCTCGCCTGCTCTCCTACAATATTTTCTATACTTACCTACGCTTCACAGGATGCTTTTGAACAATCTTTCATGTAATGGGCACGTCCACCTGTGTCTAAGGTCGTAAAACATTGGTCATAGATCATAAATGAAACAAAGCCTCGATCGTGAAACAAATGTTCCGAGGCAGTACAATCGTATCGGTATAGATCAGATAACTCAGACACACAAACAGCTAGGTCTGCTTCGTTGGTTTCTGTATGGCAGTTTTGATTTGAACTTTCCAGATGTCCCTATTTTCCGAGCGTTGTTCTATATTTTTTTTGGGCTTCTTTTAGTTTGCTCGGGTCTAAAAACCTTCAATATCATTTTAAAGCGGTTTAGTATCAGAGCCCAGGAAGACCTGTTTTAAAAAGCAGAGTAAGGTTTTAGTTCAATTAACAGGTAAGGGGTTAAGTGCCGTCCACGGCATACGGGAGCCACACAACTGAACCGGGCACGCCGTAGCGTGGTTAGAAAAGTCTGAACCACTTGAGCATCGCACAGGGAGGGGAGGGGTTGGAGTCTTCCCACGAGTTCTTTTGTTTGGACTTGCCTAGAGGTCTGTCTAGAGGTCACGTTACTGTGTTATCTTTTTTTGTAAATTTTAAGTACTTCGCACCTTTCTGATATGTAACTGTAGTTCTATTACTTTTTCTGAAGTGACGACGAGAGTACTTGTCTGGTCTTTATTTTTCAAGGTTTCTTTAGCGTTAGGCCATCACTGAACAAGTAAAATCCTCACACTTCAAATTATCTGTTCCAACGTTTTGAGTGTCATATTCCCCTTGTGCCAACTTTACTTGCACTTTCTGTCATAAACTCGGGGGGAGGACATTTCCAATTCTTTTTTATTACTAATTTTATAAAAAAAAGTTACTTAAAAGTAATATGATTACTTTCATAACATAACTGTAACAACTTCACTACTTTCAACCAAAAGTAAGTAATTTTTGCTCTTTGAAAGTAACTAGGATTGCCACCTTTCTTCAAAGAAAAAAACACAGCTATTCCGGCACGGGGGGGGGGGGGGGGGGGGGGGGGGGGGTGTTTATGTAAGATTGAACTGGATGGATGGATGGATGTTAATGGCTATACCCTTTGCAACGGGCGGTAGCTTGTGCCACCTAGCAAAAGTCTAAAAAGACAAACATATGATTCCTCCCGCCCTTCTAAGCCAATTTTCTACCCCTAACTATCACCAGGCATTATGGGATATCACCAAGATAATCTTTAGAAAACCAGGCAAAAAAAAAAAATTCAGCCTTTCCACTCTCATGACGAAGAAAGACCAGCGGAGCTGTACACGGTACACTGTGTTGTCGTCGTCGTTTGTTTTTCGCGCTGTTTCCTAGGATGAATTCCCACCAGCGCGCCCAACTATCCATTCTTCTATGATAGCTGGAAAGGTTGGCGCCATCTACGAGTGACGGCGGAAACCATATGGTTGTGTGCTTGCCGCCGTTGCTTATAGATGGCGGTAGCTGTCCAGGTAGGTTTGTGTCGACATACACGGACACGATCCTGGGGAACCTAGCCCTTAACAGCTCCGCTGTAAAAAAAAAAAATCACCCCTTGCTTTTTCTTTTTTTTTGGCGAGGGAGTCGCCAATTTTTCTCTGGCCAAACCTAGTCGCCGTTGCTTCAGCATCGGGCCCACTGGGATACAGGGTTGAGACTTTGGGCCGGAGCCACACAAGAGGGAGTCCCAATTTTCCTCGGTCTCGCCCGTCCCCAGCTGTGCTAGTTAGATGTACACCATTCGATTTTCCCTAGATAATTTCCACCAATCTTCTAATTGCCTCTTTGTGACTGTAATCCTTTTCTCTTCTGTCCTTTCATCGTTGCCAGCAAAACCGAGGGTCGCAGCCAAATCTGTTACCCCTTCAGGGAGGGCAGGCGAAGCCCCGTGCACCTCAGAACCAAGTGCTCTAGTGTCTCGCTCTCATTATGGCAGGCAGCACATCGTTAGTACTGATCGTTCCTGCATTCTTACCTCCCACATTTTTCTTTCTGCCTCTTTCTCTTCCTTTTCCATTGAAGTAGTCTGCCCAGCCCCACCACTAGTCTGTAGGTATCTAAATGTAAGCTTTCGGGTTTGGTTTGTCCTTCCGTACCCACCGCGTATCATCCATTTTGGTCAACCTTTGTTCAAATTTCAACTTGCCGCTAAAAAGAAAGACGCACTGTTGACAAATTTATTTTGACACGAGTTTCCTAAAGTGAAATCAATTAACATAGCTCTACTAATTCATCATAGCACATGTAAGTGCACGAAAACATAACACCGAACCCAATAACATACATAGATGCGTCCAGTTTAGTCAAAATTAACGCGCCAAAAAGAAATTTCGCACCTCTACTTATCCTCTGCAGAAGTTGAAGAACCGATTATTGCTGTTTACATAAAATGGCTGCGAATTAAGTAACACTTCGAGTAAAAATGGCTCTAAGACACTGGACATCGCGCTCAGCGTGGAGATTTTGAGCGTAAATTAATTATTCTCATAAATGGCTGGTTCTGGAGGTTTTAGATGCAAACTGGCCTTATATCCGAAAAAACGGCCGAACCTGTCGAAAACTGGGCAGGTGGCAACCCTAAAAAAGAGGTCTGCGGGTGGGGCCCTAACGAGGAGAGGCGTCCTCCCAGGGGCGGGGGCAAGCCCGGCTGGGACCGCTGCTTCCTGGCCCTGCGGGGGGACACCCTGTACGTGCTGGGCCAGGCGGTGGACGGGGGGACGGACGAGGGCACGCTGGCCTCCCTGTGCCGGGACCGGCTGTGCCTCAATCCCCCTGACGGGGAGGCCCTGGTGAGCAGCGCCGTGTCGGCCTCCGAGCTGCTGGGCACGGCCAAGACGGACCTGCCTTACACCTTCAAGCTGGAGCTCAGGCCCACAAGCACCTGCTGGCCCTCCAGGTGGGCCCCCCTCCCCTTTTAACGCAGGAGGGCTTTCAGGAGAAAATCGTCGTGAACAAGCGTCCTAAACTATGGCCACGGACAAGCATCGTGGACGAGCGACACGCTGCCAGCGTTGCATGATGTTAAGGTTATATACAAAGTTGGAGCGAACCTTAGTCGGTGTGGTGGCAGCCGGATACTATTCGCGACTCCAGCGAACTATAGGGGGCGCGCTGGTCAGGCAAAATGGCGGACGAAAGGAGGTCGTTTTCGTCGTTCAACACGCGGACCGCCACAAATTTCTTGCACTGCAGCGTAAAATCAGTGTTACATATGAAAGCAAAGCGAGTTTGCGACGGTAGAAACCTTTTTCTAGTCAGTGCGAAGGAATGACACGGTGGAAGCATAAAAATAATTACTCAAAACAATGTTTGTTTCTATGCTACCTACAAAAACCAAGCAGCGATAGCAGACGACAGAGTCGAAACGACCTCCTCTCCTTAGCTTCCCGGCACTGCCACTATGCGGCGTCGATTTCGCTGGAGTCGCCAATAGCCACTGAGCTGCATAGTGCAGCTGCTCGGAAGGATTGGGCTCCTGGCAAAACGTGCCGGCGAGAGCAGCGCGACGTCGTGTGTTGCACAAGAGCCACATGAGTAGGATGTGGTATTTTCCGGTGTTTATTACGGTGGACTCGCGAAAATTCGACCTCGGATATTTCACAATTCCGGTTAACTCAAACGACTTTAAAAAATGTTGGTTGTCCCGCTATGTCTTTAAATGCATTTATAAGCTGCTTAATTAAAACAGAGTTTTCGCTTAATTCATACTATTTGTTCATTGCTGTGTCGTGCGTGCTTCATTGAGTGCGCTTCTCATCGAGCAGCTGCAAACTGCGGGAAAGCAATACCCGCGAAGCTCGCAGTCTTTGCTGTTCCGCAGTATGCGGGTACTCGGTGAGAAGCACACTTGACGGGACTAACCCACCGCGATTATGCAAGCAGAACTGTCCTGACAGTCTGCTTTCATTAGTCTTGCTTGTTTTTTAAATTTTTCTGGGGGAATTAAATTCCAGATTAAAGAAAGAATATTTGCAGATTGCGAGCAGATTTATAAATTCCCTCGATTAGGATAGCTGACCGTCTCTTTAGGTTTAATTTTATGTCAAATCTGTCATTTACTTGCCACGCCAATGTAGGCATTGAACTTACAGAGGCCACAGTTCATAGATCTAGTTGTATTAAAACTAACTGAGCCTAGAAGTGGACAAGGGGAAGGTTGGGAACGACCTTCACGAGTTCAGCGGAATTTTCGTTTAAGCATGGTACGACGGTAGTAAAAGGCTCGGAGAAACTATTCGACATTCAGTTAGAAAACATTCGGCCAAAGCCATTATTTGCTTCAAACTCCGCCAATGTTTTATGTTTGTGCCTGCTTATAAATAGGCCCGTGTAGAGGAAAGTGTAAAAAATATGCTCGGTATGTGTAGCTATTCCTATAACAAATCACTACTTTGCCACGCATGATATTTAGATGAATATCTGATAATTCAAACTTCCGATATTTCAAAGTGAAGTCTGTGGCTTCCTGGAGTTTGATTCAATGAATCAACTGCAATAAAAAAAACGGCGAATGCTTTTCCAATGATTATTTATTTTTTAAACACCGGTGCATTTTGGTTGGACCACTCGTGACGATGCTAATAACGGGGATTATGGATTTAAAAAAAATAGTTTATTTTATTTATTTATGAGCCAAATTTGTCGCCACTGTATTTCTAAGAAAGAAATGTCCTAAAAGTGAAAAACGAGTGAGGCTTTGTACACCTTTAGTCGACGCAAATAAATGCCGCCCCAGCAATAGTAATTGAAGTTCATTATTTTGAAAGAGCTCGATATGCAACTCAATTTGTGAAAATGGCTATTTTGCAGTGGCAACACTAACTTGAGTCTCAGAATTGCCGCAAAAACACGGAACTCTGTCATGTTTATTAGTCCAGTTTTTATTATCGAAACTTGAGAAAATACTCGCAGAATTTGCATTTTACTCTGGAAGTGGCAGGATTTTCAGAGCACCTTCCACGAGGTGGACAAAACTTACACCCTTCAGCGCCCCCCCCCCCCCCCCCCCCCCCTTCCAAAAAAAGTTGACGAGTTGTTCCAGCTAACCAAGGAGAGGGTGACATCAAACCGAACCCAGTATTTTTCGGTTTTAGTCAAGGAGAGAATATTTAACCAACTATGTTTTTCTGTTTTAACCGATTTTGTATTTTTGTCACCGGTGGATGTCTATTGGTGTTTATTTATTTTTTTTGTTAATCCTGGAAAGTACACAGCTTCATGTTGTTACGAATGACAGACGATGAGGCAGGCGACAACGGAAAGAACTAAAGATTTAAGGGAGGTAAACTTGTGCCAGAAACGAAAAAAAAAAAAAAAAAGTACACTTGTCAAGAAAGCAGCAGCGAGCGTGGATGGCAGCAGCCGCTGGCGACGGTACGTCGGCGTAACGGCCGGCTATCGCGAGAGAGATTCAGTCAAATGAATTGGCAATACGGTGCATGGCTCTTTGTCTGCTATGCTCGTCATCTCGAATATTTGATGTGGAATATCAGGGGAAGAGCTAGGGCGAGGCTGACTGGACGAGGTCATTCTAGCCTCCTTATTGTTTATGCTCGAGGTAGGAGTGTACGTGAACCTTGTAGATCAGGGGTGGCCAGGCTGACCAGGCCTTAGAGCCGCAAACCAAACCACGAAACTGCCAAGAGCCGCGGGGGGGGGGGGGGGGGGGGCTTTTATCCAGAGCAAAAAACAAAACTCGAACTACTTTCAATCTATCCAAGTCAAAAGCAGTCCAACCATACGTAAGGTAGCAGTAGCACAAGACTACCAAACCTCAACCTGTCTTTTGATTTGAAACGCGTACCATTTCTATTTTTGGGGAAGTGCTCGTGTGACCGGGAGGGAGGTGGGGAGTGGAGGGAAGGGGGGGTAAGGGGGAAGCCGCGAGCCGCACTTTAACACGCGAAGAGCCGCATGCGGCTCGCGAGCCGTAGCTTGACCACCCCTGTTCTAGATGAACGGAGAAACATATCTCCTTTATCATGCTTGCGGCAGTATAAGGTAGCAGCCACGCGGCGCCTTCATTCGCTCGGTTTCGCCCTGGCCAACATCTCTGGTGCGCAGTGAAAAAACTATCACAAAGCCCACACGGAGTGTCAACTGGGCTAGCGTTCTAAGCGCCTGTGCAGAATGTGAACAGAACACATTCTGTACTCTCTGGTCTTTATCAGCATGATCGAGCGAATGAGAAATTAAAAAATAATAAGAATACTAATAGCTTTACTTATTGCGCAAGTATGGTTGGAGCTGTGGAAAGAAAAGCATCCATACAGCTTGTCCAGTCCTGGTCCTCAACCCCCTCAAATACAAAATGGTGGCAAAAAAAAAAAGTGAGAATTTGTACAGTAATACGAGGTGCTTCCATCATAAAAACAAAAAACCACCAACAAAGCAATGGACAGCAGTGATGTTTGCCTACATTAAAATTAGTCTGTCTCGTCGGCTTTAGATATGGGCGGCCAGAAGACTGCTTCGGGCGTGCTTTCACCCGCATGCGCTTCCTCGTGCAATGGGAGGATTAGAGCTAATACTTGCGTACAATGTAATGAATCTTGCTTTTCTGAAACCTAGCATTTCACAAAATCGAGATTTATTTTTTTATCTCGACGAAGATAGAGCGTCTTTGTCGGAGCGTCCTCTGGTTTCTTGTGCACACCTGAGCTGGACACTGCAGGGCCTCTTGTTCCAGGTGCCTGTACATTATGGTACCCACCTTTGAGGAGAAGCAGATGTGGGTCTCGGTGCTCGAAGAGTGCGTCGGGAAGAACCTGGATGCTGCCTGTGTGAGTACTAGCCCTGAGCGCCGTGCATGGCAGTGGGTGTGGTGCCTAGAACGAGTCTTCGACTGGGACATTCGGCATTTCGTATCTCCCACGATTGTCCCCGAAACGGCCACGGAATAGGTTACAGCAGCCACCGGGAAATGCGACGGGTCGTTGCAAGCCTGGCGGTCGGTCGTAGAACGCCGGCAGAGACGACGTCTTTCGTTGCGTCATTCCATCCCGTGGCCGATGGAGTTGCCGCCTTTTGGCCGATTGTAGACTGAGCTCCAACATCAGAGGCCTCACCCGTTTCCGCTTCCGTTATAGTGGCAACGCGCAGTAAACTCCAGTTAGGATGTCACCGGTCGGAAAGCAAGCAGGCAAAATGAAAGCACGGTAAGTGCACCAGTAGGAGACAGTGCACCGTAGCGATATGATGCCCCAATTTCACTTTCATCATCGTGGTCAGTCTGCTACGATTGAAAGGTTATTTGCGTTAGAGTGAAAATATATAGCCACTTAAAAGAACTGGGCATGCCTACGGCTTCGAATGCTACAAGCTTTGGCTCTCCAGACACACTTTTCATGCGTGACTGATTTGCACCGCCAAAACCGACCTTCTGATGCCTTACCGAGATGCCCAGCCACTAAAATGGGCAGCGGCCACAGCAAAGAGAATGGAATGGCTGGAAACAAAAAAATGTCCCGCGTTAATCGACAATACAGTCACAGTGATAGCTGCTACACGTCACGGCGAAGTTGTTGGGCTTCGGTGTCAAGTTCACGCACCGTGGGGTCTTTACGTCAGAGTCTCCCGGCTTTGTTTTCACGAGCACACACCTCACCGTTCTTCCTGCGACAAATGACGAGAAGCGCCGCCGCCGGCGCATCTTTGAGCATCTCGGAACAAGCGCGACATCAAGACGCACGCATATGCCGCTTTGCGCTGTACTGTGGTGAAGCTTCAGTGCGTTTGCCGCTTGGGGCAGGGATCCACTAATGGTGATGCACAGTTGTCTTCTAGCTGGGATGGATGGACATGACCGAACCCTTTTAGTCGGGTGGCGGCTTGTGCCACCCGGCCAAAGCTATTCATTTCAACAATTAAATTTTGAATTAATGAAGGAGGACGCAGAATTCTCTATTCAAAGCAACTGTAGCCATCTAGCGAGTACTGCTCGAGAGTCGTACACACACGTCTACGGCACAAGTGCCACGTGTAAAGCGGGCTGTCAAAGCTGCGGCGTAGCTCTCTGGTAACGCGCCCATTTTACACGCAGCGGACGCAGGATAGAATCCTGAGAGCACCACGACAACGAACAATCTTTTTCGAGCATTTGGCAACATCAACAACGAATGTCCCACACCCCACTACGACAACAACTAGAACAACAACAGACATCATTTTAAGTGGTGGGAAGACCAAATGAGAGCTACTATCACTGTAAAAGTGAAGATCAGTTATGGCAGCGCCCATGCCCGGCTGCCGAAAAGCATCTATTAGGCTGTCTACCAACTTGGAAAGCCGGGAATAGACGGGAAGTTTCGTGAGTCTGGAAATATCGGGGAGAGGTGGGGAATGTTTCCCCTACTCAACATTGGCCAGAGAAATGAAGCTTTCCTTTCTCTGAGCAGCGTCAAAAGAGGCGTGTGTTGGTAATGCAACACACATTGTGGGCGACTCGGCCAGCATGCTGATGCAGATCTCTGCTCGGAAACTATAATATTGGGGAAACCCTTTGTGGTTGTTGCATCCTTAAATGAACCATTCCTTCGTACTGCGCCCACGCCGAATGGCTTTACGTGCGAGAACTCGTCTTGTGAGCTTCCCCGCTCACTCCTGGATGGAATGTTTCCACAAGCTGGCCACAACGTGGCGGTTGAGTTCATTTCTTCTGCTCGGGTGAGAACTGGGAAAGCCATCAGAAATCGCAGTGTTTTTGCATCATGCACTTCAGGCACGTCCTCTCTCCTTAGGAGACGGTTAAAAAATTTGGATAATATAGTCGGGGAAAACCCGGAAAAGTCAGGGAATTGAAAAGATAATTTTTGTAGACACCCAGTTTCAATTTACCCCTAAAGGGGCACTGACAGGGTATTCATGCTTGCCAATGTTTTTATTTGAACATGACCTATAAGAGCCCAACCACCCAGTAACACAATTTGCGGCTCGAAGTTCTTTTTTTTTTTTTCCGAGAATTAGTTAGTTTCAGTCGTGCTCACTCTCTTTTTCGTGGTCACGTGGCATTCAGACTATGTAAACTAAACATATTCAAAGTCGTGAGACATCTAAGGCACTTATTCAATATTAAAAATAGAAAAGAATATTAACCCCATTTTTGTGGCCTTTGAAGAACTGCAAAAATGTTAATAAAAAAAAAAAAAAAAAAAAGTTGCACGGATCACAGGAATTACATATACACGTCATTCTCAATATGGCGATGTATTGCGGGCTGGTTGATGCGATGTCGGTGCACGATGGACCAACGTTGCAATGGTGGTGGGGCCGCTACTTTGGAACTGTTGTTGGTGGCACCAGCCAATCAATCTTCAAGCACAGAACATCGAGCGGAAAGAATATGTAAGCCCGAAACAATTGCACGCCAAATGATGCGGGAATTCATCGTCGTCATCTGCTTCACATGCCAGAAAAGCGAAAAAAACAAAAAAGTGCGGTGGGTGTAACCACGTGACTTCCGGCATTGAGCTTCTGCGCTCGTGTTTCGGATTCGAGCAGTTGGGTTTTTGGCTTTATTTAAAATGTATGTGACCTTGCAGCAAAATATCTATTGGTTAGTCTCCTGATGCCATTATATAATCGCCCAGCAAAAATAAAAAAAAAAAATTTTGGGTGGGTGTCTGTGCTCTTTTAAGGTGACGGGACAGAGAAAGCTACAAGCACAGGCTATACTCCGTTTCACGATGACTAGGCAAACTATGGGGGCTGCAACCCTTGCGACCCAATATGAGTGTCGGAGTGACTCGCGTGAAAATACTCCATGGTCGAGGCCATTGAGGCCCCGTAACCGCCACAGCAGCAGCGCAATCCATGACAAAAAGTAGTTCTAGGTTCCTTTTTAATACGAGAGTATTAACTGTCTCATGGAGCGACTGTAGCCATTGTCTGTAGCAGCGAAAAACGGCACCTAAAGGCCCATTGGCTTAGCGAAACGGCATTTAAAGTCCTATTGGCTACGACGTGTCATATCAGACGCTTTGTCACGGAAGCCAGCTAGGCCGCTCGAGGTCAAAGCGGATGCGCCTCAGAAATAAAACACAAACAAAAGCAGAGCAACGCACATGCATCGTCACGGAAGCCTCGGAGCCGGCGGGCGCGCCGTGCCTGCTCAGTGGGGGAGAGTGATGTCACTGCCGGTGCACCACGTGAAAAAGATGTGGCGCGTTGCTTGTAGGAATGCGCTGCATGTAGACAAAATCCACCATTGTTGTCAAGTCTCGGAATACACGGCAGGGCGGTCTGCACGGCGCACCACTGCACTCCCCGCGGGCGCTGCAGCTGCTTCTGCTCCTCTTGTGCCGAGAATGCTTTCACATTCACAACTCGTATAAAGTGCTTAGGTGTCCTCAGAATTTTTCTTTTAATGGGAATTGGACTCACACAATTTCATCTCTATGGAGAACATATAAAAAATAAGGAAAAATATTGACGAATTTACGAGTTTCAATTATATTTAAACCAAAAAAGTGACGCCACATCCGTATCTGCTCCCGATTTATTTTGCTCTTGTAGCGCTGCGTCCGATCACAGCCGTGTAATTGACCGCTTCTGCTCAAAACATTGCCCTGGCATTAGCACCTGCCACAGATAAGCGGGTAATTTGAGTGCATGGTTGTCTCATGAATTGTTCCCGAAGAGCTCGCCACTCTAACGGACGGCAATGTTGTGGACATTCATCCGAAATTGGTTTGTTTCGCAGCAGACGACTCTTGGCCAGTAGACTACAGTCGGTTCCTTGGCGCAGTGACACACACGCTACCATGACATGATGTCACGTGCCTCGCTCCGACGCTCTTATTGGGTCACAGGGGCTGTAGCCTGCACAGTTCGCCAAGTTATCGTGAGACAGAGTATAGCCCACGCCGCTTGCTTTGAGACGCACCTCTTTACGGCGAGCACTAATTTCTAGAAAACATGTTTCAAATCCACTGTCTAAAGCTGCAGAGTCTTTGCTGCCCCGTAATTTAAGGGCGAACAGAGCAGAGGCGGTGCACGGCTCTCGAGAAGCGGCTTGCACCAATGTTTTGCAGTTCACAACTGTACCTTCGGCAATGCTTAGTCACACTGCATACATTCTGTCCCTCATGTGGATGTTATCCTAGCGTAGTGGGAGGTCTTCTTCTGTCCAAGTTGCCTAATGACCCATGCTGGGGATTGGTTAACTCTGAGTGCAGCCTGGAACTCACTGTTTTTTCTCTTGTTGCAGAAGAACACTCTGGGTGACACTGTGCTCTTGCTTGAGGGAGACCAAGTGCTGGACGTCAACTGCACATACGAGCTGTCGTTCGAGGTATGGCCCTACCCAGAGCTTTGTTGCCTTTCTTGTTGCTTTTTCCTATATTGAGTGACATTTCGATTATATACTATTCTGCCCATCTTTTATTTGCTGGGCCAAGCACAGAATTTTTCTGCCAGATCTCTAAGTAGAGAAAATTGGGTGTTGTGAATGTTTACTGCAAACAACTTTTTTTAATCATTCGTGGGTTCTACCTACTTTTCTTGTATAAAAAAAGCCAGAAGCCAGAACATTTTTGTTTTCAAATACTTTTACATACCTACCGTAATATCCCGAGTCATCGCCCACCCCCCTACCGCTTGAAATTCATTAAAAAAGTGGGGTGGGCCATGTCTCGGTGGGTGAGCACAAACACTTGAAAAAAAGCGGAAAAAAACGCCTATTTTTCTCTGCGTACCTAGCGCTGATGCACAAGAGATACATCAAACTCAAAACTCGATTTAGCTTCATTGTTTTATAGAAAAAATGGCTCACGAAAGAATATTTTACTATAGCGAAGTCCGTTGCTGGCATACGCGCTAGAAACACCGCCGATCTGCATATAGCGCGAACGTTTGTTCCGTGAAAGAATGTCACCACTATGTTCTCCTAGTTAGTAAAAAGAAAAGAAAGAAAAGTCTACAAAAAAATAGAAAAACCGACCAGGCGCAACGAGCGAGCGGACCAGAGAAGCGACCAAGAGCAATCCTGGGAAAGCGGGAAAGCCGGCGGTCGCGTTGGCAAATACTTTGGCGTCGGGCCAAGTCGGGCGCCTTGTCAATCGCGAGCTCTTGCGCAACTTTCTTGTTTGGTGCGTACATACCGTAATATCCCGAGTCATCGCCCATCCCCGAGCCATCGCCCACCCCATTTTTTGGGCCAATATCGATTTCCGAAAAAACACCGAGTCATCGCCCACCCCTTCAAATACTCCAGCGCGGACTCTGCGATCCGCGAACACTCATCCTACCCGAATGACGCGGTCGCGGACCTTACAGTTGGAGGACGTCCGTGACAAAGTAAAACGAAGGAGGGAAAGACACTTCTTTTTGTTTACGCATTTCCTTCGTGAGCGACCCCAAAGTGGTCGTGTATCCGTGGGAAAAGAAAACGATGGAGATAATAAAATAAGAGTTTGTTAACGTAACCGCGGAGTGTTAGGTCAAAGTCTGTCTCCGCCCGAAGTAAGGTCACCGCGAACCCGCTCCTTCTTCCCGCCCGTCGCGACCGCGGTTGTGCCATATTTTAGGCAAGGCCAAAGCGTAAATAAAGCTTTGCTGGAACGTCCTACACAAACGTTTGCAGAGCGTCCCAATCGTGCATTGATAGCCCGCCGTGCACGGACGCACGTATGTACGCACCAAACAAGTTGCGCAAGAGCTTGCAATTGACAAGGCGCCCGACTTGGCCCGACGCCAAAGTATTTGCCAACGCGACCACCGGCTTTCCCGCTTTCCCAGCATTGCTCTTGGTCGCTTCTTTGGTCCGCTCGCTCGCTCGCTCGTTGCGCCTGGTCGGTTTTTCTATTTTCTTGTAGACTTTTCTTTCTTTTTTTTTTTACTAACTAGGAGAACGTAATGGTGACATTCTTTCACGGAACAAACGTTCGCGCTATATGCAGATCGGCGGTGTTTCTAGCGCGTATGCAAGCAACGGACTTCGCTCTAGTAAAATATTCTTTCGTGAGCATTTTTTCTATAAAACAATGAAACTAAATCGAGTTTTGAGTTAGATGTATCTCTTGTGCATCAGCGCTAGATACGCAGAGAAAAATAGGCGGTTTTTTCCGCTTTTTTTAAAGTGTTTGTGCTCACCCACCGAGACATGGCCCACCCCACTTTTTTAACGAATTTCAGGCGGTAGGGGGGTGGGCGATGACTCGGGATATTACGGTACGTGCGTCCGTGCACGGCGGGCTATCGATGCACGGTTGGGACGCTCTGCAAACATCTGTGTAGGGCGTTCCAGCAAAGCTTTATTTACGCCTTGGCTTTGCCTAAAATATTGCACAATCGCGGTCGCGACAGGCGGGAAGAAGGAGCGGGTTCGCGGTGTCCTTACTTCGGCGGAGACAGACTTTGACTTAACACTCCGCGGTTACATTAACAAACTCTTATTTTGTTAGCTCCATCGTTTTATTTTCGCACGGATACATGACCACTTTGGGGTCGCTCACGGAGGAAATGCGTAAACAAAAAGAAGTGTCTTTCCCTCCTTCGTTTTACTTTGTCACGGACGTCCTCCAACTGTAAGGTCCGCGGCCGCGTCATTCGGGTAGGATGATTGTTCGCGGATCGCAGAGTCCGCGCTGGGGTATTTGAAGGGGTGGGCGATGACTCGGTGTTTTTTCGGAAATCGATATTGGCCCAAAAAATGGGGTGGGCGATAACTCGGGGATGGGCGATGACTCGGGATATTACGGTACATTACTAATATAACATATGGAATAATCATGTGAGAACTTTTGCATGCATGTTTTTCCATCGTTTGATTGTTGCTCAAGGGAGCAGTGTAGCTTCCAAAGTGTTGACATTTTACCAGAATTGTTTGCGAGACATGTTTTTCTATCGTTTGATTGTTGCTCAAGGAAGCAGTGTAGCTTCCAAAGTGTTGACATTTTACCAGAATTGTTTGCGAGACATTGTTTGTGGGACTGTGATTTGCAAGATTCACAAAAGGTAGGTTAACCCGAAAATTAAGTTGTTTACAGTATATAGTCTGCCCTGGAGGAATGGCAACTATAGTTCAACACTGTATAAGGGTAAATTGGCCAGTACACTACATCTGCCAATATGGTGTCCCTAACAAGCATCTCGCAATAGTGGTTGCGCGGCTGCACGCCGGTACGGTATCCGCCCATGTCAAGCCCGACAGGGTTCAGGATCTAACTCGGGTATGATTCCCTCGTTCCACACCTTGTTCTGTTGCTTCACATGCAGAGATGTGGCGCATTAACATATTTAAGCACATTCGTTCATCCATGTACTTGGACAACAAATGTTGCTGCTTGCACCAATCTTTATGGATAAGTCGAGGCCAGTGCTGCAATTTGTGCCACGGTCGCGTCGCGCCCTCTGCGTGAGGTTGGAGCCCCGGTATCCCCCGTTGCCCAGTACCTGTTGCTGGGAGCCATGGAGGGTCTGTTTGTGGTGGACCTCGTGGGCTGCAGTGTGCGACGCAAGGTGGCCGATGTTCCCGCCGTCTTCCAGATTGGCCTGGCACGTCGCTTGGGTGTCGTCCTTGCCATCTTAGGTGAGTGGAGCGCAACAAACCAATCCAAGTAACAGATGCTGCCACACCCATTTGTCTGCTGAATGGCAAGCATTCCAGCGTAAACACTTGTTGCCCGGAGCCAGCAGTGTAGCCAAAGGCAACGTTAGTGGATGCAAAAATCCTCCATTTAGGAAGTGCCCTTTTTTCTTTTTTTTTTTTCAATTTACTGGGTTGACATTTTGGGGTATATACGACAGTGGCACCATATGGGCAACCAATTTTTACGAGAATTGAGATGCTTCCGCTTTTAATGCAGAAGCATCAACTGTCCCATGGCAGCATCTGTAACCACAAGAAATGCGACCTAAATTCCCGCGGTGTCTGCAACTGCGGAAAAACGCGAGCTAAATTCCCATTTTCCCATCGGCTGAGTGAAACGGCACCTAAAGAGCCATTGGCTGTTTAGGTTCCAAGATACGCCACCCCACAGAGAAGCCCTCTCCATTGCGCTGCGGCCCACACGCTAATAAAAGAAAGAAGGTGGTGCTCTTGCCATCGCCCCTCTCTCTCTCTCCTCTCAAGTCACTTGTCAGGCGTGGCTGGAGGCTGGGGGGTGGGGTGGGGGGGGGGGGGGGAGAGGGGTGAGGAGAGGGGAGGGGGGAGTGGGGAGCAGGAAATTCCAGCTCCCTCTCCCTGTGTACACTACTGTTTCACCGGTTCGCTGCTTTGCTTTCAGCCGTATCACACCACAGAGGACAGTGGGGCACACTGCTTGTAGTAATGCGCTGCATGTTAGAATGCTTTTGCATTCCTACACATAAGCAGTCTAAAGTGTTCTCCTGTAATTTTTGTTTAGATAAAGTCAAAATTTTTTCTAATGCACTCGTTCGGGTAGTATGTGTACCGGAACGCTTCTTGACAGCCCGACTGGTGAGGCCGAAATGTAAGCGACAGTAGGACAGCTTACGGGAGCAACAAACATTATTTGCGCCGTGGCTCACTTTCAAGGCCTGTGTCATCCATTAAACCAGGATGCCTTCCTTCCACCTGTTTACTTTTTTTCCGATTCTCTCCACAAGCCTCGCGTAATCTCAGCTCTCGTAGGTGGTTGTCTTCTTGTTCCGTCGTGGTACTGCCTGGCAAGGCAACACGCACTGCTTCACGCTTCCCCTAACGGAGAATTCTAAGGAAATGTTGCAACAACCTCGAAAGTGAGCCGTGGTTCGATCGGGGCAAAAGCCGAAGACACCTGCCTCCCATTGCAGACAGGGGAGAAATCGTAAACGCCGACGTCGGTGGTGTAGAGAGAAAAAACGAGAGAGAGAGAGAGAGACAGACAGACAGACAGAGCAAAAGAAGACTGGAGAAAGTAAGCAGATGATGGGTTAGGCATGTTTGTTTTGCCGTGGCGAGATGAGGTTGTTCGAGTGCTCTTCAACTTCATTTATTTTTATACATTGCGTGTCACCGATGTTTTCATACAGATAAAGCTAGAAAAACACTACAGGGTGATTCAAGGAGAGGCCAGGCTCTTTAAATCGACTGCAAAATTTGGTTTCTTAACCTATCGCGCTACGACTTTGTGCAGCGTTGCCCACAGATGGTGCACTTTTTTTGGTAAAATTTGCAAAGAGCGAACTTACCTGAGGAAAAAGTAAAGAAAGAAAAAGGCTTAGCTCCTATGGAAACGCAGCGACGCCACCGGTCTGCAAGCAACACAGCACCGTTTCGCACGGGAGACAAGAGATGGCGCAAGCGGTCGCAACGCCAACTACCGCCAACGAACGAGCATACGACGCCGAGAGCCAGCATCTTTAGCAGACAAGGAACTGCAGTTCCTTGTTGTTACCGCGCCTGTTTTTGTTTCTGCGACTGTCGCCGCCTGCAGAACGCGCACCGCTTATCTCTTGTCTCCCGTGCGAAACGGTGCCGTGTTGTTTGAAGACCGGTGGCTTCGCTGCGTTTCCATAGAAGCTCAGCCTTTTTCTTTCTTTACTTTTTCTTCAGGTAAGTTCGCTCATAGCAAATTTTACAAAAAAAAAATGCACCATCTGTGGGCAACGCTGCACAAAGTCGTAGCGCGATAGGTTAAGGAACCGAATTTTGCGGTTGATTTAAAGAGCCTGGCATCTCCTTGAATCGCCCTGTAGATCCATACTTTGCGAGTGATTTTTTTCCTGCTTCGCATATATCAAATTGTCGCCATCAATATGACCCCACCGGGATCACCGATGTCTGCGCCTGTGCTCTGCAGTTCCGAAGCGGCCGAAATGCGTGGAACCTTTCCCTCTAGAATTGTTTTTTTAACTCTGTGGCCGCAGGGGAGGAGCGCAAGCTTAAGCTGGCGCAGTGGGACTCTCTGCGGCCGTGGGTGGAGTCGACGCCCGGCATAGAAGTGTCCCCGGCGCCCTCGTGGCGCCTGGTGGAAGACATCGGGGAGTGCCACCTGTTCGCCCTTTCGGAGGACGGGGCCACCCTGTGCGTGGCCACCGCAAAGACCGTCCACCTGATGCACTTCAACCCGGCCAGCGGAAACTACAGCCGCCGCAAGGTGGGGCCCCACTGGAGCACCTTTCAAAACTCACTCTTCCTGTGTTTTCTTTCCTCCAAAGTCATTCTAGCTGCTTCGGTGACTCCGAGTGACTGCACCAGCCTACAAATTCCCAGGTGACGGGTTCGAATCCGGGTCGAGCTACCCGCACTCTGACAGAAGCTTGTTGCGAAGAAGGTGCCCTGTGACCGAGCTTTTGGTTGCATCTCACAACGTCCCCGGGTGGTCGAAATTAATCCTTGGTCCTCCAATGAGGTGGGCTAGATGCCCTTCGTCGATTTGGCACGTAAAAACCCCAAATTTCACAGACTTCGAAGTCATTCTGGTGATGGGGACATCTGGGCACCTGGTAAACAACCAGCTCATCTTAAAAGGGACACTGACAGGGTATTTATGCTCACCAAGGTTTTTATTTGAACACGATTTATAAGAGCCCAACTACCAAGAAGACAATTTGCGGCTTGAAATTTCTTCTCTTTCCTCCCGAAAACAGCCAGTCGAGAATTGGCCGGTTTCAGTCACGCTGACTATCGTTTCCATGGTTCTGTGGCATTCAAACTGTGTGTACCAAATATAATTAAAGGCGTGGGTCATCTAAGGCACACATTTTATATTAAAAATAAAAAAAAAATTAACACGTTATAAAAATGTAAAGATTACGTACATAAAGAAAAAAAAAAAATGTTGCACGGATCACAGGAAGTACATGTACACGTCATTTTCAATATAGCGACGTACAGCGGGCTAGACGATGCGATGGCGGCGCACGACGGACCAGCGTTGCAACAAACGTGGGACCGCTACTTTGGAACTATCGTTGTGGTACCATCTTCAAGCAACATCAGGCGGAAGGGATATAAGTGCGAAACAATCGCACGACAAACGGTTTGCGCAACGTCATCGTCCTCGTCGTCTGCTTCACATGCCAGAGAAGCGGAAAAAAAAATATGGTCGACTGTAGCCTTGTGACTTACAGCCAAGAGCTTCCTTGCTTGTTTGTTTGATTTCGAGCACTGGAGCTTATGCAAAATATTAAGTGCGCAGTCTCCTGACACCATTTTTAATCGCGTGGCAAAAAATAAAAAAAACATTTTTGGGGGATGTCAGTGTTTGTTTAACCTCAAATAATGGCCCATGCGTGGGAAGGTCGGTTTGCAGCCAATACTCCTTCGTGTTGCCTTCTACCCCGACTTGTGCAGACGATTGTGGCTGTGTTAGCCAGACCATTAGTATGGATTCTCGTCGGTGTTCCAACCAAATGTTTGTTGTATGAAACTACTTTATACAGTCGAACCTGGATATGTAAAAGTCAAAAGGGGTAAAACAGTATTTTGATATATTAATAATTCGGTATCCAAAGGTATGTTAACTTAAGCTTCAGCTGAAATTACCGTGTGCAGAGCGTCCAAGAATTGCTAAATATGGTAGAACCTCATTAAAGTGTAGCTGGCAGGAACCGCGGGTGCCGCCACTCACGTGCGCAACTCGCCGTTACTGGCGCGTGTGACCACAACGTCAACAGCACAGGCAACGCCACAGAAAAATAATTTTAAAAAAAACTTAAAATAGGAAAAACACAGTTTCTTCATCCATGAAAAAAGTCAAGAAAGCGACAAAAAAGAACTGACATAAAACTAAACACCAAAAAAGACAAGTGTAAAACAAAAAAGGCAAAGCAGAAACGGCGAAAGGAAAGGGTAGACAAAGATAAACGAGGCATTCAGAACATGATTTCACTGTTGTCAACACACTAAACTACCTAACCAGTTTTTTTGGTTTTTTTTTTGCTTTTTGTTGTTTGTTGTTTGTGGTTAGAGTTGTTTTATTCTTAGCCTGTGCAAACGACACAGCAACGGCAGTGTTCAGGGGGAAGCCTCCCTACCGGAGGTGCTGCACCTCGCTTTCAAGGTATCAAATGTCTCGGGTGGTGAAGTTTAATACAAACATATACGGAGGGGATATTTTGACTGCTCGAAATGCAGGATATTTCTAAATGCTTGGGTTCAATGTTATTGAACTCAGCTGTATTGGGGCATGGGTTCTCGAACTGGGTTCATGCAAAGCTAGGAGCTTCTCCCCCAGTTCATCGTATAGCCATGTGGTGAACCGTGCTTGCCGTTGTGGGCGACGGTGGTTTCCTTTCGGCAGTTGGTGAACACGAGCGAGCCCTGCAGCTGCATCCACTTCACTCCGTTCACCATCCTGATCGGCACCGACACTTTCTACGAGATTGACGCCAAGGACTACAGCATAGAGCGTGAGTGTTCTTATTGTTTGTGTTTTGTTCACGAGAGACTGGCTGTAGTTGCCACGCTTATTCCAGGACAAAATGTCCTGATGGCCCTAGTGCGGCTAGGGGGTGACACCCGAGAGAAAAACCTGCGGTATTTACCTAGTTTTCACGAGCAAAGTTCATTTCATGCCTGAAACAAAATCACTAGCACCTAGGTTATGACTGTATAATCGATGCCATTAGTACAAAGCTCCTTCTGATAAGAGTTTTCGAAATCTATCAAGATTTTAGGGGTAAGCAAATCTGCGCATGCTCATGCTAGTCGTATATCCTATTTTTTGGGTCCAGTTTACACCTGGTGTGTCATCTGCATAGGCTAGTTTTTGCCAAGGAGATTTGCAACCAGCCCGATCTGTTTGCCGCTAGCAACTTTGGTGAAATTTAAGGCAGTTTAATCTTCTTAGATGCCTTTATTCCGCAAGTTAGTTGGGAGAATATTGCCGGAGTGACGAGAGAAAATACAGGGACATGGTAATATTCGGAGACTTAGACAAACAACCGACAAAACCGGCTGACCCGGGGCGTCTGGTGCAGCGTTCCTGGACCCCACGGACACCTCCCTGTCCTTCCTCATGTACGGCGCCACCCAGCTTCGCAGCTTCCCTGTGGCCATCCTGCAGCTGGCACCTCCGGAGTACAACCCCGAATACCTGCTCTGCTTCCACGGTGAGGCACGCAGTTGGCAACACTTCTACCCCGATATGGCCTGCTAGCACTGATATCCGTGCTAGCGTAATGACAGGTTTGCTAGTTTTTATCTAAATTCTACGCAAATATAACACAGCTCAATACTAAGTTCAGTGCCCTGAGTCACTTCTAGTAGATGTTGCACGCTATACCCTATTCACCTCTAAGCTGACAGTGCGGTGGAAGCTACGTGCTCAGTGGATTACTCTTACATCTACCTCTTCGACATGTGAGCTTGCACTCGGCCACGCCCACACGCAGAAAGGGGAGTCGGGTGACGAAAAAAAGGCGGTTGATTGGTCCGGCGAGCCTGTAGCTCTCACCGTACTTTCAACTTGAAGGGAGTATAGTGCTGCATTAACTTCAGTGCTAACATAACACCGAGTTCGGTGCTAGTACAACGCTCAACTGGGGTGTGTCGCACTATGGGTTTTATAGCTAGTATTACTATGAAGATTTCTAAACTTTGGATGAATTAACTGGAAGAACTTTGCTGTCAGTGCGACCACATTTATGCAAACCACATCAATTCTGTGGTGGGCAAATTGGGCCTTTCGACCATTGTCCTTCTGCTTACTGCATAAGGATAGTAGCCGATAGGTCAGCAGTCGGTATCGAATCAACGTTGGCATTGCTGATTTTATGTCGCGCGGGATATAATGTCGCTTTTTGGCAAATGCCAAATGTGGAAGCTTTTCGTTTTTCATCTGGAGCCGTACGACATTTGCTTTCAGAGCTGGGCGTATTTGTGGACCAGGACGGAAGGCGAACACGTGAGGACGACCTCAAGTGGAAGCGCCTGCCCCTGGCCTTCGGTGAGTGGGCATCCGCAGGCAGTCGGGAGGGGCGAGGGACGCAGTCACGGTCCGACCTAACGGGAGCAAGGACCGTTCTAAACGGGCTTCGCTATTTTCTTCTATTTCTGCGCGAGGGTTCACGCCCCTGTTGTGGGAGCCGATTGTTTCGGAGATGCGCACATGTGCACCCTTCGTCGAGGAAACACGTTAGTCTCGCCGATTGAAGAAATGCAAAGGTTCTCGCGTTGCAGTGTAGACCCCGACACGGGGGAATAAGAACACGCAGTTTCTCTACCTCGAGGTTTAAACTGTCGTTTTGCAGCCAGCTTGCCCGCACACCCCCGGGTCTCGCTCTCTTGTCAAACGTCATTCCATAGCTCGGGTTCCACAATAATGGGCGTGCTTAACCATTTCCTCGCAGCGTACAAGGCACCCCACCTCTTCATTGGGCACTTCAATGCCGTCGAGATTCTGGAGATCAAGCCACGAGGGAGCAAGGACAGGTAGGGAGCCGACTTAATAAGGCCAACACCTTTAATGAACAACAAACTCGGGGACCGGAGACGATTTTAACGCAGAGCGAGTTTTATCGGCCGAATTCTAGGAGAAAACAGTAACGAACAAGCACCGATTTCTGATGCGTGGCCACTCCCTTTCCCAGCGGGCTTCACCGGACGGTGCTTGTGAGTCAGCCACGCTTCCTGGGGCTGTCCCACCTGGGCTCCATGTACCTGGCCTCCTTCGGGCCGAGACAGGTGCGGCTGCTCTCCGTCAATGCGGCCTGCGAGTCCGCTCTGCCCAGGTGAGAGAACGTGCGGGTGCGCTTCCTTCTCCAACGGCATCCGAACGAAACGGGCTTGAGGACTATGGTGCCTGGAAGATTTTTCCGACCGTTTAGAGTCCTATCCCGCCCATGCATCCAAAGTGGTCTCCAAGTGGCAACAAACGTCTCAAAAGCCCGATTGTTACGCCGTCGGATGTCGCGATCCTGGCAGTTGTGTGTTCTGGGAAAAGGCGCAGAAGAATGCGAGTGTCACCGTCGTCGCGGCTCCTCAACTTTTGTCTGCCGAAGCTTCCCTGGACTGTCAAGCCGGAGAGCAACCTGTAGCGGGACAGGCGTCGTTGGGCGTAAATCGAGGGACCACTTTTTCGGACACAGTAAATGTGCCAGAGGGACAAAAGCCATTCCCTAGCTAACGAGACTTCGCAAACTCCCTTTGGCAACGAGTAGGCCCTTATTTCTCGGGGTATCGGAAGTGCGCAACGAGACACTGGCGTCACGGTGTGGCTCCTGGCAGAAGCATTTCGTATAGACGTCACGTCTGGCAGCCGACCTTAGTTTCTAATCGACGTCGGCTCGCCCGAGCACGGCACCATGGAAAACGTTTGGGGCCAGGGCTGGTGCTACGTTTTTTTACGCGAGGCCCCGGAATTGAGAATACATCCCCTCCGAGCACCGGTGAAAACCGCCGCGATTATCTCGATCCCAGTACGTCTACCCTATCCATACCAGCGAGGGACGAGCAGTCCGATAAGACGAGCGAAAAATACTTCTCCTGTGGAATGTATCACTTAGGGGCACTGGTAAACGTCGTCCCGTAGTGATTTTTGGATCGTAGGATGCACAAACATTTCGTAGAGGTACAGGGTGCGGCCGTAAAAACTTTCACATTTGGCACGCCTAGCAAAAATCGAATTTCAAACATACATACCTGAAATTGGGCGCACGAACGTCGTTTATTCCAAAGTTTTTTGCCTATTTTTTTTCAGACGTCAACTCTGGAGTAGCGAATTATTAGGAAGATAACAAAAATGGCAGACGTGCATTTCCTATGGCCTATACTCGCCCGTTCGCCGTCTGCTATCTGGTTCGCGACGCCGCTCCCAGGTGGCGCACTGAACGCAAAAACGCGGGAAACCCGCTCGAAAGCCTGGTGTCGGGCGAGATAATCGCGATAAAAAGGGATTTGAACCAAATATATGAACAATTGTTGAAATTACCTGTTTCAAGTCAAGTTCTGACAGATCGTCATGCAAGCAAGAAGACACCATGATGCGACGAGATCATTTATTTACAGCTGCTCGTCTTGTTGACAATTGCGGGTCGCTCTCGAAGACAGCAAGCACCGCTTCAATGAGCTCCTCATTTTTCAGTAGGCTCTCACGTTCACTGACTGGATTCTTCTTTTTACAGTCTTCTCCACTCACAAAACGATCCGCCCAACTCAAAACAGTTGGGCGTGAAGGCGGGCGTTTATGAAATTCAGTGCGAAATTTTCGTTGTGCTGTGGCCACCGAGTTCCGCTCCACGTACCACTTGACTGCCTGGGCACACTCACTTGCCGAGTATTGCGGCATCGCAGGGCGGCGCGGAAAATATTTTGATAATAACTGCAGAAGACAGTGCAACAAAAGCAATAAATAGGAACAATCAAGATGCCTCAGCAGCGGCACTCTTGATTCCAAAGTTGAGCTTTCACCGGGAACGGACCCGTCAACAGATAAACAGACGACAAAGGAAGACACACGTTCGTCTGCTTTAGAACATATTTTTATTAAACGAGGGCGTCCGCCAGTTTCTAAGTTTCAAGTAAAAGGGCATAATCGTTCACATATTTCGGTAAAATTACTTTTTATCGCGATTATCTCGCCCGACACCAGCCTTTCGTGCGGCGTTTCCTGCGTTTTTGCGTTCAGTACGCCATCTGGGAGCGGCGTCGCGAATTAGATAGCAGACGGCGAACGGGCGGGTATAGGCCATAGGAAATGCACGTCTGCCATTTTTGTTATCTTTCTAATAATTCGCTACTCCAGAGTTGACGCTTGAAAAAAATAGGCAAAAAACTTTGGAATAAACGACGTTCGTGTGCCCAATTTCAGGTATGTACGTTTGAAATTCGTTTTTTTCTAGGCGTGCCAAATTTGAAAGTTTTTACGGCCGCACCCTGTATATTGCATCCAGCGTGGAAAAACGAAAAACGTGGCGACGTGTTGCCGCCTACGATTGCGGGGGATGCGATTGAATTCGAGTTCCGATCAACTCCTGCAGGTCGAACGACGCGAGAACAAGTGCGGAGCAAGGTTGGACGTGGATACGTTTTCGAAACGTCGAGGTGCCAAAGCTTTACTACGGAATGAAAAACGCGGCTACGGGAAGGTGCAAACACGGCCAGGACACTGGGGTGCATTAGAAGAGGTCCCAGCGGGCAGCGCTCCACTAGGCAGCGTAATGCAGACGCTGTCGTTGGTGTAGCTGCCAAGGCAGATCGGTGCACCCCCTTTAGGCATTGCATCCTCCCGATAGCTTTCGTCTCGTATCCTGCAGTCGAGCTTGTTTCAACTAGAAGCGGGAAACTGTAAGGTTTGCAACAGATGCCGGCAAACCCATTTTGGCTGGCTATGCTTTACGGCGAGCATAGAGCCCACGGGTGAGGCTTGGAGGTTGTGCATGCAGGTTACGTTCCCGAGGCTATCTAGGACCCTCCGATTCTCTTGTCGGTCCTTCCGTCACGTCGACGTCGGCTCAGCCAGTCGAGCTTTGCTTGGTAGCATTTTGCTGGGAGTGGGTTCCCGGCATTCGGAGCTCATTTTTGCCAAAATTTAGAGTTTTGTTTTTCGGTGTTTCTTTTTTTAGCAAATTCTGAATTCATAAGTCTTTGTTCGATGTATGCCTCAATCTCCAGACTTGCAAGTAAACGTAGTGACACCCTCGCACAAACGTGAATGGAATATTGGCTTTCAATTTTGTGTTATGGTCCAGATATACTTTGGATCATTAACACGTCACAGTACCTTTCAAATGAAAAATAGATAAAAATATATTGTCCCTTTCAATCTATGTAGCCCGAATAATATCGCCCGACCCCTAAACCAGAGTAGGTAGCTAGACAATATCGTCGTTAGATTGGCTTTCGTTGCGAACCACAAGTATACCAAATTGACCCGCTTGTCCCCCACGGATGGCAACGGTATCCAGGTTAGGGAGGAGACTGGACTGGCCTCTACTTGGCACCGCCCTGCCAAAACAGGTGCAAACTGCCCTCCCCCTTTACTCTCATCGCAATTTCAAATGGCAGTTGCTTTTGATAAACCTAAAATAAAAAACATTTTAAAGGGTTTTTTTTTTTCTTTTATTTGGAACCCAGCAGCTGTGTACTTCGCGTCACCTATTTTGTGCTACCTTGCCAAGGCCAGCGTAGCTTTCGCAGCGTTATGTCAAAGCTAGATGCACGAGCCCATGCGAATGAGGTGCAAGTAGTACTAGTCACGTGCTCTCCGAGCAGTGCGGGGCTGCAGCACTGTGGAAGCTACCCTAGCCTTTGCAATGCAGCACAAAACAGTTGACGCAGAGTATAGTCACAAGCAGAGATGTCGCAGGCCTGCCAAGGTTCGACTTCTTTTAACTGACAGTTCGACAAAATTTTACTTCTAGGCACAAGTGTGCAAACTAAAAACGAGCTGGTGCCACCTGGCAAACAAGGGATGCAGCATTTTAACCACTTAATGAACCAAGTAAATTACTGAAAGCTTATACATTTGCTTTTATATTGCATAAACATTGATATCTATTTCCTAAAATTTTAAGTGTGCTATTTTATAAATAATATTTCAAATTGTTTTGTGGAAATTGGGCAATGCTAGCTGCTTAAAGGGGCACTGACACCCCAAAGGTCATAATTTTTTTATTGTCTAAAATGATGCAAGTTGTAGTCATAGACATTAAAAAAAAAACGCATCGCGAAAAAAAAATTTCTTTCCGCGCGCGCTCACCTTTTTCTTTTTGTTGTTTATATCTCCCGCCGCTTACCTCCTTGCTTCTTTTGATCGGTGACGTCAAAAATCAGGAAATTTAGAAGCTTTGGAGGCGACACTTCTCTAACATTTAATAATGGCAATCGTAAAACATGTTTTCTAACGCAACTGCGAACGCACTACGGGCCCCTCTTTTTGAAATACCAAAAATCAGAGTTCGGTGAGATGTCGCTTCCTGGATTTGTATCCTCCCTCGGAAAACCTGGTGGCGCTCGAGCAGAGGATGATCGGCGAGTCGGGGAAGGAACCGGTTTTTTCCCGCGCCGGCGCCCTTCTATCCCGCCTGCTCACCTCCTCCTCACTTCGGGTCGCGGTGGCAACGGCGCTTTGCTTCGTAGCGTGGAGCGGAGGTCTGAAAGAAAGTCAAGTTGCAGGAGACTGCAGAATTTGACTCACTGCATTGGCGCGGATTGCGCGGAAACTTCTAGTTCGGCATTTGGAAATTGTTTTTTTAATTCACAAATACTGAATTCCCAAGTTTCGAATTTTGAGGGTTATGTCCCGGCATCGTTTTCAATCGTTTCGGATAATAAAAAAAAAGTATGATTTTGATGTGTCAGTGCCCCTGGTCAAACTGCATAGAATTTTTGTACAAGTCAGAAGGTTCTCCAAACTGTTATTTTGGGAAATGGATTGAGGTGAGTTGTTGGCAACCATGACGAGGCCGTTTCTGGCTTGCAGCACCAAAGCCAGTCTGGAGAATGGGGCCGAGGAATGCAACGAGGAGCTGGAGTTCTCCTTCACCTCGTCTGTTGTCGAGATGCTGGACGACTGAGGGCCCCTCCCAACCTGCCCCCCCAATATTTATGAAAGGACACCTGCCATGTTTTGTACTTATTTTAAAGTTTTATTGTATCATTCTTATTAAATGTGAAAAAACTTGCTCCCAGGTTCTTATTCTTAAGTGGCATCACTTTCTCCATCTGAAAGGGAAAGTTGAAACCGTTCTTGTAGTTGTAAAAACCAAGGGGTGATCACAAACTATACATGAACCATGTTTTTCTTAGCCCAGCATATAAAATAAAGTCCCAAAGGGTACTTTTTGTGCCTAGAGAGGAATCTGCACTACATCAACAAGCCCCTTCTCTAGAAGCTCCCATAGGCATGAGAGCAACGTTTGGGGAATTGGCTTAAATTGGCTCTTACTCTTGTCTCATCATTGCGACAGGGGCAATGTTCCCTTTCCCTCTTTCATAACTGACGCCATTCTTGGAAGATTTTTGACTCACAAATTTCTACCCTGTAAAAGCTTTTTCAATTCATAAGAATAGTCAATTGCTACAAAGACTTAGCAAACCGGAAAAACATTGTTACTTCCACCCCCCTTTTAAAATATGGATAGTACCGTGTTAATCCAGAATACACGTCGCAACGAAGTCGTTGGGCATGAATTGTCATGAGCTTACAACTCGCTCCTCTCCCTGCAATGGGTGGTATTGGACGGATGTATATGGCCCTTTTAATTGGGCGGCAACTTGCACTACCTAGCCGAAGATATTAATGTTTATTTTCCGTCAAGAGTGAATGGCGGAGGGAGACTGATGAAAAAAGCTGCATGATGCAGCTCGACGGCCCCTTAGAACCCCTTACCTACATTTGGCAGCAGTGGCACGGGAAAATGAACCCATAAAAATGCATGAAAATGCTGCATAAAAAAAGCTAACATTAAACAGTTCCATTGCATTTAATGAAAAATTGACTCTGAATCAACATGTGGATTAAACTGTGAACAAGGCCAGATGTCAACTTTTTACGCTTGGGCGTACCCTTAAATCCGCAGATATACTGAGGCAAAGACTATAGCATATAAAACACTAATTAGACCAATGCTGGAGTACGCTAACTCTGGTTTCTCCACACAGAATAAGCAGACATGGAGGCGTCTAAAAACAAGCTATTAGGTTCACATTCAACGCATTTAGAAACCAGACTTTTGGGGCGCACTTGCTTACAGACACAAACATGAAAGCGTTGTAAACTAAGACAAAAATTAATAGATTAAAACTTCCGTATTTCTTTATGCACGGCAAGTTTAATGCTCATATTGAACAACATATCACTTTTCCATCGACCGGACCGGCAAGAATCAACCACACTGGATCAATTCAGCAATACAAATTTAAACATAACGTTTTCAAAAATTCATTGTCCCCCCGGGCAATTCAAGATTGGAATTTACCATCAAATAAAATTGCCATTCTTTCATCACTCACCAGTTATTTGTTCGGTCACATTCTGAACGTGTATTCATTAAGTATATATTATTATGAAAACTTTCATTGCTGCTAAGGCTTTCAACTGAGAGCCGCAATATCAATTAAATAAAAAAGAAAAAAACAATGCACACAGCCAAAGTGCCTGGAGGCAAAGTATAGTTCAGTGCAAACGAAAAAGGTAACATGTTTATTACAAACAAGGTTTCAAGGGTTCTTATTATGCATTTACTGTAAAGTAATATTTAAGAAAAAGAATGCTCGGTGATCTTGTACTCATGAAGTAGGAAGATAGACGTCTTGGGTTTCAAGATAGTTATTAAGTAATTAAGGGAGTGTGCTTGACAACATTTGCTCACTGTACGTTGTTTTGTCATTTTCAAGCTTCCAATACTCTGTTTCAGGTGGGGTAAGTTGTCACTCTCGGTGTTAGGGACGAAAGTTGAAGAAAACAATGAACATTTTTTTGGACGTATGATTTATAGGTCAGGCACAGTCAATATTTATACACACAATTCACAGGCATCATACTCAAGCCCTCAAAAAGAGGTTTGCTAGGATGGACGTATGATACATTACAAATGGTTCTTAAAATATTTTTTGTAAGACAAGATTTTTTTAGAGCGCAGCTCTTAGGGGCCCGTTCCCGGCTTGAGTGGCATCGGAGTAACCAAGGTCACCCCAAGGTCACGTGGCCCCCCAAGGTCATCTCAAGGTCACGTGACCCCCCCCCCCCCCCCCCCGAGGTCACGTGACCCTACCACCCAGGGTCACGTGACCCCCCACCGAGGTCACGTGACCTCCCGATGACTCCATCATCACTGATGACGTCACCAGCATCCGCATCGTCATCATCACTGATGACGTCATCAGTGACGTCACTGATGACCTCACCGGTATCCGTATCGTCATCATCACTGATGACGTCATCAGTGACGGCACTGATGACCTCACCGGCATCCGCATCGTCATCATCACTGATGACGTCACCGGCATCCGTATCGTCATCGTCATCATCACGGATGACGTCATCAGTGACGTCACTGACATCCGCATCGTCATCGTCATCATCGCTGATGACGTCATCGGAGTCCGCATCGTCATCATCACTGATGACATCATCGGCATCGTCACGTGACCCCCCCCCCCCCCAGTACCCTTCCCTCCTCCTCCTCAAGGGCTGCGCTCTAATTCGGTGTTACAGGGAGTTGTAAATGGCTTTCACTTTTTTATATTGGTATTGCCCCAGACTAGATGGTAATAATTTATATGATAAAGAAATAATGAATTATAAATTAACTCTAATTAAATTAGAACTTCATTAAGAATCACAAAGAATTTTCTATCACGACTTCACAGCAACTATAGTCGGTTACAAGTCAAGAAGGTAGGAGAAGCTCCTCCCACAAGTGTGAAGCGCCCGTTTCAAATCCCTCCGCAGTCGAAAGAAGAGTTCACTGGAAACGCTCCTTGTTCCGCTTCAATGGATTCCCACTTGTCTCCGATCCCACTTTTTAAGAAAGCGACCTTTGTATTCATCGGAGAGGGAACCGAGCCCCTGAAAGCAGCCTTTGTATCCATCGGGGGGGAAGCTAATCCCCGAAGGTCGTACTTGTTTCCGTCGGTGGGTGGAACTCTAATCTCCCTCTCGTGGCTTCCACAATGCTAAGTCAAAGTCGAAAGATAAAGCAAATATGTACAGAAAGGCAAGACCCTCCTCGCGCGTTGCCCTCGACGTCACGAAAACGGTGGGACGCTATTGGATGCAGAGGTGCGGAGGGATATCCGGTTCCCTTTGAGGGGCATTTGCCGCTACCTTCTTAACCTGTAACCGACTATAGGTGCGACTATCTAGCGGGCACTACACGGGACTTGTGTTCCACAAATGCAGTACAGTCAAACTCCTTTCTAACGAACGCCTTGCTGTACCGCACGCTGCAGCTGCCGAGTGCATGGCCGATTCTGCCAAGGGCCCGCTCCCATGAGAGCAGTGCAGCCGCTTAGAAAGCCTCCTCCGAATCACACGTGGCGGCACAAGACGCTACCCAATTTAGAAAAGGTCAAAGTTACACAGTCTGTGAACGCCTCCCATTCGCTGTAGTTTCAGGGGTTGATGTTAGTGGTTTAGTAATGGTTGCAATTTGAATTTTGATAAGTGAGTAAAGTTTGTTGTGTGGAAGTTTGGACATTAGATTACAAACTTTGCCAGTGGCGGTGCTGGCAATACAACCGCTAGCCTGGTGAATACATGAATGTGTAACAATAACATTTTTGTTTAATCGACGATGGACGCCCTTTTACGGCTACAACGGACGTCATTTTCAGTGGTGGGAAGATCTTGTAACAGCTTTTACCGTAAAAAAAATTAATCGGCATCGAGCCCTTTCTACACTGCAGATGGAGGCATCCACCATGTGTGGCATTTGTAGGCCATCGTCAATAATGAAGCTGCAGCTCATATAACAGTGGCCCATGCAGAAAGGGTACTGTGCCTCCACAATACCCTCCACCTTGTAGAACACTCACAGGCGAAGGACCTTGTCTTTCCCTCCACTGACCACCTGTGACCCGTCGGGGCTCCAGTCGACCGTGTACACCTGCGGGGATGCGTCGCCAAAACTGTACAGCCAAGAACGCGTCCTTCAATGATGTACGAGAATGACGGCGCAAGATGAAGTTTCATTCCCATCAGTGTTACAAAATGATTGGCCGAGGGCTCCTCTGGAAAACTAGAGCTGAGCCTTCCGCACCGAGACTTGCCAATGATCTTTTGGTCTAACGCTGAAGGAGATGTAATGGGATCGCATTTGGGATCTCTCTCAGCTCTGAACGTCTGTCGAGCTGGCACTCTTGGTCAGCCTCGGTATGAAGCTGTTTTTGTGCCAAACATCCCTAAATTGAATTAGCGTATAATTGTATACAAATACGGGTCTTCCCACTAAATTTGATGCAGAAACGTATAATTGTAAATCAATTAAGATTTTCCCGCTATATTTAGCGGGTAAACCTTTCCCACCAATCCTGAATCGATGTATACCAATTCAACTCACCAATTCAATTTCCACGCTAAATTTACCTGTCGAGCTGCAACAGACAGGTGCTCACCGCTTTTGTGGCCCCTGAAATTCTATCGCATCTAAAAACGAAAGTGTCCATTAGTGAGTCAGTTGATGCAAAGGTAATCCAATCTTTGACCTTCGTTGCTCTGGGAATAAAAAATACTGCTTACATGGTTGCCACTGCAACTCCGGGTAAGAACATGGCTAAGCACAAAACACGCACAACGAAATACCCCACGGGTCTCATCGTGCGTTGGGCATGTTGTGGTACACTGTGCAACACTGTTGGCGCAGTGTCGCGCCAACGGCCATAAAAACAAATAGTATGGCAGAAAGTGCTCCTTTGCGGTGCTAACCTAAGCGGCAAATTGCGGTGCTCGCCAATGCCTTTTCGAAGTAATATGCGAAAACGCACCAGTGTCGCGTTTCCGCAAAAAGTGTCACACGGTGTATGTGTAGCTTGTGCCTTACGGACGAAATGCGAGCACAGATGGGGTCAAACCACAACAAACCTTTTTTCAGCAAGCTCGCACGCATGAGTACGCCCTCCCCTGGCCTCGCTTCTCGCCGTCGCCATTTTTGGAGGATACCGTCCCGCACGACCAACATTGTCGGCATCTATATCCGCGTGTACTTCGTCTTTTTCAATTTTTTTTTTTTTTTTTTTTTTTGCCGTCGGTAGTACAGTGCAATCTACTTATAATGATATAATGAGAAAACCCGAAAATGCAATCCTTATAATCGATTATCGTTGTATCTGGACTAGAAACTGATTGATTGTTTCTAGTCTACAAACTCTATAAACTGATTGTTATAAGCAGTATATCGTTATAAGTGGATTGCACTGTATGGAATACAAAAAGCATTGAAAACCGATCTGACGGCACAATGCCAGCGGGCTTGACGGGCAGAGGCACATTGGGTTGCCCTTCATTTGCGGTTTGCACAGAACCTCCCGGACGGCGCTCGGGGCGCCACGAGCACCCACCTCGTCGGCGTGACCCGGCAGGTCTCCCGCAATCTTGCGCGTGGACACGTCCCACAGCTTGAGGGTGGAGTCCGAGCTGCCGCTCACGAGCAGTCGGCTGTCGGCAGACCAGGCCACCTGGTACACTGCCTTGACGTGGCCCCGCAGGGCTGCCAGGAACCTGGGCAAGGCCCCCCACCGTGTCTCCTTCCACACCTCGAGAAGCACTCTCAAGAGGCTCATTCGATTTACCTGCACCTGTTCGCACCAATGCACAAAAGTGTGGGGCAATGTACTTCCGGTTGCATCTTCAGATAGGCTGCACTCGTAAATCAAATACGGCGGTGTGCATTGAGTGCAGCGGGTGCAGGTAAATCAAACGTAGCTAATGATGTCTGCCACAACATCGTACCAGGCAGGTCTAGGAGCAAGGGTCGGAGAATGCATTGCTAAAAATCAAAAGGAACAACACATTGCATGCCCGAAAGCCTGGTGAATTGCAGGCATCAAAACTATGGCATAACCGGAAAAAAAACATCACTCGCACGAAAACTAACGTGAATAAAACAATGTGCACAAAAAGAGGCCTCTTGCATCTTGCCGGCTGTAACATAGCGCAAACTTTCCCGGGCAAAGGTTTTCAACTGGATGGCTTTCACGTGGTGCACTCGCATACGTGGCAAAAAAGAACTGCCAAATGCTCGCACGTCCACAGCATTCCCTTCCGAATTGCGCAGCTTTCTCGAGGTGCATCCACACTATGCGGCAGAAACTACACCTGCACTGCAAGGAAGTTGGCGAATACAGCAGCTCCAGCAGCAATACATAAAACGGAAGACTCCTTTCTTGTTTCAGAAACCTAATATTTGTCTTAGATTCAGCTTTCCTGTACCCGTAAAAAGAGTGGCCGTGTCGTTCGTGCCCGAAGCAGCGAACATTGCGTATGGGCCAATGTTTGGCTCGTCGTTTAAAACTCGCGCATTTCAAACCGACAGCGGGAGTCGCGGAGGCAGTCCCGTGCCTCTTAGGGGCGTCTCCCACACGGACGGCAAGCGGACAGGAGGAGGCGGCCACCCACTTGCCGGTGCGTCCATCCCACAGCTTGACAGACTTGTCGAAGGAGGCGCTGGCCAGCAGGCGCATGTCGGGCGAGAAGCGCACGTCGTTCACCAGCTGCTGGTGGCCCGTCATGCGCTCCAGGGGCTTCTTGTCCGTCTCGGGCAGCCACAGGGCCAGGGTGAAGTCGTCCGAGCCCGAGGCCAGCCGCTCGGGCTCGCCGCCACGGGCCGCCTCGTAGCGCTCCTGCGCCTGCCACTGCAGCTCCTCTGCGAGGCAAAGGGGAGAGTCACTGGCACCTGCCACGCGAGCCGACGCAAAGATACTGCGCCGGCGAGACGAGACAAAACTATGGCGCGACCACGACCGATGCGTGTCTCTTCGTTTCTGGATGACTCCCGGCATAAAAAAGACTACCAAAGACCATCGTTCTCGGTGTCATACCAATCCAATGTAAATGTCGCAGCATCGCGCTGCTGTTCGGAAATTTTCAAAACCAAAATCTGGACTTCTCCAGTGATCCCTACAGAAACTCCAAAACGCAGTGGGAACGTTCAGTAGCTGCTCTCTCGGCTCCCAACGGAGCAGCTCCAGTAGGAGTTCTCGGAGTCCACACTCAACGGCAAAAGAAGCGCGTCTCTTCAGCTGCTTTTACGCAGTTTCCGCTTCCTCCCTGTGGCAGACGGTCTCCGAATAAACTGGAAGCAGACGACGCTGAGCACAATCGCTTTTATTTGATGTCGGTATTGAAGAAGTCTCAACAAGGTCATTAGTGAAAAAAACGAGTGACTGTAGACATCAGAACTGGTGTTAGAAGCGATCCAAAGAGACTAAGCCCTTTGCAGGTCGGTGAAAAGGCAATATACCAATATAAAAACCGAAAAAAAAAAAAAAAAATTCTCAACACACACAAAATATGGAGCTTGGTTAATCTATGCCGCCAATTGCAATACTTTTATATGGCCATGTTTTTTCTGCACTTTTCTAGGAACTTCCTATAAAATGTATTCGTATACAGATGGGAAGTCGGCTCCGCTCGGTGGTCAAGGTTTTGTCGGCCGAAGGGAGCGTCAGCCAACATCTCATACTCGCATACACCCCAATTTAGCTACGCACACAAAACATTAATTGGGATCATGTTCCACGTGAGTGTCGAACCACGCACCAGTCACGTTCAAACCCAGCCTTGCTCTGCTCAGCACGGACAGGACTGTCGTCGATAATAACAGAGCTGCCGTGGAACGGCGATCAAAACACGGCATCAAATGAATGTTTAGGTGCATTTTCCGAAAAGAGCCTAACCGTTGTTCGTCTTACTTAGAGCTTTTTCATTAACGAAAGCGAGCAAACCCGACTCACGCCGAAGCCGACGCAACTTCTCTCAATATTTTGTTTGTTTTTAGAGCGCAGCTCTTAGGGGCCCGTTTCCGGCTTGAGCGGCGTCGGCGTAACCAAGGTCATCTCAAGGTCACGGGACCCCGAAGGTCACCTCAAGGTCACGTGACCCCTCCAGGCCGCGTGACTCCCCGAGGTCACATGACCCCTCCCAAGGTTACCTCAAAGTCACGTGACCACTCCCAAGGTCACCCCAAGGTCACGTGACCTGGAGGGGTCACGTGATTATCCAAGTCACGTGACTCCCCGAGGTCACGTGACCCCCAAGGCCACCCCAGGTCACGTGACCCCCCGAGGTCGCGTGACCCCCCCTCCCCGAAGTCGCGTGACTCCCCCTTCCCGAGGTCACGTGACCCCCCGGAGCATATTAAAGAATGAGGGAAGGAGGAGGAGAAGGAGGAGGGGACTACCCTCCCCTCAGTACCCTTCACCCCTCCTCCTCAAGAGCTGCGCTCCAATTCGGCGTTACAGGGAGTTGTAAACGGCTTTCACTTTTTTTCTCTTTCAGCACCGGAACTTCGTCAACGATCCGAAAATATGTCATATTGCGCCCTTTTCACTCCTCGCGCACCGTCTCGGGACTCTGTGTAGGAGAGTGCGACTCCTTTGCTCCAGAGTAATGTGTGCCGGAAGTCACTTTTCGCCATCTAGTGGAAGGAGCGTTAGCTCCTTGACTCCCGGAGCCGCTATTGAACGCGCTCAGTGTGGGCTTTCCTATCGGGAGTAAATTTTGTTGGGAAAAAACGAGATTGCCTTCACACACCTGCGCCGCAGTCCGTGCCGTCCGCACGGCCCTTCCTGGGGTCAAAGGCTCCGGTCCGCATTGCGTAGTCCGTGTTGAGTGCCAGGACATTCACCCAGTGTCCGTGGCACTGGAGAGTCCTGCACAGGATGCCCTGGGCACGGGAAGATCCAGCCAGAATCGACATTCTCACCCAAATTGTGACTTCCCGCACCGGGTCATTATGCTTGTTTGCACCTCAACTACCGTAGCAGAAAAAAGTTGGTTTCTCGTGGAGCATTAGCAATTTCCTCTTTGTATGGTGACACTTTATATGCACACTTCAGATTACTTAAACTTATTTGTTACTCAATTGAAACAAACATGTTTCAAATGTGAAGACAAGCACTGCTTTTTCTCTGCCAACCAAGTGTTGCAAGAAGGAATTTGTGCAAGGTATGTGCAGAACTCTTCAGGTGACAACTAGTATAGGAACCCAGGTGCTCCCAGACTCGAGGGTAGCACACGCTCGCTTGTTTCCCCCCCTATACTCTCTTTTCACCTCAAGAAAAAAAGCAAATTTTGCACACAGCTCATGAGCCACGGGAACAAGTTCTTACACACCTTGGTTGTCAGAGGAAGAAACAATGCTTTTTGGTGTTTGAAACGTGCAAAAATTGACAAAATAACATGTATCTAATCTAAAATGCACCCAGATATACCTACGTAAAGGGAGAAATTAGTAATGCTCGGCGAGGAGCCGGACTCTTTTTTTACTACCGTTCCGGAGGTGAAAACGTGTATAACTAAAGCCCATTCACGGTTAAAGCGCTAGTTTAGCATATCTGAACCATGTGCTGCGCAACTATAAAAAAAGCAATCCCTAGTCTGTAAATTATTTTGAACAGCTTTTGCACTGCTTACCTTTGCCGTGCTGGGAGGGGGGAAAAGCTTCTTGGCTGTCATTCACGGTACCTCTCGCGTAGTAGACAGCGCAAGCAATTACTCATTGTTAAATTTATTGTCACGGCTGGAATTAAGGTTGAAATACAAAACGCTACTGTGGTAGACCGTGGAACACGCATACACGGAGAACCGACGTGGGTAGTAAAATTTGGTGATCGACACCAACCTAATGATTATAAATGACGAGACAAGCACGTCGGAGATGCAGATCATATTACACTAAGCACATATAACAGTGGTGCTATTGCCGAGACCAGATTTGGAGCACATTTTGGAGCACCCAGATATTAGATTTGGAGCAATTTGGAGCACCAAAATAATCATTTTGGAGCCCCTAAATGTGAATTTTGTAGCACTCTGGAGAACCTAAATGTAATTTTTCGGAACACTTTTGACCACTTGTGTACCAAGTCTAGTACCCACCGCATTTACTCGAGTATTAGCCGCACTGTTTATGAAGAAGACCCGAGGGTTCGCTTTTCCGCGGAGCATGCGGTTCGCCAATCACCGCGATTGACAGCAAGATTGCATTCGTATGGAGAATCGTGTTCTCAATCTAGTTATTCGCTATGTTATTTATGCTCAACGCGATGATCGACTGTATATGTGTGGTTTGCGGGAAAGTAGATGCAAAAGCCTTGTTCATAAATAGTGTGGCTATTACTCGAGTAAATACGGTATGTGTAGATTGACAATTTTCGATGCTGCTAAGTTTTTCACACAAGTATGATATATTGGTCGAAGAAAGACATTGAAAATTAGAAAATCAACACCTTTCACGAAAAGTTTGCGAGGAACTAGCAGGCACTGCCTTCACAATAAAATGGATGACAAACCGGCTCATCTAACTTATTACACCTTGTTTATTTCAAACACAAAGAGCTTATCAAACTGCTCATCTATCACCTGGTTTAATTGAAATACCATGAGCTTATCAAAGCCTGCTCTTTTTTAAGATTTTGTAGCTTTTCATTCAAACCTGCAAGCTCGGTCATATTTTCAGCAAGACTTGCGTTTGCTTTGGCCAACAGCACCTGCCCAGATTCAATTTCCTCCAGGTTTATGCGAGCCAACCCAGTCTTGATCAGTCCCTGGGCACACCCCAGCATTGCCTTTGACGATTCTAAGCTTCTTCATAGCGTCGGTCCGCACCATCCTGTCCTCACGAAAATCGTCCGTACACACAGGCGTACTAAGGCGGCCGCTACGACGCAATGAGCCCTTTAACTGAAAACAGGAAGAAGCATCTACGACAGTGGCGCTCGTCGGGGAGAGTGACGGAGAAACTAATCCACATGTCAACAAACAAAGCAAAAAATGTCTCGCCCATCACTTTAAAGAAAAATTGGCGGCACAGCCGCTAGGTGTCTTCCGGTTTGTTGCAGTGAAATTTGCCTTGACTAGGATAGGTGGCGCATGATGCCGCCCAATTCCCATCACCCGATTTTGGAGAAGTTTGGTGCAATTTCGGGTGTTTTTGCGTATTTTTATCAGGATGGTGCAGGAAAACCTCTCTGGCGCAAAATGGCGCAGGGGTGGAAGCCCTGATATAAGCAACTGGACAAAACACTGCAGTAATGACTACAGGATTCTAGTGTCTGTGCTGTGACACGTAAGACAAGGCAGAATGCACAAATCTTATTCAATGTCCATTAAAACACTGCACAAGTGCCAGCCGGTCATTTTGTTACACACCACTGACTAACATCTCACGGCATGCAATGACACATGCTCACCGGCTCGGGGGGAAGGGGCAAAGACTGGAGTGGAGTGCGGCAAATTGTAAGCGCCGACATTGGGGGTATTGAGAGAACACATGAGAAACAGAGCTACGAGAGACCGGAAAAACAAAGCAGACGAAAGGTTAGGCGCAACTGCTTTGCCATCGCACGTTAAAGTCGTTCAACTGCTTATCAACTTCAGTTTTTCTTTACAGTACGAACAATATGGATATCTCGTAGCAAAATGAAGCTAAAATATACGAGGTGCCAACCTTGCAAGCAATATTTTATGCTTCTTCGGATTTGCTAAAAGCTCGCCATTGATCCGCACCCACCGGGACCATCGAAGTCCGTATGCGCTGCCATTACGAGGCAGCCGAAAGGTCTACCATTTTCACGGCTCTCGAGCCTCATGCAACTTTTAAGGGACTCGAGTGCAGCTCCCTAGAAAACCTACCCGCAAACGCAAGATAAAAAAAAAAAAAAAAAAGGACATAACAATAAACGCAGCTTGCATTTGGTCAGCTTTGTGCCATCGTTCACTCTAATAAAATTCTGCTCAAAAAAGAACTCGTAAAGGTTCATTGGCTTGTCCAGATTTTTCACCCTAAAAAGTTATTTTAAGTGCCCCCTAAAAGGGTTCTTGGGGAAAAACCTGTAAGGGGTTCTTTTAAGCTTTTTTTTTCTGACGCGAAAGAGTTATCACCTATACTTCGTTTCAGCTTCGGTCCGAGCGCGGCCGATGTTATGAGCCAAAGGGCCAATCAAACAGCGTAAAAAGCGCAGCGTCTTGGCGTGCTCTCTGCGCTTGATAGGACTAGCCGGCGGAGGAGCGCGCACAGAGAGACGGCGAATACCGGCTGGTCCTATCAACTGCGGCAACTGCGGAGAGCACGCCATGACGTTGTGCCTCTTTCGCTGTTTGATTGGCCCTTTGGCTCATAACATCGGCCGCGCTCGGCCCGAAGCTGAAACGAAGTATAGTTATCTTTCTAGCGTGCCAGGGGGGCGATAGGGTCGAAGCAAAACTGTTCTTCATGAGCGGAAAGTGTTCTTGAGGCACCAAAGAACCTTTCAAGAATATATTTTTTTATTTTAATGCGTACGCAGATCGGACAAGGTGCTTGTTTTACAAATGGAGACTCGCAGCAGGGAAACGTACTGAGCGACTGCTGTGTAACTGGAATTCGCCATAATCCCCCACAGAGCAGAACAAAAAAAAAAAAATTAAAACAGTGCCACGTTCTATTATTATTGCGGCTCTTCATTTAAAATGGTTCCTTATTACGACTCTGGCCACCCCGCTTTAGAGTCCAGACGCGTGCTCTCACCGTGTCGGCCCTCCACACCTTGATGGTGCAGTCCTGGGAGGCCGTGTAGAGCAGGCCAGAGCCCCCCCAGCGGACGCAGGTGACGGCCCGCGTGTGGCCGGACAGGGTCAGCCGCGTCTGGCCCAGCACCACGTCCCAGACGCGCACTGTGCCGTCCTTGCCACTGCTCGCCAGCCAGCGGCACTCCCCGTTCCTGCGGCACCAAGACGCCACATTGAACTCTCCTCTCGCGGGCCTCCTGTCTAGGCGTTGGAACTAGGGGTGTGCCAATAGGGATTTTTCGGTTCCAAGCGCATAGCTCCTTTGTACGAATAATTTTGAATTGAATCTTATCATTTTGAAGTGAATAGTTTGTGGCCATTCATACAGTAATGATAGAGTAGCCTTTAAACTAGGGAACAACAAAAGGGGACAAACACGACAAGGTCTGAAGGGTTCTCTACCACAGTCATTCACCTGCACAATTACTCTTATTTCAATACAATCGTGCCTCATTAATATGGACACTCCCGTACTAAGAAAAATCGTCCATAATAGCGAATCAAGGTCAAGATCAGAAATAATGAACAAGAAGTGGAGCTACGAGGGACACGACTTTAGGAAAAAAAATGCTAAAGCCAATTTTCACAGACACTTTGGTATTAGCTATCAGAAACGCCATCCTCAATAGATTTGAGAAAGTACACTCGTAGCACCTATTTGTATCGCTACTCATCTTCCAGCCTCGGTTGGTGAACTCGTGTCAAGTATGCATACTGTTTTTGCTTGTTTAATTTTTATTCCGAATTAAGGTATGTTCCGCAGCGGAAAATATTCCAAGTTGCCGTATAGCCCTATTCGATTCGAACTTCGAAGTAGATATGGCATTATTTGTTTCAATATTCGAAAGCTCCGAAGATATTTGCGCGAACCACATTGTAGCGATAAGAGATTATCTGCCGGATTCATTTTACGGTGGTAGCTGCTAGTAACCCTTAACGGCGAAATCCGGCGGCATTTGTAGGCAAAAATTTCACACGAACGCGGGGGGAGAGTGACAGCGTCGCTGCACTGTTGCTCTCTCCCTATCGCCGTCACTCCTCGTACAACCACGTCATCCATGGCTAGACGCACTGTCGGCTGTTGCTCACTTTCTCCCTCGCCCGCCGGAAAGCCTGCCAGAACCCCGAAGGTTCGCCAGTGCGTCTACATGTTGCTCTCCGTCCAAAAAGCAGAAATGGCAAGCACACTGCGCTAAGCAGAGTAGATGGAGGGCCACAGCGGCACGAGAGCAGTAAGTAATGCAAGACCTCGACTATCACGCACGAAAGGCGTAAGTGCCAAAGGTATAGAGACCCCCCTGTTCGCGAGGAAGAGGCACTTCTAAAAGCATTCTGCAAAAGCACATATCTCCCATAACTACTCTGATGAAAGCAAATATTCTAAAGCCCATCCTTTATTGACGAACAGCTGCCGCCGTCAATCGCAGCCCACTGTCTGTTTGCTCGCAATTTTTTTTATATAAAAGTTTGTGGTGGCAGAGTCTGATCTCATCCGAAGGCTTACCCCCAAATTCACAAACGTCACACCAATTGAGGCGCCCCTCCATATCCTCAAGGAAGGCGTGAGCGCCGGCGCTGGCCAATCGCAACGACGGATAGGCGACCTAGGCTGCTCATCCATCGTCGTGATTGATCAGGGCCGGCCCTCGCGCCTTCCTTAAGGAAGTGGATGGGCGCCTCAGTTGGAGTGAGGTTTGTGAATTCGGCAGTTAGTTTTAAATCTATGAAAAAGAGGAAATTTGAACTTCGCTTTCTTTTGCAGTTAATTAAAAGGTGTCACAATATTATTAGACAGGAAGACAGCAAATGTTATGAAGGGCGAAAGACAAGGTACTGACACATATTTTTCATTAGCACCATTTCAGCTGGAAATAAGTAATGATTAAAAAGCGCGACAGGATAACAGACACAGAAGGAGACACAGACACAGGACTACGGACACAAATAAGTAGTTTTAAAGTGGGACTTAGGTTTCTGGTGTAATGCAAGATACTGACGCAGTTTTTCATTAGCACCATTTCAGCCAGGAACACACAGCTTTAAGGTAGGACTTGGGTTTGTGGACTAAATTTATAAGTACTACAGCAAGGGTATTGAAATTTGTGCCAATTTTCTACTTTGTTGAGAAAGCAAGCTGCAATGTTTAAAGCATTCCTGGCCATTCGCTCGTAAGTTACAGAACTTACGAGCAGTTACTTGAGCGCCACAATGCAGTCTAACACTGCGACTGCACTAACTGTTAACTGCGAAGCAGCCGACAACTTTTAGGGTTAGTTATCGGTCATCTGTCGACTAAATGCTACAGACACGTAGCAGGCACCTAGGCGGGCACTGACTGACCTCTGCACCCCTTAAAACTCTCTTTTTTTTCCACACTCGTGCAGGATAAGGCAGCTGAAGAGGCACACTCGAAGGGAAGTCCCGACAGCATAGCTCCAGGGCTCGGGCAGCGCACGAGCGTGCGTGGCGGAGGTAAGTAAGCGAGGCCACGCAGCGACGCGTGCATCCACCCGATTCTGACAAACGCTGTTGCGACACCCACCGATGCAGGGGCTCCCAGCAGAGACACGTGATCCAGGCCTTGTGCCCGCAGAGCGTCCGTCCCAGCTGCTTCCCCGTCTCGGGGTCCCACAAGAATATCTGCAACGACGAGAGGAGCGAGTGATTTCACGGACCCGTTGGTTGCATGAGTTGCACGTGCCTCACGAGTTTGCACGTTGGAACTCACCTGGCCGTTTTTGCAGCCCGAGGCTATCTTTTTGCCATCTGGGGCCCAGGTTACACACAGGACCCAGTTCTGGTGACCTGAGAAGAAAAAAGGAAGATGCAATAAACACACACTGATCAGAAAAAAAAATTTCAGGCAAAAAGCTCTACAGCATTTTGTGAAGTAGCACTTTTGAGTTGTGCCGTAAATGTTAGACATCGACTTATCCACCTTCTTTGCTATTTTTACAGCTGCAGGTCAATTAATCTAATGCGAGAGGAAGAAAGAGAGGAATGGTAAATACACTCTGACATTAAAAACCGATTTCGTTGAAGAGAGGAACTGTCCCACTCAAAAAGTGTTTTTCTTATGTCAGGCACCAGGCAGAGTCGAGAGAACACATACCCTTGCAGGTGTGGTGTGGCGTCTGAGTGTGAATGTCCCAGAACCGAACCGTGGTGTCGCCCGAACCGCTCGCAAGGTGCCTGAAACGAGAACATTTGCTTCTCTTGCACCAAATCAATTGTGCAACAACGTGAGGAATACACTATAACACTTTGAAAAATTACTAAGTTTAATTTTGATCCATTAATTTGAATGGTTCTCAAATGGGGTTCTTTGAAGGCCTTCTACACCAAAGCCCTGGGCCGTTAGTCAAGCCGAGAAATAAAATGTTTCTTTTTATGAATGCTGGCTTCACTTCAGAGCTTTAAGGTTGGGTGGCACGCATTTAGTTTACCCTTCTGCAATCATTGTGATTGTTCAATATACGCTCCCCTCCCCTCCCCTCCCTCCCCCCCCCCCCCCCCCCCACCCCAAGTAGATGGGGTTCCCCATCACTTCTGCTAATCCATAAGGAGTCTCCAAAGCATTGATGGTTAAGAACCGCCAGTTTAAACGCTTGAAGAGGTCAACCTGCCTTTAGAGCTCATTTGCTGCTTTGCAACATTCATTCATTTTCACACACCTTGCAAGCACCCCGACCAAAGTAGGGTGGACACAACTGTGCTAGCCCACCAGAAAGCAGCATCTCTCCCGCAGCAGCGAGAGAAAGACGTAGAATGTCAAGTTTGGCCACTCCTTCCCTAGCTCGCTGCACGTGAGAGGAAAAACAGTGCCTAATGCTGCAGGAATTACAGAAATATCTGCAAGGGTCACCCAAGAGATGTGGGACCTCGACTGGTAGCACCTAGAAGCTACCAGAACATTACACCGTCATTAGTGGCATACACGCAAATCTGAACAAGTAATTTGTTACGTGGAAGTTTAGACAGTGGGAATCCGGTCAAAGTCTTTGCTGTATACGAGAGCCAGTGCAGTAGGACTGCTACCTCGGGCTCTGCACTGTGAATCACGAGCTAGTGATACGCCACGACGGTATGAATCTGGTAGATCCAAACGAGCGGGGGTAAGGATCAAACCCTCCGGGTTCTGCAGTGCGAGCTTCCGCTCCACAAGCCCTGAGCTGCAGTGCACTAACATGTTTGGCCACTGGACCGCCCAAGCTCGACAAGAAAATGAGACAAAATGGCGGCTGCCGGTACATTTGGCGTTTCGCGGGCAGCACGGCACTCGTTCCAAGGTGCTGCCGCCAGCACGTGCTGGACGTGCTGAATAGATCCACTATAGTCGCTGGCGTTTCTTTGGAACATCCATCCTCCAGCGTGCGCCCAGTGCCTTCTGCTGCGCTTTGACTAAGCGCATGCACTTGAGGTGCACACTCCCCCTGCAGTTCTCACCTTGTCGCCGACTATTGTTGTGATATCGGAGAACCGTGGGTCTTATCATTTCCACGGCCCAAGCATCACCAGTAAAAGGCCTAACCTCAATGTATATTAGGTATAGGATAACTGCCAATTTTAGAAACATTGGCTAGGTGGCAGAAGCTGCCTCCCGAATCTCGGGAGGTCAGTCATGTTCATTTATCCTGGAAGCGATTACCTCCCGTCCGGACTGAAGGCGGCGACGAGCACTGCCTCCTGGTGTCCCGGGATGGAGGCGGTGCAGCGGGTGACGGCCTGGACCCTGAAGAGCGCCTGGGGTGCGTACACAATCTCCAGCACCCGCTCGGGCTCGAGGGGCTGCGTGCGCCCGGTCAGCGTCTTCACCAGCGACTCCTTGATCTCCTCCCCGTCCACAAAGAACAGGTAGGGCACCTTCTCCTGCTGCATGGTCGAGGATCATAGCTGGATATCATAGATCTTCAAACAGTCTGATGTCTAAACGAAACATGAGGGTGGTGAATCCTGTAGCAAGAAATTCTAAAGGAATCTCCGAGAGATCCCACAGTGGCAGCCGATGTCTCGCTAAGAGACTTCGCTTCTTCATTAGGGTTTATCAGATGTGTTAAAGTAAGCCTGTAATCATTGTCATACCATTCCCTAACATTAATTTGCAACTAATATCTTCAGGGGTCAATTAGCACACCACAAAAACAAGGCCACAAAACTAACAATAGTTCTGGAGTTGTAAGCAAACAAGGAATGGCATGTTATGGGGAGTATTCATTGCCGGCCATAGCTGTATGCGCGAGTGCCGAGCACGCCCCGATGGCGATCTTCCACAGTTCTTTTGCAACGTGCATTCCACATCATCAAGATGGCCAATCTTAGCAGCCTAATAATGTGAGCTTGTTCTGAGCATGCACTCTAAACAACACCCTTAAATATGGTGCCCAGTGAATACCGCCTATTGGATGATGCCACTTGGTCGCATGCACCTGCGGGGAATGTTGCGAGAGTACTAGGGAAAGCGATCAACTCAATTTGCAAAACTGCTGCCAAAGTACCGAGAAGCGAGCTCGTGGCGAGATTTTTAGCTCAGCATATACAGCATGTACACTAACACTTTCAAACCCACCTTAGACCGCCCACAAAAATTGGTTTCTCTATGTATCGCACCGATATTTGCTACAGAAGTGCAGCAAGGTGGTGGAAGCATAGAGTGAAAATGTCAACGGATGAGCTTACCTTGTCTCAAAAAAAGAAAAACCTGTTTCCGGCTACCTGCTGCAGCCCTCGCAGACAACGTCATAACCGTGCTTGCCTAGTTGTATGTGCTGCTGAAGGATGGTGCAACGTGGGACATGAAAGTAGTGCAGTGCCTCGACCAATCATCTCCGTACCAAATATCGGGAGCCTAGAGGGACTTAAATCCTATTTCTTATTAAGTTCATTTTTTTTACTGAATAAATTATCGCACTATGAGAGTTAAACATGAAAGAGATGGAGCCAGCATAGTGAAAAGTTTCCGAAGATTGTCTGCTAAGCTCGGTGCCAGCGCGCTTGACGCTTACGACATCTGTCGGCGGCAGATGCAACTAGATGGGCCCGGTCAGGACGACATCTGCGAATACCGCGGCAGATTGCCCTAAACGGGTTTTCCTTTTTTTTTATTGAACAACGTAAGTTCATCCGTTGATATTTTCATTCTAAGCTTCCACCACATAGCCACGCCCCTGTAGTAAATTGCAACACGATAAATGAGAAATTAATTTTTGCGAACCGCCTAAAGTGGGCTCAAGGCGTTAGTGTACATGCTGTATAGACCCTTTCACCGACCCTCAAAGTGGCACTGCCATCTTGGAATCACGTGATGCGGCCGCCGTAAGGTAGCTTCAACTCATTGCGCTGCTCTACCCTCTGCGCCTTGGCAGATGCGTTCGTTGTATTCATGTTTTTCATCGCACTTCACCACATTTTCTTTCCTTGATCCGGAAAGTGTCGTCCGAGACTTGTGCCCAACTTCTGCAGCACCATAAGCATGATGCTTATAGTGCTTCGGTATTAACATTAGCACTGACGTACATTAGTATATCGATGACTCTAAGATAGGCTTCGAAGGCCAATTACTTACGACAACTCGGGTTTACAATAGCAGCGAAACATTTGCAATAAGACGCAAAAAAGATGACAAAAAAATAGCGTAAGGAGCCACGATCTGGGTTTCCTCAAAGCAATCGTCCCTTGTATTAAAAACAGATAGAAAACGGTTCCATTGTATGGGGGAACTCGTGGAGAAGGTCGGCAACAAACATTTAACGTGCATTTTATCTGATGCTAGGCATCATGGTACGTCAACACCTGGAGACTTTTTTGCTCATATCACACCGATACGTGTGTTTGACGTTCTTAGCAGTAAATGTGCGAGTTCTTCTATTCTTTGCGATTCAGCATATTGTTAGTCAGGTTCTGGACCTGTTTCTTGACTATGCAATAATGCATTAGCCCCTTCATTAGTTTATGTTTCTGCAAACAATGCATCGGGTGCGACCGTTGACAATACTCATCCTCCCTGTGCATCGGTTGTGTCGTTTTGTCGCCAAACCTAGCCGAAATTAATGACGAACTTAATCAGATGCGTCAAAGGTGATGGTAAAAATGCCCGCAATTGAAGCTCCACAGCACTTTGTGTTTCTCAAAGTGGCTCAGTACCAGTGGTTCATTGGTTGCGGGCTACAAGGAACATGTATTTGTATCACAAAATTAAGCGTAAAATGTTGTAGGACAGCAACACAGCCCCACGCATGTTAAAATCAAAACCAACCAAATTGAAGCAACCTAATGGCGGCGAGCGCGTTAGCGCCCTCTAACTGTCGGTCAGGCAAATACTCAAGCAGATCTGACGCTGTAAAATGAACCAGAAAAATCTGTGCATGCACACAGAAAGCTCGAACTTTCACCAAATGTGCATTGAGCAGGTCAGATTACCATGTCAAATTTCAGGGCATAGTTTTTTTTCTGTAAAAAATGAGAGCAAGAAACTCGCCGAAATCAACGCCAAGCGCATTTGCAGACGACCGAGTTAGCGAAGGGAGACTGGAAGCGACTACATTCTTGTGATGTCATCTTCCGATGGGCACAGCCAAGGTTATTAGATTAATAATTGAAAACGAGCGTGTTGAACAGATACAAATACTTAAAAAGATAAAACATTGAGGATGGGGATGGAAACAGGACTTCTTTCAAAGCAGTTGTGTTTCCGTCCCTGATGTTTTATCCTTTCAAGTATTTGTATTTAGTAGATTAGCTCAGCTACGGAACTGCTCATAGACACCATTTGCAAAAACAATACCCCCTCTCTCTTACCACGGCTTGCCACCCGTCGTTCGACACACCGGACGGCTGCTATTGTATGTAACTGCGGTGTATTCTATGGAATACATACATACATTTTGAAGCACATACTTGGGAGGTGAACTGAAGTGAATGACGGGGAGGGGGGCACCCCTTTTTGCGCGAGTTCCACAACTGAGGTAATTTAGTAACGTTGAGTGTATCAATCAGACGACGCTCTGTTGTCTGCTAGCTACACCTATCGCAAGATGGCGCAACAAGTTAATGCAGAGCGCAAGTTCGTCTGCTTCTTTTGCAGGGGGTTGTGAGGTTAGAACGCCGAGCTCTGATTGAAGGATAGTGGGTAGACCTAAAGGCAGCTTGCTTTGAGCGCTCCCATTTCTTTTTTTTTTTTTTCACAGGAAGAGTTTTGCGTTCTGAAATTTGACGTAAAACTGACCTGTTGAAACCAGATTCGGTGAAATTTTGAGCTTTCTATGTGCATGCATCGTTTTTTCGGCTATTGTACAGCGTCGGATCTGCTGCTACTGTGATGGTTAAGAGGAATCAGCACACGTAACGCACTGTTTCCAAAAAAGCGTTGCACAGGAGCTGCAGCTTGTCCACCGTCACGTCGATGGGCAGGTCGAAAGGGGCGCCGGCCGACTCGCCGGACTCGGACGTGAACTGGGCCAAGACGCGCTCGATCGTCAGCGGCGCCGGCTGTTTTTCTGCCAGATGCGGAGAGGATGAAGCGAGGTGTCAAAATTTATCGCGCGAACAAAAAAGAAAAACGCTACTTTGGTAAGGTTTAGACACTAGCTTCCGAGATATGAAATGTGTGGTTGAAACGTCTTACCCATTTTTCTCTTCATTTCAAAGCGTGGTGCGATATATTCCGCTAGAAAGGCGAATCACAAAGTTGTCGCGGCGAGAAATTAACGAGCTTGATGCACATGTGGTATATCCATCATCCGTACCACACTTTTACCGATGACAAAGAGCTAAATTAAAGCCACGATCACTTTAAAATAGAGTGAGAAACACAAGAAAACGTAATTGCCAAATCCGCAAAACCCACAACCACACGACCACACTCAACACACACGACGAACACGTGCTTGGCGCAATCAATCGACAAGCAGCACAGAGCAGCGTAGCTGGCGTAGCGCGTAGAATCAGCGCATGCGCGTTGCGCTTGTTTACCAAAAACCGTGGCGCAACCAGCGCAACCTTGCGGCTTCCGCTTTCCAAAATAGTCCTAAACCACAACTAATTTTTTTTTATCATCCTTAAACAAACCTTTTAATATATATAAAAAGCCTAAATACTCTCAAAGTTTTTTTAATGTGTTTTAACAATCTTATAAAGTGAAGCTTTATTACACCGATTCCACTTTTCCATTCTGGCAGCGCAGTGATACTGGTGATACCGAGAAACCCCCAAAAAACGCGTCCGAAGCAACCAAAACAAATGGAGTCGAGGGTCGTAGCTCCCTGAAGTAGCGTCTTCGTATACCGTGTTTGGTTGCAGTTCAGGTAAAGAAATTTTGGCAAGTGTTTCTTTTTTCTCCGTTCTGCTCGTGTCAGAACGTCAAGAAGGCGTCCTCAAGCATTCCATCCCTTGTGAGCGATGTAACCGCGGTGACGGTGCTTGTGACTTTTGATCGCTCCGCTCGTTGCACGTTCAGTGGCTCGCGATGAATCCTCGGCAAGCCCAGTGCATCCCCGAGGGCATCCTCGACGACCTTGCGTCCCGCTTCATCATCAACATCCCCGAGGAAGAGCGGCGGGACCCGATCCGACTGTGCTTCCAGATCGAGCTGGCCTTCTGGTTCTACTTGGACTTCCACTGCCCCGAGGATCCGGCGCTGCGGCCGTGCACCATGCGGGAGTTCACGCAGATGGTCTTCCAGCACGTACCTTCGCTCCGGGACCACCTGCCCAACACAGACTCGATCATCGAGCGCTGGAAGGAGTACAAGATGGCCGTGCCCACGTACGGGGCCATCGTCCTCGATGAGACGCTCGAGTACGTCTTGCTTGTGCAGGCGTACTGGGCCCGGGCCAGCTGGGGTTTCCCCAAGGGCAAGGTATCTCTCGACCCTCCTTGCTCATGTTCGATGTGACGTTCGCGAGTGCCGAAATGAGGGGCCGCGTTCAAAATCTGCGCCCTCTGATTTAATTTTTCTGAGCGTTGTTCTTTATAGAAGCGCAGGTGAAGGAGGGGAGGTGACAAGGTTAAGTACGGTCCTGTGCTGGCGTGTGTGACGAAGCTTAACCCCGCAGCTGCTCACGCGATCACCCCCCCCCCCCCTCCCCTCCTTGCCTGCCCTTCCTATGAAGCGCACTCACCCACAACTGCTGCACTGCTTCATGCACAGGAGCTCCATTCTCGAAGGGCAATTCATCTGCATATACTCGGCTTTACAGACAGTGCCACCAACTTCAGAGACACGAGATATGTATGATATTCAGTGGCGGCCATAGACAAGTTCTTAGCTGCCGAGTGTGTGCACGCGGTAAGCTTCCACTGTGCTTCGGCACTGTGCACTCCACATCATCGAGGCTGTTGTCTGCAGACTTGTACACGTTACTGAAAAATAGTAAGGAATTACATTTACAATTACTCGAGGCTTAATTGTAATTTATTACAATTACAATTACCCTCCCATAAAAGTAAGTGACCGTTACCCCCAAAAGTAATCCGTTACTTTCGTGGCGTTACTTTCAACAATATTTTCCTCAATTAAGAAACAAAGGGAAGAAGGTTATTCAAGTTCTTATTGTTGCCACCTGTTCCATTTAATGACCTTGAGTATTTTGAGCAATACCTGACTCTCGAATGTCTCGTCAGACATTTTGTGTTATTCCTTACTCAATATGTCGATTGCTACGCTGAACGCCATTTGAACTGAGGCACTGGGTGGGAGTGCCATATTGTGCGTCACGAATGTTTCATGCTCTGCATTGGGCTTTTTCATCGAAGCAATGTAAGTGCTATTTACCTCGAAGATAGAGCTAACCTTCGTCGTTGCAGCCGTTGCCTGATATTCGAGAGTTTTAGTACAGTTGGTAACTGTAAGGTGATAGTTATAATAAATAAAGTTTGGCTCGATATTCTTCTTTCTTTGGTTCTGAACAGGTCGAGCCTCGGTTGAGATGTTGGTGAATCAGAAAAAAAAGTTCCCAAGATTTAAATATAAGTAATTAATAAAAACAAAACAGGACACTAATAACAACAATTAATTAGAACGTTGGTTAAAACAAGGAAATGTGAACGCACGTTTGCCATGTGTACCTTTCTTGGTGCCGTTCAAAAACGCACGGAGCACGGACCGACTGCAGTTTACTCCGGTGTTCTCCAGATAGACGTAGAGAACTAAGTAAGCCGCACAATGGCCTTGCTCGTGAGTTTCACTCTCTCCTCAAGTCCAGCATATCCAATCTACGTTAGCCACCATTATGTTTTATTTGTAAAACTACCTGCTTGAGATAAGATGCGTCCTGCTGGGGTAAAAACAGGAAGAAAAAAAAAAAAGGAAGACTATTACCATTTTCGAAGGGCTCGCAAAAAGCTGACTCACAAAAAGGGTAACTGAGATGCTGGTAACCTGGCTGCAATTCACAAATAAAGTGGGCCAATCCTAAAAGTTGGACTACAAAAAAAGTAAATATTTTTTAACACAGGGTCAAATAAGGTGAAAGAAGCAGGAAAAAAATGCATCCTGTTTTCTAGAGATGATAAGTGTGCATCGACGAGCGAGGATGCTTGTGGCAATAACACCTCCACATATTATCACATCTCTTTTAGTGGATTTTAGAGTAGACGGCGCGTTGTCTTCTCTTGTGACATTATGAAAATGGTCCTAGTCACTATAACCGAGAAGGACATTGTTAATTCTTGTTTGTGCACTTACGGCCTCGAGCTTCTCAAAGAGGCACACAATCACTTGGTGTCCTCCTCTCCCTGCCTTCGATCGCAAAGAAAAAACAGACACTAAAAAAGGCGAATATAACTTGCCCCCCCCTCCCTTTTTTTTGTAGAAATTATTATTTGGATCTTTTGACATTGTTGTTAGGGTCTATTAAAAAAAAGTAGATTCAAAAGCTTGGTGTTGCAAAAAAAATAAAATAAATAAAACGCTTTGCGGAACTGAAGTGTGCCAAGCCTTTCTTTGCTCTGGTCAATTCGCGTGACAGTGTCACTGCGCACAACTTTACCAAAATGAAAACGACTTTTTCTTTAGAAGAGGGGGGGGGGGGGGGGGGCTGGTCTTAAAAAAAATGTAACGGATTACGAGGAATCCGTTACGCAAAATATGTAAGGGAATTACTTTAAAATTACTCTAGAAAATATGTAATTATTCCGTTACTAAATTACCGATAAATGTAACGGATTACAAGTAATTTCGTTACTTGTAACGGATTACGTACAAGTCTGGTTGTCTGTATAAGGGAGAGCTGGCACCGTAAACAACATGCTCAGAGTTACTCATCATACTTTGCTATGCCCATGGCAATTCTTTTTCTCGCAGACAAGTGAGCCAAGCACATGCATTGTAAACAGTGAATTCGAGAACCTGTACTGTTGCGGATGTTCCGTATGGGACTTGTAACCCTTGGTTGTGGGATTGGAGGGGAAAAACATAATGAAGGAATCTCTGCCTGACCTGTATTGCGCTCGTCCTTCTATCTGCACTCTCTGCACCTAAATTAGCGTTGCTAGGAATTTAGCTCGCCAGGCTGACCGAGAACGCCGGTGGACGGTTTCGTGCCTTCATTGGGCGCTTCCTGCAGGTGAACGAAGGCGAGGAGCCCCAGGCCTGCGCGGTGCGGGAAGTGCTCGAGGAGACCGGCTTCGACATCTCACCGTTCCTGAACCCGGTGGAGTACATAGAGCGGCAGGTGTTTGACACCCAAGTGCGGCTGTACCTGGTGGTGGGCGTGCCCCGGGACACGGCCTTCAGCCCCCGTACCCGCAAGGAGATCAAGAGCGTGGACTGGTTCTCCATCGCTGACCTGCCGTCCCACAAGCGGGACCAGGCGCCCCGGGCCACGCTGGGCCTCAACGCCAACGCTTTCTTCATGGTCATGCCCTTCGTCAAGCCGCTGCGCAAGTGGATCTTCAACAGCCGCCAGCGCCGGTCACAGCGGCAGACGGCCGGTGTGCCGCACTGCATCACCGACGCGGAGAAGCTGAAGCAGAAGCAGCAGGAGTACTTTGCCAGCTTGTACCGGAGTGAGCTCCTGGACGCGCTCCGGCTCAAAGGGGACGGCGACGCGCAGCAGGCACCAGCGGCAGCGGATTTGCCGAGACCTGAGGGCCTGCCCGGAAACGTGGTGCCTGCGTTCAGCGCCCCGTCGTGGACAAACTTTACGCTCGACAAGAAGGCGCTCATGGCCTGTCTGTGCCCCAAAGTGCCGCAGTGTTGAGCGCGCAATCGACGGTCGCGGTGCTTGGCTCCTCCCGGTCATGCAATGGAAGACGAACGTGTGACCGGCCCTTGGGAGACAAGAGAAACTGCCTCTTTCATTCCTGTTGCGTTTGTTGCTCGTTGGAGGCTGTCTTCCCCACGTGTTTCGTTTGCACATCGTGTCAGTGTTGCGCTTTGTATACATATTTTTGTTGGATTACCATCGGCGGTCCTTCATTTTTTAACTTGGAAGGTCACGGTTGAGTTGGTTTGATTTTAACTTCACTGTTGATATCTGAATCCAACAGTGGCTGAGCTCGGTGAATGTGGCTGCGTCGAAGAGTGGCGCATGACTGCAATGTTTTGGTCTGGCTCATTTACATTCCCACGTTTTCGACGAGGAGGTTTTGTGGAAGTGGACAACACTGTTGCTTTGACTGAATTGAATGATGCTTTCACGTAAGGCATTGTCACTGCTCATTACCAAATTACTGTAAAATACTGAAAAAGAGCTCACCCCAAATTTGGAGGATGGGTGCCTGTTAAAGACAGACCTGCAAAATATTTTTCAACCGGTGCGAGCATCCTCCTCGCCACTCTTCCCATTTTCCCCACTCTTGACTCGATGAAGGAGGGAGGGACTCTTTTGCTTGCTGCATCTTGGGGCCAAATGTGCCGGGATAAGCTCCCGGCCTATCCAGCCTTGATATGCAGCAACAAAAGGTGTCTCTTTGCACTCAAGGTAGCGGTGGGAGAGGAGAAAATGAGGTGGTGAGGAGGATTTTCATCCTGGTTGAAAAATATTTAGGGGCGGGTCTTTAAAGGGAGCTGTGCAACAATTTCAGGGCCTTGCTTAAATTATTGTGGAAGTTGATGCCTGGGCGGGTCTTTAAAGGAGCTGTGCAACAATTTCATGGCTTTGCTTAAATTATTGTGGAAGTTGATGCCCGACACTTCCGAAGTGAACTACAAAAAACAGATTTTGCCTTGATACCCTAGTTTTTATTTTAAAAAATGAAAAAGATCCAGGTTTTTGCCGCCTCTCAACTCGTACGTCGTCTTCCGGGTCACTTATGCAGTGACATTGAGGGGGTAGGCGCGGGGTTCCGGAAAAGTTCTCTCTTTAGTGCTATCAGTAAGCAGCGAGAACTCCTCCGCTCGCGACGACGTGCTGGCGGGCGCGGCGCGAACGATGTGGTTAAAGGAGGAAAGTCTTATCTGGGTCCGGCCATACCCGTCCGGCTCTCTCGAGGAGGTTAGGCTCTCTCCCCCTCTGACTTCTGGTGGCTTTTCACGGTAGCAGGTGGAGCTGATAGTTTTGTGGACCTAGGATAGATGGCGCCACTAAAACTCCGTATAATAAAAGTTTTGGCGATGATACCAGGTTTTTGACGCATTTATATATATGTTGGAATGACAAGATTTATAGAAAAGTTACCTTTTATCGAGCAGGTATTCGCATAACTTGCTATCTTTCTACAAGATTCCCCACTGACGTCACACCGCGTGTTTCTCATGGCCGCCGCCGCTCGCGGCTGCAGGTCGGGGAATATTCTAAGTTTTGCCTCGCCATTACGCAGCGGAATCGCAACATTTCGATGGAAGGAGGTGTGTTTTTTGTCATTTGTGACAAGGTGAACAATATCAAAAGCAGAAGATGCCAATTCTTTCAACGTTAAAATCGTTGCACAGCTCCTTTAAATCCGAGAAGGAAAATGCGGAAGTGGCACGGGATAGGGTGGGATTCCCCATTTTGCGCTCGTGTGCTTGGAGAAGTGCTCACGCGGTCGAGCGTCTTGGTTAGCTGGGTGGGCTCGTGAGTCTGGAGTGGGTGCTTGATACGTCCTTTGCTAATTTTTTGGACGTTTCAGAAGTAGCGATTTTGACTGGGGAGCAAGCTCAGTATTTTGCAATTGTCATTTCTTTTTCTTTTTGCCTTTTCTTTAAAGGGGCGGTGCAACAATTTGCGGACTTTGGCTAATTAATTGCGGGAATTGATCCCGGCCACATATAAAACAAAGGACCGAAAACTATTCTTTCCTGCTTGCCCTAGTTTTCATTAAGAAAAATAAAAGAAATTGGTATCTCCGGCACCCCTCAACTCAACATTGAAGCGGCACCAGCTTCGCCTGTGACGTCATTCGGAGTGGCGTTGGTTTCCGGTTGGGTTCTTTTGGCTTCCGTTTCCCCAGCGCTCTTCGGCTCGCCAGGCTCGCCGCTCGCCGCTCTCCCGTCGATTCCCGACCAACATGGCGGCGCGGCGGAAGTCGAAGTCAAAGTCGAGGTCGAGACACCAGGAACAATAACGATACTATGGACCACGACCAACGCACTCCGTTGAGCGAGGGAAAGACAAAACGTCCAGGTTGCTCGTGTAGGCGCCTCGGGCGTCGACGGATGACGGCGACGGCAGGTTTTGTTGACTTGCGGTAGATGGCGCCACAAATAATTTATACCCTTTTAGCGGCAATATTAGGCTTTTGAAGCGTTTCTGCATGCCTAAACAAGATTTTTTAAACTTAACCTTAAATCAAGCTTACAATTGCCTAACACTATCACTTACAAAAACCACTCCGAATGACGTCACACCACAGGTTCCATTTGTGGCCACCATGTGGCCGCAGGTTGGGAAAAAAAAGGGTTTTTTATTTTGCGATTACGCAGCGAAATATAGGTATTTTGGGGTATGGTGGCACTTTTTCTCTTACTTATGCCGAAGTAAACAATATAAAAAATACAAGCTGCACATTCGTTCAGTGTTAAAATCATTGCACCGCCCCTTTAAGCTTGACCTCTCAGTTTTTTCTTCAGTTTTGATGTTGTAATTCACTCGTAAAATAATGTGACTGAGGAAAAAGCATTACCCTTAAAAACCATAGTTGTGCGACATATGACGTGATTCAGCAACTGTAAAATTTTACATCACTCTACAAAGTAAGGAATATCCTAACATAGACAAGGAACAGTGATGTAGAATATATATTTGTCCTACAAGTGGTAAATAATGTTCTCAGTACCACAACAATTTTTAACAGTCCTGTCGAATCCAGCCTAACAAAGATGTAAACAAAACAAATCGCCTTGACTACTGTAGCATCTCGTACCCAACAAAAATTATACGGTAAACTTTTGTTAATTCGACGGGACCTTGAAATTTGGTCGAATTATCCGAATGATTGAATTAAAAAAAGGACAGAAAAATTGTTAAAATTAAACTTCCTTTTATTGTCCAAAGTACTCACGGATGGCCCGCTGCCGTCTGCACTTAAAACGCGTGTCCAAAAGCATGCTCCGGAGAGCAGCGATGTACTTTAAGAGCTCAGCAGCCTTAAACCTCCACACCAAACACGCACTTGGATGCGGTACTTTCGGCAGTATCCTCCTCGGTTTCATCTCCCGCGTCCACCCAACAGCCGGTTACGTCAGCCACGATGTCGTCATCTGTACGTTTCCCGCATATTGTGACACCATTGTCCACATTCACCAAGTCTTCAAACAAGACGTCACCCAGGACAGGGAGGGAGCAAATCCGAGGTTTCGGTGGAAGCCAGCTCCCCACCAACAGCACCCGCATCGTCCCCAGTGTTCGGTGCAGACACGGCATGTGTGGGCACGATGAATGTCTTGAAACTGTTGGTAATCGTTTCCGGTTTAACTAGCTCCCACGCACGAGCAAGCATGTGCATTGCACCAAGTATGGTGATATGGTAGTCCTTGCCACTTTCAAAGCAGATGATCATCCGTTGCAGCAGCATTTTCCTTTACAGAACCTTCAAGTTTTTTATGACACCCTGGTCGAGTGGCTGCATGGTCGCTGTCACATTTGGCGGCAAAAATTTAAGGCGCACTGCCCGCAGTTTTTGGACGACAACATGCGCGCTGCTATTAACCACGATGAGGACAGCACCACGATCCCCTGACGTAAACTTTCGATCCAGCTTGACATTTCATTCCCTGAAGAGTTCTGCCCTCATCCAGGCTTTGGAGTTTGCTGCATAGTCAACTGGGAAAGTTTTAATTCCCTCGAAACAATGTGGCTCGGACGCTTTCCCCAGAACAAGCAAGCGGCACCTTTCAATTCCGGACATGTTGGCGGCTATCAACAGCTAGTCGCTCTTTGCTGCGCTTTCTGCTGGCACAGACGTTGACCTTGAGTGCTAGCGTTTTGTCCGGAAGCATTTTTAGTAAAAAGCAGTTTCATCTGCATTAAGGATGTCATCTGGGTGGTATGTCCTCAAAATGTCTTGCAGCCGGTCATTTTTCAAATGCTCGCACACTGCAGGATCGATATCTGCCCGCTCGCCACAGATTGTACGGAATGTGAGCTGGTGCCAACTCTTGAACCTTGACAACTAACCATCTGACCAAATGAAGTCGGAGGCATCAAGCATGCTTGCAAATACCCGAGCCTTTTTACAGACGACGGGTCCGCTGAGAGGCAAGTTGCGGCTTCTCATGTCACGGATCCACTGGAGCACAACCTCTTCGACGGGTGCGCCGACGTTCGCAGCCGTTTTCTTTCTTGGTCGAAGTGCTCTTTTTGTTGAGCCTCGATAATATTTTTCTTGTTGGCGGTCAAGGTGGCAAGCGTGCTTTTCTTCAAACCATATTTGTCTGCGATCTCCTTCCTCGATACACCTTTTGCAACCTCTTCAACAATGGCCGTCTTCGTGCCAATGGACGGCGACATGTACTTCCCGCATAATGCCATCTCTAGTCAACCAACCGTTGCCTCTTTGCTAAATGAAAGTGCTGCAACGTAACAACTGAGCTCGGCCTTTGTTCTAAACTCAGCGACTCGGCATCAACCGTGCCGTGTGCAGTAGAAGCGAAAATGGTTGTTTGCGCAACGTAATTAAATGTCACGTCCACGGAAAATCGTGCACTAAAAAAAAAAAAAAGAAGAAAGAAAGCTTTACGAGTCGACTTTGGCGTCAAGCAACCAGACCATTGGCGGCAGAAAAAAATAACAAACAAAAAGGAAAAGAGAACTCTCACTTTCCGGCACGCAAGGTAGACCGCACACAATGCTACAGAAAAGCGCTTTGAGAGCACGCGCTGCCTCTGTGCCCGACCACGTGCTATGTTCTCCGCACCACTCCACACCAGATTGGTTGCGCTGGCTCATGTCATTCGCTATAATCCATCTCAACGGCGTAAAGGAGGAGGCGCATATTTGCACACGTTCGACTTTGCAGCAAAAGGTCCGTATTTTGCCGTACGTTAGTGGTTCTTCTGCCGTGGTGCCGTGCAACTTGAGCCCATGCACATTCGCTCGGGACAAATTATCTAACGCGGAGTCCCCCTGAGTTCGAACTATCAAACTTTTCCTCCCATAGAAATGTATGGACGCTCGCCGGCACTTTTGAACACGATCGAATTTAACGAAAAGTTGAATTAAGCGAGGTCGAACTAACGAAAGTTTATTGTATTAACTGTCGTACACAGTATAAGCACAAGTTGTCATGTTAGAGTTGTGCCAAGTATTGTTGCTGTCAAGGGCTGTCCAGACAGAAACTTCAAGAATGTGTGGAGCGTCACTTCTCCGCCATATGAAGTGTGGCGGTCCGCTCCACTCCGTTTTATTGGCCGGGGGAAAAGCTTTCCTCCGCCAACATCTGCTTGTATCTTTCACGAAGGCCTAGAACATGCTCATCACGGGGGTTCAGACAGCCACTCACACACTTTGTTGGTTGTCAGTCATTAGACCGATCTCACCAGCCAGTTTGACTACGCCACCGCTGCCGCAATGCATCGAGGGAACTTTAGTCTTTCTGCACGTGCGACGACCTCGCTGGAGCTCTGCGCGTGTAGAGAACGAGACGGCGCGGGGCCTCTCGTGCCCTGCCGTTTGCCTCCTGTTAACTAAAGTTATGGCGGCGTCACCGATGCGCCGAACGCTTGGTAAGATCGGTCTATTGCTCGAGGCTTTTACTGCTGTTCAAGTCCCAAAAACGGGAAAGGGAAGGATACATATGGCACAGCAGAACAGATTGACAGGCAGACCATTGGCAGATCATACGTGACGTGAAGTCTAATGAGCACCGACGTCGCAGAAAAGCGGAGGAGGTGAAGAGGAAAGCCATGACGTTTGTCTTGTGGATGTGCAAAGAGAAGATAGACTGCCAGACTTCAACTTCCACTTCATATGGCAGAGAAGAGTCGCTTCACAAGTTCTGAAGTATCCTGTTTGGACACCCCTTTACTCCATGGATGCTGTTCAAATAAAATGTTTCTGAGTAATGGCCTTACAGTTGGATTCAATACTTTAGCGAATTGGTGTGTGTGTGTTTATACGGTCAGAAGTTAGTCTGCCGGAGGTTAGGCTGGAGATAAGCAATTTAGCCAGTACGGTGCAACCAATGTGGTAGTAAATTTGGATGTTTGGGAGTCACGTGTGAAATAAAATTTATCTTTTTGATAGTGTCATGAAGCTGAATAAAAAGGGGAGGGGGGGGGGGCTTCTTTTTTTTGCCTCGAGAAACTGAGGGAGAGGAGGAGACGAGTGTGCGGGGACGTCGGAACCACTGACCCCTCTTGTAGTAGGCTGGATCACAGATTGGGAGCCCATCGGTGGCACCACCGGCAGCCAATGCTTTGGGTGCTTAGGCTGCTGGCGGTGTGCCGCGATGCGGCGTGTACAAGTGGGGCAGTTGGGTTAATATTTTTTTATTGAGCCATTCGCAGACTGTCGGTGGTGAACTGGGGTGCCAGGTAGGCTAACACGTGCTCCAGTGTACACCCGCCATCCCTCACTGCGCCTCCAAAAAGGGCGACCCCCATTTCCCCTCCGAAATTTTCAGAAAATCGCAGAACTTTTGGTTGAGATAATGTTTCGTTCTCAAACATTGGCATCTGGTTCGAAACACCAGCTACATTTGGGCGAAGAATAAGCGTCCAACAACCCGTAGTTTATTTTTGTAGTTAAAAAAAGTGAAAGCCATTTACAACTCCCTGTAACGCCAAATTGGAGCGCAGCTCTTGAGGAGGAGGAGGGTAAACCCCTCCTCCTCCCCTCATTCTTTAATATGCTCGGGGGGGTCACCTGACCTCGGGGGGGGGGTCACCTTGGGGGGTCGCGTGACCTTGAGAGGAATCACGTGACCTTGGTTACGCCGACGGTGACGCCGACACCGCTCAAGCCAGAAACGGGCGCCTAAGAGCTGCGCTCTAAAAATGAAAGCCGTTTACAACTCACTGTAACGCCGAATCAGAGCGCAGCTCTTGAGGAGAAGGATGGAAGGGTACTGAGAGGAACGTATACCCCTCCTCCTCACCTCCTCATCCTGTCTGCTACTCCTCCCTCCAAGCCGCGTCGCCGTCGCCTCGCGAGGGTCACGTGAAGATGACGTCATCAGTGACGTCGCGTGTGACGTCATCGTCACTGATGGCCAACATTACTAGATTACCCAATTGTGGAACTCCCGCGGAGGGGGGTAGCCCCCCTCACTTACTTCAATCCGCCTGCCGTCGTTCAAAGCGCCATCTAGATTTTTGTTTCATAACTGTGTGTTCCAAAGAGCACAGCTGAAGCGCCATCTAGACGCCGTGCTTCGAAACGTATGTATCCCGATTCCCAGCAGCAGCAGTCCGGCGGCGCGTCGAGCGACGCCAGGCGAGTCGTGGTGAGTGAGGGGGGTACTGTTCGTGCATGCAGAGTCTATGAGCAGTTCTGTAACTGAGGTAATCTAATAACGTTGCTGATGACGACATCGTCATCATCACTGATGATGTCACCAATGACATCACACGTCCCATAATGCACCGTGCGGTTACACCGACGGCGACGCCGCTCAAAGCAGGAAACGGGCACCTAAGAGTTCGCTCTAAATAAAAAAAAAACTTATAATTTTTTTTTTTTTTTTTTTGGGGGGGGGGGGGGGGGGGGGGAGAGGAGGAGGAGGATTGGACACACTATGTGTGTTTTTTTTAAGCCCTAAAAAGAAAAAAAGTCTGAAAACACTTAAGCATTTTTTATGAGCTGTGAATGCGACAGCATTCGTTCCACTCCGTTAGTTCGTCTGTGGCGTAGTGGCATGGACGGCCACGTCTCCCCGGCGGACGGCTGAGCGGGCACTCTCATGAAGTGGGCGCGCCGCACTGAGCTCGGCTGTGCACCCTCCCTGGAGCTTCCCCGAACAGGCTCTACCTCTTCTGCCAGCAACACCTCCGCAACACCGCGACACCACTCTTACCGGCGGCGGGGCTGCTGCGTGCGCTGCGCCGCCATACGCCGCCACGGAGAAGGCTTCTCTGGTGGCTTTTTTTGGAACTACACCACACGAGAGCCAATGGGAGTCTCGTTCCTTGATGACGTGCGCCAGCCAATGGGAGCATAATTCACCAGAAATTGGCTTCACTTGGGAAAGGGGATTTTAGGTGCTGTTTGGCCAATGTTTGGCGTGGTTTCAGGCCTGGTGACGGTTCGCTCCAGGGGACAATTACTACTGTCACATTAAAGGAGAAGATCTTAGTGCATTACGGGCATATTATGGGCGGAAATTGAAATCCCGCTACATAGAGGCGATGAGTTGGTCAGGATATGCTGAATCATTCAGATTCAAGGTCAAAGGGTCCTCGGTCCGGGATGCATTATCCTATCACGAGCAGCCAATAAAACTGTATAAGACTAAATGAAGAAACTTGGGGGCCGAATTATGTCTGCTACTTTTAACCACTGCGCAAGCAAAAAGAAAAAAAAGTGAAATCGAAATTAAGCGGTTTATGAGGGCTAAAGTCGGAGCTGTGGTCGGAGCCACAGAGCCACCATTCAATCCAAACCAAAATGGCGACTTGTTGTTTGTTGTCCTAAATCGGGCCCGTCCCGTATCTCCGCGGCTCTTTCATTCGACCCAGGCCAGCGCGTTTCCCGGAGGGCATGCTTTTTTTTTTTTTCTTTCAGAGCGTAACCGATATGCATCGCGACCACATTAGCAACCACAGTGCGTGAGGGCACAGCCATGCAGAACGCGGATCAGAAGGCGGCCAAGCCACCGCCAACGAGGCTCCGACCCGTGGCCGTCGTCCTGCGCTGAAGTCGCCCGTCGGACAAGACCGAAAGCCTGCGGCCAACGGCGAGCGAAAAGACGGACCATGTTTTCGTACGCGTACCGAATACGGTGTCTGCAGAAACTGCATTCGGAAGCGTTCATGGGCCTGAATGCGGTGTGTTTGCCGGACTGCCTCCCGGCGGGCGCCGTGTACCGGTCCAGCCTGCCCGCCACTCCGGTGTCCACGCCGATCCGAGAGAGCTGGATCTTCTCCGAGCAGCAGCTGCGCGAGCGGCTCTGCAAGACCCCTTCCCCTAGAAAGTGTCGCTTTTTCGACCCCAGGCGCTCCGAGTCCGGCCTGAACAGCTTCGAGAATGAGTGGATCGAGTCCGCCGCGGCTCGGCGCACGATGGAGCCCGCCCTCGAAGACGACAAGTCCGACGAGACGAGTCCCGAGGACGCGGACAGCGTCAAGGAGAACGAAGTCTTCTACCAGAAGAAGCTCTTCGTCGGAAACATTAGCTACCGGGTGAGCTGTGTTTCGCCATGGCACCGCGTCTCTAGGCTCCGCGTGTCGTGCACTTTTCAGGCACACCCAGAGCGAGAAAGAGACGTTTGTGCGAGTTGTCACGCGAGCGCCCAAGGCAAAACCGACCAGAGTGGCGTTTTAAGCGTCGGAAAATTTCAGACGCAAGGCGTGCTCTCTTTTCGGGCGCCTTGCTCGCTGACAGAGATGCTGAAATGGCCTTTGACCTTGTAGTGCCCGTTTGATATCAGCGTGCGGTGTAGTTCGTGACAGCGTCTTAGACTAACTTCCGTTGACGTTTATCGAGAGTCGTCGTTACCGTCGCAGTCTTACTGAGCTGTCAGGCGTGTTCACTGGCGTGCGCGATACACGTGTGTTTTATTTCCGTGCGCCGCGCTTGTTCGGCGTCCGTGCTCACATCGATTGCCATCCCATCTGTCTTGTTAAAAAAAGAAAAAAGGTTTGCGCAGTCGACAGGATTCGAACCTGTGCGGGGAGACCCCAATGGATTTCTAGTCCATCGCCTTAACCACTCGGCCACGACTGCAGGACGAGTAGGGGCCTCTGATGTGGTAGTAACTCGAGCTGGGGATGTCATGGATGAAACGTTGCATGTAGCCGCTCAACGTCTATACAGGAAAGGGCGCTGCGGTCAAATGAGTTTATAATCGCGTTAGACTTTGCATGCATTGGCTCAACGTTTATAGACGAGAGGGCGCTGCGGTCAAGTGCTCAAGAAATCAGTATCATCAGCACCACCAGAGCTTCGCCCCAGTCAACATCATTCACCACGTGGAGATGCAGTCATATTTTTATTATTAATATTATTTCCTAATTCGGTTTATTTCTTTAGCATTTTGTGTCGAAAAAAATTTTTTGTTTTTTTTTTGTGAATATTTTTTTAATGTTTACCATATAATTTCTTTGCGATATGTGCTGCGCCATAGCCTCCTCTATACTCACAAAGCCTGGCAGTTCAATGACTTGGAGATTTGGAGCGTGAAGATCTGGTAGCACAAAGCATTTCTCGGGGAGTCTGGTATTCAGCACACAGCATTTGCAGCGGCGAGGACCCAAACATGGTTTTCGAACCCGACGAGAAAAGAAGCGGTAGCCCGAAGAACGCAAGAAGAACGAGCGGACATTCCATCGCTCGGGACAAGTGTGTTTCGGTGTTTTGCCGTACCGGGGCGCCCGTTACATGCCTCTTGTCTTCCGCTCTACTTTTTCACTTTTGGCGGCCGCGTCTCAGGTGATCTGCCAGGCTTTGTCAGTATTGAGGAGGCTATGGGTGCACGTTTATTTATCGCAAGGTAAATGCGTGGTCTTTGAGTTTCTTCCACCGTTACTAAAACACTCAGTTGGGAAACTTGTCCTTAAACCTGGACCGCTGGCATCCACCCTTTACGATACGATAACAGCGCTCCCGTTTAGTCACAAGTCAAAACATTAAAGTTGCTTTATATAGCTACTGCGAGATGGCCCTGCGAGGTGGCGCTACCAGCCCTTGTGCGACTCGACCTGAAGCAATACGTGCAGCCATGCAATTCCTGGAGTGGCTGCTGCGGGAGAAATGGCGGCATTGTGATCACCATTAGTTTGGTTCTCTAGTTTGGATCGCAGCCACTTTTTTTAAGCAGGCTCCAATGGCAGTTTCCCAGCTGAGTATTCTAGTAACGTTGGTTTCTTCTCAAGGCAAACACATGCGATCAGTGCTTACGACCGAGTACCTTTTGTGATCTCTAACTCCGAGAGAAAGAGGCGCCACACTGGCGCCTCTTTCAATTGGAACACTTGACATTCCTGTATATTTCCTATTTTGTTCGTGCAACATTCTTTCTTTCTTGGCTCGAAAAAATCTTTTGACAATGTTATAAGCTCATAGGTAGTACTTACATTTTATCTCTCAAATACCGCAAAACTTTGCTCTAGTGAAATGCATTTTCAGGGCCACCTCATAGATGCCGCCAGCGTGCCAGCGTTTTCTCGTCAAAACAGATTATAAAAACTCGGTCCTAAGCAAATATAAATGTGTGAACTGGGAGCACTGTAAAAATATTAATAAACATGCATGGGGCATTGTCAACTGCCACAGGACAGGGTCAACATCTGGAAACTGTGATACTATAAATAATCCAACGATATAAGTTTGTATAATAGCATTTTTGTTTCTCACAGTAGCATGTACAATGTTAAAATAATAACGAAGCAGTTGCAGATGAGTACAGACAAGTCAGATATTAACAGGCTCTACCCAGTGTTAACAAACTTCTAAGGTGGCGTGCTGTCAAATGACAGCACGCCACCTATGTCAACTAAAGTTATGACCATCTTTGCATTACTTTCAGAACAATCCTCATACTACAACAAATCCTAATAATGCAAACTTCTTTTTTTTTTTTGCTTAGAGCATTAGAAGAAATGTTTCAGTGTTGAATTAGTCTTTTTTCTTTTCCCACTCCTGCCAGGTTACGAAGCGGCAACTGCGTGATTTCCTCAGCAAGTTTGGAAAAGTCGTGGACTGTACCATAGTACAGGACCACGTGAAGCACTGGCCCAAAGGGTAATTGGCACCTCTTTGAACTGGTTCTTACACTAAGCACCTTCATTCCCTGACTTAATTCAACCTGATTAAAAAGGCTGCGAGCAATTTGTGGAAACTTTCGTATGAGAAAGAAGATGATGTAAGTTTAGAAAGAGTTGTATAGGTAAAGACGGGGGACGGGACAACAACAGTGAAAGATCTGTTGTCCCGTCCCCTGTCTTTACGTGTATAACTCTTTTTAAACTTACATCATTACCAACGCACTCACTAACAAGTATAAAAAGAAGATGATGTTTACAGTGCCACTAATAAGTGCATTAAATGTGTAGAATCTACCGCCATCGAAAGACGTTGTCTTCCAATCTGAAACCTGGCTGATGCTCCTGCATCATGCGATTGCCGCAGCTTTTACCATTGGGGGCGGATTTTCTCGATTTCTGGGATCCAGTTTTAATTTATAAAGCACGTGAAGTGCTGCATTATTTTTTTTTTTTTTTCAGTCCGTTTTTTTACATTGTTTTTGATAATTTTTTCGTCGGTCTATGTCTGCTTACAAAGTCACTGCAGAGAAGATGCTTAGAAAAAGATAATGCTAAGAAGCGCCGTGCCATATCAGTCCTCTTTTGCCTGCCCATCAATCACTGTGGTGGCAGAACCTTTATGTGGTTAGTTTGGTTCGAGTTAATTTATAATAAATATAAACGCGAAAATACCGTGTCGCAGGACAGAGCTACGAGGGACTGAAACGAGATTCTTGGAAGTAGTCGCTGAGAGCATACGGTACCTTAAAAAGAGGGCTTGACTGGTTGGGTGTGCAGCACGGAAGCTCCGTGTGCTCTGTTGAAATCGCTGTGCTCGTTCTTGGCTGTTTCACTAAGTAAAAGACACCCCTTTTTGCATCCTAGAAGTCTCTGTATTACCGCTACACTAGCCTATGGGAAATCCGAGGCACTGTCGACTTTTGAACAAACCTCGTTATCTCCTCGCTTTTTTGGAAAGTTAATGTAGATCGAGAAAGCATTTCTTTTATTATTTTTGTGTCATGCTCTAATTTTTTATTTTGTAGGTACGGGTTTGTGACATTTTCCAAGGTTGAAGAGGCCGACAAAGCCAGAAATTCGCCCGTCGGAGAATTGGAACTTGATGGCAGGTGAGTGCAGCAGCCCAGAATGTCGGAGCTTTCCTCTCGGGGCTCGGCAACACGTTTGCCCTTAACATTTTTGGACTCGAATTTCAGGCAGCTGCGACTACTACCTGCCAACAAGACGAGAATCTCCAAAATTCGTCAGGATGCCAAAGCCGTTCAAGACCGGAAGGCTCTTGCCGTGAGTTACCTCTCAAGTGCCGTTTCATTTGTCATCATCTTTGTCACCTGCAGCTTCATCTTTGTTTTTGGGCTCTATTTTAGTTATGTTTCCTCATTTCCTTGATAATGGTACTATCCCAATACAGGCCCAGTATAGTAGAAGGGGGTATTGGAAATAACTAACATTGTTTAACAGACTAACAACAATTATAGAAATGAGCACATGCTATAATGACATTTGTAGAAATGAAAACATATTCACAACATTTGTAGAGATGAGCACATGCTAACAACGTTCCTTTGTACCGTCTTCACTTTATGTATATTAAAAGCTGCTCAAGGATTCCCAATGACTCTAGCATACTCTAGTGTGGGCGAACTTAATGTTCTTTAAGCGAGGTCTTCAGCACTTGAAAAATTTGAGTGATTGTTTGAACTGCCATGGCTTGTTTGTAGCCTTTCAGGTAACACAGGCAATGTAGGAGTCCTAAGAGAGGTGGTCTGAAATGCTGATTATCAAGTACTTATATTCTCGGAGGCTGTTGAGTGTTTGACGGTCCATCTAAGCTCTAGGTTAAGAAGTAAGGATATAGTTTTAAAGGGAAGCTACGGAGCTTCTTGGAAAAAATGAGTTAGAAGTGAATTCTAGTGTATTTTTACCCCGTGAACCCGAATACCCAAACCATTTGCTGCGTAAGTATTGTTAAACGCGAGAAAAACGCGAAAGACAGTCGCTGTCCATGACGTCATCGACGGCTCTTTTGGCTGCCCAAGGCTAGGGGGGCGGGGCTTCAGCCGTATTTTGAAATTGCTCTTGTGGCTCTCCGGCGCGTCGCATTGAAATATAATTTTGATATCTGTTATTCTAAAGGCCAAATGAACGCAATTCAAGCGTTTTTTCTCAAATGTAGAAGTGCCCCATCTTCCCTTTAAGTCTGATAAGGTCGAGTTAGGAGGGCAGCAATAGATATAAGAGCTACAGTTAAGAATTGAGAGTTTAGAGAAAGCAGGGACTGACGTTTTCTTAGAACCTCGTGATATCATTAATCTTCCTCTTAGTTGAGTCTGTTGGAAACAAACACGATCACAGGGTTCCTGATATAGAATTTTATGGACTGGCTGCTGCATATACCGGGCGATGTTTCATTGCAGAAGTGCAAATCAAAGAAATGGTTGCTTTTGAACTACCAGATTATTGAGCCACTGATATTTCAAGAAACGACTTAATAAATGCTAGCTGCACTGTTCGTCTCTCAAAGTGAAATGCCAGGTTGCCAGTTTGGTACATTGCTTACAGATAGGGTTCCATGTTTTCAGATAAATTAGAAAAAATGCTTAAGACACTTTCCAGCAAAATTTTTGTCAATTTCAATTTATCAGTAAAACTCTGAATTTTGTAATGCGGAGGGTAACAAGGAAAAAGAAACATGCCAATCTCCCTTGCCGACGTACAGTCGGAGAGCATGGTTAGCAGTTCTGGGAAGGGTACGATCCAGTTTCTTTTCAAATTTGGGACAACTTTCAAATTTAGTACAAACAGTCATCATACTTCTGTGCTGTGCAACACAAGGTTTTCAGTTTGGGCCATATCATTTAGGCTTCCTGCAGGGAGGGGGGGCTTTACGGTGCAGTAAACGCCCCGTAAATGTTTTGGGAGTGGTAGGGACCAAGGCCCATAGTGGCTGAGGTTCCCTCCTCCCTGCATGGCCAATTCACTTTTCTGTGACATTTGCTGCTTCGAGATGCGAAAGAAACGAAAGCTGCATTGATTTTTTAGAAGTAGACGTTTAGCGAGCATACCCTTATATGCAAGTTTTGTTGAGTAGCTGTTACGTCAAGATTGTGAAAATTTTGCCTGATGAAAATTTTTTGTGTTTCTGATGTGTTTGTATCTGGATATTGTTTCTTTTTATTGGGAACTTCGGGTGATAGGGATTGCAGCAAAATTAAACTCAGAATTTCAGAGAATTAAATTGAAAATAAAAATAAACTACAATAAACACCAAATGTTTAGTCAAACCCCGAAAAACACTTTCCGAATTTCTTGAAAAATGAATTCGAAAAGCACGAAACGCTGCTTATAGACGACCTTATTTTGTATATGGCTTGGTAGTACCTACAGTGTAGACCGCATATAACGTATGTCGCGGGAGTCGCGAAAATCCACACTATAAGCGGTACCGGGCTATAACCAAAACATCAATTTTTCAGGCCAAAATGCATGCCATCTGACAACTTACCTTTGTAAAAGAATTTATTTTATGTTAGATGAAAAATAAAGCTTAGTTTGAGGAAAGTCTTCATTTCACCAGACTAGTACACTTCTCTCTCAAGTTTATCACACATTTTGAAAGAAATGAGCGACTTTTGCCTGGCGCAGCCTTTTAACGGCATCGTGGGTTGCGGACGGATGTTGCGAGAGTACAGGATTGCTAACCCTCATCACTTTTCTCCGGCGATGAAAACATGTGAAAATTCGCATCCTTTATACGGTACGCGCCAGTAATACCTTCAACTTGAGCGCAGGCATAAAATGCTTCAAATAAGAAATCCGGGCGATGTTCGAAAACGCAAATGCTTAGAAAGCACCACTGTAGTCGAAGTAAACAAGCACGACGACACGGGCGTTTCTGCAGTCTTGAAAGTGCTGCCACAACATCGCCGCACGAGTAGGTGGATCTTCCCTTCTAGTACGTGCTAAGTTATCATAGCGACACACAACGAAAATTCAGTCAAGGATAGCGCTTTTACGCGGAGCGATGAGCTTCCACCATGCAGTCTACGTCGGCGATCACAACCGACGCCTTGTTTGCGGATACAAGCAGCCGGCCTGGCCGGCCCGCGACCAACATGCAACGCGCGCGAACAGTTCTCCTCGACCTGCGATTGGTCTGTCGTTGCGGTTGTTTCCAACGCAGCGGCGGGACACGCACGTGAATGACACGTGCGTGCGTCCCTCCGTCGCTATGGCAACTGAAGGCTCTCTCTTCGCTTCTCCCCGCTTCTTCGAGCAACCTCCTTGCCTCGCGAGTGCCGCTTGCGGCTCGCGCCGTTATCTAGTGCCGCACAGGGAAGCGTGCTTGCTGCGCGGTCGGCGGGCTGTTCCAGAAACCGCACTATAACCGGTATTTCCCTTCGCGCGCCTGCATTTTAAGCGGTATTTAATTACATAGAGTTCTATGGGAGGCGAACCGGTGGTTTAAAAAAGCCGTATTATACCCGGTCCCGCACTATAAGCGGTTACGTTGTAACCGCTTATAGTGCAAGATCTGATGCTCCTGCAAGATCTAATGTTCCGAGCAGATTTTGAAAGCAATGCTTAGTATTCGTGCCATGCAGGAATCTTTCCCCCAGTGCACGGTGTTTTTCTGCAATATGGTATCGTTACAAACTGCCCTTTTGAATGGGTCGCTTCTCACGCTGTTTGCTCGGGTATTTGGTTATTCTTGGAAATTTGCTGAGCTTTTCGTTTCTTGCGAATGCTGTTCGGAACCTTGAGAAGGAAAAGCCACACTGTGTGTTTCTGAAAAGGTCAGTGACTAAGAATGCTCGATTTATCTTGGTCCTACGGATAAAATCGCCGTACACAAAATGTGTTTCCGCGGCATTCTTCAGAGCCTGTGGTGGACATTTGGTTCTTCTCAATTCACCACTCCTTTGTTCAGATTGTCCTCCGAAGTATGTGTAGCACATTTTGCAGTGGTCTCTGTAGCATTCTATCGCACCGTGTTAGGGCGTCCCATTACTTGAACGGACTGCGTTAAAAGCCTGCAACTCGGCAGTCTGCACCCTCGAAACTGACGGGCCTCTCCGCGTGGTTGACTGCATGGTTGCCGGGCAATAGAGCGAGCTGGACGGGGATGAGGGGGATGAGGAGGACTCGACGCCGGCAACACCTCCGCCCTCTCCGCGGCGGAGTGTGGACCACGTGGAAGAGCTGCCCGACGACATCCTGCTGCTGGTCATGGGGCTGCTGGATCTCCGGTCGAGGATCCGCGTGGAACGAGGTGAGTCTCACGGATTTGCACAGCGCGCGGCTTTGTTTGCCACCCGTGCTCGACCCTTGCGGTTACCGCCTGCCGTTGGATCGGGCAGAGCCGTCGAGGAAAGGGCGGTTCACATACTTGCCACGGCTTACGGCCATCTGCCTAGAGACCCCTTTATACCTCTCGCGACGAGAGAGCGCACCATCTATATGGGGTAACACTCGGCATTTCTGCATACGGGGTGTTCGCACCACCTCCGACCGCCGTGACGGGGGGAGAGTGATACTTCCAGTTCTCCTACCTCGAGTGTGGGTGGGTGCACAACGACTTTTGGTTCTCTGGCGGGGAATTGCAAGAGAGCTACGCTTTAGAAATGCCCCAGTGTTGTGCTTTTAAATTGCCGACGTGTACAGACACAAACAAAATGTCACGAGTGAAGATATTTCGATTATCTAGAGCAGGGGTTCTCAAACTGGGTTCCGGGGAACACAGGGGTTCCACGAGACGAGCTGGTCTCATGGGTTCCGTGAACACCCAAATTGCAACCCCCTCCCCTCCCCCTCCCCTCCCCCTCCCCCCCCCCCCCCCCCCTCCCCCCACGCCGCAGGCTGCGCAGCAGGACCATGCAAAGCGCCTCCATCTTACTTTGCACTGACATTGCGATTGATATGGTGGGGATATATGGCAAGCAACACAAGCAAAATTGCCTACAATTGTGCATCTGTTGCTTCTCGGTCAGCAAATATGGAGGGGGGGGGGGGGGGGGGGGGGGAGGGTTCTGCGGCAGTCTTTGAGGCTTCCTGGGGTTCTGTGAAACCAAAAAGTTTGAGAACCCCTGATCTAGAGATAAAGGACACCACCGGCGCCGCCGGGCCCATGTGGTTGTGGGATGATGGCATTGCAGGCGCTGCTGGCCTACTTCGATGTGCTGCCGACAGATGGAGTGGTGCAAGAATGAGGCACCCACCATCTCCGTACAACGACGGGCCATTACGGCGTGTACAAATGAAATGTGCACTGTGCTTTGGGAAAGGAGCCTCGAATACCGAAGCAAGCGAGTCAAAACTCTAGAAAATTGTTCATTAAAAGAGTTTCTCGTCGCGCTAAAGACAGCATAACCAAATCTTTCGGAACATTGTCTGCTAAAACCAAGCCCCGGCTCGGCAACCTGTGCGGGGAAGCTCGGCGTTTATGTTTGGCGCCCGGTGGAGGTAGGTGCTCACCGCCAATGCCTTCGTTCGTGAAGTAGTTGAGTGCGCTTAAAGATTTGTAGACTTTAAGTCGTTCTTAGGTATATGGACCCAGCAGGCTCAAACTGCTAGTCGCAAAGATGTGCCCACGATATCTCCGGCTGATTTGTCATTTCTTTGAGGAACGAGTGCCCTTTCTTTTCACCCGAAGATCAGGAAGGCCTGTCTATCCCGTATAAGTAAATTTTAGGAGGACCGCAGTTAGTCCTGGTGGTGAGACTCTTAAAGCACGTTCTACTCACTGAGGCTCCTGAAAAACAAGCAAAAACAATGGCCAACCGGAGGTAACATACTCCCCCCAAAAGTTTGGCCATTATTAGTTTTGGTTTACCTTCGCACACCCAATACATTTCCTAGTTCTTTCGTGCATCACTCTTTCTTTCTTGGCTCGAAAATTTTTTGACGATTTGATCATTTCTTATACATGGTACATACATTCGATCTCGCAAATACCGCAAAACCTTCGCTCTAGTGAAATACAGGTCCAGGGTCACCTCGTAGATGGCGCCAGGGTGTTAGTGTGCGCTCTTGTCGTAAGGGATCACCGCAACTCGGTCGTAAGGAAACGCGAGTCTGTGAAGGGGTCTTAACCAAGTAAAAAGTGGAGTACATTTTCGGAGCAGCTCGTAACTCCGTTCGATTGTTACTTCTTAGTAATTATGCTAATGTGTCAGTTTAGTTTTGGCATGAGTACTTTATGTTCTGCCACTGCCTCAAGCTCTGCCGCGATTGAATTGCCAGATCAAAATGGAACTGTATCAGTTTCTTTTCCATGTTAGAAACCGAGCCATTGGACGGCAAATGCGCACACCTTACGGTGGGTTGGTGGTTGATAGGGAACTGATTTATGTTTTGTGAGGTGCACACATGTTTGGCCGGTAGATTGAAGGACATTGTTTCAGTGGACGTTGCCGCATCTTTGGATTCTCATTGCGTCGCACTGTCGCCTCCCCGCAGTGTGCCAACGCTGGCGTCGCCTGGCTCTGCGGCTCTGGAGGTCGCAGGACAGGCTGAGCTTCGAGGGTGTCTTCTCAGTGAGCCAGGGGAACCGTAAGGTCCTTTCCTTTACCGTCTTAGTCCACGTCTGTCTCACATCTAATGCTTCCGAATCGTTAATAATAAAAATATATATATATATTTTTCAAAAAATAATTTGGCTTTGTGTTGATTTTCTAAAACTTAAGTTCTCAAACTGGGCTTCTAGGAACCCAGGTGTGTCCGAGAACTCACTCAGGGCTTCCCCGAGCTCCCAGATTTCCTGGACTGTCCCTTCCACAAAGTAAAGCGTTTCCTCCGATTGAGCGCCGTCTTAGCTAATCTGAGTCACCCGCTAAATGCGTAACTACATGCTGAGCAAAAGTATAGTTTTGCAAGCTCCACACTAATATCACGTCTGGGAGGAAGTGCTCGGTTGTCGGTTGAATGATAGGGGTTCCTCAAGATTTAGAATTTTGAGAACCCCCTGTCTAAGAAGTGGCCTCTGAAAATGATTTTACGAGTGGAGGGTCACCCGTAAAAAAATGTTTGCCGTATTCGTACGTCGTAATTCCTCTCGAATGTGCCTCTTCTCTCGTCGACATTGTTGCACTGACACGCGGTGATGCCCCCGGTGCAGCACTGACAGTGGACATCCTGCGTGCCCTGCTGGTGCGCTGCGGCGAGTCCCTGAAGAGCCTGAACCTCCAGTCGGCGTCCCACGTCTTGGACTACAGGGCGGCGGAGGCCATCAGTAAGCCTTTCTTCCTCCGGAGGCAACGGGGACCTTAACGCCGTGCGTCGTGACGCGTAAAGAGCCGTTTAACGGGACAAGCTTTTTAAATTCATGGCACAGGCCGTATTGAAAATGAAAGTTTTCTCTTCTTGTCACTCGTGTTCTTGGACGGAGGCCTGGGGCATGCTCATCACGTGGATCTGGAGGGCCACTTGCACACTCTGTTGGCTGTCGTTAATCCCCAATCTCCCGAAAACGAGATGGGGGAAGAGACGATGGCATGGAGGCGAGAAGGAAAGCCACGCTATTTGCATGGTTGATGTCCGAACTGAAAATGAACGCGCAGGCCGCAACTTTTACGTCTTTTGAGAGAACTGTGCGCTCTTTTTGCCATGCGTTGCATTTCCCTTGTCCTGTTTGGACTGTCCTTAACGTGCATGTTACTTTGCCCTGTGGTCTTCGTCTGCCACCCGTTGTGGCACGTTGCATTGCGTGTGCCTGTCTGCTGCAGGCATGCTGTGCCCCAACCTGGAGTGCCTGGATGTATCTGGTGTGCAGCTGACCAATGTGGGCGTGCAGCAGTTGGCTCAGAAGTGCCCCAAACTGAAGGTGGGAGGAGTTTGAACTTTGCATCTGACACAGATTTAGACTGTGCCACGGTTAAAAAAATAAAAGCTTTTGTGCGGAGACAGCAGCAAGTTGGTCCGCATCGAAATTGCATATTTTGGTGGTGCCGCATGGCGGCCAATCTGAGGTCTTAGGTGTGTACCACACAGTAGGGATTACCTGAGCAGATACCAGTACGACGTTCATAGTGCCGAAAGGAGTGGATGTAGGGATAGAACCCGGGATTCTTTGGTTCTGCAGTACTGGGAAAATAGGAAATGGTTTGCGTCAAAGTTCGAATGCAGTATAAGCAGCAGTAGCGGTTGGAAAGAGCTCTAGAAAGGAGCTTCTGCAGTGCCACGGACCAGCCTTTGGCATCCCGCTAAGAGACAGCCTTTTTGGCGCCAAGTAACTTATTGGCCCTGAAGACTACGAAGCCTCTTAGTGAGGTGTCGGCTGCCATTCTGAGATTGGCCCAGGAAGTGAACCATAGATAGCGACCAACCGTAAAGCCAAATACATCTGATAAGTACACTTTTAATGTACCTACAACACACTATATAATACCCATATGGAGGATAGCAAAAAAAATAGTGGCCACATTCTCAGTTGTTTACTTTGCATACTGGTCATATTTGTGCTGCAATAAGATCCAGTAAGCAATTGATCCTTTTTGTCTCATTGTGAAACGCTCACTTGCTTGCTTACAGACGGTGTTGATGAAGAGGTGCTTAGAGGTTGGAGAGAAAGGGTAAGCATTTTTAATGATCCGCATTATTTGCGCTCGGCAATGCGTTGCTTCCTACAATACCCTTGTACCGGGATAGTAGTATCGTAAAATAAATGAACATAAAATAATTAAATATGCCATTCTTCAGGCTGTGGTGGCTGCTCCATCTGTGCAAGCATCTGGAGCACTTGGACCTGACTGAGGTGTACAAGCTCAGTGGCCAGGTAAGGCATCCTTTTCAGCTTTCCTCGTGCAAAGGCTACTAGAAATCTAAGGTCCAAAATGGTCCTCTAAACCTGGAAGCATTTTCTTTTTTTAATTTTACGTCTCGTCAAACTGTTAAATGCAAATGGAGGTGAAGAAGAGCCGCTGTTTGGGGCTCTTTTCACTCGTAAAGCCACGCTTTGGCTCGGGTGCCATGCCACGTCTGCTCGGGAAGGACGACACGCATTGGATCGGTTTCCACGACGGCCGGCTACACGCAGGACTGCCAATCGCATTTGGACGGGTGCTGTCCGCTCCTTCGGAGTATCACCTCGCAACGAAACTCCCAGGAGAGAACCTTTTTTAATGAACAAAGTTTGCGGTGGATTTCATCTTTAAACTAATATTCCTCTCAAGTTCGACCTACGTTTATGTTGGCGTCACTACGTTGCACTCCAAATTAAATCAATGTGGTCCATTGTGTAGAGCGATGAAACTCCCGAAGCAGCTGCTAGGGGTCATTTTGAGGTCAAATTGGAGATATCCTCTCCACTTTAGGAGGCGTGCATCTAATGCCTCGGCCTAGTGCTGTCACTCTGGCGGCTGAAGCTGCCGTATATGACGGCTCTAAAGGCTGGCTGTCTCACTCGAGACTGCCCACGACCCAGTCCTTGCGATCATGGGCAGTTTCAGAAAAGGCTAAGCCAATCGACCGGATCAAGGTTAACGTCATCATCAATGGCAAAAAACAAATCGCCTCATCATCAATGGCAACTCTGAAGACCAGGCCTTCAGGGTCTCTCCGTTCAAAGGCAAAGCAACTTTGCTGCTCCCTTAATCTCCCGGCTCTTAAAGCTGCCATTGGGGCTCCTTCCAAGCAATACCTAACTGTGTTTTTCACGGCAAAAACCTACAAAGAAGGAGTTCCCTTAAAAAGCATCATTTCAGAAAAGGGATGTTGGCAGAAGCCTCTTGGTCTTTTTCTGCAAAAGCATCTGTCATCGATCAGTCTCAACCAACCTTTCAGAGTTGCCAACTCCACAGAACTTGTATCCCGACTTCATGACCTCCATTCAACTCCCGAGGCCTTTACCATGTTTTCGTTAGACATTGAGGAACTATATTACCGATTAGATCCCGCATTTCTAATGGATTCTGTGTCAAGTGCCATCCACGAACATGGCCCATGCGACTTTCAGAACTCATCTGGGGTATCTGAACGGGGTTTCCTAGACCTTTTGGCCCTATATCTACAGTCAACACTCGTCGAACATGGAAAGGAAATTCTCAGGCAAAAGAAAGGTGTCTGCATAGGCTCCTGCCTTGCCCCAGTCCTCAGCGAAATATTTCTAACGTATGTGGATAGGGAGATTGAAGCACGCCTTGAAGAGATGTCACTTGTCTTCCATGTTTTTCGTTACGTGGATGATTATTTAGTCATTCACCCGATCTCAGTTTCTTCTGATTCTGTAGTTCAAGCCTTCACTTCTTCGTCCTCAGGCCTGAATTTCACAAGGGAAGACAGCTCAGGCGATGGTCTCCAGTATCTCGATCTTCGTCTGCATCTTCTTCCGACCGGCATTTGTTGGGCCTTCCAACAACGGTCTCGGAAACCTATTCTTCCATTCTGCAGTTCCCATTCTAAACTGGTAAAACATGGAATCATCCGGTCTCTCCTCTCATCTTCTCGCACCAAATCATGTTCTCACTTTGCAAGCTTCAGCATTGCAAAACAACAAGAACGTCTCCTCAGAGCAGGTTATCCGCAAGGTCTACTGAGCACCATTCTTGTTCAGTTAATTCTAACCACCCAAAGGCCCCGTGCTCCACGTAGCAAGCCTTCACGCGTTATCTGCATTCCCTATGTGCACAACTCGGCGCACAGACTGAAGGCAATTGCAGCGCGCTTCAACGTTTCGGTTGTCTTCTCTTGCAAGTTGCGCCTGAAACAACTGTGCAGGCGCGTGAACAATAACGAATCCATCAAAAGATGTTCCATCAAACACGCTCATCAGACCGTTCCCTGTGAAGAGGGGGTGGTATACTCCATCCCTCTCTCCTGTGGCGACCGATACATTGGACAGACGGGTCGTTGCCTTAACACGCGCCTACGAGAGCACGTCCTCGAGGTCTCTCGTGCTTCGGACGACACTTTTCACCCAATAGTGGTTCATCAACGTCTCTGTACGAACTGTGAAGCCCGGTTCCAGGACACCTGCACGATTGGGAGACATAAGAACAAGCTCGGGAGAGAGATCATTGAGGCATACAAGATAGCCCATGACGATCACAACATTGCTGCCCCTTCTCTCGCCTTGTCCAGAAATGAGATCAACTACCTGAAACCAGAGCTGGATTAGCCAAAGGGCGCTCTAACTCAATTTGTCAATAGTGTTTTTCTTTTTCTTTTTTCTTTCTTTCTGAATTCTTTATCTTTAGTGTATTGGGTGTAAATTTGTGTTGTTTTTTTTCCGGGTGTATATGAATATATTAATTCCGCATCTTCCTCTTTAGTCTCAAACGTTAGGAAGAAGATAGCCCTATTGAAGGAGACACCAGTAAATGTGTGTTGCTAGTTGAAAGAACTGTGCTGTCTGTCCTTGTCCTTAAGTGTTTTTATTCTTTCTTTGACTCCCGAAGAATTTAACCTATATTTTCAATCTGTATTTTCAAATACAGATTTGTACACTCCAGTTGCCACCACTGTAACCACACTGAATGCAATTTTATCTCATTTCGTGGTGTCTTTGTCACATTATTAAATCTGAATACAGAATCGAGCAGTGGACCTGATAAGATACTGAACACCTTCCTCCCTAGATTATGCCGCTTTCTAACACTCATTTTTCGTGCTTCTTTTCGTTCATGTATACTTCCGAATGACTGGCAGACAGCGTGTATTGTGCCAATTCATAAGAAGGGTGATCATTCTGTTGTAAGCCATTTGTGTCCAATGTCTATCGCTATCAACTCTTGCAAACTTATGGAACATAGGGTTAGTGGTTATATTCTAAAGTTCTTGGAAGAGAGGAATTTGCTGACTTCTTTTCAGCATGGTTTCCGAAGGGGTACTCCACAATTATGCAACTGCTAGTTGCAACAGAGCGTGTATTGTGCCAATTCATAAGAAGGGTGATCATTCTGTTGTAAGCCATTTGTGTCCAATGTCTATCGCTATCAACTCTTGCAAACTTATGGAACATAGGGTTAGTGGTTATATTCTAAAGTTCTTGGAAGAGAGGAATTTGCTGACTTCTTTTCAGCATGGTTTCCGAAGGGGTACTCCACAATTATGCAACTGCTAGTTGCAACAGTTTATGACTTCGCTTCTACCCTAGACAAGTCTGGACAGGTCAATATTATTTTTTTAGATTTTAGCGAGGCGATAAGGTCCTTGATGGTAAACTTATTTGTAAACTAGAACACCTTGGGCTACCACCAGAGGTAGTAAATTGGATAAGATCCTATTGGTCCAATTGTAGCCAGTTTGTTGAAGTTGGAGGCCATTATTCCGGTAGACTCGATGCTTGCTATGGTGTTCTCCAGGGCAGTGTACTTGATCCCCTGCTATTTCTGGTCTATATAAATGATATTGAATCAACTGTGAGTACCATCGTTAATATCTGCTTATTTGCAGATGATTGTGTTTTGGTAAAAACCATATCCTCTGTCGATAACCAAAAAATGCTTAATTCTTCTCTCACTCTAGTTGGCGATCGGTGTAATGTGTGGCAAATGCAACTGGAATCCAGAAAGATAGTTCACTTATGCATGACCATGAAAATGAAACCTTTGAATTCACATATCAAGTAAATAATGTTACAGTAACCGAAGTGAATGAATACAAATATCTTGGAGTAACCTAACACGCGATCTACGATGGTTGAGGCATATCCAAAATATCAGTTCCTCAGCTTTTCGAAAGTTAGGTTTCCTACGATGCAAGTTAAGAAATGCTCCAACCTCCGTTAAACTCCCAGCGTACAACTCCTTGGTAAGTTAAAAAATAAAATACGCTAGTATTTCATTTTTGAGGGAATCTAGGAAAACTGGGAATGTGCCACGGCTGCCCGACAGACGACGACGCCCTTTAGAGACAACTCGTTCGAGGCAGTCGAAGGGGGGCCCTTGGCGGCCACAAAAGGGGCTGAAGGGGACCTGTCTGGGGGCCCAGTGCTTCCACATGGCGGGTGCTCGTCTGCGGAAGCTGGTGCTGCGGGGCTGCTCGGGGGTGACCTCTACGGGGCTCACCAAGGTGGCCACCAAGTGCCGCCTGCTGGCCGAGCTCTCTGTCAGCGACTGTCTCCAGATCACTGACCACGACGTGCTCCTGCTCTGCCAGGTGAGGCCTCGTGGGCTCGTGCAGTTTCGGCTTGGCCCCTTCCTCCCCACGTTGCGGAACGCGTCTTCGATCGGTGTATTTGGCGTCCTTCCGCTCGTACGTCGATCCCGGAATGGCAGAAAATGACGTGGCGTGCCCTGCTGTCAGATGTTGCGACCTCGACGGTGGGCGCTAGAAGTTTTGGTAAAAAGCAGTAGGGGACGCGAGTGTCGCCGTCGTCGTGGCGTCCCAACTAGCTGCAGAAACCTCTGTCGACTGTCAGGCCGGGGAGCGACCTGTGGTAGAACGGCATCTGCCATGTCCACCATCACTGGTGTGATATCGCCACGATCGCGGACAGCGGCGGCGTGACGCTTCTGTAACGTCATCGGGCATAGATCTAGGTTTTTGGACATGGTAAACACACAAGTCGGAGACTCGTCCCGATTCCCGCATTGTCGGCACTCTCCTTCGTCCTTTCCTTTCTTAAAAGAGGACGAAAATATATTTTAAAAGATTTATGAGGTCTCGGCGGCTTCCAAATCGGACTCAAGCTGCAAAATCGAGCCGGACTTTTAGTATTTTCCGCTCCCGTTCAACTTGGCAGACGGCCGCCATCTTGGTATTGTCTTGAAGCAGAGTATTTTTCCTTCTTTTTGTCGCCCTTGAAAATGGTGTCCGCCGCATTGCTTCGGCGTGATCGGCACTTTTTCGCCTCGCGATTGCGAAGTCGTGATTAGTCAAAGCGTGAGCTCGAGGGAGTGCGCGACTACCATTGGCCAAGACGCGCATTCTCCCGTCGTAGCCATGGCTACCGCACCTCCACGGGCTCGCGTCGTCTGCTACGGCTGCTTGCTCCCACGCTTTGTCAACTCTGCTTTGCTTTTCACAATCTTTACGATCGTTTGCTACAGTTTGTTTTTGTGGTTTTGCATACTTTGCTTGCATTTTTTGTAACTGCTTGCAAAGTGGGGAATGAAGTACGAGATGGTGCGCGCATTCGACGCGGGGAAGCGGTCCATGCAAGTTTCTTCGCATGATGACCGTCGGAAGCAGCATCGGCAGCCTGCCTTTGTGCGGCGGGCCATCGATGCTCATCGCGTCGCTAGTTCCAAGTGTGATTCTTCTATGCCATTGGCCATCCACAAGCAGAAATTGCGCAAAGGCGCTTCCAACTACTTTGCAGAGTAAAGCCGTTTCACGGGGCGCAAACTGCTTGCAATTTTCTTGATTTTCGTCTGCAATGTTGCTCGCTCCATAGAAAACTAATAAATAAAAGCCGTGGACAGTGGCTTATGTGCATGTGTATTGTGTCCACAGGCATTTGCTGCACGAGAATGAAAATTGCAAGCAGAGTTGTACCATGTGAGACGGGCTCAATGTTGAAAATGTGTGGGCAACTTTCAGCACTTTCTCAAAATGGATTTTTTGATGGCATTGGTGCTTGTGCCAGCGATATCTCGGAAACTGTTTAGGGGGATTCGCGTGCGTCTTTGTTTTTATTCCGTTCCTAAAGAACTTTGTCAGGGCACAACAATCTTTCTTTTTCTGGAAAATTGCATTAAAAATGTATAATGCACATAAAATTCAATGTTGCCTTAAATATTTCTGAAAATAAATGATTAAAAAGGGCGTTGTCATACCCTGGAGTGGCTGTCCGGGAATGGTTATAACAAATTTCACATTCCCACTACGTTTTGCAAATTCTCCAGAAGAAGCAAATGTACTATTTAAAAAAAAAGTAAGTTTAATTTGAGAATTCGTGGGCACAGCTCTATGAAACTTAGCAGTTGCTTTTATATATGTGCTATTAATGTACCCTGAAAATATCAAACAGACAGCTCTAAAAATAAAGGAAAGTTTGTCATTTGTCAAGTTGCATCTTTAAACTCACGATGCTGCGTCGTGTTGACGGGGGAATCCTGGAACTCGAGGTCTCGTAAATTGGCCTAAAAGTCAGGAATCTGAGGCCAGATTCCCGAAACTTTCTTAAGACAAAAAACTTTGTAAATTTATTTTACGACAAAGTTACAAACTTTTGAGTATTCCCTAAGTAAAATGTTTGTAAGTTTTGCGTAAGTTGCGACGCAAAACTTACAAACTTTTTACTTCGAGAATACTCAAAAGTTCGTAACTTTGTTGTAAAATAAATTTACAAAGTTTTTTGTCGTAAGAAAGTTTAGGGAATCTGGCCTCAGATTCCTGACTTTTAGGCCAATTTTTTTGCTCGTAATATTGTCAGGAACCTGGCTCCCAAGAGTCGGGGAAATTTGTGGATAGACGTCACTGTAATCCGTGTCTTCCTTGATTCATACCTGCCAAGTCTGCCGTATTACCCGGGAGACTTCCAAATTTTGACCAGTTTGTACAATTGACACAAAAATCTCCCGAAAAACACAAATTACACCCCTTCCCCCCATCCTCCCAGCACGTCTCTTCAGCACTTCACGTAACAAATAGCTGCAATGATAGCGAGGCCCAGCTGTTTCTCGCTAGCATGACCAGTGCAGTATAAATGTAATGAAGTTGTCTTCATGTACATTTGTTGTCAATATTCATTTTTAACCCCCGTCCCTTAGAAATTCTCTCGGATTTGGTTTCTCCGAACTTGGCAGGTATGCTTGACTCGTGCATTCGGAAACACCCTCAAGCAACTTGGTGCCGTATCGACAATTGTGGGGCGTTCCAGCAGGAACTAAATTACAAATAGCGCTCGGACAAGGACGGATGAAAAAGTGGACAGGACAGGTGCTCCTGTCCTGTCCACTTCTTCGTCTGTCCTTGTCTTAGCACTATTTGTGATTTAGTATGTATAACCAGCTAGCCCGCCAGAATATTTTGAACCAGCAGGAACTTCGTACAGGGCCGCCGTCGACGGTGGCTCCTCGTGGTGGATGTTAACGCTGTCGACGGTGCTGTCCGTGAGGAATTCACGTTTTCTTGAAACGCCATGGCGCTCCGATGCGGTTCCATATGTGATCAGAGACTTCATAAAATTGGTGGACCCTGTGCTCGTTGCCCCTTAAAGCTGAACACTGTTCTGCCTTCCTTTCAGAATCTGAGGGCTCTCCGTGTGCTGCATCTGGCCGGGTCGTTTCTCAACCGTGAGTTGACCCCGGCGACGAGCCAGGGGAATTCCTTGCACCACCCGTCGGAGGGACGTCCTTGGCTCGACTCCATACGTTTGCCTTCTGAGGGCACCCTTTGGCTCTTAGGGACCCTCGGCATGTCTGGCAAAGGAGTGCCGAGCAATGAACGAAAAACTTGTTTAGAGACACTGCGACTATAAAATTGTGCGAGTTCACCGTAAATAACCTTAACAAGCGCGAGTGAAAATAAATATACTTAGTTTCGAGAAAAATCACTTTTAGAACTTACTCCGCTGAAGCAAAAGCTAGTGCTAAAGAGATAGTGTATCTTTTCACTTGGCCACCAGTACAAACGTACAGTAATGTCTCGTTATAACAAAGTCAATGGGATGGCAAAAAAATTTGATATAAGGAGTAATTCGATAAAAGCGATAGAGCCAGAAAAACAGTGCCAGTAGCCTTGAAGGTGGACGGGAACGCTGCGGAACACTCTGACCGCATATTTAATCAAACAGACCTTCGTCGACAACATCTCGCGACAGCTTTCCCGAGTAAAAAAAATAATTAGGTGGAGTTTTCCAATAATTTTATTCAGGCATCGGTTCTCCTCAAACTGCTCCAGGCATCGCAAAAACACTGTCACCACCGCTGCACTCCACTTTGTTTCGAAGCAACCGTAGGACGTTTCGCATCTCCGCAGTCGTCGGCATTTCCCTGGGTGCCTCTCCGACGTTGCTTCGTTTTTACCGTGTCTACGATCGCAGCATCTGTGGCAGGAGCAACGACGGAAACGTCCGCATCGAGAAGCGCGAACGAATCAAAGTTATCCTCGGTGGCTTTGTCTACATGTTTTCACACACCCTTGTAGAGATAGTTGCAACAGCTCGCATGAAAACATCCGACGTGCGCGAAGCAGTTGGCAATCTTTCATTTTGAGTCGCGGGTGCGCTTTCTCCTGCATGAGAGACTTCTCAAACCCGTCCATTAAGCCTTGCTTGTCCTGCAAAGTGGTGGACAGTGTCGAACAGCCGATGCCAGAATGTCGAACTCTTGGACGATTTCGGACTTGGGCCGGCCGCTTTTCTCAACCTTTCACAGCTAAAAAGCAACTTTCGGTGAACACTCCCAATTTCTCATACAACGCATGTGTGCGGGTAGTACACCCCCTGATCTCTTTGACAAAGTATGTCGCAGGCGTGAGTGTCAGGGGCTCCCAAAGGGATGATCTTCTCCGGGCTCCATCACTCCCTTGACCCGATTTCGACAAAAGTCTGGCAGCGTCGATCGCGGACAGCGTGAGTAGCGTCAGAACGTTGGCGCTGCTCCCTGTCCGCATCGGCGCGTCGGCACCGGGTGACAGAGCGCTCTGCACTCTGTCACCCGTTTGCTTCGTTTTCCCAGTTTGCCGTTTGCGTCGCTGGAGAAGGGAGAGGGAACGCAAGGGTCTCTGTGCACCTCCGTGTAGGCTTGCGTGCTTTCGGCATCTTAGCCTTCATCATAAGCTTGGTCGGCCGCTGGTACACGTTCGCCAATCTGGTTAAAATTTGTGCATTTCAGTCGGGACCAGGTTGAACTTCGATATAAGCGATAATTCAATAAAAGCGATTTCGTTATAACGAGGAATAACTGTATTTGGATAGAATAATTTGTCTACCTAAATCGCTTCATCAGACGTAACCCTTCGTGATTGTTCTTCTGTAATTTTTAATCAAACACAACTTTTGCCAACAGTAACATTACATATTGCTCCTAAAGCACACTGTTGCATTAATCTTATTTTGCTTATATTTCGAGCATCTTCACGCTGTTTCTGAAAGTGGAATTAGAATGTTATGATCGAGGCAAAGAGGCATTTATGGCTGCTATTTAAGTGAGTCTTTTTTCCCACTTAGGAAAAAAAATGTTTTTGTTGGAAGCGTACAAATATTGATCGAATATGAATATTACAAATTTACCGCAAAATAAATTTGACTATTTTTGGATACAAGTGTTTAACATTTAATGTGAATCCGCTATTTCGTTATATGCAACCGACTTCGTTATAACCGGTCTCAACAGTAGTCTATTCTCTATGGCATGAATGTGCTGGTCATTACGGTATGTCATCCAGGGTTGCTCCTCTCTTGGCTTTTGCTTCCCCCAAATTACGAGGTTTGCCGCCCGGTTGCTTTCTAACCTCACACCTTTGTTTCAGTGACGAACGAAGGCATTTGTGCTGTGTCTGGCCTTCCTCTCCTGGTAAGTCTCTTTCCTTCCTAGCTTCAGTCCGGTGTTACTGCAAAGTCTTGTTACTTGAAAAAGCACCGAAGAAGCCTTGGCTGTGTCTGGCACAGCACCGGCATGTTTCAGGATTCGTGCAGCCTACTGATGATGTTCTGAAATTATTACAGTTAGCTGTGTGCAGTTATTCAGAATTTTAAATATGAATCGCATATCTCGAATGCATGATTCTAATCATGTGTGAATAGTGGATTTTGAATTTGAAGTGAAGAGTGGTGTCGGCCGCATAGTTTCGAATAGAATATCAAATAGTTTCTCCTAGCCTTTCTCTACTGTTGCTTCATGCTTAAACGAAAACCCAGCTAAACTTGTGTAGGTTGTTACCAAGCTTTCACTTGTCCATTTATAGGCTACCTAATACTAATCTAACAATAGTTATGGGATGTGACCTTTGAAAGTTTAATTCCTTAGGATGGCAGGTAAACGACGGATTTCACATAAAATTAAGCCTATAGAGATGCCCAGCTATACCTAATTGAGTGGATTTTCAAACCTTGCTATGTGTAAATATTCTTTTTCCAATCTCGAATTTGAAAAGAAGAAAAAAAAAAGCATCACAAATGATGAATGCAGGTTGGGAGGGCATCTCTGCCTAACATATACACTTGCATAACAGCCACAGTTTAATTTTGGAAATTTTACTGCAATATAAATATCAACATTCACAAAGTTTCTGTTTCTTTTTCAATAAACCAGGCACAGAAGTGCACCATCCTGGTTTGAAAGTGTGCTTTTCTCCCAAGCACGCAATTGCAGTACTCCTACTTATTTGATGATGATGTAAATAAAATTGATTGATTGATTGATAAAGTGTTGATTGAGAAAGGGGTTTGGCTGGCACTGGTGTCCACTCAGCGAGGAGACTTTCACTGCATCAGCATTCAACTGGCGGTCGGCCTGTCGACTTACGTTGCTGGCACCTAACCAGATATGGTTAGCTGCCAACCATATAACTCATTCTGCGTTAAAATAAAAAGCTTATCTGCTAGAGGCCGAGTGTTCGACAGGGACGCCCTGTCATTCTGACATTGTCTGCGACTAGTATAGTTTTACCCTGCCAGTTGTACTCAAGCCGATATTTGTCTGATCAAACGAGTCTTCACGAGGCAAATGCAGCGATTTATTCGTGGCAGAGCCTTATTTATTATAAGTTCACTCTTAAATGGAAGTTGCTCGACGGTCTAATGCTTCATTTGTGGACGATGTAGAGGGTATATTGTCTCCGGGAGCTTATTTAGTGTGCTTTGTTGGGGTTCAATGACTAAAGGATAATGCTATTTTGTTTCTTGGGCACCAAAGGAGGAACTAGACCTGAGCCAGAACAAGGCAGTCACAGACGTTGCCATTGGTGCCATCTGCCGGTGCTGCACTAAGCTCAGGTCAGCCTGAATTTGCTTGTGGTGGTTTCCTGTTCATTGTGTCGCTCCAGGGCCAATAACGTTATGCTTCGGTCTGTTCAAGCACCGATCGTTTGAGACGTACTTCCCCCTGTCGTCCGCTACTTTTAACTTAAGTGTCCCCTCTTACTCACTGCATGCTTTTCTCCCGGCTGGTTGTTTGCTGACGTTTTCCTGATTTAGCGGAAGGCCTAGTTGCGGTAGTTTAGAAGAGGAACCTCCTGGGCACTTACGTGACAGCTGACGTTTGACTGAGAGACTGCGCCTTTGCTGCTGTCTTTAGCAAAACGCCAGCCACCTCTCTGAGGCTCTTGGAAGGCTCTTTTTCAAGTTTTTCCTACCTGCTTTGACTAGCTCCGCAATTTTAGTTATTGCATTGGTGAGGCTGAAAGCGTAACTTCCCCTCCTCCAAGTATTAAGCTAAATACTGTAAACAACATGATTGTTTTACAGCGAAGCTGTTATTCGCTAGGATCTGAGAAAAAAGGCTCGAGGTACACCTAAGCACTTCTTATGAGTTGTGAATGCGAAAGCATGTACATCATACTTCCTCTCCGCGTGTTGGCACGCTGACGGCCACACCGTGGCGCTGTGTGTCCAGCGAACGGGAGCCTTGTCGAGGCACGCCAGCCAATGGACCGAAGTGTAAAAGGTGCCGTTGGCTAGCTTTCCGTCTGGTTTCATGCTGGGAGCTGGCTTGACTTGGAAAAAGGGCTTTAGGTGTCATTTGGCGCGATTTCAAAGCTGAGGACGTCGGCTCGCTCCATGAGGCAGTGAATGCTTTTACATTAAAATGCGTCCGCGGATGTTGGCAGGAAACTTCCCATTGGTCGTGGCCAGTATGAATAAATAAAAATAAAAAGAGGGCGTAACCAGCGCGAGTCAGCCTTCCTTGGCATTATTAGATAGGTCCTGATCCCTTGTTATCATCTCAAGGCATCGTCCTCGAGGTCGTCCTAGAAGTCGTCCTCGAGGTCGTCCCAGACGTCGTCCTCGAGGTCGTCCTGGACGTCGTTCTTGAGGTCATCCTCTAGGCATTGTTCTTCAGGTCGTCCTAGATGTCGTCCTCTAGGCATCATCTTAGACGTTGTAAAGACGACAGCTTTGCTGGTCCTCCATCTTATGTTAAGTGGAAGGGCTCTACAATTTTTTGTCTGCGAAAGTCAGGCAGTGCACACTGCCTGAATTCACGCAGTAAAAGTTGATCGTGTAGTGAAGAACCCCCATACTAAAGAACCTCTACAACAGTACCTCGTGCAGTAATTTTAGATTCTCACCATAACTGTACATCGTGTAGGGCTATACCCCGTTTCACCTTATGTTGTACCGCAGCGAAGGCTAGAAGCGCGAGCTCATAGCGTTGGGAGCTGCCCTTGGTGCAGGAGAGCTTGTGCCGCCGAGATGTGCCCCAGAGCAAGAAGCTCGTGCTTGTAGCCTTTTCTGCGGTACATCATAAGGTGAAACAGAGTATAGTAGTGTCCGTGTTGCACGTTGACTGGAGAAGATGCGTTCCATCTGGGTGACACACAACCCATTTGTCGAGCAGGTCCCTGAACATCAGTGGCTGCCATCTTGGAATCACGGACAAGTCCTGCGGCCACCTGTCGAGGAGTCCGTGGCTGAGGGACCTCAAGATGAGCTATCTCGGCCAGGTGAGCCAGTCTCTCGGGGTGCTGTGGGCAGTGCCTTAAAGGGATACTAGAACGAAATTTCGGCACTCGTTTTTTGGTCTATATGTGTTCAAAGGAGCAGTATCACCTCGAACATACCAATATCTTGTTAAAAAAGTCTCGAAAAGGAATTTTAGAACAAATTAAACGATTAGCACCTGGTGAATGTCGCTAATGCCTCGTTTGTAATGCCCCTCTAGGAACCTTGACAGCTAGTGACGGAGGTTGTCTTGCCTCCGGCCACGACGAAAGAAGAGGGGAAAGAGGAACTCCCCTCTTCCCGAGAATGCCTTTTGTGTGTCGCAGAAGTCGCTATTGTCCCTTTACAAGATTATAGAACATTAACCCGTCACTCAAAATTCTTACAAAAGCAGCCACTTCGGTGGCTGGAACGACTAGGCCATCCTCTCGACGTCAGCCTCGCCGTAGCTTTGCTTGTCTTGAGACGACCTACGTCACGATTGCGTTAGATGTCACGTGCTCTAAGCTGGGCCTTCTCCAAGCGCTTGCCAGAGTGGGCCGTTTATAACGAAAAATACAGCCACCAGGCTCAAAATACAAACGTGCGATTGTCTTTTACGGATATTGTGGATCATATTCAACCTATTTTTGAACATGACGGGATTATTTCAATTTTTGTTGAAGTATCCCTTTAAAGGAACCCTAAAACATTCTTTTAATGCTGAATTACAGTGTTGGGAAGTACTTTGAGTACATAACAATTAAATTACTACTTCAAGTAGGTTTAGAAAACTTGTAGTTTACTTGAAATGTGTTATTTGAGTGTGTACTGTAAAGTATTTTTTCTGGTACTTTCCGAGGGAAGTAAAACTGCCAATTTCAAAGTATGTTCCACAAATCTGGTCCTGTCAACTTTGTATCCCAAAAGGATACTTCGCCAGTTTTGAAGAAATACTGGGATTCTACCGTTATCAGAAACGCGAGCAGACGCCGCATTGCTCCGTTTGCACTGGGTGCGGCTTTCCCGCAACACTTCTCGCTCGGTCAGTGCATGCGAAGATGCTAAATACGTTAGGTGAGAATGCTCGTTCACCAGAGCTTACGGAAGCTACGGGGCTGACATCAAGCTCTCTCCTAGCATGCCTCTTTGGGCGGAAGCCAGTGCAAGCAGCACCAAATTTAAAAGTCGGAGGGAAGACTCGCAGACCTCGCACCACTTGCGAGGTAGAGTGCGGCGCCACGCAATGGCGTCTTTACCCACAAACAAATTGCCTGCGATTGTTGATGGGGAATTCTTGGAGATTGCATTGCATCGATTCTCACAAAGGATCCGACGGTGAATGAGTGAAGTAATGATGGCTATAATGATACAAATAATTTACAAGTTAATTGCATTAAATAGTTTGTCAGTGAGAGCAAAACAACTGCTCTGTGGCCACATATTCCCTGCCATTTCCAGAAATAACTGATGCACACCAAATTACCCCTGGGGCATTGGATAATGGTTAAAAATACATTATAAAATATTGTATTCAAAGTATTTGCACTTTGAAAGTACATTGTGTTTAAAGTACTTTACTTCAGGTACATTGTGCCCAGCGTACTTACTACTTTACTTGAAGTACATAACCTCTAATTTACTTTGTGCTTCACTTCAAGTACTTTTTGGGTGTCCTTTACCCAACACTGCTTATTTGCATTCTAACAGAAGCTATCTCGGATTTCGTGCTCGTCCCTGGTGCGGGTGGTACGTTAGGTGACTCGTGGTGCGAAGCCATGATTTTGCGTGACATCACGGTGTCAACAATGTTATTGGATCAACCGTAAAGTACCGAGCAAGGGTCTGCCCAAAAGTTGAAGATAATCGTGAAAAACCGGGGAATAAGCAGTTGTTAACCTTTTGGGGGTTTCCCGCGCACACTTACATATTTGAAAGTTCCCGCCAACACGCGAAACCACGCGCACCCTGGGATGTCCTGTCACCTGTTACGTCTTTGGGGAACTTTAGTCGTTCTATTTGTGCCACGTTTCATTCGCTGGGGCTGTTTATAGTTCCAAATTTAGACGGTTTTTACAGATGATACGTGCGAGATGGTCATTCCAGAGCACCGGCAACCTCTTTTTGTTCAGATTTCCGAGGCTTCTTCACGTTGAATTTAGAGGATGGGAACTCGTCGCCCGACACACAAAATCCATACTCCGGTACGGAGTCTGAGACCAGTGTAATGTCGCGGAATCAGATGTGCCAAAATGAAATCGAAGGGAAGAAGGCGCCAACTTTTCGCCTTTTAATGCTGAATATGTTTTGTGGGTCATTTTCTAAAAAAATTGTCACAAACTAGCTTCGTAAAGAGCTTCGTGAACGAGCGACATGCTGGGAGCATTACATACGTTAAGGTTATATATAAAGTTGTAGCCCCGGTGGAACTTAAACCAGGGTCAGTGCGGAGGCAGTTGCATACTATAGCCACTGAGCTACTAGCGCTTCCTTTTTATCACTTTGAATCAGGTCAGAAAAGGGCACTCTAAATAATGGCACAAGGTTGTCGTCATGTGTCACGTTTAAGGGCGTCGACACACTGGGGTACTGTCTCAGGTGGTCTGGAATGCTGAAGGATTTTTATTTGAATGCTAATGGTGCTGATAAGAGCGACAGGTTTTGGATGAAAAAAAAATAGAAATAAAATATATAAAATAAGCAAAATAAAGGAAGCAAAATAAATATAAGTAAATAAAATACTATTAAGACTTAAATAAAAATAACAAAATAAAATGCAAAAGAAAATGAAATAAAAAAAAAAGAATGAAAAATTTAGCATAGACCACAGACAAAATGCGGTTTGTGTAGGCCACGTTCTATGCTCCCTGGTCTTTATCAGCACGATGCAGCCTGCACAATTTTGTCCCATCCTCGGCTGTGCCTGAGCGGTGTGCTTTGTCCTTTCTCCGAGGTCACGGACTCTGGCCTGGGGACCTTGGCGTGCCACGGCCAGCTGAAGAGCATCGAGCTCCGGGGCTGTCCCCAAGTCAGCGACACAGGTCGGTGCTACTAAGAAGCAGGCACACCTTCTGCTCAACTCTGTTCTCTACGTTTCTGCTTGATGCTCGATAAGCCTAATTTTGCTTCAGCTATTCGTCTCAGTGTCAGTTCATTGGAGAGTATTTTCACGTCATATCTCAAACTTCGCTCGTGGAACTGAAGCGCGGAAAAGGACGAGCTAAGGCAGGCTTCGAAAGCCGAATATAACTTAAAAATAGATTCTCAAAGCAGCAGGCAGTACACAAAACTTGCAACCCGTTTCGGTGATCGCTGACAAAATTCTTGCATGCAAAGCGTGCGACGGTGTTAATAACGTCTCTAACGCCGATGTAACAGAATTTGTACCGAGGCTTGCTGGGTTGCGTTGCATGGTCCATGCGACGTGGGAACGTGATGCATTGTACGACACACCATGTGATGCTGATGACATCGCTCCTGCGTCACTTTTTGTGTCAGCTTATTCCTTCTAAGCCTCCCCCTAACTTATTCTTTCGAGAAAGGATAAATTGGGGCATTACCATAAAATAACAGTGCAGTATCGCTCATCTATCGAAGGTGTACTGTGGAGTGCCCCTGGGCATTCAGGCAGCCCCAAATAAAGAACACGAGACTCGCAACCCTTTGGCTGGCTCATTGACAAACAGCAGTGTCAGCATAGGCAGGTGCCAACTACAGGGGGAGGTCTCGCGGGCTCGAGCGCCTTCTGAAGTTTCCCAGGAAGGTCAGAGCCCCCCCCCATCCTTTCCCTCAAGTAGCACCTCGGGAAAAACTAGTACTCTCCCTTATCAGGAAGGGGGGGGGGGGTTTAGGTTGGGCTTGTTGAGCCTTTCAAGCCTCAGCCTTCCCTGGGAAATTGAAAACTTTCCGGCTCAAAGTTTGAACTTTAAGCCGGAAATTGTGAAATCCCGGGAAGATGGGAAGGCGAAAATTGTGTGAAGTGCCGAGCCATTGTGCCGCGATGCAGGAGTGCTGATGCTCGTGGAGCTTTGCCGAGAGTTGGAGTTGCTGGACGTGAGCGGCTGCGACCTTGTCACCAACGAGGCCGTGACTGGCTGCCTGAGCATCGTAACGGAGCGGCCCCACAAGCTGACACTTGTCGTCGGAGGCAAGTGCTGCGGCCATTTTCGCGAGCCTCGAACCATTTGTTTATTCATTTATATTTCACTTCAATACTAAAAGCCTTTAAGGGCTGTCTCAGGTGCAAGCATCTTGGGGGAAATAAAATTGCACCAACCTACGTTACAAGCAGGGTAATTACTCTAGTGCTGTTTCCGATGAACCATGACGACATTGGAAAAGAAAGCTGCCATTATCGAGCAATTGGAAAGTGGCCGATACAAAGCGGATCTCGTGCGGAAATTTGATGCTTCATTAATCGAGCCGAAAGTGACTGAAGTTATTTGTACGTGCACGAAAATTTAATGTCTCGACCAAAGTCTTTTCTTTCGGACTACCCGATTGTTTGAAATTTTATGCAATATATAACCAACGAGCCTGAAATGTTGGTTGGCGACTGTTTATGATACAGCCTCCCTATACTAAGGGCCAATATAATGGAGATACAAGTGTGCTGAAGGGAGCTTGAAGTTTGCTCGTAATACTGGTACAGTCCAATTTGATTGTAACAAGGTTAATGGGAATCAAAAATATGTTTGCTATATTCGGAATTTGTTGTATATGGTCTTTGCAAAAAATCATGATTTTTTTTACGCATACATTGCGACAAGGCCTGCAGCTTATAGTGTAAGCAAATTAAATTGCTGCTGCTGTCATACGCATAATGTTCAGTGCAATGTAGCCATAATAACGCCTTATGTGTACAATCTCGGATGTCTGCATGCACATTCTGGAGGTGGGCTTTTCCCCATGCTAATTTTGTGTTGCAGAAACTGGTAGAGTAAAAGCCGTAAATGCCATAAAAGCAAATGAAACGCAGTAGAGCAAACTGCAATTGCAAATGAAAATCTTGGACGCTATACAAATAGCGCAAGCAAAAGATTGTCACGTACAGCGACTGTCTTTCGCATTTTCTTGCATTTAACAATACTTGCACAGCAAATGGTTTGAATATTCGGGTTCATGGGGTAAAAATACACTAGAATTCCCTTCTAACTTATTTTTTTCAAGAACCTCCATAGCTTCCCTTTAAGCAATGCACTTTTGAAGCACTTTTTTGCCAAGGACTTGGTGGCGTAAATATTGTCATTGGTTATGAGAGAAACTAACTTGTAACTTGCAGACTCAGCATCCGGTGAAATGAGATCTTCTTGAGTCGCGTTCTCCCAGGGCCACACTCCGTTCTGAGCTCGTGTGCTCACGGACGACTTGCATTTTGCGTTCCACTTGTTCCTGTGGACGCATCACGTCTGCATTCTCCGAATCCGGGACAAGTTCTTAAAACCGTGTACAGTCAACTCACATTATTTCGACCTCGGTTAATTCGAGTTATTATTTAATTCGACTTTGTTCAAAAAGTCCTGGCAAAAGCCCATACATTTCTATAGAAAAAAAAAAACTCGTCGTTTTGATCGTGAAATATAAAATATTGGTTAATTCGACCTAGAGAGAACCGGCGATGAGCAAATGACCAGCACGACTGGCCTTGCGTGACACAAAAACAGGCCTTTTTTTCTGAATTGCGCGGTAGGCAAATTACAGGCGCGATCGGCCGCGCCCTTTGGCGAAAAAACCTGTTTCAAATTTTGAAGCTCGCGCCGAATTGCGAAGAAAGAGGAAAAGAGAGCACATGTTGTGACATGGGACACGACCGGGTCTTAACACAAAACAACCATTGCAACACTGTTGCGGAGCAGCGAGCGCTGCTCTGTAGCAGTGCAGCGGCGTTGGCTGGCGGTCATTGCTGCCACCGCCACACAGCGAGCACTGCTCTGCAATGATGCAGTGGCAGCAGCCAGTCGTGCTGCTGCACCAAACAGGTCTCAACATGCACCGCTGCACAGCGAGCGCTGATCCACTGCTCCGCAACAGTCGCCGCACCGAGAAGGACATACACGGCCGGTTGCTGCCATTGCCGTGCAGCGGTGTGTAGTGGCTCATATTTAGAAATGTTAACCCACCTGATCTAAAGCGCTGGATATTCAGAATTTTGCACGCATGTTTTAATTAGACTTTCGGATAATTCGACCCAATTTCACATGTCCCGTGAAGGTCGAATTAACAGAGGTCGACTACGTGGTTTTCTGTTTCATGTCTGCTGGGCAGCCATTATTGCCGATCATTATAGCAGTGCGCCCAGCAGCAAAAAAGGCGTGTGGTGTGGACCAACCAACTAAACTACCATACAGTGAACAACTATTGCAAATCCACCCAGAACCCCATGCACTCCCTCCACACTTTCACATGTGCTCTCACCCTCCCGTTTCTTGCTGCAACCTTGCAATAAACGGAGCCATACTCGTCGCGTGCGCAGCGACATAAATTTTTTCGGAGAAAGCGGCCAGACATCGCTTCCAGTCGCCAGGCCCCACTGGGAAACAAAGACAATGCAATTTTTTTCCAAACACCCGGTACCAAAGATTCGACATAACACACCCCCGGGACTGCAGGAAGCAAAAGATGAAACGGAAAGAGAGACTTTTGTGTGGACATCTTTTGCTTCCTGCAACCTCGGAGTTGTGTTATGTCGAATCTTTATTAGCTTATTTGTGTCCCAAATTTATATGGCACTCAAGCTTTTGACCATTGTCGTCGGATATTTTCTCCACTTTAAACATTTCTGGCGTTAAATGCACGACCGAGCTTGGAATGCTGTTAAATGTGGGCTTAAATCACATTGAAAGTATATATACAGGAGCATGAAATGAACGTTAGTTTGCAATATCTGGAATTTTGCTATTAACAGGTATGTTATAAGTGGACTCGACTATCGGCACTTGAGGTACCAATATTCATTTCTCCTAGAAAAACACTTCTATAGGGAAGTTCCGCTGTACTACGCCAATTGGTTCTCCGTATGCTCCGCAGAAAAGTTGACCGCTATAGCACTTAAAGATGAGTTGCACGAGATACCAACCAATAGAGAGCTTGGTCGATGGAGAGTATGTGTGAGAATGACGAGCTGCTGCCCAGCAGTTGCTGGACTTGAGGCTGGCTGTTTCAGGAACCAGCGTAGAGCTTGAGCGCCTTCCCCTCGGGCCGAGCAAGGGGTTGGACATCAGCCGCTTCAGCCGCTGTGTGGAGCACCTTCGTCCAGACAGGATGGAGCGCTTTGGTGAGCTGCTTTCTGTCTTGAAACCAGCCGCAGGCAATTTAGGATAAAAGACCCGTTATATATTCATTCTTCTACGAAGTTATATTTTTGTTAATAATTCCTCGAAGTAATCGAAAGAGTAATAAAAATGTTTGTCGAACTTTCATTATGAAATTTGTGTTATGAATAGGTCAGGGTAATTAGAAGTGGAAGCGATTTTAAGTCAGCAAATAGCAAGAAGTAATAAAAAGTATAATCACAAATTGCAATTGTACTTATGTCATCTGAACTGTATGAATAAGTCAAAGTAATGAGAAAGAGTTAAAAAAAAGTCAATTCAGCTAAAGTCGAGTGCTCCACTAATAACTCGAGGTTGCCAAAAAAGAGTGATCCACATGTCAATCGTGCAACTAGTAACTCCAAGTGATTGAAATAGTAAACACTATATAAATGGTCCCCAACAAAATCGAATTCTATGTATAAAATTACTCTTATTTATCCAAAGTGTAAGCGAAACACAATCACTTAAGACAAAAGCATGCGTGTGTATATTGTGGATGAAATTGACCGACCCTAAGATTAAATCAGGCAGCGCTGGGATTAAATTGAATGGCACTCGAATTAAATTCATTGGCACTTAGATTAAATTGACCGCCATTTGGAATAAAATAAGCGGGAAAACCTTTAGTTTCGAAAAACCATTCTGTCGAGTTGGCTCATGCTTGTAGCAATCCTTTGCAGCTAGTACTGGGGCTTCCCTAGACAAGTACTATTTTGAGAGTTTGAGAGAGTACCGACATCTCGGCATATGGTCTGTGTGAACCCTCTACTGCAGGGATACACGAAGACGTGTTCATGGAAGGAGAGGACGGCTTCGATGGCTACGAAGGTGAGTATCCAAAGTCAGTTTTCGTCAACCCCTTTTTCTTTCTCCTAAATCAGTGTACAAGGGTCAACCAACAAACATTGTTGGTGCAGTAGTTACAAAAAATGTATTTCTCTATCTGCTCTTGTAGTGGTAGCTCAAGTGTCAGTATTACAAGTAAGCTTCAACCTTGCTTTGCTTTATTCTTCTTTATTGTAGAAAAGTTCTACCATGCATTCTTCTGACTTGTTTTTTTATCCCACACATGAAGCTTTGTTGCCGTAATGTGAATATGAACTAGAAAGGGGGGAAATGATTGCCCCAGGGCAGAAAAGTTGCAAAATAAACACTTTCAATCTATCACTCCTGTCCTGGAAGAAAAAGAACAACTGGGTATGGGCATTGCCGCTCGTGTTTTTAATGTGCACGCTTGTCCGAGTGGATGCAAATACTATACAGACTATTCGATTGCAATTTCTTATTTTCAGCCCATGTTTTAGCAATTCTAATTTCTCTTTTTTTACGTTTTTGTGTTGCCTTTTGATCCCCGGCATCTGTTTACGCTTCATATGTACAGTGCTCTCAGAGACCTTGGAGATGGACTGGTATAATACTCTCTTGGATTGTTCACAAGCTGCCAAAACCAAGACTAGTGATGGTGTAATACCCTGAAAATTGTAGTTTCTGAATGTGTTCTGAAGAGCAGAATAAGATAACATTGTACCATACCCAAGAAATTAAGCTTTTTGAACCAACAAGGAATATTCGGGTTTTGTTCAAGGGTCAGTGGCATTGCTAGCCAACCCTACAATAACACATGCATTTTTAGCCCCCCTCCCCCTTCCCAAAGTCATGTATATCCCAGGCATCCACTGTAAAGGGTGGTTATGTTGAAAAATGTCACATTATTTCTCTTCAACGATGTTCTTTTAACAATTTTCCTTTGTATTTGGGTGGATAGTAATATATTGGGTGTTTCCGAGATAGAAATTAAGTTTTGTACAAAGGGGATGAGCTAAGGCAGTGGTTCTCAACCACTGATGTTTCGCGGACCCCTTGTGGATCGGCGGAGATGATGGAGGACCCCGTTCGTGGTGAGGAAAAGGTATAGGTTAATTGTGTCAATGATTTCATAAATGGATATAACTAAAGGCTGTGTGAAGTAGATTTCTCCCATTGACATACACGCGAGAAAAGTCACCCGAAAATTAGCATGTTTCTACCCAATCTGAAAAAAGACAACTTTTATTGCCGGGCTTGACTGATGAGGCAGGGCTTTGCGGTAGAATGCCTTCGCGGACCCCAAAGGATCTGCAGATTCCCGTTTGAGAACCACTGAGCTAAGGTATAATGGTTATCATCTAAACCCTAAAATTGGGTCAATATTGTATGAAGTGCAATCTTACTGTAACATTGCTTTGACATTCCTCTCGCTCCAGTGCGAGATGCGGGCTCGTTAAAATAAATTGTGTTCTTCTCGGAGCCAACCGTTTGCACATTAGCTTTATCCCACTAATTTTACCGAAAATGTCTACTTTAAGGAGACCATGAAACATTTTTTTCACTGGACGAAAAGTGCTCGGAGTATAAGCACTTCACATTCAAAGAGTATGGAACAGAAACTGGGTTTTGTTACACACGCTGACTTTCACATCTGGTTCCCAAGTGTGAACTTCCGTTTCACAGTCCCTTTAACAGACTGATGCTCTTTAACGAAGCACTGCTAGCGATGTCAGCGATGCAGCCTAAAACGCTGCACACTCATTGTTGCGGCCTCTTTTCAGGGGACGGGGAGAACCACGTCGCCCGGGAGTTTGAGGACTTTCTGGAGAATGACGACGTGCTCATGAAGGAAGCCTACGAACTGTCTTGAACAGCCCACCCTCCCCTCCCGACGGGAATGTTGGAGCTTGTTTTGGTGTGCTTTGTACATAGTTTGGAAGTGATGGGTCGGCATGCTTGCTAGTTTGTTTTGACCTCTTTGTTTTCTTCACCTTTAGTCAGAGGAGCTGCCCCCGCCCCTTTCGTCCCCCTTAGGCATTACGTCGACGCCAAATAGCCGCAGAGTTGCCACGTTCTTCGTGTCGTCGCACCCCAAAACCACACTAGTTTTAGAGAGTCTGTTTTACGAGAAGTTGGCAGAAGGAATTGGGTCGGCTCCACGAGGCAATACTTTTCCCGCAAATTCGGGAGACGCGACAATGGCGTCCGATGCGTCGACACTCGGCCATAACATGGTTTTTTTTGCTGCTTTTCAGAAGGTTGCACCGAAACAAATTAGGCATAGCCCACAACTGCGTCAAATATGGATGCAAAAGGTAACAAAACCCAAGGCTAGCTCTCTGCCTCTAAATAGAAAGTTGTCGGAAGAATGGCGCCATGAAAGAGTCAGTTTGCTTGAATGTAGAACTGAGCGATCGATTGATTGCAAAATCTGAGCTCTGGTGGTCCGATCTGCCACAGCTCTGCATCACATTTCTGTATTTGCGGGCAAAGTTGGGTTGCGTGAAAACAGTTGGAGCTGGAGCATGTGGATCGTTGTTTCTTTCCAACTGCTGGCTGTTATTGCAACCACAGTTTCTTTGTTTGCTTGTATAAACCTGCATGTACCTGCAACATAAAGTTACCAAAGTCCGGGGGACCACAACATCAAATTTGGAACTGTAAATTTGGTCAAAATGTGAGGTTATGAAACAAGTCGGCAGGTATTGAAAGTGATAATAAAAACCTACGTTAGAAATAGACTGGCAAAGGGCTATGCAAGCCAATTTAATATTCTTTCTGACCATTTTGTAGAATGTGTGGTAATGAATATATTTACAATTTATAATTTGCACCCACTCCTTATCTCAGATTGCTTGCAAAATGGGGGAGTCATTAGAATGCATTCGAGGTAATCGAAGGTTTGGTGCCTTTCATCAAAATGAATGAAAAACATGCACGGGTGGACAGCTGGTGCCTTCCCAATCAACCAAAGACTTCAAGTGCCCTCATTTGATGCCTCGGGAGTGCTTATGAAGTGCACTGAACCCAAAAGGCAGAATTGCCGGCTTATTTCACAATCTCCTTTAGGCACTGTGTGCTCGTGCAGGTATTTCTTTTAAATCCTCAGCATATTCCTCTTAAAAGCATTTAGCTATATTCCGAGTGTTCTTGGTGATTTGCTTCGGCTATTCTTGGACGCACATGATCCTGTTGCCTCCGTAGTAACTCTTTGGACAGTGTATACTGCAACAGTCGGCAACGCTGAAACCACAGTTGAACACGCTCCAGCCGAGAACCAAACCGACCACCACGCTTCGTGACGATGTGTCTAGCTCCCACTTTTTCCCGCCAGCGAGATTGTTTCGGACGTCGAGTGCCCTGGCTGGCTTCATGGCCCTGCGATACAAGCTTCCTGGCTTGCTGAACCTCCGAGTTACCGGTCACCGTCGACCGTTGTTGGCTGCTATTGCACAGTGCTCTATTTTTCTCTCCCCGTTGTTTGAGGCGAACTCAGATACGGAAAATATAGCAAATAAGGACGGCCAACCAGCTTGTCCTACGTTGACGAAAGTTGTCAGAGTCCTTTTATTTCGGGTGTTGTATCTTATGGTATTGTGTTTTAAGCAGCATAGCAGCTGTTCGGATCGTGCTGTCAATATAACCTACAGACTAGTAGTACAGAAGATCCTACAATATTCAACATTGCAGACTGGTGCGGTGAAAGACTGCTATAGTTGCCTCTGCAGTAGTACAGAACAATTGCTGTACGCCTGGTAAAGAGAAATAATTATTCACATTTATATTGTACGGGGGGTGATCAAAAAGTTCCGGGACTGATTTTGTAGCGTAGAGAGTGAGGGCAGTACAGTGATGCGCGCGCAGCAGTCAAAGTAAAGAACCTTCGTGTCTCATTATACCAAAGGGTGTTGCTCTGTGAACATTTGGAGCTGCGCTACACTAGTTTGTTTGACCCCATGCACGAGCATGATGGCGATCTTTCCGTACACTGCAAACCAAGGCGAGAACGAACATCAATTTTACGTCAAGCTCAGCAAACATAAAACAGAGACCTCTAAAATGATTTAGAAGACTAATGTAAAAAAAAAAAGAGGCGTCCGAGTGTTTTGAGTGGCACTCGAGCCTCAAGAATGGCAGAACGTCACCGAAGTCAAGGAGAGGTCGGATAAAGTCGCCCTACTGCTCTTCGTCTTCCAGCGTGTTCAGCCGTTCCTGAAGCGCGAGTGCCACTTAAAAAACTTTGCGAAATTCGCTGCTTTTTTACACAAGCCTGCTGAATCATATCGAAGGTCTCTGCTTTATATTTGTCCAGTTTGACACAAAATTGATGTTCGCTCTCGCTCTGGTATGTAGTATATAGTAAAATCGCCATTGTGCCCATGCACGTGGTCACGAAAACTCGTGAAACGCAGCTCCAAATGTTCACAGAGCGGCGCCCTTTGGTATAAGGAGACACAAAGGTCCCTTCCTTCGACTGCTGAGCGCGCACCGCTGTGCTGCCCCCTCTTTTTACGCTACAAAATCAGTCCCGGAACTTTCTGATCACATCTCGTACATATATCTGCAGTATCAATACCTCTACCAACATTACGAGCGTGCCAGCACATGTTCACAGAAAAATGGTGTTGCAGAAGGCTTGTAATGGTACAGGCATTTAAAGTACTGATCCAACTTGTTTTTCTGTTAATTGACCATACTATCAAATATAGAAGGCCTTGAAGGTAAACGTTCGGCAGCCCTCTGCCTGGTTAGGAGTAGACATGAAGCGAAAAATAGGGACTCTAACCAAAAATTTATTAAACATTTACCCGACGTTTTGGGACCAGTTCGGTCCCTTGTTCACGGGCGAGTGACAAAAAGAAAAGTATTATATGTGTTGCCTAAATGCACATACGGATGTAGGGGGCTATGCTCACGTCACGCAGTCCCGAAGCGTAGCTGCTGGGCAGGGAGCTTAAAGAACGATTCACGCTCCCCTTTGTGCGCTGGATAAATCAGGACTCAACGAAGAGCCGCTTTCGCCAATTCCTCTCCAAGGCCAGCACGGTGCTTCCCTCGAAGTCGACAGTGTGGCCGGCCTCTTCTGCGTGCTCCGCGAGGGCGCTCGCCTCCACATCCTTCTTCCGGACATCATATTTGTGCCGCGTAAGCCTCTCTGCGAAGTTCTTACTTTCGCCAACGTATGAGGCCGGTCAATCCTTGCATAGTATGCGGTAGACCAAGCCTTGGGCCCTTTCTTTGGGGGGCCGATCCTTCGGGAGGGGGAGGCAATGACCGATTGTCGACACAGGCTTATGAGTCACCGCAATCCCGTAGCGACCGAGGACGCGGGAAAGGGTCTCGCTGGTGCGGCTAATGTAGGGGACACAGATGCGATTGGAAGGGGGACTGCTGCGCCCTAGGGGTGGATGCCTTGATTTCTCGAGTATTCGAAGAATAAACCGCTTAGGGTAGCCGTTCTTCTGGAGATCCGATGTAACGACCTTGATTTCCTCCTGGAGGCTTTTCTTTGTGGAGCAGGTGGCGAAGGCGCGCCTGAAGAGTGCAGAGGCCACCGACGCTTTATGACATTGGGGGTGGTGGGAATCAAACCCCAAGTATCTGCCAGTATGGGTTGGCTTCCTGTAAACAGAGAAGCTTAGCCCACTGCCACTCCTGGTTACCAGTACATCCAGAAAGGGAAGGGAACCTTTGTCTTCGTGTTCATATTGTTTTGTCAACGTGCAATGTTTCATTGACATTTCGTTTCATTGAAAGGCTTCCTGCATTCATTTCATCAAACACAACCTTGCTGTTTTTGCGACAAGCTTTTTGTATCTGGGAGAGAGCTTCAAGGCTGTGGTAAACATGCCACAATGAATCACGCGCTAGCTTTTAGCTAGCGCGTGATCTCCATTTTGGGTGGGTGTTCTTTCAAAACTTTACAGGTAGTATATAAAAAAAAAAAAAAATTTAACAAAACGTTGCAGGGGCATGCGTCGACAAAACATTATGTCGACAAAACGATGGGACCCTTCCCTTACGCATGCATACATTTATGTTTTGTGCCTGGAGTGCCTTTCCGAATGCTTTGCACGGTAAGGTGCCTCGCATTCGCCCGGTAGTGTGTTGTTCGCTGTGCCGATATGGTGGCCAGGTTTTGGGGGCAGCACTTTCCGAATGCTGCGTGCACACCGGCCAAATGAGACTCAAGTAATATTAGTAGGGGCTCCTAGTTCTCCGGTTGCCATGGCGACTTTTGAGGCCTAAATGGAGATTGCCATTGCTTCTTCTGGTCAGTGATTTTCCTGCACACCCCCTTGTCTTTCTGAATTCGCAACCGCTCCTCTATTCTCAATGCCCCCCCCCCCCCCCCCCCCCCCCCCCCCCCCCCCCCCCCCCCCCCCCCCCCCCCCCCCCCAAAATGTAGACACCCCTCCTAATTTCCATTCTTGGGGAAACCCCTGCTTCTGGTGCCCTGGCACCTCTGCCTGGCATTGTCACTTGGTCTACGGTTGCTCCAGATTCGATGTGGCACCACACCGTTCGAAGAGCGTGTGGAATGTGCCGGCACAGAAACTGCAAGGGGCAATGGTGCTAAAGCTTTTATGCCCGGTGAAGGAAGTGGCAGCTGTCAGAGGTGAGGGGGCAGCCCTGGGGATGGTGGGCAAAGAACCAGCACTGCTTCTTCCTCGGGGGGCACTTTGAGGCAGGCCCGCTCTTCGACTGGATTCTCCGCTGCGTTTCGCTCGATGGGACGTTGAGGGACACCAGCCCTTTCTCGACTGCAAAAACAGCAGGGAGCATCGACTGAGTGCCGAGGCTAGGGCACACCTTGGAATCTCTGGCGCTATCATAGCTTAGGAAAAATTTATTTTACCATTACTCGGCCACAGACAGTAAATGCAAATTCCCACTTCTTATGTTACACTTGCACAAGCTTACTTGCAATCTCGCCGTCTCTTACATTACGTATAATAGGCACAATGAAGATGATGCCGTGATTTTGTGGCTGCCACTGTCATTATTTCTGGTTCCATAAACAACCACTGGTCAATATCACTGCTGTGGTATTGTGGACCCGACGACGACAACGCTGCACAAGAGATTATGCATCTCAGCAATTAAAAAAAAAAAAAATATAGGGAACCAGTTTAGCATTCCCGCTAGAACAACCTCCCCTGCTTCTCTCACGCCACCTCTCTCTCTCTCTCTCTCTCAATTTGAAAAGTTTAGAGCTTGGACACCATGTAAGGATAAAATAAATTTGTAACAATATGCACCAACTACCGTCAAATACCGCGGAAGTGCTTACAATTAACGTTAAGCAGCCGATTTGACCAGACAAGTGCCCATGTCTAGATTAACCCAGTTTTCAGTGAAAGTGAGCTGGGAATTTCCCGGTATTTTACGGCACGTACAAACCTCCGGTTCTGTTGAGAGTAAAAGTATGGTGCAACTCTTGTGCCCACCTCACTCTTTGTTCGACCAACTGCCACGTTGAGCTGGCCCTCTGTTGCTGCATTTTGAGGAACCGCCGTACATCGGTAAAAAGAGAAACCAACGGCAGTATTTGTCAAGCACATGGTATGTGCTTAATACCAACCGAGAAAGATGTGCCTGTGGTTCCTGATGAGTGTCTGCAAGCCTCCACACTGGCTCTTCAGCATTTGAAGATCCTGCTCAGTCAGCAGCTGAACCAGGTCCCTCAGGTGCATCACACCTACAATGCACGAGTGCGCATCTGAAAATTAACTTTGTGGACAGATGCGATCGACGAGTCGGAAAGGCCTTCCATCGATCTATTGCTACCATTCCCGATTCCTTTCGCTTCCAGTGACGCCGACGGTTAATCCCAGCTTCCAGCAACGCAGTTGCTGCCTTGCAGAGTAAAATTGATCCCCAGGACTGGCACAACGGGTGTGTCGGTGCAACGGACCTGCCGCCCGCTTTTCTCTGCCGGGCCGGCGGTGACGAAAAATGCAAAAGTTGCCGAGGATATTGCGTGTCCAGACGTTCGAACCGGGTCGTGGTCATTACCAACCGCAGTAAGCTTCTACTCATTTCGAGGAAGATTTGCTACGAATAAATAATTTGTGGGATGCCGCATTCCTAAGCATAAAGCTGTTTGGCCCACGTGAAACTTGGCTCCACCTTCAAAGTAAAAGTATGCCTTTCGTTTACATGCAGCATTATCGTGTCTAGTAAGATGACCGGGTAAATAACGGACCAATCGGTACAGCCGCAATTGGGGACTTGTTACCCACTCGGTAACGCAATTAGTCGTGTAATTCTGGCGCACCTAATCGAGATTATTTAATAAATCCTCTTTTTACACCAGTACCAACTCTCGACTTCCGTTACACACATCTTGTCGTCGCATAGTACTGACTGTTCTCGGATACAAACCTTGCAGAGTTGCAAACAAAACACGAAAATGCTCAAAGCTGGTAAGGAAGAACTTGGAAAAGACTATCCTGGAAGCTTCAGAGCGGCAGCTCTTCACTGAAGCCCCGTCGACACACTGGGTTTTGTTTAGGACCAAGCTCTCTTGCGACGACAGAATGCGCGCCCTAGAATGATGCGTGAATAGGAAAGGAAATACCCGATAAATGGTGCCAGTGTCTTCTCTCGTCCTAAGAGATCCCAACAGGTTTTCAGGCAAGCGTTCGTAAGCAGTCGCAAGTATGTGAACCAGCCTTAAAGGGGCACCAAACCACTTTCTGCAATAGTGTATTTATGGCAGACTTGTACATTACGAGTAACAAGCAACTGATTACTTGTAATCAATTACATTTATTGTAACTTTTTAACACTTCAATTACTTTGTTTCTGCAAATGTCCGCTGTAATTCAATTACTATTTTTCTGTAATCAATTCTATGTCTCCGAAAGAGCTAACAATAATGAGTAGAGCTTTTTTTACATAACAAATCGCTCTGTCTGCCTGTGCGTCACTCGTCTATGTTGCAACAACGTTGGACACTTGTTTTGATGAACTAGAAATAAATACCGAGGTACTAGAAGGATTAGAATGTCAACGTGCTTAGCAACGTTTTGACTGTCTAGCTGTCGAGAGTGCCTCGTCTCCTGCGTACGGCTTGTTAGGATCCAGGTTTGCCACGGCGTAGACGACTGTGTTCTGCACTGACCTTATCTGGCCACGACAGAGTTCACCAGCGCTTCCGTGTATGGAATGTACTAAGGAGATAAGGTTACCTTATCTACATTAACTGAAGGGGGTGTTGGTAACATTGACTAGCAAAGAAAGAATAAAACAAACTCAGAACAAGGGACACAAACATTTCGTCCTTCCTCCCGAGTTTGTTTTATTCTTTCTTTGCCAGTTTTATCTTATTCTAAAATTTTTTTGTTACAAAATCAAGGTTTTTATGAGTCCAGTATGTGGCTGTTCATTTATTCTCTCTCTCTTTCTATGTCTATCTCTATTACTGATATTACTGAAGGAACTGACGAATTCTATTAGCAATAAGTGTGAATGACAAAAAAAAAACAAGATGTAACTACTTTGAACATATGTATAATTTTTTATTTCGTAATAAAAAGTTCAAAAAAGGAATGTGAAAAGCAATAAATTACTTTCTACTAATTTTTCAATTACTTCTGTGATGCAATAATTGATTATGGTAATCAGTTACATTTTTTAATAAAGTAATTGTAACTGGTTGCTTTTTTTCAGTAACGCGTACAAGACTAATTTATGGACATAACTCAATCTATGGGCTCTAGCCATCCTAAAAACCAGACATTACATTCATGCATGGCTGATTTCTCTTTTAATATCGGTGTCAAAAGATTGATTACCCCACAACTATTGCAGACACCAGAGGGCGCCGTTGGACGACAAAGGGTGGGGCAATCTTTTGATCTTGATTTTAAAAGAGAAATCGGCCATGCGTAAGCGTAACGTTTGGTTTTTAGGATGCTTGGAGCCCATAGATTGAGTAATGAGCATAAATAAACTATTGCAGAAAGTGGTTCAGTGCACCTTGAACAAAACAAGCACGAGACTCGCAGGGCGCTCGTCCTCGAGCGGAAGAGAGAGTGAGCGTTCCCACCTCCCCTGTTCCAGTGGTCGCGATCCGGCAACGCCTCTCCATCCGTTGCCTCTGCCTGCAGTAGCCTCTTGGCAATGAGGTCCACGGTGGAGTCCAGGAACCTGCGGTCCAGCTGCGTGCAGTTTCGAACCGCTTCCACTCCCTCCCTCGGCTTGAATCCCCCGGTTCCGTGGCCGTCGTTAGTGTCTCCGGCGGTCTCGGTGCGGCTTTCTCCCGAATCGGCGCTCGGCCACCGGATCCGGTCCGGAACGGATTTCCACGCCGTAGGTGACTCTGCCCCGAGCCCCGTATCTCCAGCGGCGTCGCCCGGTTTGCAGACGAGACAGATCTGGAGGATGCAGATTCCAGATTTTATGTAAGTAGAGTTAGAGAAATGCCGAAGTCAGTTCCATAATTTTTGTTTTATGATCGAAGCGTGCAGGCGCGAGATACCTTGGATCACACCAACCGGGCTTTCATTAGAACGGACGATTCCTTGCCTGCCGTTATTCCCGCGTTCAATGGTGCCAGAAAAGAAAAACACAAACGTGAAACCCTTGTTTGTCTTTCTCTCTCTCTCGCGATCTCGGCGGGAATTTTAGTATTGTTCTAGGTGGTTTCTGCCAGTTTACATACACTGCATGTTTGAAGAGGGAATATTAGCTTAATTATTCTAAAAAAAACACACACAAAAAAAAACAAGCATATTGAGCGTTTCAGACAATAATGATTTTTTTAGAGAAGCCTTCTAACTATGAACAGTTTCTACATTTGGTGGCTCAAAAGAATTCATCTGCAACGTTACAAGGCCACACCAGATTCCCAGAGGTAAGAGTGAGCCCCATTTCTTGGGAATAACAGTGATGTGATTGGCCTAAGCCATTTTGGAGCACCTCTTGAAGCAGTCAAAACAGTTTTGGAGCAGCAAAAGTGGCCTTTGGAGCAGCCAGAACAGTGCTTTGGAGCAGCAAACCTGGCATTTGGAGCAGCCAAAACAGTGTTTCAGAGCAGCAAAAGTAACTTTTAAAGCAAAAATTGTTAGAAAATCTTTTTTTCTGTTTTAAGTGCTGGACAAACGAAGGGCAGTTTGTGCTGTGTTGTGACGGAACTCGCTTTTTGTGTTTTTACTGCTGAGACATCCCACAAGTGTACAGTGTTGTAGGCGTTGCTGAGCGATTCCAAAAAGAATGCTTGGCACCGTTTTACTGGGTCCCGCGTGCCAAATTTTCGTCAAAAGTAAGCAAACGCAAAACAATGAATTGCAAGAGTCTCAGCTGGCGCCTCTGTCGTGCAGTCATGTTCACATGCACGTGAGGGCAACGTCAGCAGGCTTGCAGTGGTACGTGCTTCGTCGCGCAAGCGGAGACAACGGCTGTTCAATCGAAATCGGAACAATGCCACTCCGCTCCGTCGCCAACTGGTTCGTTCCCAAAATAGTATGCAAAATGTAACTGTCCAGCCTATGACAAAACAACACCCCAGTGGCGCGTGTTTGCCAGACCGGCAGGTGAGGTACAAGCTAAACACACAGGAGAAAAGAACCTGAGCGCATCGATGCAAGACATCGCGAGCCAGGGTCAAAAAGTTCTTGGAGCGCTTTGTGCAACGACTGAACTCGAAACAAACAAGCGCGATGTGCGGGTTCATCGTGCAGACATTGTCTTCTTTGCTTTGGCTCACTTCTCTTCACCAACTTTCTTTTGTAGCAAATTTTTCACGTACCAGTGTCCCTCTCGAAAGAAGGCCCACCGAGAGAAACCTAGGTAATCATTATTTCGACAAGTAGTCTTTGAATTAAAGGGACACTTCAACGAAATTTTAAAAACACCCGTCGTGATCAGTAATAGGTTGCATATCATCCACAATATCCGTAAATAATAATTGCACGTTTGTATTTTGAGCCTGATCGCTGTATTTTTGGTTATAAACGGCCCACTCTGGCAAGCGCTCGGAGAGCAGCCAGCGGAGAGCACATGACATTCGCCGCAATCGTGACATAGTTCCGTCTCGGAAATAGCAAAGCCTCGGCGAGGCTGATGTAAAGAAGATGTCCTGACGGTTCTAGCCTCCGAAGCGGCTGCTTTTGTACAAATTTTGCGTGACGGGTTAATCTTCTATAATCTTGTAGGGGGAAAATAGCGACTTCTGGGAGACAGAAAGGATATTCTCGGGGAGAGGCGAGACAGCTATTGCCACTACCTGTCAAAGTTCCTAGATGGGCATTACAAACGAGGCGTTAGCGACAACCACCAGGTGCTTTTTACTAATTCATTTTAAAATTCCTTCTCGTGCCTATTTTAGCAAGAGATTGATGTGTCTGATGCGATAGTGCTCCCTTGAACACGAATAGACCGAGAGATAAGCACCGAAATTTTGTTGTAGTATCCGTTTAAAAAGAGATTTTTGTATTAGAGTATGATTTAAACAAGGGGCAAGAATGTCGATGAACAAGTTTAGGAAGCACCATATCTGCAGCGACGTGGGGACGGCAACACCCGACGTCGCGCGACCAGCGTTTCAGCTTACAAAGCAACTCTCGTCGCGCAAAAACGTGGTTTTGTTTCACAGCATGACGGCATGTCTGGCACTCGGCACACTAGTGTCGGAGCATCCGCACACGCCTGCGTCTATCGTTGAAAAAGTTTAAAAAAAAAAAGACGAGACACAAGATTCCCGAGACGGCGGCAAAAGCCATGCAAGGGGGGGGGATCTGATGGATGCAGGGTACTTTGTGTCGGGCAGCTGCTTGAGCCACCTAGCTCACGCATGCTCAATTACGTTTTTAGTTTAGTTTCGGTTTTTAAAGGCGACCGAAATTGGTCCTTTGGCGCAGGCTTGGCGCAGATTACCCATATTTTGGCAAAATGTAGCAGGATGTAGCAGGGTTAGCCCCTTGGCGCCGTTTGGCGCAATTGGCGCAGCAATCACATCACTGGAATAGTCCCGAGTAAGCAAAGAATTATGTTTTTTTTTTTCGATACCTCATGTTTGCACAATTCTTTCAAGAAACGATGGCTCCGACGCTAGGTAGAAATACAGTAGAAACTCTCCTTAGTAAAGATACGGATATGGTGAAGCAAAGTTGAAGTGTGCTTTATATAATGGGATTACAAGCATTTGAGGTACTGCTATGGTGAAGACCCTTCCTGCAAGAACTGACCACACTGTAGAGAGATCCTACTATCCCAGAGTTTTGAGTAGTATATACACAAAACATATGCTGAATGGTCTACGCAAATTTTATAAACCTAAAGATTACAAGTTATTCTATAAACGTTTGATAGTACGGCCTCTGGGTGCTACCATCTTTGCTGCTGGTGTGTGAAGATCGTTCGATGGTCGGGCATTGCTGAGGCGTACCCATGGTTTCCAGACTGGTGCCCAAACAAGGCGGTTTCCGTTTATGGTGGCCAGACTAGCTCTCGAAGCGCAGCTGCTTGCAAACGTCTGTATTGGACATTTCAGGTAAACACGTGTACTCCCGATTACATTTCCGATTCCTGCCAATGCTGCAGAGACCTGCGTCGGCCCTCTCATAAACCCATCCAAAGATTCTAGAAGAACCGTAAGCATGCGTAAGCGGAGGACTGGGTTGGTGAGAGGACTTGCCCGCTTGGTGGAGGGAATACGTAGCCTGTCGAGCTGCACGCTGAAGCGGAGTCCCCGGCAGAGGTCCTGGAGGAAGAGCAAGTATGACTGGTACTGGCTCATGTTGCCGTGCTGTCGCTGGTACTTCCCATGGAAGCCGAACGGGCAGCAGGGCAGCAGGAACACCCGTGCATCCGGCCGGGACCTGCCAGAAGAGACCATGGTGTTAACAGTGCACCATCTGTACTGGGCCAGGCTAGAGCCCCATGAAGGTGAAAACCTTTAAAGGGACACTGACAGGGTATTTATGCTCGCCGAGGTTTTTACTCAAACGTGACATAAGAGAGCCGAACTACCCAGGAACACAATGTGTGGCTCAAAATTCATATTTTTTCTGCCCGAAAACTGCCGGTCAAAAATTGGCCAATTTGAGGTGCACTCACTTTCGTTTCCATGGCCATGTACTGTTCAAACTAGCGTACCAAATACAGGGTGTCACAAAAGAAAATTTACACGGTCTTTTTGACCGCAAAAATAAACTAGGCATCGCCGAACACTCATTCTCCGCCCAAAGGTAGAGCTAGAGGTCACAACCAGATGCCTAAGTTTCAGCCCGATCCGATAACTTAATCAAAAGTTATAAGTGATTTTCTGAAAAGTTCAATGGGAAAATGGAGCCCATATTTGCCTGTTTTCGGTTTCTGGTGCCATAGAGCCCCATGTGTTTGAAAACTCTGTCGGCCGCCATTTTCCCATTGAAATTTTCAGAAAATCACTTATAACTTTTGATTAAGTTATCGGATCGGGCTGAAATTTTAGCAGCTGGTTGTGACCTCTAGCGTTACCTTTGGGCGGAGAATGAGCGTCCGGCGATGCCTAGTTTATTTTTGCGGTAAAAAAGACTGTGTAAATTTTTTTTTTGTGACACCCTGTATATTCAGTCGTGGGTCATTTAAGGCACACATTCAATATTAGAAATAGAAAGAAAATAAAAAAAAAAAACACTTTTTGTGGTTTTTAGAAAACTGCAAATACACGATTGAAAAAAAAAAAAAGCTGCACAGATTATTGGAAATACATGTACTACGCTATCATCAATACGATTTCATACTGCAGGCTCAAAGTTACATGGGCTGGACGACGTGATGGCGGTGCACGGTTCGCGGTACTAGCCAATCCATTTTCAAGCGCAGAGCAGCAAACGGAACGGATACAAGTGCAAAACAATCGCACGACAAACGGTGCACGCAATGTTGTCGTCGTCTGCTTTTATGCCGGAGAAGCGGAGGAGCGGAGAAAAAGAACAACAGCCACGTGACTTCCGGCAGCTGTCTCTTCCTCCACATTTTCCCCTCCTCCTCAGCCAGCTAGTCGGCCCTGAGTCTCCAAGCTCATGTTTTGGTTTCGAAACTGCCGAGTTTTTGGCTTTATTAAAACAGTATGTGACTGCAGCAAAATACTGACTGGGTAGAGTCTGGACACCATACTAAATTGTCTGGAAAAAGTTAAAACTTTTGGGGGGTGTTAGTGTTTCTTCAACTGCCAGAGCAACGACACTAGGCAAAAGTCATGGATGCACGGCGCGAGAAGCAGCGGTGGTAGCCTCCATTTTGGACTTGAAGAACACCAACGGAACCCAATAGACTAACAGCTCCTAGTGGCCACTGAGCAAAATTGTAGTTCAAAGATAAAGTCCAGCACAAACTGAGCTTTTGCTGATTCTCAGTGCAGTCGAGCGTCGTCAAAACTAAGTCAGATTTGATTGTCTCCATTGTAATTGACGCGACCCTTTCTGGCAGCCGAAGTGTGGCCTTAGTCTGGCAGCTGAAGCTGCCATACGACTGGCTTTAGGCCAGACAGCTATATTACACAACACCATCTTTCATGGCTACACATCACATATGGCACACATCTGTGGACAGTCGCAATACTTGATTACATTTTCAATCGGTGTTTACTTTGCTTGCTGAAAACCTCGAGTCAGAAAGCAGAGAAAATAAATAAACGCTGCTTTTGAACGAGATAATACCACGGCTTTTTGAACAGACATTGTCTTCTCTTTATTGTGACCAGCACAGGCTGCCATGCAATGCGTGCGATGGCTGCACTGCATGACAGAAACAGCCTTTGTTCCAACGTTTTAAACAAATATAAAAACCTGCCTGCAAGATTGACAAAATGAGCTATAAAATATGTGCTTAGCAGACAGATCATTTATGGAACTGGCTGAATCTGCAAGCCGCTTGAACTTGTTTTCCCCACAGCATGCCGGTGCGCGAGTCTGCTATACCACTTCCCAGCATAGCATCGGAGCATGTGGGGGTAACCGCCTTTCAGCCACCTACATATTCATTGTGCTCAGCATTCTACAATAGCTGAAGCAAGAATTCAAACACAATATTAGATCAAATTTACCCTTTTTCTTAACATCTTTAGACCTGCTACAGAAAGGCAAGGACACAGACAGAGCAGAATTTTTACTAAGAGAACTACACCATAGTAGGCACAGTATACTCGGCCCATAATTCAATCAATTCTAAGCGAAACTCCAAAGAACTGCATTGGATCACCTCGAGGCCAAGTAAGGGATCCATGGAGTGAGCTCGTCCGAGTGGTTGCCGATCCACCAAGAGTACTCTGGGAGACGCACTTCAGGAGTGATGGCTTGTTCCTGCAAACACAGCATCGGTAAAGTGCCGTGTTCTTGGATTGTACAAATGAACAAGAAAAAAAAAGCAACCACCATAACCATTCTCTTTCAACTAAGAAAAAAAAAAAAAAGAAAACATCAGTCTGCATTGTCTGTTGCTTAGGGGCACTGACACATCAAAATCATATTTTTTTTTATTATCCGAAACGATTGAAAATTATGCCTCAACATTACCCTCAAAATTCGAAACTTGGGAATTCAGTATTTGTGAAGTAAAAAAAACGATTTCCAAATGCCGAATTTGAAGTTTTCGCACGATCCGCGCCAGTGTGGCGACGTCAAATATTGCGGAGTGCTGCGAGTCGACTTTCTTTCACGCATCCGCTCCAGACTGCCATTGCCAACGCGGCCCGAAGCGAGAAGTGAGGAGCGGGAGAGAAGGGCGCCGGCTTAAACCGGTTTGGTTTTCTCTTTGCGTGTCGTGCCGCCTGCCTATCGTGGCGAGTAGACGACGCTGGACGTCTGAAAGGCTGCCTTGGCGGTGTCACAACCAAAACTACGATACACAGACACCGAACCCAGTTGTTTTAACCATTCGACGATTTCCTTTTCAAAGTCTGAGAGGTTGTCGGGTACCTAGAAAAGACCACTTCCTCCGATTCCCCGACTCACCGATCATCCTCTGCTCTGGGCGTTCAGCGCCGCCATGTGTTCCGAGGGAGGATACAAATCCAGGAGGCGACATCACACCGGACTTTGATTTTTGGTATTTCAAAAAGAAGGGCCGTAGTGCATTCGCAATTGCGTTAAAAAATATGTTTTACTTGTTAACGTAGCAGGTTGGGCGAGTTGGTTGCTCATTTATACACACACTACAGTGCACTACTGCAAACAACACTCACTCCTTACACACGAAAAATAAAGCAAAATTCAAACAAACCGTGCTGACTGACAACTCGTTTTTATATATATTTTGTCTTCTACCTCTTGCGCTTTCCCGCACTACCCCTTTCGTGTGGGAAAATATACATAGGGCAGACCAGACAATGCCTTAATGATAGGCTCCGTGAACACAAAAACAACAGCACCAGAGCCAACTCTGGCCCATCTGGGCATACACTGCCGTGATTGTGGGTGCGAGGTTCACCTGCCATCTCGTACAATTTTAGGTAGGAACAGTAACCAATTAACTAGAGAAATGATAGAAGCTGAACACATCGCCAGGAATTATAAAAACTGTATCAGTACACCATCTTTAAACCTGACAGAAAAAGAGAAAAAAATTTTAGGCGTCTAGGAGATCGGTGCGCGTGATTCGGGAAATTCGGTAGTGCAAGAGGTAGAAGACAAAGTATATATAAAAACGAGTTGTCAGTCAGCGCGGTTTGTTTGAATTTTGCTTTATTTTTTGTGTGTAAAGAGTGAGTGTTGTTTGCAATAGTGCGCTGTAGTATGTGTAAAAATATGTTTTACGATTGCCTTTATTAAATGTCATAGAAATGTCGTCTACAAAGCTTCTAAATTCCATGATTTTTGAACGTCAGAAATCAAAAGAAGCGAGGAGGTGAGAAGCAGGAGAAAAAAATGCCAAAAATAAAAAAGCGTGCGCGCACGCGTGGAAAGTTTTTTTTTTTTGTGATGCAGTATTTTTTTGCATATCTGCGACTACAACTTGCATTGTTTTAGACAATAAAAAAAAATACGCCCTTTGGGGTGTCAGTGCCCCTTTAAAGACAACTGAGCTGAAGGAATGTTGCAACACGAGGGATGCTTTTTGGGTCAATGATCCGTTGAACAAGTGAGACTCTCTCCCGACTCAAAATTCACACGAACGGCGGGGAGAGGGATGTTGGTGTTATCAGACGCATTTAGCGGTCGCCTCTCGACAACAAGCCTCGGTGCGTGCTGACAAGAGTAGAAAAATGGAGGCATACATGAAACGGCGATACACAATTAGATGTTTCTTGAACTGGGGGATGCAACAGAAAGGATGTGGAATCAGAAACCAGTTGTATGAGGGGCGGCTTGAGAACGGCATTGTTGAATTTAGAATACTCCTTCGGGTGCCTCGGAAAACATGCGCAACAGCGCAAGCCACAACAAGTTAGGCGATCCCGATGCCCACCACCGCCCATCTCGCTCGGCAAAATCTGTAAAAATGCCAGACACGCGAACAAAGTACTGCCAATTGCAAAAAGATATGCCAAGGTGGGGAGCGTTTGTGCAGTCCAAGCAAAAGCACCCCCATACCCCCAGGATGTCTATGTGAGTGCGGCTTTGTGCAAAAGCGTGGCGTTGTTACCACGTGATGCACATCCCGGGGAACCAAAGGGAGGTACTATTTCTCCGTGAATACCCCTTAATGTTTGTCTTTGTGCAGCGGAGAAAATTAACCCGCTCAACAATGGTATCAGTAATCGAACTAAAGCATCAGAACTGTAGTTTTCACTTTTAAATTATTTGTCAAGGCTCTGGTCTGCGTGAACAGAGAGGCCGGCTCATGTCGAATGTTTTGTCAGAGATCTTCGGATGAGATGTGCTGTGACAAGATGCAATTAACGCTATCTTCTCTGTTGGGCTCTTTTTTTTGTATGTGCTATAGCGTCCCATGAGGGCACCCGCCTCTCTCGCTTAGTGCCCGCAAGGTGGCTATTTAGCCACCCCTCCCCAGAAGCGATCAAACCATCGCTTTCCCGCGGGGTGGGTCGAGAGATCTAAGTAGACTCTTGGCCTCCGGTTCTCCTCCAGGCCAAGGGACGGCGCTTGGGCGCCCCTTTGCAGGGCATGGAGAAGCCTCCTTGCCATCAGATGTAGAAGGAACGGACAAGGGGAGGAAGGCCTCTTTCTCACCAGACGGGATCTTGGGAGGCTTAGGCATACCTGTGAATAGTCTTCTTGTATGTTGTGTTTAGTGTAGTCTTAGTATTGTATATGTAGCGTCTTTTGTTCCTGGTAGTAAACGGGAGAGGAAGTTCGCTCTCTCAACGGCATTTGTGTGCGTGTCACTGGGTGGACAAATGTACAACGGACCATGTTGGGTAAACAGTTTGCTGGCAGCGGCACACATTCCCAAGGTTGTGAGACCTTTGTTTCAAGCTTCGATGTCATCCTCTGTCAGCATGTCGGCAAGTACGACTGCTTCCTAGTGCAAGAAGAAATTAAGACAAAGCCTCCCATCCTGCCCCCTTTTTTGGTCTTCATCATTATTGAAAAGCCTCTCCAAAGTACAGTCAATAAGCCAAATGTTTTCAGGAAAAATAATTGCCATCTTAATTGCTTTTTTTTAATCTTCACATGTATCGATACCTAAAATACCTGCACTACAAGTTTCAACTTCGCTTCTCTACATAGTGTCGAGAACGGATATAACAAAATCATTGGGAATCAGAAATCACTTTGCTACATCCGCTTCTTCGTTATATCTAAACTAATAAAAGTAACACACACACAAAAAAAAGAAGATAACATGGGCTGTCACGGGCACATTTCTCGTGCCTGCAGAAAGCGATCGAGGCTTCCCTGCACGCGCTCTCTGCTAGATTGGAGAGGCTTCTCGCCAACTGCGAGAAGCTCCAATCGAGATAAGATCCTGCAAGCTATGTATGAATTGTTTAGACAGCAGCCGCAAAGGACGCCGGCAGTGGACGGCATTCTTTACGTCTATGTGCACTTTGTCGAGGATGGCACGCTTTCGTTTCAAGGAGATTGCCTTCGTCTTTCCTGTCGAGGTGCCGGCGGTGTCGGGACTCTCTATCGTTGTCTGGCGATGATTCGCCGAATCGGTGCTTGAGCGAAGTTAGACTTTCGCGCAAGAGCGAGCACACCAACCAGGGACGCCGACAAGGAACACGAAGCAAACAAAGAAGCGTGCACGGCACCGAATTCGCGCTCAAGCTCATCTTTCGTTGGTATACAGCGCCTAGATTTAAGAGAGGGGGCAACTGCTCAATCGGGGACCTATGGTTTGTGTGCCGCATTGGCGAAATGGGCTGCAGCATGCAAGCAGTCAGAACTTAAAAGTGTTCACCTTCTGCAAACGCGTCCGCCTCTCCGCCCGGTTTCCTCGCCACACTGGCCACGCGACAACCAAATACAGGCGTACTTGCGCCAACCTGCCTAGGAGGCGTCCGCCATTAAATTGCAAATGCTCTCAATGGTTGAAATTGCTCCCTCTCCTAAATCTAGCTCTCTCCGTCATCTCCGCCGGTACGCTGTCGCTAGCGCTCCGAACGCCCCTACAGCATGCCACGACGGCTTCTCCATGTGCAATGCGAAAAAGCAGCTTCCCAGATAAGGACCAGGAAACAGACGGTGGTGCAATAGCTGCCGCCGGCGGCCTTTGCAGCACCATCTGCGGCCCGTTCTGGGTGGCTGCTCGGCCGCGGCAGTCAAGTGTGGCGGTCTGAGACTTGGTAAACTTTCCGAGTTTTCATATTTTTTTTCAAATTATTACAAAATTTCTTTTAGTTGTATTCGCGAGAACCGCTCAATTTCCTTCACAAAAAACAGACACAAATGCATTGAAAAAGTGCAAACGGGAATGGGAAATCGTGATCGCTTCGCTGTAGCCGCTATTTCGTTATAAACGCCTTCGTTATAACCAGTCTTGACAGTATACCCATCTGTTTACTGTATCAGTCTTCGCTTTTGGGGCTCTACTGTGCCCAATGGAATAGCATCTGGAAGAAACAAAAAATCGCAAAATAAAAAACCCGTAAAAGTACAAAAAAAACAACAGAAGAATAACTTGAAAAAATAATCAAATTTTTTTTAGCGACGTCTGACCAGTACAATTTCCGCTCGTGAGTGGATTTATTCGGAAAAGCGCAGGGCGGTCACCTTGCACTTCGACCTTCTCCTCCACCCCCTTGGCATGCCGCCACAGAATTCACCACCAAGAATCAAGCACACTTGGATTCTCAAAGAGAGAAAAGAAATTGGCAATCTAGGTCGAAGTGACATTAAAGTACCATAAGGGCACCTATTTGTGACACGGCTGTTTGCAGGGGCCACTGCACCGACCCGAAGTGACAGAGAAAATCGGCGCCTACGATGGCCCGTTGGAGGTCCGCGACGATGAATACCCGCCGGAACATTCGCCAGAGTCCAATGCTACTTGTCGGGGAACGTCGACCGCAGGTGGCTGTTGTGGACCTTTTGACAGCCCGAAGACACAGTTGTGTCGGTTGCAGCTTGTGGTCAGCGGGAAAAGTTGGCAACACAATCACTTCCGCACCAGTATCCACGAGAAACAGGACGCCCGTAAGGGTGCCGTGGATATAGAACAGGTGGTTGGGGGGGTTACTGAAATCAATTGCCACCGTCGGTGTCAAGCCTCGTCATTTCTCATCCACGAAAAGAATGGGTGCAAAGTCGGGCCCGTTCGCCGAATGTGTGACGGTACGAGCACGTCGACCGGTCACTGGAGTTGGAAGTGCGGCGAGAGGTCCAACGGGTGCGAGAAGAACTACGCCGTGTCGGTCGATCTCGCGAAGGTCCGAAGGCGGCGATGCCCTATTTTTGCTTCCGTCCTCGCGGTCGCCATCTCCCGGTTTGACGAATGTGTCGAGACTGCATGTGCAGTGGGTGTGGAGTAGTTGGCCATGCGGTCGGCTAGCACCGCGAGGCGATCTGAAGACGTGTCTTCTGCGGCAGTGAGAATACGTAATTCTCCTCTTTTCCGGTGGCTTTGAAAGGAAGAGCTCACAGCCGACGCATCCGATGGAGAGCTGCAATGACGGTCCTCGAGCTCCCGTGTGGTCGGAAGTGCGAGCCAGTAGTACAGATTTGAGGAGATCGTAGGCATTTTCCACAAAAGGTTGGGCCGGTGCATCGTCGATTTCGTTGGAAGCCCGAGGTGGAAGACACTCGACGACGTAATGAAAACGGGCGATCTGCGTTGCGACTCTCCGCAGATGGAAGTGCGCCTCTATTCGAGGGTTCTTTGGCCAGAATGGGGGTAACCGCGAAGGAAGCGTCCCGGTGGCTACGTCCAGGAACCATTTGGTTGGAGAATAGAGGGACTGGCGCCGTCCGTGTGCTGCAAGTTCTCGGTTGGTACTGTTCATTCCCACGTAGAGGCATGGTATTGTAAATCGGTGAATCGTCTGGGTCGCCAATCTGTAGTGACCGATCAGTAGAATCTCCGCTCATTAACAGATTCATTCTGAAAAGCGCAGGGCGGTAATCCCGCCTTTTGACCCTCTCTTTTACCACCTTGGTTGGTGTGCTGCCACAGCCCCCTAAAAGACCTCCCGATTAAGAAAAGAGGAAAAATGTGGATCATGAGGAATTCCAATTATAGTGAATGATGTGTAGGAATTGAAAGTTCACGAATATAAAACTTGCGACTGCTAATCGAATATGAGTATTAATGTATGACAGCGAATTGAATTTTAATATTTTCGAATATGGATGTTTTACATTTAATGTAGACTAAGCATGGAGGCTTTATTCAGTCGCAACTAGAAATCTTTTTTAAAAAACACACCTATGAAAAGGACAGGTGATTTCCTGAAAGCATTTCAAAACTGGAACACACAAAGGCCCAGATAAGATGCATCTTATCCGTGAGGAGCAGTGAAGCTTGTTGCAGCGGAATTCTAAAGACATAATTTGTCATTTTCAAATATTTGAAAACACTTTATTACTTGGAACAACAAAAGTGTGCTCTGAATCCAATTGTATAGCAAACACTATTTGCAAATTATTCGCAGTTTCAAATATTTGCACACCTCTAGTATGCTATGACAAAGAAATAATGTATTTTTAAAGTACAATTAAGTGTTACTAACCAGCAGAGTGGTCTTTGGTCCATACAGATCCCAGATCTTGCGCTTCCTCACGTCAATTCCGACCCCCTTGTACTGCATTAAAAAACGGAAGGGTGTCCATAAAAATTACCTGCAGCGAAGCACTTTCATTCCACGTTACAAGCGAGAGACAGAACTCGAGAAAAAGCAGAAATCTGGTCTAGCTTGGGATAGTATCTTAAAGGACTCGAGCTTGCCATAAGTTGAGCACAAAAAGGCCTAAAACAGTGCAGTCATCACTTGCGTCTACAAATATTTTTTTGATCTTAGTAGGAGCGATAGTTTTAGTCTCTTGTAAACACCAAATGAAAACTTTATAGTAACAGCTTGGATCGGCTTCCATTTCGACTGGCACCTTGAGAAGACTGAGACACGAAGTACTGTCAGCTCTAACTGGGGTGCAGCCTCTGGCAACTCCACAGTATGGCAGTGTGACTTTGTAAGAAATTCTAATGCGAGACATTTCGAGAAGCCCCAAAGTGAGGCCTGGATGAAAGCGTGGCCGCGAGGCACGACACTGATTGGTTGACGAGTGGGAAAGAAGGGGCGAGGTGCTCGACGCCGATCGATTATAGCGGAAGTCACGCGACCAGGAGTGGTGTGAGGAGGGGTTAGAAGTAGGTGAGGAGTAGGTGAGGTGGGAGAGGAGGAGTGGGTTAGAAAGTTCTGGAAGATGACCGGGTTTATTATTGCAAGTGTACACATGCCAGGCATTACAATATCCGCTTACCCCCTCGGCAGCCAGGAGGTAGACCAGAAGCCCATTTCCACAGCCCACATCCACAAACGTGGGCGGTTCAGATGCCCCCTCGTCTTTCCCCTGCTCCCAGAGTGTCTGAAAAAAGGGGAGCATGTTGTTGGGACTGGCACGGGCTTCACTTGTGTTCAAGAGCAAGGGACCCTTGACACACTCGCGCCTGCTTAGGACTGAGTTCTGCGACCTCTTACGACGAGAGAACATGATGGCACCATCTATGAGTTGACCCTGGAACTGCACTTCACTGCTATTTGAGAGACCAAACATACAAACCATCTATGAGAAATGGTCATTTATAACATTGTCAAAAGTTTTTTAAACCAAAAATGAAAGAATGACGAGCTAGAAAAATAAAATATATACGAAAAGTGTGAGTGTTCCATTCGATAGATGGCAACAGAGTGTTCTCTCGCCGGTTTTGATTCACACGGTTGAAAGCAGTCGCGTCTGAACCAACCTTTAGCCACTACACCGGCAGTTCTCAAACTTATGGCCATCACAGGCCCCCTGACCCACTCAAAGGCCGGTCGGAGACCCCCAATGCATGCAGCATCAGATGTCTTGTGCAATGGCATACGAGGGTTTTATTTTTTTTTATTTTTTTTGGCGGTTTTTTGTTTTGGCGCGGAACCCCACAAACACTCACACCTGCTTGGAGCGACGTCGCACTCACCAGGAGATAGCTGGCAATGGAGATGTCCTCATACACATACTTCAGAGGGTCCGTGGTTTCCGGCCAGATCTGAGCAGGATTGAGAAGACGCACATTAATCTTTATGGCTGCCGCAAACGGCGCTTTTATTCACACTATCCAGCCGTAATAGGGAGTGCAATTGCTCAACCAAAACACCCTATCCTTCGTATTTTTGTAAAAAGCGAACCTCGGACACAGCTGTATTGACCGGTCTGGCGTTTCTGGCCAATTCGGGCTACAACTGCCGTTGCGACGGTATTGTGCGTAAAGGAAAGAAACACCGTGTGCTGCGCAGGGACTCACCATCTAACAGATGCTTACGCGCTCGTAGCGAACTCTTCGTCCACTTAGCGTAACTTTGTCTTTAGGAACTGAGTACACGCTTACTGCGTCGGCAAGGCCCAGTTCGGACGTGCAAACCCGAAATATTTTTGACGACTTTTGCATTTTTCACCGCCGACAAGATGCTGGTTCAAGAAGCAAGAGCAGAAAACAGGTCCGTCGCGCCGGGCCACCTTTCTCGCTGGCACTGAGGAATGGCGTTCTCAAATTCTGCAACATGGCAACTACCTCGCTTGATAGTGTAACTGTGAAGGCCACTTCACACACTTGCGTTGCTTATGACTAAATTCTTGTAATTTCTTATGACATGAAACCGCACAGGCACACTGGAGTTGTCTATAGGTGGTCCAGGAGTTGCATTTTATTACAATAGAGTTTTTGCAGTATTTGCAAGATGAAATGAAAAATAATTGCTTGTAACATTGTGGAAAGTTTGTTTAGCCAAAAAGAGAGAGAATGATGCGTAAAAAAAGGAGGACGGATACCAAAATGCAAAGTGTTCCACCCGATAGACGGCGCCAGTGTGTTCTACTGCGAAGCAGGTATTTTATGTTTCTGGATGAGGCCGAAAGTACATGAAGGGAGAATTGTCAGAGATTGATGGAAATAGGGAGTTTCAAGGTGCTGAGTGTGTTTACTGAGTCAGATTAGGTTACATTGACGAGAAAAGTTTCCTGAAACACTGAAACATGAAGTGAAACTGTGAACACAAGGTGCGCGTTCAGAGTTAGGGTCAAAATTCCTACGGAGCTGTGTCCGCAGTTTTCACCGTCCACTCGGTCGTGGCTGCGGCTGCAGTCAAAAGAGATAGAGTGCGTTCTGAATGTCGCTGCGACTACAACATCACAAATTTCAACTCGATTGCGCTGCAATGATTCTTGAATACATCCTTACCTAGAAACTGTGATTGGATGATATAAATGAGCTCATTGCCTCCACTAGGGGAATCTTCAAGCTAGTGGCTGGTCACAAGAGCCGTCAATCAATGCGCCGAAGGTCACTGAAACAATTTCTGCCAATGAAGCGCCCTTTTTTTCGCTCTATTCTGTTAATGACCGGACTCTCTACATATACGGCTCTGCTCTCGTTGCGAGAGATCCCAAGAGGTTTGAAGGCATTCGGCCGGTTGCAAGTGTGTGAACCAGCCTTCATGTGAGGTTTGGTAATGATACTGCTAACTTGGTATCCCATTGAATGTTCTTCAAATACAAAGTAGGGTAAAGAACAAAACGCAAGGACTCACTTTACAGAGGTGCTTCCCATGCTTCTTCTTGAGGTTGAAGTAGATGGCATTGTACCGTTCGATGCAAACCTGGTTCAGCGATGGCACCAGTACCTGCTTGGAGTTGATGGGTTCGCTGGAGGCCCACCGGGCAACCTTGGGAAGGACGTGCTCCCGCAGCCAGGCCACCCCGCTGTCGTCCACGTCGGCGCTTTTGGGCCTGAACAGCTCCAGGTGGATCCTGCAAAAACACGTGGGAACCGGCGGGTTCACGCACTTGCTGCTTACGACCGTGTACCTTAAAACCACTTCTCTTACGACAAGAAAACACGCTGGTGCCATCTATCGGCTTACCGTGGAACAATTTCAGTTTTCGTATATTGTGTGATGGAGACTGTGGTGCTTGAACTGCAAAGACTTCGTCCTTCCGTGTTGGTGGAGATGACCTTGAGATTGAGACTATATAGGGAGGTGGACTAAATAAATGAGTCAGCCGAGTATAAGACGTCGTCCTGCCTCTTTTACGTTTTGATGTTTCCTCTCTACCCCCAGTCTCAGGTTAATTCAACATGGTTAATATTTACCAGCTCACCTGCACCCTTACGATATTTTCTTTGACTACCGTATTTATTTAAATATAAACTCTCTTTTTAATGTAAAAGCATTAACTGTCCCATGGAGCGAACCAGCTTTATCAGCTTTTGAAGCCGTGCCAAACGGCACCTAAACTCCCCTGTCCCCATGGAGCGAAGCCTGCCGTCAGTAACAGCGATCTGATGGATAGGCTTCTATTGGTTCTCGCGCGGCATAGTTCCAAGGCGCGCCACCAGAGAAGCCCTCTCCATAGCGGTGCAGCAGCTCAGCCCCCAGTAAGAGGTAGCGACTAGCCACCCAGCCAGCAGAGAACACTTGTAGTCTCACTTCTGGAATTGATTTAGTTTAGTCTATCGCATAGAATCACGTAGAAAAATCGCTGTCTGGTGAAGAAAAAATGTTGCAGTATCTTAAATTGCAGCTGCGATTATCGTTTTTGAAAGTCACATCAAAAGACGTTGCAGGTTGTTTTTGTTTGATTAAGTGCATGCACAAAGTGGGACATCCTAAAATACATCGTAAAATACGGGCCAAAATCTGTATACCGGATATAGTCCCGCTAAAAGGTAGTTACTTAATTTTTTATTGATCGCAGCTGTTTAAGAGAACGGTAAGCATACATGAAAAAACAGTTAGGACGCAGGCAAGCTGGTGTAGATTTACCATTTTTTAGACCACCTGAGACTGGGTGGAAGAAACAAGACGTCGTCCTGTTTCTTCCACCTAGTCTCAGGTGGTCTAAAAAATGGTAAGCATACATGTTACTGGGAGGTTTTGTAACCTTGATTGGTATGAAAAAGTTAAAAATAGTATTTCTTTATTACTGGGCCCACGTGTTTGTTCAAGCTAAACAAGTTGCTGACACGACACCAGTTTTTTTGTTTACAAATTTATAGCCTTAATAAAGTGGAACAAACAGTCATATATTTTTCAGAAGAATCAGCTTGAAACTTAATCGAAAGAATATTTGCAGAGGACAATGTCAGACACAGAAGAGTAATAGTCGACATGGCAGTTCAACTGCACTACAAAAGAAGATCGGGATCAAGGAGGCACCACACAAGAGTATGCGCTTGTTAACGGCGTCAAACAGCGTGTCGCAATCGTAGCATACGGCGTCAAACAGCGTGTCGCAATCGTAGCATCATGCTTTGTTCCAATCGGCAGAAGTATGGTACAGGGGGTCCTGAGGCGCAGTAAAACTTACAAAATAAGTTAATAATGCAACATTCTCCCCTGACCCGCGACCGCGGCTATCATCCTGTCTGGTAAGAAATCATAGAGCGCGGCCATGAATTCCGGCTTGGCCCGAAGCCACTCCCATTCACCTCCCATTGCTTTCCACAATTTGTGGGCAGTGGTGCGGTGGAGGGGATGCCGCGACATGGGTATACCTTGATGCGCCTCCAAACATGTTCGATGATATTCAGATTGGCTCCTTTTGGGGGCCAAGGCAGCTTCGTCAAGCAGCGCTTCTCGAGGAGATACGCGCATGACAACGCATTTCCCACTTCCGCGCTTTCTTGAAATGCACTGAAATGCATGTTAGCTGAAAACATGAACACTGGGCACCACGGCACACGCATCGTGATGGTGGTTTCGTCTGTATGATCTCTATGAATATTTTCGCTAGCAGACGGCCGGAAGGGCGTAGCAGCGCAGTGAGCGCAAGTGAGAACTTATCTCGGCCTCAGGGTGCGCCGTGTTTACGAAGCGAAGCAACAGGCGGCGCAGGTAGTACCGTGCACAGGCCGGAGCGCTGTTTCAGCTCATATTAGGGAATTGTAGTAGACCGTTCCGGCAGCCCTCTAAGCACCTGGATAGCGCTCCGTAATCCACCACAAGACCTTGAGCTATGCAGAGAAGGCTGGCGGCGCGCATGCGCAGCTGCGGCGTTTTCTTCGGTGATACCGTAGCAGAGGAGAAAAACGATCTACTACAACTCTCTATTGTCCGCGGTAGTACGTGACTAAGTGAAGCAGGTGCAACGGCACCAAAACATGGGGAAGCCAGAAATTAGGCAGGCGTTGTCAGTATCAAGGTACATTTGGGTCAATCACCGTTAAGCTGTCTGCTCCACGAGGTTCCTCTGCCAAAGGACAGTTTTCTCATAAACATGAGACAGCTGTAAAGTAACTAACTAAAGTAATCTGTTGCCGTAACTAGTGAAAGTTTGGAACAACGTGCAGCTTAGTTAAGTTTAAACAAATTCACGAAATTTTTTAGAAAGATTATAGAACTGCCTGTTAATTTAGATAGGCTGTGTACCACACCGTTGCGGAACGCCACTTTACTCCACCTCGTCGAAATTCATACCTATTGTCCGGGCTCAGACGCAACCTGTACGTGACGCTGGGTGAAATCGCGGAAGCTCCGGACACGTTGCAAAACACTGCGCAGTCGCCGAACACAGCGACGACTTCTCGCGTGGGTCCGAACTTGTCGATCTGTTTGGGCAGTAGGTCCCGCTCCAGGACGAATCCCGCCACTTGCACGCCTTCCTTCCAGGAGCGCTCGGCCGGGACTGCATTGTCAGCGAGGAAGGAAGGCAGGGCGTCCAAGTCAACCGCATTCAGATGTCTGACAAACGAGTCATCTTCATCAGGCACACTTCCACCGGGAGGCAAGCGACGTTCCGACCGAGGTTTGACGCCCGCCAAGCGCCTGTTGATGGTGTGTGGTTTGTCGATCCAGACCCTCAACGCAGTCTGAAAACACTCTCTGCTCGCGATCGACTTCGAAGCGCCCACGGGAACCCACGTGTTAGTTTCCATATAACTCGGGAGAACTCACAGCGAGAAAAAGAAAAAAAAATTACGCCACCACAAACCTCCGAGCATAAACCCACATCAATCACGACCAACTCAAATAATCACATTGCGAAACTCACGAAACTAATGCAACGGATGGATATATGCTAACGGCTGTACCCTTTATATTGGGCGGTAGCTTGCACCACCTATTCTAGAAATTAAAAACCAAAAGTATGATTTTTTTTGTTAATTTTTTTACCCTCTGCAATTTTCTAATTATCACCAAGCACGGTAGGATATCACTATAATGACTGTTGTTTCTGGAATCGGGCAAACACAACTACAAATCACCTCTTCTCACCCTTCTCACCACGAAAACCACAAAAAGGTGATGCCGATGCCCATTGATTTTCTCGGAGTCCGACCGGAAATTTCCGAGCCCATCAATAGCCGGAAGCGACGGTGGCGCCTCCTTCCGACACTATCGGAGAGTAACGCTGGCTCTCTTGTACGCCCATTTGGTCCGTGAAGCAGCTTGGTTTATGAAATAGTTATTTTAAAGCTTTCAGACGCCCCAGTGTTAGTAATGTCTAGGGAGTACGACCATTTATTTAAATTACTAATTATCGGAGACAGCGGTGAGTAGATTTTCGAGCACCTCCCCGCAACCGCTGCTAACCCGGCGGGACCGTTTTGTCAAAAAAATTTGCGCTGGCGAACAAAGTTCTCTCTGATTCTTTGACGCTTTCGGGCAAAGTTGCGACGACTCGAACGTCGCTGGTTCATTGAACTGGCACTCCGGGAACGATTATCTTAGCGTGGAACTCGCCGAGCGCGTCCCTTCCTCGTTTTCGGGGCCGAGAAGCGTCGGCGAGCACGTCGGGAGTGCACGCAGCGAGCACGTCCTGCTGCATTGAACCCTGGACAGTTTTATTTTTATCTTCCCGCTCGCGCTTTGGCCATACTGCTCGGCGCCGTGTTTCGGTGTGCTCCTTATCGAAGAGTCTACAGGCACTTCATCATGTCCTAGCTGTCGCCGTGAATGACGCTTCTGTCAGCGGCTTGGAAAGCGACGTTGCGTTGCGGACCGCCGATTCGCTCTACCTGGCTCTGTGAGGTTCACTCGATGCCCTAAAACGCACTGGCCCGATGAACGGGCGCCAGATTCCTTGGGGACCAATTAGGTGGCATGACTTTTGAATGCGCGCAGTGATTAGCGCGAGGAGCTCTTCAAGGACTCGCGAGCCGAGACGCGGAGACGGTCTCAAGCGTGCGTAATGCTGCCGATTTCTCGTCGAAATCTGAAGCCCCCCCTCTCCTGTACCGTTTCGGGAGTGTTGTCCGCGCGGATTACGCTTTTTTTTTTTTTTTTTTTTTTTTTTGAGGTAACAGAGACGAGAGATTTACTGACTCGATCGGGACGAGCGGCACCACCCTCCTCACTGCGTCATGCGACGGCGCACAACACGGGGATATGGGCTTCCTTTCGACGTGAGTCAGATCCCAGTTGTGACGAAAGCGTGCGTCGAAGAAAAGACCGTGTCCGTGCGCCACTCGGCAGACCTCGTGCCGCAAAAGCATGTCAACAGACCCCCGTCTGCCTGTTTCGCGAAATGGAGTAAAACCGTTTTGCTTGTTTCTACCTCCCGTTCTCTCTCTCCCCAACGCTGTCGCTTTTCCCATTTTTTTTTTTTTACTGTCTTTTTTCTTTTTTTTTTTTTGCTGGGCGTTTGGCGTGTTTTACACCTGACCTGCTTCTTTCTCCATTGTTACGCTATGGGCAGCAGGAATGTTTCTCGCTCTCGCAATGGCAGCAGCCTGCGTGAAAGTGTTCCTGGTTGCTCACACCGTCTGTCATTGGTTTTGGGGCGAAGCCCGCTCCTGATGCTAATCTGCTTCGAATGAGGATTATTGCCAAGCAGGTGGAGACATTTAATTGGTTGAAGCTGACCCCTGATCTTTTCATACTGTTTACATCGTTTTTGCTTATGTCCAGAAAAAAGGTGCATAAGAATTGTGGCCAGCAAATGTGTTTGAAATTGAAGGAACCCTAAGCAGCTGTCAGTACAAAGTGACAACCTAAGCCTTCTCCTGGGGTCAGTTTGTTATGTTTCTTCTCTCCCCCGTTGAAGCCAATCGCCCTATTTATGATGCGTCGACCACTGGTACACTGGCACAGTGGAGCATCTAGCCAATGGCCGGCCCAGTAGATACCTGGTTGCTCGTACAGCTTTTCAGGAGCTTGCTCTGGCACAAGAGGAATTTGAGGTGTTTTAGCATCTTGGGAGTATTTTGGGCCATTTATCGTGCCGAAACGATTACCTGTGATGGGCCTGATCTCGAGGACTAGATCTATGAATTCCAGCTTAAAAAAGAACAAAAAACATTGACAACGAAAAAAAAAAATAATGCATGCAGCCCAAGACAAAAAAGGACGCCGATAGGGTTTGGAGGGAGGTTGTTGCCACAGGAAGCAGAGTTTACAGATTTGTTGCGAACAGCACGAAGCAAGGGCTTGTTTGGTGCTGTTGTAGTTTTTATTCCGTGGCATTTGTTTCATTCTCTAACTTGTGTTATTTGCCTTTTGGTGCTGTCCTAGCTTTCTTTTTTCTTTGTAGTTAGGAACCATGTCATCCATATTTTTAGTCTAATCTGAATGTAATTGCAGAAGAATACTTAATACAGAGAAATAGGAAAATAAGTATCGGGGGTTAAGAAATGAGGTATAGAAGTGTCTCGACCAGTAAGGGTTAGTTCAAGATGTCACACATTCGGAGTTAGAGGTGGAATTCAGTGTTTGTTGGTAGTGACTTTGGCAGCCAGACCCTTCTTTTTCATCAAAATTTAGGTGAGCCACACTGTTAACGTTTTAACCATGGGTAGTTTCTTTGGACACAAGTATGTAACACTGGTGCGATAGCTCGACCAATGCTGGAAACAGTTCTCTACGGATGTTTTTGGTGATACTCGGCTTGAAACCTATTAACCTCGCACCTAGTAGTTATTTCAACCATTCCAGTATAATGCACGAATGGTGAAGGTGTTTTCTCGCACATTTCGGTGGGTCCGTGGAGGCGGCGTCCGTGAGAATATTGTGTCCTCCCGTTTCTGGAAAGAGGTTGGCCACACTCTGGCTTCTTGCCCGTATTTTTCTCTCCCCCTCTTTGTAAGCCGGCCGGGTGACGAGCCTGACAAGAATCGAACTAGCGGCTGTCGTCATTCCTTTTGTTCGCATCCGGCTCACGACTCGTTAGTCGACTGCTGTGGGGCTGGCACACTGTTGCTCCCAAAGAATGCAGATTTCTTTACGTTCAGCCCACACGGCGCCTCGATAGAAAGGTGGTTGGGTAAGCCAACCTTTTTACTTATGTTGTTAATGCATTGATTTTTTTAATATTTGCAAATTTTTTTTTTTTAAAGAAACCCGCATCCTTAATTTGTTTTCGGGGAGAAATTGCGATAGAAATAATGTCTTCGAAAAGTCTCCTCTGCAATTTTTTAGGTTGTTTGTACATACTGTAGACGACTTAATTTTTGTGGGCTCAAATTTTCGCGAATCGGGCCAAAGCTGAAAATTTGAAATTATTCGCAGGTTCTAATTTTTGTGAATCGAGTGTAGCTTCCGTAGCGTTCACATATTGGCCGAATCGTTCGCGGGACACATTTTTCACGTTTGTTGGCAATTCGCGAAATTCGCAAAAATTTAGTCGTTTACAGTATTTGGAAGTTTCAGTGTGTCGATTTGTGATTCTTTACAAACAAGGAGGAAAGCAAACAAGTAAGGTTTTTGGACTCTATGGATTACTAGACTAAAGGCTCAGATGTGTAGCAATACAAGGATGTTAATTTTTTGTCTGAATATAGCCTATGTGGTCAGATGACTTTAAACATGAGGTGTACAATAGGAGGCCTTTGAGAAATGTTCAAGTGATCCGTCGAACATCAGCTAGTTTTTGGTTTCAAGCAGCTGACAGATTCGCAGTAGCACTTTTCGAAACTCTTTTGATTGACGATGGCTGGGATGGTAAGGCAACCATGGGTATCGTGATGGGCCTAGGTGGTAATTGGTTCTCTCGTTTCACGTTCGTGCTCATTTTACTTTTTCGGGTAAACTGCCTCTGCTGCTTTCTTCCAACGGCATTGTGAAATACACTCCTTTTCAGTTGTAGCGGGGAGACTGATAAAAATTGCGGGAAATACGGTAAAATACAGCGGAAGCGCCCGCTTTGTTCAAGCACTCACTATTAACATTTTCCAAACTTTGGAATTCTGTAAATTATATGTTAAGTGCCTGACTTTACCGGACAAGTGCCCATGTCTGGATTAGCCCAGTTCTCGGTGATATTGGGCTAGGCGCTCCCCGGGTATTTTGCGGCAAGTCAGTGCGTGAGATTGCAAGAACAATTGCGAAATATTCTTTATTCTAAGCGCACTCTGTTATGATGTTATTGAAACCAAAATTCGGTTCTGTTTGGCCTTGAGGGCAGGTGTTAGAGTTCCTCTTTTCATATGAAAACGTGCATTTCTTTTTTGCCCAATTTTGTTTTTTAGGCGGGTTTTTATGCAGCAAGAAAGAGTGTTCACACAGATGAAGCCTCTGGTGCTTGAATGAAGTGATACTACACCATGTTTACACATTAGCATCTATAATTTTTGCGAGAGCAACTTTTATGAAAGGAAATACTTTTTAATTTTTGTTATGATTGTAAACAAAAACTTCTGCAGTAATAATTGATACAACAGACAGTGCTTTTTAATTTTTGTTATGATTGTAAACAAAAACTTCTGCAGTAATAATTGATACAACAGACAGTGCTTTTTAATTTTTATTAAGATTGTAAACAAAAGCTTCTGCAGTAATAATTGGTACAACAGACTTAGGAAATACTTCTTAATTTTTATTAAGATTGTAAACAAAAGCTTCTGCAGTAATAATTGATACAAGAGACTTGTAAAGGACATAGCCTGTGCTCATAGCTAAAAGAAAATGTGGATAACTAAATTTTCAATTAGGCTGGTAGGATTCATTTTAAGCTAATCACATTCAACATTTTTTTTTTCTTGCTCTTGATTTTTTAGTGGAATCACTCGAATGATTCCTTTTATTTTTAATATATTGTTTCATCCCCCTTTTCCCCCCGGATTTAATATTTTTCCGCTGGCTGCCAATAGACACTGAAAGTGAGTTTGGAAATGCCATGGAGATGTACTCTTGCATTATGCAAGTGGGAGGGGTGCCCCTTGGGTGAATAATTTTCTAACGGGGACTCGCCACCGTTAAAGTAGCTGCTTCCATAAACGTCTCGGTTACTGCACATCTGGAGCGTGCGGGCAATCTTTCAAGTCGGGAAAAGCAACAGTTGGCTTAAAAACGGATGAAACTTGCAGCCTGCTCGAGTTCCAGAGAACGGACGACCGACATCACCATACGTATTTACACTCGGTAGTGTCATAACTGGCAAGTTTAGAATGCTGGTATATTCGTTTCGATCGTCGCATCTACGTTACACAGTGCCGCCATTGATGGTGCTCTGCTGCTTGCAAGCTGTGTGTTGCATAATCTAAGTTTGTGGAAGTGCACCTGCAGCATGTTTTAAAAATAATTTACTCAAGGCCCTTTCAGCCCTTTTACCAGGCATTTTATGCGAGGGTGAGGACATACAATATAAAGCATACAGAGGCATTATAATGAATGAATAATATCTTTATTAGTTAATTGAATACAATGCATAGTATAAGGCCCGTAAAAGTCACGGAGGTTTCAAATCAATAAAGCGATCGATTGGCCAGCTCAGGATAGACGGCAAGAATAGGTTAAATGATTGCATGCACTTTACTGGAATGCGTTCATATGTTTATTGTTATTTCTTTATTTTAGTCGCTTACCTACTGAACCTTACTCCACTAAGTTTCATTCTTTGGTTCAATAATGTAAGATACTGCTATGGTATTTGGCAGGTGTTGTCCTTTGGAGCTAAATTAGTGTTGCCAAAGGTCTGCATGATTCTAATGAGTTTGTCTCGCATCATAAAACCTAATTGTTTTGAATGCGCACAACAGTAGAATAAGTGTTGTCGGCTTCCTGTTTGAAGGGAGGTGTTGCTGCTCCAATTGTGTTGCGCAAGGCAGTAACAAGAATAGCTGTATGAAGATGCCACTGGCAATTCCCACACACCAATATACAGGTTTTTTTTTTCTTTTAAGCTTTGCAGGTGTTTTTTACAAAAAAGTTGTGAAAGCTACGCTTATGCGGTTTGCGCAGGTGAGTTATAGGGCCAGGGGGACATAGAATAAGGGGCTAATTGTAATGATCCGTTGGCTAATTAAGTTAAGTGTTAATTAACTTTTTAATTAGTGAAAATAGACATATGGGTTTAATTAGAAACTTGCTGAGTGTCATTGAAAACCACTAAATCAGTAATGTTCAGAAAGACTGAGCACGTGAGAACCGTCGTAGTGCACTGAAGTCACCATTTATGGAGCAGGTACAAGGCTAGTAGTTGCAGTAACAAGCCCGCGTGATTTTTCCGTCTCTTATGAGAGCCCCAGACTTGTACCTGCTCCACAAGTGGTAACTTTAGCGCACTTCCCATGCACTCAGTTTTTCTAAAAATGACTGATTTTAGGGTTTTAGACGATGCTTAGCAAGTTTCTAATTGGAACCATATGACTATTTTCAGTAATAAAAAAGTTAATTAACAAATTTTACTTTTAGCGGACTGATTGTTATGAATAGCCCCATATACTGTCCCCCTGGCCGTATAACTCACCTGCACAAATCGCGTAAGTGTAGCTTTCACAGCTTTTTTTAGACAAATCTGTAAAGCTTAAAAAAAAAACCCATGTAATTGCATCTTTTTTAACAGTGTCCAAGTGTTAAGTGTAAAGGGTGATTCACACACTTGCGTTGAGTTCGACCGAGTGCAAGGGTTTCTATGGCAACAGCTACGTTGGATATCCAACAAAACCGGTTTTTACCCCATTTTGTTGGAGTTGACGCAGCTGTTGCCATAGCAACCCTCGCACTCAGTCGGGCTCAGTGTAAGTGCGTTAGTCGGCCTTAAGTTGCAAATGTAAAAAATAATGAGGTAGAAAGATCCACTTCCTGCACATTTCATGTGCAGGCAATTCAACCTCAAACACACTTAGCGTTATTGGTGCTCTTCAATTCATATTTAGTTTAGCAGATCACCTCTGATCAACAAAAGCTAGGGTGCAAGCGTACTGATGAAAGTAGGTACTAGCGATGGGCCGATTCAGCTAAAGTTCCGTGCGTGCCATACGTTTGAAGGAATACATTCGGAAAACAGCAAAACGCATGCGCATAGAAGCTGCCTATGCCCAATTGTGGTAGAGAAAATGGTTGATGGCAGTCTTTTACATAGCCAGTAGGCATTGCAAAGCGTGGGATGCAAAGTGTGATTCATGACACGGTTACTAGATGGTAATGCATGCTTATATGATTGTTTTTACTAACTTTTGTGAGTGTAGTTGTCACCAGTTTTAGTTTCAAGAGCCCAATATCAAACAGGAAGTTGATAAAGTGGACTGTGCAAATGACAAAAGCTATGATTGATAAATGTTTCAAATGTAAAATGCGCACCTGCATGCATGGCTGGTGCCAAATAATAAAATGGGCACCCTTACAGCTGTACCATAACTTAACCTGGTGGCAAACGTGACACTCGGCAAAGAGGGAAACTACAGCGACACCGATGAAGTTGCGAAGCACTAACTAAACTAGCATGCCGAAACCGTCTTTCGGAAGTCAACTAATTTTACAAGTAGATGCGTGAAAATGACATTGATACAATCATCCTAGAACAGCTTATTTAACAATCACTGTAAATTTTTAGACACATTATGTGCATTGTCCTTTGCACTTTTTAACCATTATGGCTAAATAAATTTGTTGCCAGAAAAATTAATCAATCAACCAGGCTGTCAGCAATTCAGCTTTGTGAAATTCTGAGGTTCGGCACTAATTTAATGAATTGGCAAATATTTTGCCCATCACTGTTAGTAAGCTAGGACAACACACACAAGGTCACACGACAAAACATTGTTGCATTTTAATTGTCCCGAGTCTGTGTTTTGTTCATTGTGTTGTTCAGACCTTTAATGTATCCAGCGGCCATCAACAGTTAGAACAACCCCCCCAAAAAAAGACTACTCTTAAAACAAAGCTTTTTGTTTGTTTTTTTGTCTTGGCTTGCAAAGATGATGTTTTGAGAGGAATGGAACAAAATGAAGTTTCTGAATAGAACGTTGTTTATACCTTTGGTCACACCTGCAGCTGGTGCATTCAATGTTTGAAGTTACTTGCTTTCGTTATTCTTGTGTTACTCATATTTTATATATATATATAAATTTTTTCATTCTTCTGTAAGACTTTTTTTTTTTTTTCAGGTGTTGGAAAAAGCAGTCTCTTGTTGCGGTTTGCAGACAATACCTTCACAGGTGAGTTTTGACCTCTGGTTTACCTTTGCAGCCGCATCTCCCGGCGTGAAGGCTGACCTCTTTGAGTAGAGCAAAGAGTGCGCCATACAGCTGTTGCTTGCTAGCCTGCAATGAAATGCTACTTGAGCTTGCTTGCTGCAATGTGACCTTTCGTGCATTCTTTTTACGATATATTCGGCTGGTTGCAGCGTTCGAAGTTCTCTAAGAGGTCTCCGTGCATTCGGCTGGTCCAAGTTGGGTGTTTAGGTATATTCGCCTGGTTCTTTCGAAGCACTCTCGAAGTGCCGGCTGGTGCAGTTCCTCTCACTGGGACTGGGAGAAGCTCCTAGATATCTCGGATCCGATTCCGAGGATTAGAACGACGGAAGGCGACCGGCCGAACATACCGTTATGCTTAGATTAAAAATATGCCTCAGCATTTGAGGGGATGCACGAATCTGCGGCACAAGATGACTCGTACTGTTTCTTATGTCTTCACCCAAAAATGAAGATTGCACTTGTACCACATTGTTGTTTGTGGTACAATATTCTGGAAGTCTGTTCCTGCAAGATGAATTAGAAGCATTGATTTTGACTCTCAACTGCAAAAATAATGGATTACCTTTTTCTGGCTTTTAAGCTCTTACCTTCGCTGCATACGTTTCAAGTCAAATTAATTATCCGTTTTTGTCCGAGAACTTGTAGCGTCGTCAGATTTTTTTTGCCATCATCAAACTTTCTGCGGTGTCTGACGCGTCATCATTGGGCTTTTAAGCTTACCGTATTTACTCGAACCTAACGCGCCCTCGATTGTAACGCGCACCCATTTTTCGAAATCTAAAAAACAAAACAAAAAAAAAAAAACGCCATGACCTCGATTGTTACGCGCACCAGATTTTGTAGATTGGATACAGAAATTAAACTTTTTCTCACTTGGAACAGCGAAGGTTTATTCCAAATGAACGGCGGTGCCAATGATTGCTACCTTGTCTCACTCTTGAATATAGTGGAGAAAGAAGACACACATACCAGAGTAAGGACAGAGTCCAAGAGCGTTTATTAGAAGTTTCTTTACAAACTACTATGTCCCCATCCAAAATTTGCGCCGGCAAGGTAAGAAAAGGTAAGGTAATAAAAGGTCCTTGCCTGCCAGGCACGGGGTTCCGGAGAGCCAAGGTCGGGGAAGTGTCTGAGAAGTCGCCAGAACATTTCCTATCCCTTTCGCGGTTGCCGGGCGAGTCCCCTTCCCAAAAGCGGAAAAAGATGAGGCAAAACCTCCTCACCTATCGGTTGTGAGCCACATCTGAGGGGGGGAACGGAAGACCCTCCAAGACCTCTCCTCCACTTCACGAAACAGGTTGAAGCTCACAGCGGAGGCCGAGCGTTTAGACCCATGGCCGTTATCACGGCCATCGGGGAAGAGAGATCACAAGAACCTCGCACCCCGTAACTGCATTTCACTAGAGCGAAGGTTTTGTGGCATTTGTGAGATCAAATGTACGTGCTACCTTCTGAGAAACGGTTTGTCAAATGTTTCTCGAGCCAAGAAAGAAAGAATGATGTGTGAAAAGAATTGGAAATATAGCCGCGTCTGTTCCAGCCATAGATGGCAGCAGTGTGTTCTCTCGTCGTATACAAGAGGTTTCCAGGCAGATGGTCGTAAGCAGTTGCCAATGTGTGGATCAGTGCTTAAAGTGTCGGGAGCCTGAGGGTCCTTGGTTCTGCTCCCCGCAGGGAACTACATCACCACGATAGGGGTGGACTTCAAGATCCGCACCTTGGAAGTGGACGGCGAGCGGGTCAAGCTGCAGATCTGGGACACTGCGGGCCAGGAGCGCTTCCGAACCATCACTTCCACGTGAGTGGCACTCTCTTGCCATCCCCTTGTGGGGGCCCCAGCGGATGGCTGCGAGGCACCCATTTAATTCGCCCGTCGGTCTAACCCGTCCGGCCCACTTTGAGTAAATTGCAAACATTGGTCTCTTGGAGGAGATTGCGAAAGATCGGTTTCATACATTCTGGGGACAGACTACTGCCCAGGCCTAATAAATGTGATATACTTCGAATAAATTGAAAAATTTTCTTTGAAACATGTGCAACTGTAGTACTGTGATTTACCATAAAGGTGCAGCAAGGTGGTACATTCATTCTCGCAAACATGCAGAGGGAAACCCCGTCAATAAAATGCTAGGAATAAAAGCCAGAATTTTTCTTACAGATTGGTGGAGTTTAGCCCACCTTTTTTTAATTGAAGTCAAAAGGCATTCCTGCGGACTGTTGCAGCGTTCGACCGAGCATAGCGGGGAATCGGGGTGATATCTAAATATTTTTTTGTTTTTCCTTTTCTTGTTTTCGTTAAATCAAGCATTAGCCCGCCACGAAGTTTCTTCACCTTGTCACGAAAAGGGCGTAATGCGGCGTCAATCCACGGCAAAAAAAATGTATATTTTATTTGCAAATTTTGATTCAGTTGAGTTTTTCCTCGAATGTTTTCACGAAGCAAACGCAGCACCTGGCCACATCCTTGGTAAGTGGCAGTGTCCCAGCGTGGAAGGTTGATTTTAGCATTCTATCTTGTAGTGAGTCAGGCTTATTTGGGCCAACCGTTGAGAGGGAAAAAGATGAAACTGTGTTTTGCATAGGCCGTCCATGACGCGTGCCCTTTGACCTTGTGTCCAGGTACTACCGGGGCACCCACGGGGTGGTGGTGGTTTATGACGTCACCAACGGAGAGTCCTTTGCCAATGTCAAGCGCTGGCTGCACGAGATCGAACAGAACTGCGACGTGGTCAACAGGATCCTCGGTGAGCCGGCCCTAGGGGCCCCTTAGCTGCCCATGGCACGACCTAGTTTGGTTGGCCGTTCCTTAGCCTGCTATGGTCGGTGACTGTTTTGGGGAAGCTTCTCCCACCTCCTTCGACTTCAGCAGATAAAACGCTGGAGAGAAGCGACCTCCTCTTAAGCGTTCACTCTGTTAAAGGGGTAAGAGGAGCTTCCCCTAAACTCTCAACCTGTCACTGACTACAGCACCATCGAGCTTGTAGCTTTTCTGATTTTTTTTGTATACAAGAAGAGTACAACTTTGAGCAAAGAATTAAATCTAAACTCCAGAGGCAGATTCGTAAACTAACAGTTAAGGTGCATTAAATTTTTTTTTTTGGGGGGTGGGGTTGTGTGATAGTTTTGATTAATTGTTTATGTGCTAAAGACAGCATTCTTTCTTTTATCTGGGGCCTATGAAACATCAGTGTTTCAGATTAAATACACTGTTGCTTCACCTGCAGAAAAGACTGTGTGATCAACGGTAGTGCCACTTAGTACCTTGGCACCGAGTGCACAATTACTGGCACACATTTCAGTTGCAAAGAGTCGCCAAATCCCAATGCCCATTCAGAAAGAGAAAAAAAAAAAAAAAAATGAAAACACCTTATAATTTAAAGGGATACTTCAACGAAATTTGAAGTATTCCCGTCGTGTTCAAAAATAGGTCGAATATGATCCACAATATCCGTAAATGACCATCGCACGTTTGTATTTTGAGCCTGGTAGCTGTATTTTTCGTTATAAACGGCCCACTCTGGCAAGCGCTCAGAGAAGGCCCAGCGGAGACCACGTGACATCCAACGCAATCGTAACGTAGGTTGTCTCAAGACGAGCAAAGCTACGATGAGGCTGACGTCGAGAGGATGGCCTAGTCGTTTCGGCCACCGAAGCGGCTGTTTTTGTGTGAATTTTGAGGGACGGGTTAATCTTCTTTAATTTTGTAGGGGGACAATAGCGACTTCTGCGACGCACAAAAGGCATTCTCGGGAAGAGGGGAGTTCCTCCTGCCCCCCTTCTCTCGTCGTGGCCGGAGACGAGACAACCTCCGTCACTAGCTGTCAAGGTTCCTAGACGGGCATTACAAGCGAGGTGTTAGCGACATCCACCAGGTGCTCTTTGCTAATTGTTTAATTCGTTTTAAAATTCCTTTTTGTGACTTTTTTAACAAGATATTGGTATATTCAATGTGATACTGCTTTTTTGAACACATATAGACCAAAAATGAGCGCCGAAATTTCGTTGTAGTATCCCTTTAAGCTCCTGGGGGCTTCTGCCTTCGTCTATTACCCCGCTTCATTTTGCTTCGTACGTGCTTTTATACTAACGTGACATTACTTCGGTGCAGAGCTGGAAAGCTTTGGTTGGTGAGACAATAATTGATACACTGAGGTTGTACTGCAATATTATCACCGTGGATAAAAATTGGATAGGATTTGATATAATAATAATAGGCCATATGCAAAATTCTTGTCAGCTATCATTATCGTGCCATTTGGAGCCACCATATTGGGGAGTTTTTGCGTCTTTCAACTGTGGACGGGGCACATCTGCATTTAACTTGGTTTGCACAATATTTGAACAATGCTTTTGTGCGCTCGGTGGGTTGCTTTTAGAGCGCAGCTCTTAGGCGCCTGTTTCCGGCTTGAGCGGCGTCGCCGTCGCCGTCGGCGTAACCGCGCGGTGCATTATGGGTAAATTTCCCCGCTAAACCTAGCGGAAAAATTTTCCCGCTAAATCTAGCGGAAAAATTTTCCCGCTAAATCTAGCGGAAAAATTTCCCCGCTAAATCTTGCGAAAAAAATATCCCCGCTAAATCTAGCGGAAAAAATTTCCCCGCTAAATCTAGCAGAAAAAATTTCCCCGCTAAATCTAGCGGAAAAATTTCCCCGCTAAATCTAGCGGAAAATATTTCCCCGCTAAATCTAGCGGAAAAATCTAGCGGAAAAAATTTCCCCGCTAAATTTAGCGGAAAAATTTCCCCGCTAAATCTAGCGGAAAAAATTTCCCCGCTAAATCTAGCGGAAAAAATTTCCCCGCTAAATCTAGCGGAAAAAATTTCCCCGCTAAATCTAGCGGAAAAATTTCCCCGCTAAATCTAGCGGAAAAAATTTCCCCGGTAAATCTAGCGGAAAAATTTTGGTCACGTGACCCGGGGAGTCACGTGACACCCCGAGGTCACGTGACCTCTGAGGGGGGCACGTGTTTGCCCCCACGTGACCCCACCAAGGTCACGTGCCCTCGGGGGGGGTCACGTGACCCCCCCCCCCCCCCCCCCGAGAACATGTGGCCCTCAGTACCCTCCCCTCCTCCTCCTCAAGAGCTGCGCTCCAATTCGGCGTTACAGGGAGTGGTAAACGGCTTTCACTTTTTTAGTTTTGGTTCAAAGATGAAAAGAAAGACGGGCACGAAATTCTGGAAAAGGGATTGTCAGGAACGAGGTTGCAAGACTCGTCAACCAAGCAGTGAAATGGGCCATCCAGGTCAGTGAATGGGCTTTATCAAAGACCATTCACTGTGAAGGGTCTGGACTTGCAACACGTGACCATATTTTAGATCTAAGACTCCCACTTTGCCGGGACCATTGTCTCCCGGCGAAATCGTCTCCCGGGCGACTTCCCCCAATACGGCGGAAATTTGATGATTGAACACGAGTGCTCTAGATGGTGCTTTTCTTTTTGCATATGGTCTATTGTGCCGTTCAAACGTTTTGTCAAAAACAGCTCATAGTTGCGGGGGAAAAGTGAGGCTTTGTCTCTTCCGCCTTTCTTTTCTAAGCTTACCAAACTTTCCAACGAATAGTATCCGTTAAATGACTCTGAGAAAGCAGAGTAGCAAGCCATATTGTATTAGCTGCGGCAGTACCGACTCTTTTCTCTTGCGCAGAGCTGTAAAAGGACTAAATAAAAGTACCGCTATTATCCTAATTAGTTCATATTTCAGTAATTAAGTATACCTCCTCAGTGGCAATGAAATTGATGTAACTGTACCTTTAACTTAACATTGAAGTTATTTGGAGAATATTGGATCAAGGTGTGACTGCCAATATGTCATCCGTGTTGGAAACGGGTGTTCATCGGTAGTTGCATCACACCTCAGTGTAATTGGAACGCTTCTTAGTTACTCTATCTGAATAACTGAAACTAGATGTGAATGGGAAGATGTACCTTTGTTACATTTCAACCCCGGTAATGTAACATAACTACTTTTTAAGAGTAACATGCTCTTACGGATCACTGCTTCTGCGTCGCGTTCAGAGCAGACAGTGGTTGGTTGTTGCGTCTGACGTGAAGCTGGATGGGAGCGTCTGCCACTTGGTTGTCCTTCCCAGTGGGCAACAAGAATGACGACCCAAGTCGAAAAGTGGTGCTGACAGAAGACGCCCAGCGCTTTGCTGACCAGATGGGCATCCAGCTGTTCGAGACCAGCGCCAAGGAGAACATTAACGTCGAAGAGGTGGGTCGGCACCCCGCCTTTGCTTTTTATGTGGGATCAACCGATCACTCTCCATTTATCTTTTGTAAACATCAAAAGCACCGCATATTTCATCTGCAGTGTTGGAAGTGCTGGGCCATTTGCGCCAAATTGCGTTATGAACGAAGGTCTGCTACATCTCGAGTCAAAGTGCCAGTTTTGCTAAGAATTGTGCCACATCTGCGCCGAGAATGGCTTAAAAAAAACCTAAAAAGAAAAAAAAAGTGTTTGTGTTTTTAACAGTGTGGTTGGGGACACTCGTGTCAAAAATAAATTTTACGCTAAAATAAAAAAAATGTTTAGAGCAATATTGGCGGTAGGATTTATTTGAAATTCTGCTTGCATAGTCCATAGTCCATGACGTCACGGAATGGTCATACACTCTTTCTACCTCAATCTGATGGCCAAGTTGATCCACCTCTCCTCCATGCGCCCGAAATGCTGAGAAAAAAAACAAGTGGAAACAAGGTGACTACTGACTAAATCGCGTCTTGCACCGTCAATATTGCTCTAAAAAAGTTGTTTTTTTCGTGTAAAATTCATTTTCTTTTTAAGCGAAGCCAAAATAAATATAGTATTTTATTGTTGGTCGACCTAAATATGTAGAGAGGTAGGAGGGAAGGAAAAGGGTACAAATATGTATTTTACAGCATCTCTGCTCACCATATAGCTTTTGTCTTAGGTCAGAGCACAGCTGAAGGCTCAAACACATACAACCATGAGTATTCACATACATACTAAAAACGCAGGTCATGGGATGTTTCCTGCACTCTATGGGTTTAGTCGATGGAACAGGGTTTGTACAGGTCCTTCAATACCTAGGATTTCGATAAAAGCCTTTGTCTTTGATCAACGAGTTCAGTCTTATCACGACTGAAAGGGTAGACCATAGTCCTTCTGGAAGACTGGATGACTTTTGGCAGAAAGAAGATCTTTGAACTGAGGTTGGTGGATGGGGCCCTCAAGCACCCTTTGCTAGGAGCACTTGTGAAAGCCCTTCTGTGCCTCTCGCGTGGCAATGCTGATGTGGGGAGAGGTTTTAGTGAGAAACGACGCATGCTGTGAGAGCGAGCCAGTCTTTCAATGGCTAGCATCAATGGCCTTAGGGCTATGTCGTTTTCAGAGAGGTATGGTTGCAATCCGGCTGTCTGATCAGAGAAGTGAAGGGATCGTACAGGCAACAACTGCAGCGGCTAGAATCAGAAGCATTGGTGGAGCCACGAGCAAAAAAAGCAAAACATGATTCTGATGGACCAAGCAAAGAGAGGCAAGAAGTGCAACTGCGGGATGAAATTAAGGTGGCCGAAAAGATGCTGAGCAATTCTGAGCTACTACTATTTGCCAAGGGTATGGAGGCAAAGTTCCTCTCTGATATTCAGAGCGGTCAACCCTTTTAAAGGAAGGACATACGAAGCTCTCCGAAGCTCTCGCAAACCTGGAATCTTTTTAAAAGAAGAAAAAGTGAAAACAGAACATATCTGCAAGACGTTGTCTTTACCTTTTGTACATTTCAATGTATCATGGTTTTTCATCAAGAATTTTAGTTGCTGTTGTGTGAATAAATCGTGGACTTTTGCTAAATTTTGTTTTTAATTTGCTACTAACTATTATAGCATGTGTGATTTTCATTCTTTATCTTTTTAATAGAACTTCAAGGAACTGCAAAGCTTCCAGTAATTTTTGCACCACATTTAATAGGATGAAGATCCAAAATCGCCTGCTACAAAAGCCAGAATCTATGCTACAAAACCCCATTTTTCCTGCTACAAGAGCTGCCACAAGTGGCCATTCATTAGTTCCACCACTGCAGTACTCTTACAGGTCTACTTTCTTTAATCTTGATTGTAGGTTTATCTCTGAATTAAAAAAAGAAACAAAAAAAAAACAACAACAAATGCGGCTCAATTTTTAATAAATACGGTAGTCAAAGTTGTTTCCGTGCAGCTGTCGACCGAAAGTGCCGCAAACTTTGACTTCACTCTGGTTCCAATGCTACTAAAGAACAGTGGTATGTACTTTTATAGCACAAGTGTATGCTTTCATAATACTTGCGGGCGTTTGTTTTGCAGTTTATCATATTGGATCATACCGGCCAACTCCCGTGTATTACCCGGGAGACTCCCGAATTCTGATCATTTCGTACAATGGTTTGGTTGATAGGAAAATCTTCCGGAAAATGCAGATTACCCTCCTCCCCGCACTTAAACAAGGAGTTTTTGCTGTCGCAACAGACGGCAGCAATGATAGCGAAGCCCAGCTGTATCTTACTAATATGAGCAGTGCAGTACAGATGTAATGAAGCAAACTCATGTAAATTCATTGTCAGGAATTCTTTAAACACCCTCCCCCTCCCTCCCCTCGGCTTAGAAAATCTCCTGGATTTGGTTTTTTCAAACTGGGCAGGTATGTTATGGCAAATTCCACTGGCTGTTTTGGAGTGTGCCAGGATCTACTTTTCTAGGGCACCCCTATTTCACTGGGTGATCATTAACGAGACGGACGTGTTCCACTCGTCGTTTTGGATCAGCACCCACTCCGGATCTTGATCTGAATCCGGGAAAAACTACTCCGCCAATTTCGGTGGATTCGGCCTGAAGCCAGCGTAGCCAGACTTCCTTTCCAACTGGGCATCTCGCCTTGGAAGAACCTGTAATGGCCGCTCGTAAAATCCTGCCTGCTTTACTGCTGCTGCTGCTTGATGACAGTTGGTCGCCAAGTTGCTCAAGCAGCTCCTCCAGCAGCAGCGGCTCGAGTAGCAGCGACGACGAGGATTGTATGCATGCAATCAGTGCCTGCTTACCAGTTGGCTCGACTGCCGGTTCATTCTTCATGAAGGAGAAAAGAAGGTTTTGCCGCACTACTGGCAATCTTTGCAAGAAGCTCCTGAGCCATGATTCCTACCGTTCGTACGTTGAGCACGTATGGTTAGTGCCGCGATTGCGAGAACATGTGCTTTGAGATCTAGGACAACGGGAATTGCATTCCTGGGGCAGGTGAGAATGGTGGGAGGGCATCCGTCGATCCCGGAGGAGTGGTCATGTTCAACTAGAGATCCGGAGGCGGAGCGACTCCATTTGTATTGCATGCTTCATCTCAGATCTGGCCTGGTACAACAAATACGGGAGATTGTCACTCTACTTGCCGGCACAGCTCACAGCACGCCATGCAGCACGTTTCACTCAATCACTCTCACTCGACGACGAGTCCTCGGTGCATCCGTCCGAGCTGCGGCTGCTTCGGTCGCCCTCCATATCCGACTAGAGGTCGTCCTCAGATCCATCAAGACTGTTCGTTATACTACACTTCTTGAAGGACTTGACCATGACGCACTCTTGAAAATCAGCTCCTGCTGCTTTCTCCATCGAATCACGCAGGACCTGTCCACGCCAAAATTCTGAGCAGCGCTGCGATTGCCATTCTCCTCCGCAAACGAGATAACTATTGTCTTGAACTTGAACTTATATGAAGTTCTTCTCGCATTCATGCTGACGCGAGACTGATCAAAGAGTGATCAAAAGCCGCCGAAACAAAGCAAAGATGGCTCGCCGACGCAGTTGACGCTCCTCGAGGAGAAAAGGAAAAAGAACAAGCAAGCTCGTCCGTTCGCGCGGCTCGCGTCCGCGCGAGTGCGCGATTCATGTGTCGCCATCTATCCAGTGACGTTGAAACTTATTTCCAGCGATCAACATTGCCAACAGCTCGGCGATCGCGGTCTCCCCTTCCACTGAGGGACAGTGGCGCGCCGTGCTTGGATTTTGAATCGCGCTAAAAAAAAGGGGTGCTATTTTTTTACCGTTCTGACTGGATGACGGGAGTTGAGGGGGGGGGGGGGTGCTTAGAATCGCGTAAATATGGTAAGTCGCACTTCTTTATTATTGAGCCGTTTTCGCAGAAAAGTTGGTATACGAGTCGCACCTTTGTATAAGTCTCACCTCTTTGCATGGTTTACGTGACGAGTTTTTTTCGTTTTACGCACATTTGTATCGCAAAACCAGGGTTTCGCACAATCGGCTAGTTCACACATACCATTTGGTGTGCAACAACTTTGACGTTTCAACTCGCGAGAAAATTTTGAGCAAACGTAGGTTTATTGTGCCAGACATTTGTGAATCGAGCTTTGGGCCACTAGGCCCAGCCTAGGCCAATTTGCGGAGATGACGCGAGCACAAACGCGTAGGCAGATAGATAAATCTTGACACGCTTTTTTCGGTATCGCTGAAAGATTGGCTGGCCACAATCCTTGCTTTTATACGTAGCAACACGGCTGGAGCATGGCAGGTAAAAACTGCTCATCAAACGGAAACCAAGACACGAGAAAATTTTCTGTAATGCGTGTATACCAGCCAACGAGGTAATAGCCCACTTGCCTTTCGGTGTCACTGGACTGAAGCAGAAGAATATGGAACCATGGCTGAATTAGGCAACGTCAATCACATGCTGTAAAAGCTTTATTTTCACTGTCCTGCCTACCACATTGATTCACTTTGGGGAAACCGTAAAATTTCTTGCTTTCCGAGTCAGTTATGGAAAGTGTAGAAGAGTGCGGTGACAGCAGTGCCTCCTGGAGGGGCAACACCACCTATGGCTACGTAGTTACGGGACTCTACAAAAGATAGCGCGCGGCACCAAAAAAAAAAAAGTCTCACTGTGGGAAAAAATAGATGCATACAAGTCACATCGTTGTATAAGACTCACCTAGAAAAATGTTTGGAAAAAACTGACTTATACACTGGAGATTGCGTCATCGTCCAGTATCAAAGAGGAACCCTTAATCATTATCAAGGATGAACTCATTTAGCGATGCAATCACTGTCTTATTTTCAATTGATATGCTAACAGATGTTGGCATCTGCTCTGAATGCATCACTGGCTGCACCAAACCAATATTTCACCTGCTAAAAGACCTGCTACAAAAGGTCAAATGTCGCTTCCATCACTGCATCTTGATTCTTAGCCATTGTGGCTAGTTCTGGATCCATACC